CAAGGAGCGAATGAGAACTTAGAATCAAAACAAACAAACTGACTGAAGCGCGGGAAAAAAGTAAGTGACCGAGGAGCAAATGGTTTAAAGTTTTGTATTTGATTGGTTGAGATATTGGCGCGAGTTTTCTGGGCCAATTACAGAGCGTAGTAAAGCAAAACCAACACAATTCCGGATTATTCTCAACTTTCTGTTGAAAACTGCTCAAAAGCTATGCGTATGCAAACGGAACAGCTTTGTTTCCAGTCGAACGGGGGAAATGTAACTATGAATTATTTTTGAAGTCATGACTGCTCTGCACGAAGCATTTTTAGGCTGAACAACTAATCAATTATCAAAATGATTTCCATCTCATGCGACAGGTGTTTAGTACCTTGGTCACCCATGAAGTTTTTTAATTTAAAACGAATTTAAGCTCGCTTCCCTCGGTAAAGGATGGAGTCAAATATTTTGCTGAATCTAAACAGTTCTAATCCATCCGCCAAAACCCAAATGATCATGTTTTAGCTATTTTCACCAAAAAATTCAACTAATTATGACGAAAACAAGCTTAATCCTGGTAATTATCTGATTTCTTTAAGCGACAACTGAAGACCTCACCAAAAACTGAGATACCTTCGTTTTCTTGTTTTATATGTTATTTTTTTACTTTAGAATTCTCATCAGAAGCAAATTTCACAATTTGCGCAAAATGTCATCCTCTATTTCCAAGGCAACGTTAAAAGCCTTTTACCACGTGACTTTGTTTGCACACAAGGCTGTTTTGGCTACAGAGGAAGTTTCAGCTTTGCAAGAAAAAATTATGTCTTCTGTCGAACTCAATGTACCGAAAAAGTAAAGGTTTTTGTTTTCATTTTGCAGGTTTATTCGATCGAAGGGCTCGTTAAGAATTAGAAAAAAACCCCGTTTCGATTTGTGCACGAAAAGACTCAAGATGACAAAAGAACAGTTGCAGTTTTTATCCACGGGTGGTCTGTTTCGCTCGCAACCGATTCAGGTAAATATTCCTTTTTAAATGTAAAATTCGTGGCCAGCTCTCGATTAAACACCGATGATAGTGTTCTTAGCACATGACTTCTATAGCATTAACGATCTCGTTTGAATTATTAAATATTTCGAGCGCAAAAGAAAGCCCTTTAATTCTTGGACTCTGGGCGATTTCTGAGACTGTGGTAACCAAATATTAAAATCGTCTCTGTCAAGCGCAAATCATGCGTGAATCGAACCATTTCTGTCATCAATTTGCAACTCTTATCCGGGGCGGAAATGCAACCTCGAAGTAGAAGTATAATGATGGCCGTATCTTACTGCTGTATTTATTTCATTTAACAATTTATTTTATGTGGACCAATGACTGTTTGAAACTTTGAAATTAACGCCAATATTTTTCCGATGAACAAAAACATCACAGAATTGGGGTTTGTTTCCAAAATTCAGCAAAATGAAAGAGACGTGAAGATGAAATGATTCTTCGAAACTAGCGGAGACTGCATCAAACGAACGTGTATTGCATAAAATGTTTTTTTTAAATTGTCGTTTTTTAGCCGAATTTTATCGCTTTTCACAGACGCTAATCAAATGCAAAACTTACTTACTACCACACGGTTATATTAAAATGACGGTATTGTTTCATTTTGTCGTATGGGCTTTAGAATCGTGGATTCACGCAAAATAAAAATTCATCATGAGCACAGTGCTCGAGGTAATTATTTTCCATATGTTCGTAAGTCGCCCACAGAATTCTGGGCTTAGCAGAAGTTTACAAGGCGTTTTCAACCACTGAATGTATTAAAAGAAAGGAGCATTTCTAACACTACCCAAAAAAATATCTAGGATATTCACATTTCTTGGTATGACAAGGCAATGATGATTATTTATACAGCTGTGAGTTAAATGTTGAAAAACATCTGCAACCTACACTGTACTTACAATCCGGACTGAATTAATGACAATCATTTAGACAGATAGAGGTGAATATTCACTACAATTCACTATATGAGGAATCGTGAACTTTTTCAGTTCAATAATCGAACATAAACAAGCGACAATCTTAGAGTGTACTGAAAGAGAAGTTTGCACGCGATTTGGGAACCTGTCCGCGAAGTCTGTGTGGAGATGGCGCCAGAAACGTGCTTTGTGAGTCACGGTAAATAAGTATACCGGTTGCTCTTGATGTAGAGAGATATGCAAATAGAAGCTGTAGCAATAACTGGCTTATTTACTTCCTCGGGGTATTTTTTGGGTGAGTAAGATTCTGTACATTGATTAACTCAGATAAGCATATGTAACTTTTTGATCATTAGTTTGAATTAAATTTCGCGACTGTAAGCAGTTGTAGCGTGACAAAACATCTCACCTCATGACGGCGGCGAAATACTTAGTAAATACTTTAATTCGAGTTAACACACCACAGAGAAGAAGAGAAATGAAAAGGAAAATCATGTCACGAGACGACTATGAATTTCAAACGAGCCTTGTGGAAGTTTTTAAGAAGTCAGTACCAAGATGTTTTTTTGCAGTTCCTCTTGCGGCATGACAGAAAGTTTTTTCTTATTTTCTCACTAAATCACAAATTGCCGCGAACTATCGTATGTCATTACAAATAATGAAGTTGTAAACCTTAAAACTGAAACTTTTGAAGGATTAGATTTGCCCCGGGAAAAAAGCTAAGGCTTTTTATGTTTTTTTTTTTTTTTTGAGGATTATGGACTGTCAATTTAAGCTCGCCTAATTTATGATGGCGACCAAATGGCTAGGAGGTCTGTCAAGGTGAAAAAATATGTTCAAGTTTTTCCTTAAAAAGTCCATTCCTCGAAAAATAAAACGGGAATAGCCTTGACTATTCTTGAAAATTTGCCAATGTAAATGACTTGACTTTTTACCTCGCATGACCAGACGCTCGATGACGTATTTCTTGACATGGACCAAGTCGCCTTACCCTCTCGACCAATCAGATACAAAACTAAAACCAAACGCGACTTCCACAGGCGCATTTTCCTGCGCTTTTGGCAGTTTGCTTGTTTTTACCTTTAAGTTTTAATTTCAGTCGAAACAGCTAAAAAATATGTTTACCCTGCTCTTTTGGAGATTCATCGCCCATAAATTTTGAACCACGTCGATAGGCCAATGCTGGTGAATATTCGTTGCTAAATTTGGGTGAACGTTCTTTTCTATGAAATAAAAGGTCTGTCAATTTAATGAACAGTATGTATGAAATGCAGTTAGGTCGCACCTGATGCTGGGCAAATTATACATTTACCCCAACGATAATTATGAAAAACCATAAGTTGATGCATAATTTAGAACCTTTGTCATAGTTTGAACGGAAGTGTTCGTGGTTTCGCTTCTGAGTTTTGGAGGAATTACAATATTTCGTAACATTCTCTGTGCAACTGTATGATTGAGAATAAACTTGGTTGATTAAGGAATTAAAGCTTCTGTCGGCCTTGGCAAACTACCTAGATACAACAGGAAGATTATGAAAAATTCTTTCGGTTCTGTTGAATAGAACTGTTTATAAATAACGCGGGAAAATACTGCAAGCTGATTGGCTGTCGGCATCATTAGCAAATCCACCAGTTTCCAAGGAAGGAGTGATGATTCGGTGAAAGATTTTCTACCGAATTTATTTACTTTGCGGTCGACAAGACCTGACAAAATGGAAATATTGAGTTTCATTCTTGCAGAGGTTCTGCTCTTGAAATTTCTTCTCGAAGGGAAGACGACAAGTTTGCATCGTTTAAGATGTTGATTTGACAATGTAATACAAAAAGCTTTCTTATAGAACAGGTGAGCTGTAATTTTGCACAATGAAACCGAAAGATTGTTCTACGTTAAATGAATTTGCACAGACCAAAAAAGAAACCTATGGATAAACGTTCCTCTATCTAAATAGAAAACTCGAATAGTTTCTGTCAATTTTTTTGCTTTTCAATTCTAATTATACAAACATACAGTTTATTCAGTTAAATTTTGTTAGACAAATGTAAAGTATGATGAGTTCTTTCTTTGGATTTAATTCGACGTAAGCTCAATCAAAGTTTGTATGAAAACTAAAATATTCCAAAGTTACTTTTCTAAGAGTTTAGGCTATGTATTTTTGAGCATGGCATTCAAAGGAATCTTTGGAGGAGGTGATTTCCTATTTCGCAAAATCAAATTTTTTATAGTTTCGCATGCAGTAAAATCGACCAGCCCCCCTTAACGAAAGTTTTTAACTTCTTTAAATGATAGAAATACTACGCTTTGTGGCGTGTTTTTACATAAATTGCTTCATACGATTACTCTGCAATAAAAGGTTTATTTCATAAACCCATTACGTGTTCCAACTTTTTCACAATGGGCACATAATGATTAATATCAACAGGCAGTTTTCATTTGCATTCTGTATTAACAGCGTAATGTAAATAAACCCAAACTAATGGAGTAATAGATCAGTTAAAAAAATGGGTCAATCAATTATATTAACCGTCTCTAACTAAACTGGTAGAACAAGACTTTCCATGCGTTGCAAGGAATTAACAGTATCGGACAATTTTAAGACCTGTACCAAAGAATCACGCGGATTATACAAACATGGCCATATATGTTCTACCACAAGAAGTATTCAAACAATATTCACGAGATAGTCAATTAATTTACGAGTTAAAATTATATTTGTTCTAAAGTTCTCTTTTTCTTTGTAAAGGGTCTCGATTCTTTCTTTTTATTCAAGACGTTTATGGCTTGTAAACAATACCCCTTGCGTGGAAAAGCCGAGACGCTGCTGATTTTTTATACAAACACAAAATATGCGGTTTATTTTCAGAATAATTAGAGGACTATCCATTAGGTCTGAAACCGCAAACTAAACAACGAATTAAAACATGAACATTTTCCGACACCTATCGGTTACAATGCTAAAATAAAATAGTCGAGAATTTCTTCCACAGTTGATAAGTCTTGCTTTGCGTCTTTTCTTTAACAGGGCCATCCCGAGCAAAGGGAGATCTTGTTTCATGATGGAAAACAGAAGAGGTAAAGGAAACGTCTCGTTAGAAATTGAAAATCTGGAACTGAAAGCGGCCGTAGAGGGGAAGGAGAGCATTATTCGCCAGCTGCAAGACGAAGTGAAAGTTGTACGGGAATCAAAAGAGACACGAATGGTAACCACTGAGCGAGTTTATCGTGAAAATGAGGTTCAAGAGCTCCAGAGCGCGGTACAGAATAAAGAGATTGCTGTTAAACAACTTCGAGAAGAACTGACGCACGCTCATCATAACACTGAACAGGTGTACCAGCAGTACGCACGCGCGAGAGGAGAACTAGAGGCGAAGGACGCCACGATCAGCAGGTTGCATCAAGAAAATGACAGATTACAAGAAACACTGGAGACAACCCAAAATGAACGACTGCAAACGCTGGATAAACTCAGCGGCGTGCAAGTGGAACTCTCTGCACTGCGCGTGGATAAGAATTGGTTAGAAAGTCAGTTAAAGTTTCAGAAAGAAACTTCATCGTCGAAAACTTCGCGGAGTTTTGGTAGCGAAACGACAACTATCGAGGGTAGGGAAGAATTAGTGCTAACTATGGAGAGTGTCGCGAAAGATAAACAGACTTTACAAGAGTTGATCAATACTGCTTCGCATTATGAGGAAATTATACGCAGTCTGGAAAGTGGCAGAAGAACTGAGGGGGTTAGCTCGCGTGAATCGTATCGATTTGCTTCTTCTACATCTTCAAGCCCACGACGAGGCGAACTTTCGAACATTGATGAGAGTTATGTGTTGGAGCTCGGTAGTAAAATGTCGGAAGTTGAAGAACGGTTACAAAAAGCCGTCGTATCGCAAAAGTACCAGCTGCAGGCCGAGAGAGAGCAATTAATTCAAGAATTTAAGAATATGCAAACCCAGCTTTTACAACATCAAAGACACCATGAAATGCAAAAGAATGAAATTTCATCAAAAGAGACGCTTATACAAAGACTTAAAGCTGCAAAAGCCACTTTAGAGACCGAGGTGGAAACACTCAAAAGCGAGCTGGCAGCCTGCCGAGCAGAGAGTGACAAATATTTACAAGAACAGAGAAAATTTCAACATGATTTGACATCTTCCAGAAGTAAAATCTCCAAACTTGAAGCCGAGTTAGAGAACGAGAGACGGCAAAGAGATATGGAAAAGCGAAGATCTCAAGAAATTAGCTCACACAGTCACACAGAGAAAGAAGAGTTATCCAAACTAAAAATTCAGTTTCGAGAGCAGTACCTGCTAAATGAGAACCACATGAGAGAGATCGCTGCCAAAGATAATCTTGTCCAGCAGCTGCGGGAGAAACTGGAGACAAGCGCGGTTGAGGTGGAAAAATTGAAGTCAACGCGTACTGCTATTCAAGTTTCACAAACGGAAGTTGGACGAGACCGGGAAATTTTACAAGAGAAACTTCTCGCCTCGGAACGAAGGTTTGCTGAGTTGGAGATTTCCTACGAAGATTGCCGACAGAAGAACGAGAGATTACATCGTGAAATGCAGGAATACAAACAAAAGCACTTCAGAGTCGAAGCTTTGGATGATTCACTTGAACAAAAAAAATTAGACCTTGAAAATGAACTTGTAATTGTTCGGAAGAAGTTGTCAAAGCTTGAAAGTGCGTATGAAAGTTGTCAAAAGGAGAAGCTACAGCTTCAGCAAGAGTTAATACCTGCAAATACTAAAATGGCACAGCTTAAAAACGCTTATGAGAGCTGTCAACAACAGAAGGTCCAACTACAACAGGAAGTCCTCTCCTCGCACAAGCGGCTGGGCGAGTTTGAAGCTAAAACGGAGCGATACAAACAAGAAAAGGCAGAAATTCAGCGCGATATGAAAGCTTTAGAAAACCGATTTAACAGAGTTGAGCAGCAACTTCAACGAACTCAGAGCGAAAAGCAAAGCCTGGTGGAGAAATTAGAGGAGGCCAAAAGACGGCTGGTGAATGTTTCGGATGATGGAAAGCAGAGAGATAACCAATGGTATGACCAACAGAAGAAGTGTGATGATCTCAGTACAGAAGTGCAGAACAGAGACAAAACGGTGCACCAGCTTAGAGACGAAAAGGAACTACTGGAAGCTGAAATTCAGAGATTCAAGCAAGATTTTGAGACGTTGAATAGGGAGCTCGCAGCCTGTCAGCGGGAAAAAGGGAACTTGCAAAATGATTTGGTGATCGAGAGACAGCGAAATGCCGAGTTCGAAAAAGATTGCGAACGTCTAAAACAAGAACGAGAAAATCTTCAACGCGAGTTGAATTCTATGAAGGACAACAACGCACAGTGGAAAGATATGTGTGAAAAAATCCAAAACGACAAGGAAAGATTACAACAGGAAGTGTTGACGGCTCAAAGGAACATCTCGAGGTACGAGTCGAGCCGTGATAGCGAGAAACGAACCTCACAACAGGACACCATGGTATTGAGGACCAAAATAAGCGGACTTGAAAGTGAAATTCAAGAACTGAGAAGGAATGAAGAAAGCTTGAAAACTAAAACGATGGAGATTCAGAGGTGCAAAGTGGAATTTAGCAAATTAGAAAGGGAGATTGAAGATGGCGCCAGGCGGTTCGAGCGCGTTAACAAAGAGAGTGAAATGAAGGAGAGTCTTGTGCAGCAGTTGAAAAGGGAAAACATGGCGCTTAAAAAAGAACTGGACTCAGCGCTTGATGAATCTGGAGATCATTCCACAAGTTATGTTCCCGACACAAGAACTTTTGAAGTTGAGTTGGAATTACTTCAAAATCAACTCGCAGACACAAATGCGCACGTGCGAGAACTTGAGGAAGACTGTGATTCCGGGCGAAAAAAGAACCTGCAGCTCCAAAAGGAGATAGTTTCCCTCGAAGCGAAGAACTCTGAGTTGGAGAAAGCTTATGGAAGACTGCAAGAACAAGAAAGAAGGCTACACTATGAGCTTGAAAGTTGTAGAGGCAGTATTAGCAAGCTTGAAAAAGAGATATTGTTCCATCAGGACAATAAGAGCAAAATAGAGAGTGCTTTTGAGAATTCAGAATTGAGAAAAGACGAGTTGTCGAGGGAAATACTAGAGGTACGAAAGAAGCTCTCAGAGCTTGAAAACCTTTACAAAGCTGCAAAGAACGAAGGTGAATCAACTAGAGAAACAGATCGGGCAAAGATTGCAAAGCTTGAGACCCAAGTAGAAAATTTATCCAAGCAAAAACAGCAACTGCAGCAATTATTAGAGGAAAGCAGAGATGCAGCTCGTAGATACCAAGATGAACTGCACAAGGCCCAGATGAGACTGCAAGAGCTTATGAGAGACTCTGAAGTGTACCACAAGGATATTCACTCCAAGGAAACACAAAATAAAAAGATTCGAGTAGAAAAGGAAACTATTGAGAGGGAACTTGAAAGCGTTCAGGTTCAGCTGGTAAACACCACTTCCAGCGTGGAGGCGTTTGATACGGAGAGATACGAAATTATGCAAGAGATGCGCTTGGCCAAGGACAAGGTCCAGGAGTGGGAAAATGCGTACAAGATGCTGCAACAAGAACACGAGAGTCTAGAAAAGGAACTACGGAATGCTCAGAAGATGGTGAATGAGGTGGAAAACGAGTTCAATAAAAGCCAAAAAGATCGACAAAATGAAATCCGTACCAATCACCTGAAGGTCAGCAAGTTTGAGTCACAAGTCCAAGTGGTTCTTAAACAGCGAGACTCTCTGAAGGAACAGCTCGAAGAAGTTCGTGACGAGTTGAAGAAAACCAAAGATGAGTATACACATTTGCAGAAAGAATTCATCCAGCATCAGCAACGATGTGATGCGTATCGAAAGGAGCTCTTAGCAAAGAGTCATCAAATCGATAAATTAGAAGATGAGAAAAACAATTTAATGAGGAAGATGGAACAGATGAGACTTGAACTGGGACAAAACGAAATGACAGGCCAGGCTGTGAAGCAGAAGAGAGACATCTTAGAAGACGATTTGCAGTTAGCTGGAAATAAGATAACAGAGCTTGAATATAATATGACCTCACTGCGATCAGAGAAGGATGAGATTCAGAAAGACCTATACCGCGTGACCAACAAGTTGACGACTGTGGAGGACTCATACGCCAGGGCTCAAGAAAAAGTGAAAGATCTTGAGATACAGTTGAATGCTGCTCGTAAGGTCATAGGCGATCTAGAAGAGGAGCTATCTATCATAAAGCACAAAGCTTCCCAGCTTGAAACAGATCACGGGTATAAATTTGGTCAAATCGACGATTTAGAGGAAAAACTGGATGCGGCTCACAGGAGTTTGTCTGAGATCGAGTCCGCGTATGAATTTAGCGAGCGCGAGAAAGAAGATCTTAAACAACAACTTACACATGCAGAGAGAAAGGTATCAGAACTCAGGCAGACAATTCAGAGAAATGAAGAAGAAAATGATGATTTGGAAAGACAACTGGATAGTACTCGACATCGAACAACGAAGCTTGAAGGTCAGTTAAATCATGCGCAGAGGCAAAAAACGCAGTACAGAGAACAGTTAGAGGATGTTAGGGCAAAGCTGTTAAAATGCAAAGATGAACTAGTAACAGTACAAAGTCACCTTTACGACTGTCAGCGAAGTTTAGATGCTTTGCGGAAAGATGCTTCCGGCAAGGACAATACCATAACAGAGCTACGAGGCAAGTGCTTTTCTCTTGAAACGACGCTTGGACAGACGAGTGAAACGCTCGACAAATATCAAACAGAGAACGACTTACTTCAACAAAGCAAGCAAGATCTCCAAGAAGAACTTCTGCAAAATCAAGAAAAGTTCCAAGAACTTGAAGCCATGTACAAGCTGTGTGAACATGAAAAGCAAAGGCTGGAGGAAGAGATTCACTCGTTTTACAAGAGACTCGCCGAACTTCAAGGATCTTATCAAACGTGTGAACACGAAAAAATGGACGCACAACGTCAAGTGATGGTTCTGGAGCAGAAAGTGGACAAACTAGAAGCTGCTTTAGAGCAGACACAAAGAGAGAAAGCTTCCTTAGAATATCACTCTGGAGATCTAAATGTTTCAAACAAGAAGACCGTGGATGAATTGGCTGTTGTCAAAATTCGTTTGGAGGAAAACCAGAAATCAGTTAGCGAGTATTCACATCAATTGCTCGAGAAGGAAAGGATTGTTGAGGAATGCAAATTGAAGATAACTTCACTAACATCTCAAAATGAATATTTGAACTCAGAATTGACGAAGAAGAAGGAGCAAGTCTGGCAGACAGAAAATGATAGACGAAAGCTACAAGAGAAGTGGAGAGAAACAAGCGATGAAGTTATCAGGATGAAGCCATTGTGGGAGACTGCACAGCGCAAAAAAGATCAACTTGAAACAGAGTTGCAGTCAAACCGAAAGAAGGTGGCAACGTTGGAATCTGCCTTAAAGAAAAACGAAGAGAGGGGAAATCAGACTGAAAAAGAGCTGAATACATGCAAAAGTAAACTATCAGACCTCGAAACAGAGTTAAACTCCATGCGAAAAAAGGTTTCCGTGATGGAGTTGCATTACGAAGAGGCAAGAAAGGAACTGGAAGAAGTGCGAGAAGAGCTAAGAGCGGCACAAGAGAAGAACACGAGGTATTCTATCCAGCTTGATACAGCTCAAGGCGAGGAGTTAGATCTCCGGCAACAAATCGCGGCTCTGGAGAAGAACGTCGAGAAAGGTGACGAAGAAATCTCAAGTCTCCGTCAAAATAAGGAGGCTTCTGAAGAGGAGCTTTTCACAATACGTAACAAAATGACACAAATGGAATCGACGATTCGTGCATTGGAGTCACAGAAGCAGAACTTTAAAGAGCAACTAACCGATTCGAGAGACAAGACTGTGGAGCTTAAAGAAGAAAACGTTAAGGTTGCTAGTCAGTTAAGAGAGCAACAAGGCCTGGCGCAGTCCTTGAAAAAGGCTCTTGCAAAGAAAGAGAAGACTGTCGAGGAACTGAACGAAAGGATTTCTGAGCTTGTAACAGAGCTGGAAACACTCCGCCACGAAGGAATGACGATAAAAGTATCCTGCGAGACTCTTCAAGGGGCACAAGAAGACCTTGGTGTAAGACTGATGGAGTACGAAAGCAAGGATGAAACGACTCAGAATGAAATAAAGGAGCTTCGTGATTTACGGGAAGAGCTGGAACGGGAATTGAATATTGCTGTTCAAAAGAACTCAGAACAGGAAAGCCAATTGAAGAATTTGCAGCGTGAAAAAGAGAGAATGAAATCAAATCTTGACGAAACTGTCAGGAAGCTTGCCAAACAGTCTGAAGATGGTTCGAGAGTGCAGAAGGATTTACAAGAATATCAGATAGTCATCGAACGGTTAAGAGCTGAAAACAAAGCCATGGACTCTCAAATCGAGGAGCTAAGAGCAGTGAAAGTGGCTGTGGAGAGCGAGTTAGCAAACGTTCGCTCGGAATATGAAGAAGATAAATCAAAGAACGAAACAAACGAGAAGAACATCCGAGAAGCTGATGATGAACTCAAGCGGTGCAAAAATGAAATCTCGCGATTAGAGGACTTGATATTTGACATAGAGAAGGAGAGAAATACCTTAAAAAAAGACTTGCAGGTCTCTAATTCTAGATGTCTAGAATTCGAAGGCATGGTTGTGAAGTCTTCTCAGGTCGAAAGCGACCTAAGGCATGAATTACAAAGCTCCAATAATAAGATAATTGCTTTGGAATCGGAATGTAAAATGTCTAAGAATCTAAGAACTGAAAATAATCGTGAGAACGAGCTGCTGGGAAAGAAGTATCGAGATCTTGATGAAGTATTTAAGAAAAGCGATCGAGAAAGAAAAGAATTGAGACAAGAGCTGATTATAACGCAAAGCAAATTGCAAGACCTGGATTACAAATACGAGTATGAGTGCAATGAACGAAGCTCACTGTTTAAACAGCTGGAAGAAGCAACTGGTCAACTATCTGCAGCTCTCGACAAAACCCTCAATCTAGAGCAGAAAGTCGCAGAACAGACGATTCTTTTAGATGTGGCCAACCAGGAAGTCGATGAGAAGGACGAGGTTATTCGTCAGCTGAAGAGCAGCAAGATGTTTTTGGAGGGGCAGAGAGATAACTTAAAGCAAACTGTGGCGTCCGGAAAGGAAGACTCTGAACGTCTACAACAAGAGATTACTCGTCTCCAACGCGAAAGCCTTCAGCTGCATAAGAGGGCGGCTGAACTGGAATCAAAGCTTTCAAAAATGGTCGCAGAAAAAGAGCGAGCTCGAGAGGACGTCAATAAATACAAAGACGATTTATTTTCTCTCAAGAGTCGCCTGGATGAGTCACAAGAGGAGAAAGAAGATCTTGAACACCAACTTGAGGAGTACAAACAAAGCGCTTTAAATTACAAAAATGAAGTTTTGACGTTCCAGCGGCAAGTCACAGAGCTCACTGGTCAACGTGACGTGTTAAAGGAGACATTGGACGCAAAGGAAGGATCTATGGGGCAGTTACGAGAGTCTAAGAGAATTTATGAGGAAGAAACTGAACGATTACAAAATCTTCTAAAGGAAAAGGAAAAAGAGAACGATTTGTTGACCACAAAGAGGAAGGAGTTGGAAACTAGTTTGAGCTCTGCGTTGCAACAGCTAGCAGAAGCAGAGAGTACACTTAAGGCGAATCAAGAAACTGTTAGAAGACTAGAAGGGGAAGCAGATTCTCTGAGAAATAAACTGGAGGATATGGAAAGAAAGCTGACAGAACTCAGAGAGAGGGAAAATGAAGTCCAACGAAATAATATTGTTTTAAAATCACAAATATCAAGTTTAGAATCTGGTTACCAGGCCTGCCAAGGGGATCGTAGCGACCTGGAGGAAGAAACCCAGTCTCTCCGAGATGAACTGGAGAAAACAAGAAAATTACGAGACGAAGAGCTTGAAGAACTCGACAAATTACGATCCGAGGCGCAAATGAGCAGAAATAAAGTGTATTCTTTAGAAACGCAGATACAACGAATTGAAAGAATCAAGACTAATCTGGAACAACAAGTCAATACATTGACACCTGGGAGTAATGACACTAACGGTGAACAGATCCGTCTCCAAAGAAGAGTCCAAGAACAAGATATTCTCCTTGAGTCTCGCAGCAGAGACTGTGCAAGCAAAGAGGAAACCATTGAAATGTTTAAGGCGGAAAACACCACCCTGAAAGTGGATGTCAGGAGTCTGCAGGAGGAAAATGTTAGTATCAGGTCAAGTATAGAATTGCTTCAACGTAAAAAGGATGCTTCTGATAAGGAACTATTCGATGCTTTGAAGAAAGGTTCAGAGTATGAGCTTCGCCTTGCCACGGCACAGGAGGAAAGCGATGAGTTGAACAGAGAGCTGGTGGAAAAGCAGGAAAAAGTTTCCAGTCTGCAGGAGGAATTGTATCGAGCTCTGAAAGATCTGGCGAGTGTAAGACACGAACTGGAAGATGTACAATCTCGCGCAAAAGAAAGTAAAGATATAGTCGCTGATTTACAGCAGCGCCTTGATGACAAAGAAACAGGTTTTGAGACAAACAAAAACACTTACGAGGAGAAGGACAACAAGATTGATTCGTTACAATTAGAGGTCAGCACACTAGAACAAGAGCTAAAATCCTTGACAGAAGAATTGGGTAACGAGAAGGAAAGACACAAGCACACTCATGAAGAAATAGCTAAATCGCAGACGGAATTAGAAGCATGTGAAGCACGTGCAGCCAACTTGGAGGACACTGCAACACGTCTTAGAAAGGAAAAAGATGATTTGAAGAAGGAGGCTTTGTCGAATCAAGCTGTCGTTGCTGATCTCACAGAGAGATACCAAGCCTTACAGAGGGAACACGAGGGCCAAGAACACAAGGCTATGTCACTGCAGCAAAAGCTCACCTACTTAGAGGAAAGATACAGGAACATATCTGAAGATAAAGACAAACTCAAGGAAGAGTACCATGTGCTCAAACGAGATACATCCGAGATGAAAATTGCACTGGATAGCGCTCAGCGAGAAAAAGGCAAACTTGAGGGCGAATTGACAGTTGTGAAACAACAGAGCATAGACCTGAAAAGTAGAGTAACTGTAATTCTTCAAGAAAAAGACAAATCTTCTGTGGAAATCTCATCCATGAACACTTCACTAACAACATTGCAGGCGGACTACAGCACGATTCTTTCTCAAAAGGAAGAAAAGGACAAGGAAATAGTTGAGCTTCATAAAAAATTGTCCAAAAATGTGTTTGAGCACGGTGAATATGAAAAAACAAAGGTTTCTTTACAAGGAGAGGTCCAAGCACTTCAAAGAAAGGTGGACGAGTTGGAACACACTGTAGAGTATTTAGAACAAAAAGACAAACAGCTTCAAGGAGAGTTCATTGATTCTCACAAAAAGATAACAGCACTCGATCAAGAACTCATTGTGGCTAAGAACAAAATTACCAGAATGGAGGCCTTTGGTGGTGTGGAGAAGGAGAAGATGAAAGTCCTTAGCGATGATCTTTTCAATGCGGAGCAGAAAGTAGCAAAACTTGAAACTGCTTTGACGTCAAGTCGAGAGAAGGAGTCACAGCAACAGAACGACCTCATGGCTGCTTACAAGAAAGCAACTGACTTTGAGGTGGCTTACCAGACAAGTCAGACGGTGAAGAACCAACTACAGCAGGATATTAACATGTACAGGAATAAATTAACAACAAGCGATCGTAAATTGCAAAGCGAGATTAAAAACAGAGCACAGCTTGAAAGCCAACTTCAAGACGCAAAATTCAAGATTGAAAATCTGAAGACAGAGGTGGTGAAACATCAAAGAAAACTAACCCAACAGCAACAGGAATATGAAACCACACAAAACGATACTGAAAACAAAACCAAGGTTATTGAGAATCTTCAGTCATCCAAGAGGAGCCTTGAAAATGAAGTCCATGATCTTCGAAGAGATCTCACAAGTTTAAAATTGACTTCTGAAAAACTTAGTCACGAGAACAAAGAATTGCAGAATCAATTGGAGGTCAGTCAAGAGCGCCTGGCAGATGTGGAGTCTACCGCTGAGTTGAGCACCATAGAGAACGACAGACTCAGAACAGAGGTACTGCACCTGGAAACGTCGTATCAGGAAGCGCAGCTGGTATGCCAGATGCTACAGAAAGAAAAAGAAGTTATTAATTCTCAGCTCCTCGAGGCTGCTGCCCCAGATTCGGTAGATTTTGGATCAACGGATGACTCCCTGAAGAAGGAAAAGGAGGGTCTAGAAAGTCAGCTCTCCAAAGTTGAAAAAGATTTAGGATCATTGAAAACTACTCATGAGGACATGTTGACAGCGAAAACTAAGGCTGAGGAACAACTGAATGCAGTGAGGAAAGAACTAAATGACTTACAGTCAAGTTATCAAACTCTTCGGTTGGATAATAACAGAAACGTTCTGGAGCTTGGAAATGCTAAAAAGCGATTAAGCGACGTGGAGGCGTCTTGCGAAGAAATAAAACGAGCTAAGGAGAAGTTGCAAGGGAACTTGACTGACGCAGAAAGGAAGCTGGTTTCCCTTGAAGCAAGTTATGAATTGTGCGAAAGCCAGAAAAACGACGCTACCAGAGAGTTGTCAAACATGGAAAAAAAGCTTGCCCTGTTGGAATGCTCTTATAACAGGATTCATGACAGGGAGACAGAGTTGGAGCAAGAAATTCTTGACTCGCACAAGAGGGTTACAGAATTAGATTATGAGCTGCAAGCAAACAAGGGGCTCCTTGAGGATGCACAAAATGTTGTGCAAGACATGGAAGAAAGGAATGACGTCCTACAAGTAGAAGTCCTTGACTTGCAAGGGAAGATTAATGAGTTGGAAGCCACTTGTGAAATGTGGAAAGAAAAGGCAAATAGTTGGGAGGAAGAGGCCAAAGAGGCAGAACGTAGAGTTAACAATGCGGAAGAGGTTTACAAATTTGGACAACTTGAGAAGACGGAACAAGAGAAAGAGCTGACCATCTTGAGAGACAGCATCTCAACCTTGGAGCGTGAAATTCAAGAAGGAATCAGGGAGAAAGAGGAATTACTATCAGAACTGGATGATTTAAGGAACACTAGTTTCACTGATCAAGACGATGTGAACAACCTGAAGACAGAAATAAAGGGGTTACAAGGAAAAATCTCGGACAGTAGCCGAGAATTTGACGAACAAGCGATCGCTTTAGAGGAATGTAGGAGACAACGGGAAACACTGGAAGATGAACTTGACAGGCTTAAGAGAGATTTATTGGACAAAGAAAGATCCAACGAGGATTATGAGAGAGAAAATAACGGGATGCAACATGAGCTAGAGGTGATCAAGGATGAACTAGAAGAAAAGGAGAGGCTACTGAAACTATGTGAAGAAGAAAAGGAAAAGGTTCGCAATGAGATGATTACAGCACACAATCTGGTATGTTCACTGCAAGATGATGATCGAGCGAGTGAAGTTCAGACCCTCGTGCTGCAGCAAGAACTGGAGTTCTTGAGGAAGAAAGTTGCTGATGCAGAGAAGGAAGCACAAACTTTCAAGACCAAGAATGACTCATTGAGGCAAGATCTTGTTGATGGGCGCTTTTCGGGCAGCACCGATCGAGAATCCGTGCAACAGGAAATCCGAAGCTTAAGGAATGAACTCCAAACCAGCACTGATAAATACCGTGAGCTCGAAAGGTTTTGTAAAGAAAGCGAAGACGAGAAACTCAGCCTTCAAAGAGAGCTGTTGGAAACACACAAGAAAGCATCAGAAATGGTGATGGCACATCAACATTGTCACCAAGAAAAAGAATCATTCCAGGATGAAATAGCAAATTTAAAGAGAAGACTACAGGAGCAAGGAGATGCAATGGATGGTACTAAAGACGGAGCGCTTAATCTTCAAGACGAACTTCTGGATTTACACCGAAAACTCTCTACCACGGAAAGTATGTACGATCGTTCTCAGGACGACAACAAAAGACTTCAGTCAGGTTTGGAGGACGCAGAGAAAAAAATTAGCACTCTTGAAAATGAGCTTTTCCTTGTCTCGCGTCATGAGGTTACACAACTTAGTAATGCCTCTGTTAGCATTGAGGAGAAAGCTTTCCTTGAAGAAAAGCTGCATTCTGTAGAGACCAGGTATGCAGAGTTAGAAGTGACCTACCAGCGTATCGTGCAAGAGAAGAAAGAAATCTCTGATGAACAACAAGCAAAAAGTGAGGAGTTATTTCGTATTCAGAGGCTACTGGATGAAAAGACCAAAGAAGTGGATTACTTGCAAGAGCAGCTGAATGATCGCAGCAATAACTCAATTTTAGAAACGAATCGTTTACGAGATGAACTAGAAGAAACTCTCGAGAGGCTACATAAGAGCGAATCTGAATTATCGGCTAAAACTTTCGAGTATGACCGGGCAGTCGATGACCATCAACGAGTAGTATTTGAGAAAGAAAGCCTCAACAGCGATCTCAACGCTCAAATAAGTTCTCTTAATTTTGAAGTGTCCACCTTGAAGAGAGAGCTGGTGTATACCCGGGAAAACAAGGACACCTGGGACGAGGAAAGGAAGAATTATAGAGAAGAAGCTTTTAACTTGAGGAAAGAAAAATCACGCGCCGATGAAGAACTTCGTCTAATTAAAGATGATTATGAGAATATCAAGGAAAGGTTTTCCGTTATGAAGACAGAAAAAGGTCATTGTGATGAGGAAAATGGTAGGCTCAAAGAGGAAATACAAGCGGCAAACCTCGAGATTGACCACCTTAAACGAGAGATGTCAATGAGTAAATACGAATATGACTCATTTGAAAATGAAAAGAGCAGCTTTAAGGAAGAAATTAACACCCTTAAAGTCAGTAGATCTGAAGTTCAAGAGGAACTTTGGCGGGTGAAACGAGAGCTAGAGAAATTACAGCGGGAGGCTGGAACTAGAGAACGAGATCTGGAGGCATGGGAAAGAGAGAGATCGACGCTACAAGACGAAATCAAGACTTTCCAAAGCGAAAAGATAAGTCTCACTAAAGAGAATAGAGAACTGACGCGAGAAATAGAAAGACTGATGGCTGATATAGCATCCAAAGCTGAAATAACCGAGGATGTAGGAAAAGTGAGACGCGAAAGGGAGGAATTCTTCTACGAATACACAGTGATCAAAGAGAAGTACACCAGGATTGAAGAGGAACGCAGTATATTCCTGATCGAGAAACAAACCTTGGTCCAAGAGAAGCAGAATCTGGAATTTGATCTTAATGACTGTAAGAACAAGTTGCAAAGGTTTGAAGAGTCTAATAGTTACTTAGAAGAGGAAAAACGTCGTTTGGAGTACGAATTGAAAACGGCTCAGGATCGGCTTTTGATCGTCGAAAGGGAGTTCGATTCCAGAGCAATGGAAAAACAGAAAATCTCTGAGGAAGTCAGCGGCATGCGTTTTGAAATAAGAAAAATGGAAATTGAGCTGCAAAATGCTCAGAGGAAACTGGACGAGGCGAACGATGACATCATCGCCAAACAGGGTCGACTTGAGAGACTGGAGGGAGAACTTGGAGATCAAAGACGAGAGTGCAAGTTACTTGAGCTGGACCGAGAGCGCAAGGCCAATGAGGTTAAAAACCTGCAAGACCGGATTGACGAGCTCGAGCGCGAGATTCAGAGCTTGCAAGATGACTTGATTCTAAGCCACAGAGCATATGAGCAGTGTAAGAGACAACTGGAAGACTTTGAATTGTCTGATGACCAAACAGAAACATCCACGCTTCGTGTCGATGTCACGGAAAGGCCTCAGCAGACAACGACTCTGGACATTGATGTGAAACCACAGGTTACAACACTGGACATCAATGTGGCACCACAGAGGACATTTGAATACAGCTTTACACCACAAACAGAAGAGTCATACGTAACTCCGCAGACAACAACTGAATACAGCTCTGCGCCACCGACCTCAAGAACTCAATTTGACGCCAGACCTCAAAGAACTTCGGAATACAGTTTTACTCCACAGACCACTATTACAGAACTCGAAATAACGACACAAACAACTACACTCGACATCGACGTCCAAGAACGTCACGAAACGACTGAACTGGAAATTGATATTGAACAAGAAACGAAAAATGAACCAAATGCATCATGGTCCACCGGACGTGCCTCATCTTTTCAGGTGTATAGGGACCGGAAGTATGGACCTGTGGAATTTGCTCTCGAGGAAGAGGAGGACGGGGGATATGAGATTGCACAAATTGAAAGCAGGAGAGAGCCAAGAAGAAGATGGAAGTATTAAGATCCTAGTGATCTTGGAAGTTTTAGGGTTATTATGGAGATTGGGATGACTAGGACTGTGACTGCGACAGTTGGGGTGACTTTGACCATTTTTTGGAGGATTTTGGAGAAAATGAAAGGTTTAAGATTCTGATGTTCTTAAACGTTTAGAAGTAACAATATTCTGATCACAATTTGTTGGGATAACGGTCTCAAGCTTTGAGATGACTGTGGCCATCGTTAGATTCTCTGGCAGATACTGGACGTTTTAAGATCTGATGTTCTTAGACGTCTTGAGTGTTATCCCACTTTATTGGGATAACTGTGACGCAAGCGTTGGGATGGCTGTGACCATTTCAAACTTTGCTGTACTTTGCTTTGTTATGTAAGTGTGATTTTGTGCCCCATGATGCTGTGTACTCTTTGCATTTAGATACCTTTTCTCGGAAGCGCGTTTTTAAGATTTAATTTTTGTCGCTTAAGATATTTTAAACACAATCAATGGTCAATTTACTGATATGAAAGCCTACGTGCTTTTCTTAGGAAAAATTTTCTAAATCATACATTCTTTGTATTAGGCAATTGTTATTTTATGTTAATGATTAATGAAAAAAGGGTTCTCTTAGGAGTCTTCATCTGCCAGAACGTACCATGTGGCATATATATATAGCTTTTCTACCGTGTAAATCTCTATGGAAATGATTTTTGAAAAAGCTAGGTTTTAAGTTGTAACACTTTGTATTAAGAGTGTCACTGCATTTATCTTAGTACTACAGGTGTTGGTAGTATTGTAACTCGTCAATCGAGAGATACACGTTTAAGTTACATTTTTTTTTCAAATGATTCAAAAGCCGTTATTAAACGTGAGGGGTATTTATAGGGAATTACTCATATGACTTCAGGAGAATGCTTAACGCGCGTTTTAAGTCTTCATAGAATTATATTTAAATTCAGTCGAATTTGGTTTTCTTATGAGATTTTGTATGGCTTCAGGTCAACCAAGATCGTTTCAATGAGTATCTATTCCTTGATAAATAAAGACATTAATAGAATGTGTGGTCTTGTTTTGCCCGTTAATGAATCATCCAGTTTAGCTTGGCACCTCGTGAATCATTCGACAGTCGAACCTGTGTCCAGCGGTCACCCACAGGGAACGACGCAATGACTGCTTACTAAAGGTTGACGCTGACTACAGGTTGAACAGAATAGGAGTGAAAAAAAAAACGATAAAAAACGCATTTTGTTTGCCATAATTGACCACTTAATTTACAAAAATTCACTCATAAATACTACTAACATTGATTATGGGAGAGAATCGTGGATTAAATTTTACTTGAAAGATTATTCTTAATTTTATTTGAGTACCTGCGCTTTTTAGTGACCATACAACACAAGTGGCGGACAATACAAACAGACCGTTAGGACTGAGTAAAGGATGACTTTGACCCCTAAATGGAAGTAAAAATAAAGAGTACTTTAGGGAAAAAATTTTGGGACTTTGAAAATGGACCGCTAAATACAGGGTGACCGGTTATTACTGTGCTGCTTGATACAGGTACCATTGTACGTTTCCTGTAACCCTTTCACTCCCAAGATGTCATCATTAACTCTCCTTACTGTCTGCCGTTCAATTATTATTATGTTTGTTCGGAGAATTTGGTATTGGATCAACTAATAATCCCTAAATTAATATCATTCTTAATTTTCATCACCTTTCTGTCTGACATTGTATAGATTTTGTAGGGAGAAATTCTGTCTTGGTCAGTTATAGGAGTTAAAGGAAAACGCTTTTAACGAATATTTCGGTAACGTGAGTGGGAAAGCGCATACCGTAAAAAAATCAAGACCACGAACGTTGAAAACATCATCAGTTGGAAGTTGATAAAAGTCAAATTAACGAAGGTTGCCAACCGCGACAAACGCTAGCGCACAAAACTTAACCTCATTTGCCTCACTACAATTTTCAAAATACATTTTAACCAAGCAAAAACTTTAAAGAAATGAATCTAAATTTTCAATTTCTTTTACTGAATTTTACGGTCAAAGTTTTCAAAAATTTTCGTTTCAATGATTTTGAATTATGTAAATTTTCGTTTTCTGAGCGAAAAAGTTTTTTTCATTAAGGTCTGAAAAATCCGATGAGATACATTAACGCTCTAAATTTGCCAACGGAGGCAAATTCAATTGCCGTACTCTTGTTAAATATCCTCGTCCAATGTTACTTCCAGAAATCAAATAAAGATAAAATTCAATAACAATTATCGTATACGTGCATAAATCTTAAACAGACGCTGTTGTGTTTTGAAAAATATTGCTCCAGTTTTGAGCTTTCTTTCCTGTGCATTGTAAATGGATATATTTGCGAGCTGTTTATTCAAGCTCGACTTAAATTGTTGAATCAATATAACAGGTATGAATGTTTGCAGCAGCAATATCAGATTATATTCTGCGCCAAAATTTGAACAAATCAATGAAAATGATTGATTTGGCCAGTATTCAAATGTCAGAAATTTTAGACTCTAAGTTAAGTTCGTTTTTTTCACAAAATTAAATGACAGGTCGTACAATGCATCAGCCAATCAGGTGCCAGTTAAAAAAAAACTGGTCTCCATAGTTTCAGAAAATGACACGTACACCTGTCGTAAACTTCACAACTGACGAATCACAAAGAAAAAGAAGGAAACGGGAAATAACAACAAATGGCTTTTTTGCATAATAGATATCAGCCGCTTTATTCCTGATTAAATGGCCTCTTACAAAATTTCACGAATAGAGAACTCATGACATTGTGGTTTCACCGAGAGCCGAGAAATTTGAAGACAACTTCAGGTGCTAAACGTCCAAAATCTATCGTCAGGGATGTATCGATGGGAATTTTGACTTTGCGGTGAATAACAGTCAGTATATTTCTTCGGGTAATAATTTCAGTTTCAGACTTTGCGGTGTGCATTTTCATCACGCATAAAAATAAGTTACGTTCGTTAGCGAACCTGGAGAGTGTTGCAAAGAAGGAGTCCTATCTATAACGTGAAGAGGCAGAAAGTCAATACAAAAGCGTCTTTATCTCATGAGGATCCTCCAGTAATGTACATGGTTTATTTTAGCGTCTTCAAAAGTCGTCGCGGCATGCTTGCCGCGACTTAAAAGCGACTATTAACGCTGGATTATTTTCGACTGATTGAATACATGGCAAATTACGCACAGGAAAAAGAACAGATTCACGAACAGCTCGAACTAGCAAAGGAAACCCTGAACAAATTAAGGGCGCTTACGGATCCGAAAAGCGACTCGGAGAATTTCCATGGTATATCGAACGGTGAATCATCCACAATGAACGGAGAAAGTGAATGGGATGGTTACCGAGAGCTCAGGCAAGACAGCGACGAGGGAGCAAGTTCTGGAGTAGGAATGGAATCGCCAAATTTGGATCTTAGCCCGCACGAAAGTACAGATTTTATAGAAGGTGATAAATCACGAGTGGCGCGTGATAGTCTGGTGAGGGTGCTGGGTCTTCAAGTATCGAAATTAGAGGACGATCTAAAAATGTCACTGTTGTCCTATTTTGAACAAATGGAAGCCCAGAAAGAAGATTTAATCTCTAGCTTTGAAATTATGCACGCGCAGCTTTTAAGGCATCAAGAATCTTGCCAGCAACACCGTGAAGAAGAAGCGGAGAAGGATGCTTTAATCGAGCGGCTGAAAGCTGCTAAACAAACACTTGAAACGGATGTGGAGACATTAAAACGAGAGAATATGCTACTAAAAGCGACGGGTAATTCTCGCCCACGTGAAAATGGACTCCGTGGTTATCGAATAAAACCTGGTTACGTTGAGCATGACGACCTAAGCGAAACGCTCATGAAAGAAAATTCTCGTTTAAGGGAAATGCTTCGTAAATACGAATCAAATGATTATGCTAGACTTGAAAGAAAAGTCGCTCTTCAGGAAAAGCTTTGCGAGTCTTATAACAAAGACATGAGCTCTAAAGATAAAAAGCTTAATCGCTTGGAAGCTGAAAACAAAGGTTTACATGAAGATATGAAAACACTTCAAGACGAAATTTTGAGGGTGAATGCAACACGTTTGAATTCAGAGCGAGATAATACAAAATTACAGCAAGAATTGCAGTTTAGCGAGGAGCAAATAAACACTTTGAGAGAAAAGCTTAGTAGCTCGGAGCAAGAGCGTTTGTATTTACAGCGTTGCATAAGCGACGCAAATTCCAAAGCAAACTTGCCTGAACTGGAGAAAGGCATTTTGGTGCTACGAGAAAAGTGCGAAAGTTACAGAGATAAGTTGAACGACAAAGAACGTTTCCTTGAATCTGTGTGCAAGGAGAAACAAGGATTCATAAAAGCGATCGAAGAGCTGAAAAGAGAACTGGCCGCTGTTCGAGGCGAAGAGAGGTCGCTGAAGATAGAAAACGAAAGACTACAGAAAGAAAACGCAGATCGGGAGATTGATCGTTTGAGCTCAGAAACGACGACTGAAGCACAAGGAAGCGCAATTTCTAAAATGAAGTTGCATCTACACGAATTGCAAGGAAAGGTTGATGAATTGGAGCGGCAAAAGAGACAACACGATGACAAAGAAGCGCAGTTAAGTCAGGATGTTCTCGCGAACTTGGAAAAATACACCCAAGTTGAGCAACAGTTGTATCTCGCTAAGAAAGAACTCGCACAAGTACGCGGATTTTACGAGTCCAGTGAGGAAAAGAAGAGAGATCTAGTAGCAGAAGCTGAGAGGTCTAAAGAAAAAATTTCGATTTTAGAGAGAAGGATACAATCCAAGAAAGTGAATGAAGAAGACGAGCAACGAGTTAGTGATATTGAGAAGGACGTCCAAGAACTGAACTCGGAAAATCAAAGATTGAAGGAAGATTACGAAACAAGCAAAACAGAAATCGAAGAGTTGGAAGAAGCATTGCAAAGCGCACGGGAACAAAACTCTTTGCAAAGAATGAGATTAGATGCTCATGAAACTCTCATGAAGAGGAAAGATGAAAGAATTAAAGAACTACAGAATGAACTGTTGGAGCTTCACAACCAAATGGATGCATTAACCGATGAAATTCTCGGGAAAAATCGTCAGATGGAAGGTCTACGAATGGCGAAGATGTTGCTGGACCAAGAATTGGACCTACTAAAATCTGGAAAATTACCGATGCGGTCAACCCAAAAAGAAGGTGCAGCTAAAGATTCCTGGCCATTTAACCCCACAGCGGGTCCGGCGAGTCCAGATAGCGGGTTCTCAGACCTGGAGAGAGAAAAAGCTATTGACAAACTAAGAAGAGAAATTCTCATCCAAAATAAATTTCATCCTCAACAACCCGTTTTGTTCGAGGAAAATGTGGCAACAAACGAGGACAGTACAACGAAAGCTGCACTTGCACTGGAAGCTCGCAGGCTTAAAGAAACTGAGAAGCGACTGGCGGACGTCATTGCTGAGAACGAAGAGCTTAAAGATCGTGAAGAGGAAGCAAGGAGCTTACAACTTCAAATCGACTCGAAGCTTCGTAAGATGATGGAAGAGAACAAGGAGTTGAGAGAAAAGGAGATGTTACTCGCGCAAGCATTGAAGGAAAACCACAACATTAAATCACCGGTGGAAAATCGCGTGCAGCAAAATAACCCGCAGCAGGAGAAACTTGAAGATATTTTGCTTTTTGTCGACGAGCCGATAGAGACAGCCATTTTACAACCTGTTGTGGAGGCAGGTTTAGAGAATGATGTGGAATGTTTAGAAAGTGAACCTGATGGAACACTCATAAATTTTGCCGATGAACAAGATGGTCCGTCTATGAAACCTGTGATCGAAGGTGTTGATGAAATTCAAACCAATGAGAGGGAGCTGGAAGGTAAAGTTCGAGATTATGAAATAAGTCTGGCCAAGATGGCAGAAGATAAGGAACAATTATTGTCAGAATTATCAAAAACTCAAGAAGACCTAAAAATTATGGAGAAGAATTGTATCTCTGTTCAGGAAAACAAAGACAATTTTCAAAAGATAATGCAAGAGGAACTATTTGCAAAAGATGAAGAGGTTGCCAAGTTACAAAAAGAGCTGTCCGCGTTATGCAATGAACGAGAGGATCTAAAATCCTTTGTAAATAGCTCCAAGGAAACAGGTTCTCACGTTGAAGAAGAGTTGTTAAGGGCCCAGAAAATTATTCTGGATTTTGAAAGAAATCAAGGACTTTCACGCGAGAGAGAACAATCTCTGCAAGAACTACTTCATAAATCAGAAGATAGCAATGCAAATTTGCAGGTACAACTAAGTGAAGCCCAGAAACAATGCCGAAATGCAGACCAAGATGCTCAAAATTTGCAGCAGCAGATTCTTCACTTGCAACGAGGTTCTGTAGAATTGGAACAAGAGGTTAATGATTTGCAAAAAATGCTCTCTGAGGTAACAGGGAAGGAGAGGGCTGTATCTGAACAGCTTGAGAAGTGCTCCGATGCCCAGGAGAAGCTGCAAAGAGCACAAGAAGTTATAATGGAGCTGGAGAGACAACAGGAAATTTCACGCAACACAGAAGAAACCCTAAAAGCAAATTTAAACCAATCTGAAGAGAGCTATGCCAATTTGCAAGTTCAGGTGGGCGAGAAGGGCCGTGAGTATCAGAGTATGGAACAAGAGGCGACATCGTTATTACAAGAAATCGCTCTTCTTCAGGAGGGTTCCGCAGAATTAGAGAGGGAAGTGAACGAGTTACGAGAAAAGATGGCTGAAGGAGAAGAGAATGAACAAAAAGCTTCTGAGAGTTTGAGAAATTTGCAAATAGAAAACGAACACTTGCAAGAACAACTGGTGAAGGCGAAAAACAGTTTAGAAACTTCACTACTGGAAAATAGAGATGAGATTTTAGCGCTGAAAGAAGATATCAGAGAGAAGGAAAATCAGATAGAGCAACTTCAAGACGAATTAAATCTCTCTGAACAACGATATAGTGAAATTAAGTCGTTATCGAGCAACAATCAAACCGAGATCTCTGATCTTCATGCAGAACTCATTGAAACCAAAGAGCAATTTTACACGGTTTCACAAGAAAAAGGAAGACTTATCCACAATTTGAAAGATGTGGAGCACACCATTGCAGAACAAGATGAAAAGATCCAAGCTTTGGAGTTGGAGAGGAAAGAAAATAAGAAGATTATATCTGAGAAAGAGAACAAAGTGGAAGATCTTGTCGATAAGCTTGAAGATTACGAAAGTGAAAATAGTAAGTTGGGAGCAGAAAACGAACGTCTGAGAGCAAAATTGGAAGAAGCAGCGGAAACGCAAAGTGAAATGGAACGATTACTGGCTGAATCTAAATTAGAAACGAAAGAATTTGAGCAGCAGCTATCAGCAGCTCATGAAAGTATAACAGATTTAGAAACAGCTTTCGAGAGAGGCGAAGACAAAAATGCCCAAATTGGGGAAAACTTGCGCGAGGCCAAAGAAAGAATTGCAAAACTTGAAATGCAGCTGGATGAGTCACAAAGAGAGAGTAGGGAATTCGAAAGAGATTACAATGATGCAGAGAAGGACCTTGAAAAAGCACACGCGTCTTTGGATTCAAGCAAAGAAAAGATTGCAGCTTTGGAGAAAAAATTGAGAGCAGCAGAGGAGAGTATTGCAGAACTTGAAATGGCTAGAGATAATGGACTATCAAACGAACAGTTCCTTCAACAAAAGTTTGCAAATGCAAAGGAGAAAATTGACAAAACCGAAGCAGAAAACAATGACTTGAAGGAGAGACTGACAAAGATGGAGAGGAAGTTCAATGATTCACTTTCCAAACAACAAACACTTGCAGACAAGAAAGAAGAACTGGAGAAGACAACCAATGAAATTCGCCACGAGCTTGAGTATGAAAGAGAGAAACGTTTAACTTTGAAGCAGAAACTCGAAACCAGAGATAGAGATAATGAAGTTATTCAAAGAAAAGTGAACTTGTTGGAGAAGAGTAAAGCCGAGAATGAGGACATTCAACACAGAGACATGGAAGAAAAAAACAAGTTGCGGGAAGAATTATCGAGGACGAAAAAGATGTTATCCGAATTGGAAGCAACAAGAGAAAATCAAGAAGAAAACATCAACGAAATGGAAGATTCGTTAAGAGAAATGCGAGGGAAAACTGCCTCTCTTGAGCAGAGGCTGGAAGATGCTACACGAGATAATGCAGACCTACATGAGGAACTTGAAGAACTTAACCGAAAGTTAAAATACTCGAAGGAAGAAAACTTAGAATTGGAGAAACGCTGGCAGAAACAGAAAGAAATCAGTGACGAATTCAGGAATAATTTAGCAGAACGCGAAGAGAGCGCTTTGAACTCAAACTACAACCGTGATGCAGCCGAACGAGCTCTGCAGTCTGTGAAGAAGGATCTCGCGCGCAAAGAAGCCAAGTTGAAAATGCAGAAAGAACACATTGATGACTTGGAAAATGAGTCTGAAAAAGTCAACAAGAAACTCAGGGAAACCGAGTTGTCCTACAAGAAAGTAAATATCGAGAATGAAAGGCTTGCAAAAGAATTAGCCGACACAAAAGCCAAGCTAGCGAAGTTGGAGGCGATGTATAAAGAGAAAGCAAACCTTCCGACGGATTCCGAAGTTGCGGTCGCGAGAGTGTCGGAGTTGCAGTCTAATCCGGAGAGAGCAGATAAATTGATTCGAGACTGGTCCGACAAGTTAAGCACCGCTCAAATCAAAGTAACCGACTTGGAAAACGAACTCCTAAAAGATATAAAGAAACACGAAGTAAGAGTGCAAAGGACATCAATGGGAGGCAAGGATTGGAGGAGAAAAAGCGCTGATAATCTGTCAGAGTACGGAAGGCCGAGCAGAGCACGACAGCGGCCGAACAGGAGCCGAGACAGCTCCGTCGATTCACTTCGATCAACTCAGTCCATGTTCGACTTTTTCGACGAAAGTAGTGTACTTAATGAAGACAGGGCACCCAGTAATTTATCTAGGGAGGATATGCCTGTGGAATCAGATAATGAGAGCACGATTGGTATCCCTGTTGTGAATGTAATTCCATGCGATAGTGTTACTGCTGATAAGGTAAAAACAAACACTCCCAAACAAGAACGTTCACAGAAATTGGACGATGATAGCAGGGAAGTCTCTGGTGTCCAATTTAATAAACCAGTCAGAGTAGATACTCCTGATACCCCAGCTGCCGAGGACAATATTGATATTATAGAGCCACATATTGATTTCACGTCACCAGTTCTCGAAAATTCGCCAGGAAAGCAAACAGCTTCACCAGAGATGATAGAAGATCTGTTCGATATTACCCAAGATTTACCAGATTTCCACACCGATTACAGCCACGCTGACATGACTGAATCGCCGAGTGAAAAACAAACTGCAGAAGACTTCGCAGACGATCTGATTGACGGAAATACCTCCTACATTGATTACCAACGATCAGCGGTCACTGAATCTCCACCAAGTCGAGCAACTTTGACGCATACGGCAGATGATGGTCTTGATTTAGGAGTAGATGATGCTGTTACCTCGCAGATCGACTATGAACCGTCACAGGAATACCAACAACCGCTGTTGATTAAACCACCTTCAGATGATCTGTTTCAGTTTGAGTCCCAGGCCTCTTACACCTCCACCCTGACAAACGTCACTGACCTGACTTTGCAATCACCATCTCCCCCTGTATTTCCTGAGCAAACTCTGCTGGTCTCGTTTGATCCGTTAGATCTCCCACAACCTCAGTCTCAAGACAAGAACGATGAAGAAATCCTCGATCCCTTTGAGGAACTAATGAGAATGAGAGAAAACCAACAGAATGTCGACGGCAAAGCAACTGGCATTAATGACAATGGTGATGTCTTTTTTGACGTCACAGATGACTTACAAAGCGACGAGGCTGATGTCACGACGAACGATGACGTAGATAGTGTTGATGTTGACATCACTCACGTTAAACCAAACAACAACTCCTACACTAATCACAAGACGATCGGTGACGTCATTAACTCGCCGAAAGAATCCGCTCCAGGCCCTTTCAACACTAAAGCTACAAAGGTTGACGGAGGGCAACCAAGCAACTTGCCAATTGGAATTGGCGATATAAATCATGTGACAAGAGCTAAGGGTAATGTCGTCAACTCTCAAGAAATAGCTGAACCGGGACCAGTCCCTCAACCAAGGAAAATTAAAGACAAATTAAAACCTGCACTGTTTCCTCGAGGGAGCAAGAAACAGAAGAAAGAGATAACGGAGGCTCCGCAGTACAGTGTTATGATTATGGTAGACGATGTAATTGTGCCAGCGCCTTCAGACAAAAATTCAAGCTCTACTCGCGAGGAAAAGACGAAGAAGAAGCGAAAGGCTATGACTGCCAACATCGAGCAAGGTGACGAGATTTTTAAATCACCGAGTGAAATAAGGAGAGAGCTGGAAGAAGCCAGTAAAGGTGGCCAATTAAAACAAACTACATCCAAACAAAATGAACTAAAACAGAAGCAGAAAGTTACTGAAAAAAAATCTAATCAGTACCATATTGAGGAAAAAAAGAAAGAAGTAGTATTGGAGAAGGGAGAAGCTGAAGATCAGGATGAGGCAATGGGAAAAGGACGGCTCCAGAAATTAATAGCAGCTTTTGATAAGAAATAGAATTGATTTTTTTTTTTTAATATTTATATTTGCTACAACAGTAGAGAATGTGAGTCTTTATGGAGCGAAAACACATTCTAGCCAGCCTGGGAAGTTGGTAAAAATTTTACAAAATAATAATTCAAAGTGATATCTTTCAACAACGCAAAACTAATTTTTTATTATTATTGTTCTATTTGTATATAAATTGTAATGTATGGATAATCTCCAAATACCCATGGCCTCAAAATAAATTTGAAATGAAAATTATCTTTGCAAAAAAGATCAGGACAACTTAAAATTCTACCAGGGAGAAAAATTTGTGCTCAAACCCAAATAGACCCTAACATCAGTGTGCATATTCTCCATAGAGTTCTCTACATATTTACTAAAAGTGCTGAGAGGGAGAATTTGTTTAACAATCAAGAGCTCCTTAAATTTGTGATAATTTCTTTAACCCTTTAACTCCCATGATTTTGTTAGTAATTCTCCCTACTGTCTGCCATACAATTCTTATGATGTCAATTTGGAGAATTTGGTATTGGATCAACTAATGATCCCCTAATTGATATTTTACTTTATTCTCATTACTCCCATGCTTGATATTGTATTGATAGTGTAAGGAGAAATTCTGCCTTGGTCACTCCTGGGAGTTAAAGGGTTAATTCCTTTAACCTTTGTGAGTGATTCAGCATTGATACTGTAAGGAGAAATTAGATGCTAGTCACTTTTAGGAGTTAAAGGGTTAAGGAAAAGTAGCAACGAAACTTTCAAAACATTACTTTGTATACAGAGGTTATTGAATTTTTTATTCTATTCAGTTTCAAAATTTTTATTTTACAAATAGCTAAAATCATAGAGAAATTCAATGGTCTAAGTGAGCTCTTCAAATATTCCACTCTGGGACCACATACAAAGGAGAGTGATGTGAAATTCAGCTTGTGGGTTTCCAAAGAGTTTCTGTCCAAAAAATAGAATACATATATTTAATATTCATCACTTCACGGGTTTATATAGAACCAACATAATGACCAGCTCCCAGTTGGCTTGTTAGTTCAGTCGATAGAGCACTGCACTAGTATCACAGAGGTCATGGGTTCAAATCCTGTACAGGTCTGAATTTTTTTCAGGCCTTATTTTCACTACTGCTCAAGTAGTGTTCATTGCTGCGAAGATCGCTTTCATATTCACATCTTTATCTGCAGTTCACATATGTGTTTTTCATAAATTCACACTCATTTAGTACATATACTGTAAATATTTTTAGTCAACTTTACACAGTTTAGATGTTGATACTTTTTCATTTATATTTACAAAGTAAGATGTATTTCATAAAAGCAAGAAAATGTTGTACAAACAATTAATACTTGACTGTGTTGGCCAAATTGAGAAATTTCACCTCAACAACCAAGAAGATTTTTCACAGATCTGGAACTTAATTCTTGTGACTTGTTATAGAAGGTCAAGAAAAATATAAAATAATCCTATAAAAGGGGTAGGCTTTTATAGAAACTGTGCTCCTGTGTTGGTGGGGGAGTGGAACAAGATAATCTGGTTTTTTCAACTGAGTTGATGATGCAAATTGGCCACCATAAAGAGGTTCTAAAGTTGACGTTTCAGTGTTAGCTCCTCTGTCAGAGCGAATGTTCAAAATTTCAGCCAAAATAATTTTAAGTTGATGGTTACTAGTATTTTGTGGCAATGGAAGATCTTATGTCATCACATTGAATAACACAGAGTATGTTACTTTGACAGTTACATTGTATATATGGCACTGCACAAAATATAGTGATAGTTTTTTACAGGATCAAGTTTCATTGAGTTTGTTAAGATAGTCTTTGAATAAAAAGAGGAAATTAAACAGAGATGATTTAGAAATATTCTTAATAGTATTATATTAAGAAAATAAATTTGCTGCTTGTTAGAACTGAGTGGAGTGAGTCAATATTGTGTCAGTTGGAGGCTAAGGGAATTTTAACCCCTTTACAAGCTAACATCAGTATGTATATTCTCCATAATGCTCTCTATACATTTCTTTAGGTACTGACAAGGAGAATTTGTTCAATAATCAAGAGCCTCTTTTAACAGTTGGTGATCATTTCCTTTATTCTCCTGCCCTTGTGTGTGATTGACAGGTGATGTTGAAAAGAGTAAGTAGATGCTAGTCACTCTTAGGAGTGAAAAAGTTAAGAGTTTAGAGATACGCTGTACATGAATGTGGTTCCTCTAATTGACTTGTTAAAAAAAAAAAACAGGTTTATATACTAATCAATGAAGAATAAGTAACAGAGTTTCTCACCAAGAGTCTGGCCTGTTCTGGGGTTAGAGTGTCACCTTCTTTGCAGATTTGGAAATCGGTTTGAAGTGTTATGATACCTACGAACAAAATTATTTTGTATTATGTTGGTGCTATGCTGGCAGAAGGTGCAATAACCTACTGGCTAGTGCACCAAACTCTGGTTCAAGAGGTGCAGGTTTTAAGATCTGGTGCAACTATAACATGTGCTCTAATGTAAGATTCTTTACTCTACCTGTGCCTACCGACTCAGGAGTATAAATGGGTGCTGCATGAAAGCCTGATAAATTTCTTATGAGAGGGAGCCTTTTAAGTATCAGTATTCCATTCAGGGATGAATCACTTTAAGGCACACTGGGTTTTTCTAAGTTATCAACTCTTCCTCAAAAGCACACCCAGTATATGGGGGTGTCCCAAGATGCAGCCCCGTGTAAAAAGACAAAAACATCGCACACCCCAGTTCAACAGGAAGATCGCGTCTTTCACCTTGCCCACTGTTTAAATTACAAATTACTCATTCCTAAAAGCAATAAGTTCCCACAAAAAAAAAAAAGAAATAGAATAGAAAAAAAAATGACAATAAAAAAGGCCTTTTATTCCTGTACACACAAATATGTAATGTACCTTTTTTAAGAGTTGTATTAAGTCCAAGCTGTCTGAGTTGTGGTTCCATCGAGTGCTGAAACTGATCCAGTGGACCTTGTAAACAAAATTAATATATTTTTCATTATTTAGATTGCCATGTAAAGAAATTGAATGTGCAAATTTCTTTTTGCTACAGAATGAGTTTTATACCTGCATCTATTGTGACATCATCTGTTGCTTCATTGCCTGACCTGGCATAATCCAGTTCACTGTAGTCGTTAAACCATCTAGAAAGCAAACATGAATGGAACTTATACAAGACTGGTGGAGGTAGTGACTCAATGATGACTAGATGGCTGCCTGACTGATTAACTGACTGACTGACTGAATGACTCACTGACCAACTGGCTGACAGACTGACAGACTGAATGAATGACTGACTGACTGATTGACTGACTGACTGACTGACTGAGTGAATGAATGACTGACTGACTGACTGACTAGCTGAAAAGTTGACTGAAGTACAGGAAGATAAAATGATGGAATGATTGAGTGACCTAATGGCAGACTGTCACAGTCAAATTTTACCTCACTACATCTTCTTTAGCTTGATTTGTAAACATCAATCCGCATTGTCCTTTTAATTTCTGGAAAACAGAAGAAAATAAATTCAGTTTTCTTCTATATTCAGGCAGTTTGCTAGTTTACCTATTTAATCAAAATTGTCACAAAATTCTAGAATGTGATTGGTCATCAACAGATTAATTTGTGCTTTAACAGGACAGAGTGTGCATCATGGTTGTATCTGGACAGTGTAATGGGCACTGTATGTGTCATGGCTGTGTAATTGGACACTTGGGGGATGGGGGTAGGAACTCTACCCTCTAATCAGGGGGGTAAGGAACATAGCTTCCAGTGTGATGGTCTGACCTTGTTTCCAAAAATTCCTAAACTGGGGCACCTGAAAATATTCCCTTTCAAAGTTGTAAACTACTCAATGTAGCCTGGCTTAAGTCCCCCGAAGAGTACTGTAAAGTACACTGGAACATATTCATATTGAGAATGTCGTATATAAACTCATTAATATCATTATCTAAGCCCTATTACCATTAGGAACACTGTCAGCTCCCAGTTTTAGTTTTGATTAACTTTCAATTAGAAATTTCTTTGGTATGGCTGTCAGGACAGTCAGTTAACCCTTTAACTCCAAGAAGTGATTCACATGTATCTTCTCCCTACAATATCCATCCACTATCCAGCAAACAGGTAATGAGAATACTCAAATGTATCAGGTAGAAATTGTTTTCTTGATCTAACACCAAATTCTTGCAACTAATTTACAAGGAAATGTGTAGCAGCTAGAGGGGAGAATTAACAATCAGATCCTGGGAGTTAAAGCATTCAGTTATTACTCACATTAGCTATCTTATGTAAGTTTTCCTTATATTCTGTTTCCTTTTCTCTGCCGAGGGCAATGGTCATGACTTTATTCTTTCCAAAGAAAAACCTGCAAGAGAAGAAAACAAAAACTGAATGAGGACTATTAACTCTTCACACCCTAACATCAGTATGCATATTCTCCATACTGTTCTCTATACATTTCCTAAGGTGCTGACAAGGAGAATTTGATCAACAATCAAGAGCTTTTTGAGTTGCTGATCATTTCCTTTATTCCTGTGACCATAATGTGTGATTCAGAGATGATATTGTGAGGAGAATTTAGATGCTAGTCACCCTTAAGCATCAAATGGTTAATGCTACACTGTTTTAAATGAAGATCTACATAATTTTTTTTCAAGGTGTTCAATAAGTATGAAGAAATAAAACAAGTAAATTATAATTTCTGCTATCATTCAACCTACCTGCTATGTTTCCATTCGTTTCTCACTTCCTTAAGTTTACTATTCCTCATATTTTCCACAGAGAATACGTACATGAAGGCATAATTGTCCACGCACTCTTGTATCTATTTCACAAACAAATCAAATTGTAGCATATACTTTTTTTCATCAGAAAATCAGCTTTAAACACTTATCAATAGTTATGTTAATGAGTTTACAATAAGCCAGTTTACCTCCTTCACCAGTCCTGTTTTTAACTCCAAGCCCTTTTTCTTCGCTTTGGTCAATGAAACTATAAAAGAGATAAATATATCATTTGAAGAACGAGATAAAAATCGTATCTTAAAAAAATAAAACTACCCAAGAAGGAACGTCTGGTTTGATTAAATGAATGATCGAAGGATTAATTGAAAGAATAAAATCTCTTAGATGTTCACTTGAAATACTTTATCATCACAAGCCTCTTTCCCAATTTGGAGGTACATCACTTGGATGGTTTATTTGGACCCAACATATCGACCAGCTCCCAGTTGGCTTGTTAGGTAAGTTGGTAGAGCGCTGCACCGGTATCGCAGAGGTAATGGGTTCAAATCCCGTACAGCCTGAATTTTTTTTCAGGTCTTATTTCAAATACTAGTTCAGTAGTGTTCTTAGCTGCGAGGATCTCTTATATTCGTTTCTTCATCGCAGTGCACATGTATAAATTTCATATATCTAAAATCATTATTGGAGGTACATGTTTTCTCAGCAGGAACTACACCATTTGGCCTTGATTTCTCTCGTTATTCACACGATTAAATATGAAGTACATCTAAGGATACTTACCTGCCCTATTTCGTTTAGATTTTGGCATTTTGTGGATTAAAACCTTGTAATTTTGGGGTAAACCTCTGCAGCTTTATCAACTCCACGTGAATTTCTTCACTGCCAATGGGTATATCCGCTGTACACAATAAACAAATGTTCGTATAAGCGAGCAATACTTGATTCCCCATTCGAAATGTTTTTACCCCCCAATTGGCAATTGCACCACCACGTTCTTCCCTTTCAATCGCCGCCATTATGAGGTAGGGAAGGATTTTAACCATGAACCAAATCGAGCCATTTAAATCTCTGTAGTCGCTCTAGAATTAAATAGTAGGCCTGGATCTGAGAGAGAAGGGCTCATCTTCACCGTGGTTGTATTAATCGAGAGGAAAACTTGTGGAATACGTAGAAATTCGATTTAGCACTAGTGCACGTGAAAAATAAGTAAACTTGATACTAGTGAGTCTACATGTGTCTTGGTTTGGAAGACTTGATCTGTTTCGTTGTAATTCAGAGTTCGAGAACGGTAGATTAACCTTTTTGCTCTCGTTTATAAAAATTTTTTACCATAAGACCAAAAATGAAACTGTACATAGTTTCAGTGCGACGCTGTGAACATCAATCTGTTGTCATGCAGTCTATGTAACCGGTTTGTACGGTAGCATATGTATGGTGATGTTACTCAGGCACTATTGTTAGAGAAAAAAAATATTTAAAATTACCTTTTAAATCACAGTGTTTTTAAAGAGTTCCGCACACCTAGCGAGCAACTCTTTACATCTAACTAGGCTTAAATTTTTTTGATTAATTATGGTGCATGTAGAGGTGAAGTGGGGTTTAAATTTGTCATAGAAGTGTTAAAACCTTCAGGTTGCTGTAAGATCTTGTTGGGGTAACTACAGAATGCAGGGATTGTGGGTTCCAGTGTAAAGACTCCTTGTGGAAATGAGATGATCAGAACTGGCCCTGTATTCTGTATAGTTTTAAAAAAAATACTGTTGTGTTCTGCTAACATGAGGTGTAAACTGCAATTCTGAAAAAATGTACAAAAGTATAGAGTTTGAGGGATACATTGTATGACTTAGCAGACATCACTGAGTGACTTGTGTTGATTTTCTCACGTAGTACTTTGCGACTACAAAAGCGGCTGGCAGCCAGTGTCCTTAAGTGTGGAAAAAAGAAGATTTGGTTGGATCCTAATGAGACAAATGAAATTGCTAATGCCAACTCACGTAAGTTCTGTTGTAACTGCTCTGAGTAAGATTGACAGTGAGAGGTTCTGAGGCTGGTTTAAAGGGCTTATTTTGTGTTTGAAATCTTGGTTAACCATTCTTTTCCTGGGTTAAAGTTCAATGAGATCATAGAATTGTCAGGTAGCCCAATTATCTGAATCTCTGTTACTTCATGGCAAAATTTAATGTTTAAGCACTCCTGCCTGTCCTAGGGAAACTGGAGTGAAAGTTTTGACCCTTTTCATCTCAGTGATCAGTCTCAAATCTCAGGTCCTTAACCCTCAACTCCTATGATCTAATCATTAATTCTCCCCTCCTGCTGCTACATGTTTCCTTGTAAATTGGTTATGAGAATATGGTAGATCAAGGTAACAACTTTTACCTTATAATTTTTAGTATTCTCATTACCTGTTTGCTGGATAATGTGTGAGTTTTTTGAGGGAGAATTTTTGTTTTAATCATTTCTGGGAATTAAGGGTTAATAAAATTCCCATATGACCAATGGCAAAGTGGATCTGAATACATGGCTTTTATGAACTACTTTTACAGGTCAAAATGTCTCTTTTCTTTTTATTTCTGTGGTTGGTGTTATTGCGAATTGTTATTTTATAATTTATTGGTAAAATGTGTGGTTTTATTGTTTTCATCAGCAGTTATTCTGTCAACCAATCATAGACTAAAATGTGCAATTAAAATAGTCAGTTTTAGAGAAGTATTACTAGTTTTTGCATGTTGTCATGATAAAGAAAACCCATTGCATTATACAATGAGTTAAGGATTGAAAAAGAACTCATCATTATTTGCAGGTCAAAACATCCGTAAGCTCGTCAAAGATGGTTTGATCATCAAAAAGCCACAGATCATCCACAGCCGTGCTCGTGTTCGAAAGGCAGATGAAGCGAGAAAGAAGGGTCGGCATAGCGGCTATGGTAAAAGAAAAGGTACAGCAAATGCACGTATGCCTGAAAAGACCATCTGGATGAGACGTATGCGAGTGCTCAGAAGGTTGCTTCGAAAATACAGAGAGGCAAAAAAGATCGACAACCACATGTACCATAATCTGTACATGAAGGCCAAGGGTAATGTGTTCAAAAACAAGAGAGTCTTGATGGAATACATCCACAGGAAGAAGGCCGAGAAGCAACGTGCCAAACTCCTTAGGTGAGGTTTTTTTTGTTTTTGACTATGGGCTATGGTGAGATAAATTGTGACCCTCCATGGGAAAGCGAACACTAACACTTTTCCCTTTAAACTGCAAAACCATTTACTATCTGTTTAAATCTGTTTAAATGGTTCATGAAAGCATTTGAATGGTTTGTTTATCAGATCAAAAAAATTTGCATCCATTTAACGCTTTAGCTAAAATGTTTAAGTGGTTTGCTTATGGGTCTTGATATCAGCAGGCAAGTCAAGAATTTAGAGAAAGTGACAACACTTTTGAGTTGACATGTTTCGACAGAAACGTCTGTCATCTTCAGTTAATTACTATACAAAGCGTTGAAAGTTGTAGTATATAGTAAGTAGAACAATGCTAATTAAGATGAATAGTGAAAACAAGAAAAGAGGTAAAGCATGAAAGTGTGAGAATTAAAAAGATAGTTTTAGATTTACATGGTGTAATTGTTGATTCAAGGATGGTTGTTCTCTTTGAATGTGAATAGCCTCTTTTATCTTAAGCTGCTAAAACATGAAAATTATCTGTAGAACACAAAGCACGACAATGTGGAGAATCTTTCAGATGCCTGAAAATGTGAGAGGCCCTGTCATTGACTAAGTGCTCTCTAACACGTGTGGAAAAATACCACTGATGTAACAGGCATTACAGCCAGCACATACAAACTTATAAACCACACGTGAATGGAGCCCGTCAGGGACAGAGTCTTTCACACCGAGCAAGTTACCGATTTTAAAGGAAGGGAAAACCAGTTTGATATCCAAGTCCAAGGACATTGATATCAAATCCTTATTCTCCTTTTATCATATAAATTGGCCACTGAAGAGAGATTAGAAAGCTGGTATTGTAAACCTAAGCCCTTTACCAAAGTGAATAATGAAGGGCCAAGGCTGAAAACACCAGCTTTACAATCTCTCTCTGGAGGCCAATTCAGGTTAATTATCAATGCAGTTAATAATACCAAATTATCTTGTTAAAAAAACTGGTCATCCACTAGTTGACATTTTGGTTCTCCCACAAATAGCTTTCCTTCTTAAGATTGTTATGAGCTGGTCAATGAATCTTCAAAATAGTTTGATTCACATGGTTTCTTACTGTCAAATTTATTGCACACTATTAAGCCGGCCTGGCCTTGTTTATATCAAGGATGGGTGACTAAGTGTGCATAAAACAATGCAGGAGTTTGTTCTGACTGATCAGTGTGTGCTTACTGACTGAATCAGTCCTGGGCTCCTATGACATTTGTGTCCCTCGTGCTACCACACAGGATTGATCACCACATTTATTCTCCTTACGTTGCTTAATACACTATTGTGTAGTCAGGTACTGAGAATCAAGAAAAGTTTTAACTAGGTGATATAGTCTTGATGAAACACTGAATTCTTAGGAGTCGTTGATAAAGGAATGTGTGCTATTATTTAGGAGAATTCACTTAAAGATTTCAGGGGTGTTAAGTGCAAACTTTCTGTCTCCCTACAGTGACCAAGCTGAGGCTCGCCGCATGAAGAACAAGGCTGCGAAGCAAAGACGCGAGGAACGTTTGGAGCAAAAACGCAAGGATTTGATCCAGCAATTTGCAAAAGAGGAAGAGGCAGCAAAATAAATGTTAATAATCCTTCATTATGTTTGAATAAAACTTGTTTTGTGAGGGCAATGTTTGGTTTGATCTGTACCTTCTTCTTGATGAATTCAACACAACTTGAACTTAAAAAGCCACAAGAAAGAATCAGAGGGAAGTAAAAAAATAATTTTCTTGTCATTTTCCTTTGTATTTTTTAAACCGTTGGAGTGAACAGAGTCACAGTTTCTGATAAAGGTTTGGTATCCATTTTGTGGTGATAAATTCATTTTTGATGCTAAGTTAAAGCACTGGATGTTAAAAGATTTTGCAGACACTCAGTGACAGGTGCATTTGTTAGATAAGAATCCCTATGGTTTCCTGATGGTCCCTCAGGGTTCAGACATGAAATGTGTCTGTGAAAGAGTACTTTAAAAATTCATCTTTACTTAATAATACTTTTTATTAAGTGTACTCTCTCCAAAAACATGTTGTACAGAAGCATTCAGCTCGCTTAAACTGAAGACGTGTTACCATAACAGATGTTCAATCCACTTGGAACATAATGTTTGGCAAAAGATGTTCAGAGTCGTGCTTGGGGCATGAATATTTTAACACCAGCAGTGTCTTTATGATAACCCCAGAATTTTCACGGGTCATGAATTTTCATTGCATTTAGAGATCTGCTGAACAAGCAATTACAAATTTACAACCCTAGTACAAATAAATAAAGTCTAGCTTGTGAATGCCCCTAGTACTCCCAGTGAACTGAAAATTTGGCAGCATCCAGTGAACTGTATGTTTAGGTTCACATAATGCTGTTTTTCAGAGTCTGGTCAGGATGCCTAGTGCATTTTATGCTTCCTAAACTTTTGGACCTCTAAAAGTGATTTGCAACCAATAACTCCTTACTATATCACCCCTGAATCACGACTCAAAAGTCACAATAATAGAGGTAATTACCACCATCTAGAAATGCTGTTGATTGTTAGACAGACCAAATCCTCCTAGACATGACCTAAGGAAATGTTTGTTAAATAGTATTAAGAATTTGCATACTGAAGGTTGGGTTTAAATGGTTGACAAATTTTATGGATATTTGATATTTTGAAAGGATGACATTTGCTTGCCTAGTTCCATTACAATGACCACTCATGAAAGAGGGTGTAAGATCTAAGTGCTTTCTAATTGTAAACAGAATTTTGTGCTTCTCAGTATTTTCTTTCCTCCTCTCATAACTCCTTGTTAGTGTTCTTGTTTCAGTTTATGGTTGTTTCTTGTCAGTTACCCCTTCACTTTTGCACAATTCTTACCATACCCAGTTATGCAGTCCTCTTGTATTTAACTCTAGTTATTTTTAAGCATATTGACTTTTGTCAGCCAGTTTCTCTAGAGGTTGCACTGAGCCCAGTTTTCTCTTCTAGAAGTATTCTTTAACATGAAATTTGTTTGCTATCGCAGATTTTTTTTAAAGGTGTGATCAATTTTCTGTCTGTAAGCCCATCTATGTCAAGCTGAAGGTCAGCATTGTGAAGACAGCACTTTAACTGTTACAGAGAGAAACAGTTAAATTATCATCATTTGGATGTTGAACTACAGCCTATGTTATCCTTGAAAAGAACTTTTAAATGAACTTTTAAATATCTACTGTGTGGTAAAACAACCATCAACAGAAGTTTTGACAGGGCACATATTTCATATCAAAGTTATGTTTCTGTAACACATCTTCTCTGACAGTCAATTTCTTCCACTCATCAGATCCATCACAACAGTCACATATTCCATCATTAATACGAGAAGAGGGCAAGTAATGTTCTCCGCCAGCGCAGTAGAATCTGTAAAAGATAAAACTGTCAACTTAGTGGAGCAAACAGAAAAGAACTCACAGAAAACCATGGAAGTCAGAATGACAACCATGGACTTACATTTTCATGCTTCACTTAACCCTTTAACTCCCATGAGTGACCAAGACAGAATTTCTCCTTACAATATCCATACAATATCAACCAGATAAGTGATGAGAATAAAGAAAACTATCCTTGTGAGGATAATTAGTTGATCCAATACTAAATTCTCTAAACTGATATTGTAAGAATTGTGTGGTTGACAGGAAGGAGAATTACAAATTTGATCTGGGAGTTAAAGGGTTAAGAGACTGTCAGAGTAAAATCAATGGTGGACACACTGGGTTCCAGATCTTTGATTAGAGTTATCAGTGTTGTGTACTGTTAGTTTGGTTAAAAAGGTTTACTTCCACAGTGTTGCTCCACCCAAGAGTATAAATGGGTACCAGTTAACTGACAGGGATAATAGATGCAAAGCTGAGGAGGGCCAACTGTAATGAACTTACTCTCCATCCAAAGGCAGCCCCAACCTCAATCCCAGGGTCTCTCATCTTCCCTTCCTCTTCCTTGTTCAAAAGGAAGGAAAGTGGAGAGACCCTGATAATGAGGTTGTAGTACCCTCACATGAAATTACTTCTTGCTACATAAAACCCAAGGATATCCTTAGCTTGGACACTACTACTTTCTATCTAATCCTTTACAATCTAACATCAATATGCATATTCTCCATAATGTTCTCTATAGATTTCCTGTGATGCCAAAGAGGAGAATTTGTTGAACAGAATCATCACCTTCTTCAGTTTGTGATCATTTCCTTTATTCTCATGACCCTAATGTTTTATTCAAGAATGGTATTCAAAGGAGATATTAGATACTCTGGGATTGAAGGAGGGGGGGGGGAGAGGAAGGGAGGGGCATTGGGGTTTGCGGTATTGGACTTTTTTCTTGCAGTATTTTGCTAATTTTAATATTGTATAATTTGTGGTATAGCAGTATTCTCTGGATGTGCAAGATACATTTCTTTAGCATTTTCTCCTTCAAGTCCTCCACCCTTTTCTGAGCCTTTTCCAGTTTCCAATTGTTTCACAAACAAGCTGAAATTGGCAATAACCCAACACACTGTTCATCAAAAAAATCCCTACTTGTTCTTTCTGTTTTTTTTCTCAGTCTAAACATAACATATAGAGTAGTGATTTTGATGGGTGAAATTGAATTTCAGGTAGTTATTGAAGTATTGTGGTATTTGCCAAATCTTTTGCAGTTGTATTGCATTCAGAACCACCACTGTCCACCTCTCGAAGAGTTGAAGACATCATTGACACTTCCAATATTTTTCCATCTCAGCTCGCACAACAGAGAGTGCTTTTTCCGCATTTTTCAGGAAAGCGGAGGCAATTTTAAGGGTAGAGTGTAAGGTGAGCAGAAAGGGCATATCATTTCTACCTCTCCCCTTATGCCTAACTGCAAAAAAGGTGGCCTGTTCTGCAGCTACCTCTATCTGATCAATTTTGCTATAATTTAGCTTATCTCTGGCTTGGTGTGTTCACCTTGTATTTGGACATGCTCCTGTGCCTGGTTCATCACTACCATCTGGACAATCACAGTAATCATCGTTAACAGATGTCCAACTGATGCTCAGTTCTCCAGACAAACATGCAAAGAGGCCCATTAAGTTAGGCTTATAACTTGATAAATTTGAGGGTGCCACCCCAAGGATACCTAAAATAAAGAAAAACAACAACCATTCATTTTCTTTAAAAACTCTTTTGAGAGAAATATTAATCTCAAAACAAAAGGAGAGAGAAGGAATCAGAAATTACTGCTTCATACAGCTAACTATTCTAACAGAGAGGTAAAAGGTCTGTACATGATGTGTGTTTTCATGCTTCTACTGGAAACCAGCTTTTTATAATGTTGATAATAGGCTAGCCTGTTTAAATAAAGTTGATCTCAATCTTGATCTTGTTTAACCCTTTAACTCCCAAGATCTGATTGTTAATTCTCTACTCTTGCTGCAACACAATTCCTTGAAAATGAGTTATGAGAATTTGGTGTAAGATCAAGATAAAAACTTCTTCCCAATAAGTTTTAGTTTTCTCATTAACTGTTTGCTAGAAAACATATGGATATCAAAGGGAGAAGTTACATGTTGGTCACTTCTGGGAATTATAGAGTTACTGGGTAAGCCCAAAATAAAAATGTCAGGAGGAGGGACTTGTAAATGAAGGGGGTGGGGATGCATACTTATTATCTTTTCCAGTGTAAAAAAATCAAATATTCCACACCAGAGTTCAAAATTAAACACATGTAATAAAAGCTTTGTCATTCTATTTCACTGATAAAAGTCTCCTGAAAATTTGGCAAAAAGTATCAATCCAACAGTTTCCTCAAAAGTGCTTTCTAAACTTTTTCCTTATCACAGGGAAGTTCCCAGAATAGGAAAAAAGATCAAAGATTTCCCAGGAATTCCTAAGGATCAAGGAGTCACAAGTCAAGAGAGTTCTCAAAACTGAATCATACACGCATTACGAGTGGTCCTTAATTATGGTCTATTGAAGGACAGATGCCTAAATGAGATCACCATTAACAATATTTTGCTTTGCTATCATATAAAAGAAATAGATTCCATGTTGCCGATTGCCTGAACAGTAACAGGTCACAGAAGACGTCAAAAGTGTCGTAAGCACATCAGCGACAAACTCTGCCTCACCTCGTGTACCACGTTTTTGTTCTTATTACATTTTTGACATCATCTGTAATGTGCTACCGAACAGATACAGAGCAACACAGAAATACAGCTTTTGGAATTCAAGGCTATTGCCCTGTTTTTTGAACTCTTGTTCGTATTTTTGGAAATCACCTGCACTATTAAGTCACGCGATAACCAGCTCCAACTTTAAGAAATTAGTTAATTAGAGTAACTAATTTGTTTCCACGAAAAGCAGTTGACTCTTAAAAAGGGGAATATATATAGTAACATAATTTATAAATATCTTAGTTAACGGCGTAAAATCTGTCAGTATATATATATATGTATATATTTATATATACATATTTATATACTGGATCAGTGACTTAAAATCTCACAGTTTATGGACTGCGGTAATCCCAAATTACGCCGTTATCAAGTTACCGCTTAAAAGGAATTCGAAAGTGACCAGAATATTAGAGGCAAAAATATGATATGACACATATTGGACTGACATCACTGCGCTAAAAAAGCATACAATTCCATCTTCACCTTTCTTTCTGCAGTGGGCGGATGTTTGCAAGCCACTTTCCGGTGAGCAGTTTTGCTGGGTCATCTTCCCGCTCAGCTGATCATGACTTCCAAGCTTATTGTCTTTAGCATGTGTCACTCTTTCTTCGTGACCTTTTTCAACAAGAATTTTGTATGATCTCCAGTGTGTAAAAAGAAAAAGAGCTATTATAAGGCCGAAGCTGATAAAAATATAAGACTTCCTCGATCTCACAAATCTCATTTGACCAATATTTTAACTTGCATCCTGCTCACAGCTTCCCCAAGTCAATTGTTCTAATGTCTCCGAAGGCATGGGAACTAGTGGAAAGGGAAACGTGTGACGTCAGTCTTCACTTGAGTGGTCACATGATCTGGAGCAAAACAATTCAAGATCGGTCGAGGAAAGATCCGGATAAGACAACCGTTTATTTTGCCGTTGGCGATTGAGAAGTCTATTTGCCTCCCTTGTTGTTCCTACCTCTTGATAGAATTCGTTATATTCTCTCAACAGCAGTTTCGTGTCAGTCTTAGGTTAAGTATTATTCAGCTCTCACGTATTCGCCTGGAAACGGCTAGACTGTTCTAAGTTGCAAGGTTGAACAGCATTCAAATTCAGCTTTGTTGTTTAAAACGGAAATGCGACCGAAGTAAAGGTTTTACTCAGCAAGAATACATTTGAAGGGAATTTCCAATCTTCGAAACTTGAGTTTCTTTTAAGAAAAATTAACAACAGATACTTCTTTCTCGTGTCAATTTCGCGTTCGTGCGCTTGAACTCGGTCGAGCTATAAGGCGTTGTAAAGTGGAATGTTTGACATCTAATTTTGAAATTTGACGCAGGAGATCGTGTAACCAGGAAAGGTAAGGAAGATTATTCGTCATAAGTTTTTCCTTTGAGTTACCGATTAAGTAGCTATTCATTTTCATGAAATTATTCTGCTGTGATAGGAAGACACACTTCGAAACTTTGGCAGATATCTAGTAGAGGTTTAAATTGTTTGGGTAACACTGCCGTCGCAAACGGAAGATTCTGGAGAAAAAAACGAGGTGAAAGATCTGTCGTAGTCTCTTAGTAATTTTATTTCTGTGTTTCGGCAGATCATCGGATGCTGGGGTAAAGTTAGTAGTAAGGCCTATCAATTGAATCCGCGAACATGATAAATTATTTGATGTTATTCAGTATTATTACGGACCTATGAAAAGGAAAATTTACATGTGAAGCTAAATTCGTCTTTTTAACGCGTAATGGTTTACAAGATTGTGCCACTTTTGTCGTCGGCACCATATTTTTAGACTGTTGAGTGCTCTAAGTGTATAAATTGAAGCTCGTGCCCTGAGATGGGGAGGAAAATCGCACGAATATGCAATACGTGACAGATTTGATTCAATGAAGTAACGTTGATAATTGTGTTTTGTGTTTAGTTTGAACGGGGGATTTAATTAAATTCATGGCGAAAGACAGTGGTACTGATGTGGAAAGAAGCAAAGGAACTGTTATGAACGAGCCGTCTTCGAAACAAAATGGAAACGACGATCGGAGATTTTCACTCAGACGGTTGTTTGGACGATCAAAGACGTACAAAGGCGAGAACACGACGGATAAATTCACTCGAAAAAACAGCACTGAGGCACTGGCTATTTGTCCAGTTTGTTATGCAATGAGAGCGAAATCTTTGTTCCCAGAAATCTCAACTTGTGAACATCGATCGTGTTTTGAGTGCTTGCGGCAGTATATGACAATCGAAATAAATGAATCGCGAGTGAACTTAACATGTCCTGAGTGTTCAGAAAGATTTCATCCGAATGATATAAAACTGATTTTAAATGATGATGTCCTTATGGCCAAATATGACGAGTTTACTCTTCGAAGGACATTAGTTGCTGATCCTGATTGTCGTTGGTGTCCCGCTCCGGACTGTGGCTTTGCAGTCATAGCATCGGGATGTGCAAGCTGCCCGAAACTGCAGTGTGAAAGACCAGGATGTAACACTGAGTTCTGTTATCACTGCAAGCAAATATGGCATCCTAATTTGACTTGTGATGCAGCACGACTTCGGCGAGCTACTCACATCAAATCCATTTCTGGATCTGAAGGACGAAGCTCAAATGGCTCAGATGACATGAAGCCATGTCCGAGATGTGGAGCTTTTATTATCAAGATGGATGATGGTTCATGTAATCATATGACTTGTGCAGTGTGTGGAGCAGAGTTTTGTTGGTTATGTATGAAAGAAATCTCAGATCTTCATTACTTGAGGTATCTCATTTTCATTTTATTTTTAGAATTTGATTCATGTACCTTAATGGTACCACTGCGGACTCTATTTTACTGTAGCTTTGTTTCTCCTGCGACAGACCTTCCCTAGCCAGTTACCTTGGGATTTTCCCATTTTCTATGCAGTAATCTAAGGTTATCTTACTAATGAGGCACTGTAAAGTAATCCTGTTGTACTGGAAGTTGTTTAGAAAGATGTGTAAAGGTACTGATGTAAAAATACCTTCACTAGCTTTGGCATTTGTGAAAATCAAACTTGAACATCATATTCTTATAATTGTATGTGTGGGAGATGTGGAGTTTAATTTAGCACTGTGGGGTGGAAGTCAAGAAGTTCAGGAGCAAGCCTGGGCTGAACCACAGCATAATTCTGCCTTGGAGTATTTCATACTTATTGACTGGGTGGGTGGGCCGGATGGGAAAAATATTGGCCCCAGTTTATGATGTATGGACAAAGTGCATTGCAGGCCATGCATCATGACCAAGAGCCAAATATTTTTCTGCTCAGCTCAACCAATCTAAGTCAACAAGCACTAAGGGCTGTAAATTTTGTTTCAACCTGAATAGGACATACTTGCATACAAACGAAGTTTGCATGCTTGACAACTTCTGAAAAGATTCAAGTGGTAGAATCTTTGGAATCACTCCCAACCAAAAACAGTCAAAAGTTTTCCTTTTTTTTATGAGGTGATGTCTACAATTTCAGTCCATGTTGTCACAAAACACAAGAGCGGAATTGGACTCCACTCTTTCCTATACAATATAAAACTACTGTAAAGTGGAAGTCTGACTTATTAATCACATGTATGGTCATAGGCAGAATTGGATGATACAAAAAAATCTAATTAATTAAGATTTACAAAATTGTCAAATGACAAATTTCAAGAAACAAACTAGCTATTGGTTATACCTTTCCATGTAAAACAACAGTTAACTCTGCAAAATGCATGGAAAGAGCTTGGGCATGATGCACACTGTCCATTTACACAGGATTGATGCATATACTGTCTTCTTATACTGCCCAATTACAAGCAAGACACTCGCTTTGCCCTTTTAGTGTTAAAGTAGGGTTGGTATTAACCAATCACATTCAATAATTTTGTTTTGATTGTGATCAAATCTAGTATGAATCATTTGGAAAAAATCTTGTTTTCTCTCTCTAGTCCTTCTGGTTGTACCTTTTGGGGTAAAAAGCCTTGGAGTCGCAAGAAGAAAATCCTCTGGCAAATGGGAACACTCATAGGTGCACCTCTTGGAATAGCTCTTGCTGCAGGGGTGGTACTTCCTGCCATGGTGATTGGTATTCCTGTGTATGTTGGCCGACAGGTAAGAGCCTTCTATTGACTATCAGAGTCACTGTAAGGAATTTGTCTTTCACTGTTAAGTTCTGTGTACATATATACACAATCCACCTCATTTTAACTGAAATACCTCAGATCACGAGAAAGCAAGGGGAATGATTATCACTGAGTTGGTTCTCTTATTTGAGGAGGAATGTTTTGTGTTGGGTTGATGAAAAATGATCTGAGTTAGAACTTTTTCCTTGACAAGGCAGGAAAATGCCAGAAGAAGGAATGAAGAGAAATTTGCTCACCATATTTTTTTCTTGGCTTTAAGGCACTGTTTTGAATTATCTTATCACAAAAAGCTATAAAGAAATCTTTTGGTTTCTTTGTCTTGCGCTGAAGCTTAGATTAAGGGGAAAAATGCTATTTTCCAGGTAAATTGCTCAACCAGAAGCAGTTGGTTTTTATGTGATGCAAGCGTAAACTTCTTAAATTTTTACTTCTGAGGATTCTTTAAGTTGGCCTAAATGACATGTACATTCTACCTTAACTCTTAGAAGTGATTTATATCTAACTTATTCTTTTAATGTCGATATATAATCCAGCAAACAGGTTTTGAGAGTACTCAAACTTATCAGGTAGAACTTGCTATCTTGACCTAACACCAAATTCTCATTAGGAAATGTGTAGCAGTCATAAGTGAGAATTAACAATCAGATCTTGGGAAGTTAAGGGTTACATTGTTTTATACAGGTGCATGACAAGTACGACAAGCCATATCAGTCGAGAAGGAAGCGGAACTTTGCCATCACCGGGGCAGTCACCCTTTCTGTCCTTGCATCCCCCATCCTAGCTGCACTTACTGTGGGTGTTGGGGTACCAATTGCTCTTGGGTATATCTATGGTGTAGTGCCAGTTTCTCTGTGCCGCAGTGGAGGCTGTGCAACAGTAACAAATATTCGCAATGGCAAGGGAGTGAACCTTGATTTTGACGAAGATGGAGACCCTGGGCCAGCCAGTGTCGCTGGGGTGTTTGGTACATCACAATCTAGCAGCAGAAGCAGCATGAGAGTTGGCGAAAAGGGGTCTTCAACAGGGGTGGTGACAGTTGTGGCCACTGTCAACAACACAGGAACAGGTAATCAAATGCTAATTGTCTTATTACAATGCTTGACAAATTTATATTAGCACAATATAAAGTGATCTACAGAGTGACTTCGTCTTGAAGCAAATGAGGATACTATAACCTTTCACTCCTAACCAATATCCAAATACTAATTTTACTCAGCATCTGTCAAACTTACACTACAACCATAGCCCTGAGAATTTGATGTAAACTCGAACAAAATCTCTCAGTTGATGTTTTTGTTCTTCTCGTTACCCCTCTGCTTGAAAATGTATTGATACTGTGAGGAGAAATTACTTTCTGGTCACTCAGGAGAAGTATAGGGTTAAGTCTCACTTAAGAGCCCTGTTAAAATGAATTGGCAAAGTGAATTAAAAAAATAGCAAGATACTAAGGGGGTTAAGTCATGTGAGAGTTAATTAAAGAATTTTAAGATGTCTTTTAAGGGAATGCAACCCTTCAACTCTCAAAAGTGATCAACATGTAACTTCCCCTTGTAACAGCTGAACATTATCCAGCAAACAAGTCATGAGAATACTCAAACTTGTCAGATAGAAGTTGTTATCTTGATCTAACACCAAATTCTCATTACTTATTTACAAGGAAATATGTCACAGCTAGAGGGGAGAATTAACAATCAGATCTTGTGGTTCAGAATTAGGGTTAGGGTTACAATTAGTCCAATTGTGGGAGCAGTGTGCTTTTACCACTGTACTATGCTGACTTAGTATCATCCCCTTTAGACACAGAAAGCGGCAAGCAACCCAGTATCAGCATGAGTCAGGACTGTTCCAGCTTAGACAGTGGTACAATTGGCCCAAGGGGTGTTGGTGACGGTGACAGCCATGCATCCCTCATCCCTGGCCCTAGAAGCTGCACTGTGAGCATAGCTAGCAGCTTTGACAATTTTAACATCAATTCTTGTGATGGAATAGGAACATCTTCATCTATTGCAGAGGCTATGGTACTGGAAACTGATGTTGTAGATAGAACATCTGTGACTAACATCTCTCACCAAGGAAGCACAGTGGATAAGGACAGTTTATCGGTCCTGGAAAGTGTTGGTAGCAATGAAGACGATTAATTTCTTGTACCATGTGAGTTTAGGAAATAGTTTTTAATGTCTAATTTATTTTTTGTCTATTAATTAATTAACTTGTAAAAATATTCACCAAGCTCAGTAGGATTCTTGTAGAAAGATAAATCAGAAATCAAAATGTTAATATTTTTTCATAATTAATTTCAAGCATTTCTATGGTTTTTTTTGCTCTCCTTGTAAATCTCGCAAAGTGAAATCCTTAGATTTTTTAAGTATTGTAGAAGTGATAAGAGACCTTAAACAAACTTATGTGGTGATGGCAATGAGGACATGGCAAAACAAAAGATCTAATGGAAAGAACAATAGCTCATCTTGTGAGTATTTGAACTTTGTACTTTTCTTAGCCATCCTCTGCAAAAAAAAAAAAAAAGACAATGTGAAATCACTTAAATTTGCATGGCTTGAGAACAGAAACCCAGACAGCAAATTAATTAAGTTTCCATTTGGAACCAAACACTGCTGCCAGTGTTATGCTGCAGTTCAGTTATGTTGCCACAAGAGATGGTAAACACATCCAGCCATTTGCAGCTAACAGTAATAGTACCAACTTGCAGCTATTTGCAAAATTCTAACTAAAAATAGAGATTCATGTGTTAATAAAAATCTTCCCCAGTGTTTTTGTCTTAAATGCTTAAAAAAGGTCCCTAATATTACCACTTTGCTTGACATGCTAGTCAAAAAAAATAAGTATAAGTGGTTTTTGTTGGGCTGATTAAGTTTTTTCAGGAAATTGAAACCTTTGCAGAAAGTTAAAGGACATGTTTTACTGCAAAATCACAATGACAGTGATGAGCTGTTCAATTTCCATACTAGTTTTTTTAATTATTAGCAACTTTGTGTATAGTTTCCTTTTGCCCTTTCATAGCCTTTTCTTTTCTTTCCTAGGAGAACTTATTTTTTATTTTCCTGCATTGTACATAGTATTTGTTCACCCTGTACAAAATTCATTAATGTTTCAAGTTTTTTTTTCTTTTTTTTTTTCAATCAAGAGCTCTGAATTTCATTAATTTCTACAAAGAATTGACTTTCTGACTTAATTTTTAAGGTCTGTTGTTATTCTCGAGTTTGCTGATGGAATCAGAAGTTTCAAATTTTGGTACTATGACAATCTTGAGTTTACCAATGGAATCAGAAGTTTTAAATTTAGATACTATTGCAATTTTCTTAACCCTGTGACCCAAATGAGTGACTAGGATCTAATTTCTCCAAACAATATCACCCCTGAATCACACATTAAGGTCATGAGAGTAAAGGAAAAGATCACCAACAAAAAAAAGTCTTTTACTGTGAAATAAATTCTCCTTGTCAGCACCCTAGGAAATGTGTAGAGAACAGTATGGAGGATATGCATTCTGATGTGAGGGTGTAAAGTGTTTAGGTTTTTAATTGTCCAGGGGTAGATCTAAAGCAGATGCAGATGTAGTATCTTTTATGTTTTTGGCAACCAAGTATCCTGATCACCACAAGCAGATTAGGGTCCTGATGGATTCTATAATTACTATAGGGAGTGTAGCATGGTTTGCAGTGAAGTTACAGTGATCACAACAACATTCTTCCATATGTTTGTAGAGGAAATAGAGTGAAAACAAGCAGGCAATTTTATAATTTCACTTTAACTTTTTCATTGGTTGGGTTACTTGGCCTGAAGCGGTCAAACAATATGGATAAATTAGATAGGGTAGGGAATGGTGAGATCTTAGACTAATGCAATGCTAAGATTCTTCTTTAAAAATCACACACCAAGACTAAACATATGTAGCTTTTGATCTTGTTATGAGTGTTGTTTACTTCAATGAGCAGAATGCATTATTATTGACCAGAAAATGTTGCGTTAGAATTGTAATACTCTCGTTTGTGTTGCTTCTGGGAAATATCAGTTGAGCTATGAGCAATCCGTCCTTTTCAGTAAAGTTCATCATGTCCAAAAAAATCATAAAAAAAAACTGATGTAGTGCACCATATGAAGGACTCTGCTGAAAGGCAGGAACTGCCTGTAGTTCAGGTATCAGCCATTTTATTGCAGTATGTTCAAATGACAAGACTCAAGACTGAAAAAAGACGAAGAAGTCTTGATTTGACGAAAAGTTTGCAAGACCTATAGGTTTTTGAGGTACCATTCTATAATTAACGATAAGGGATGACCTTATTTTATGTAACTACTAGTATTTATTGATATTCCAGACTTTCATTATACTGAGATGTATGTAAATATGACACACTTTCTTGTAAATACATTTACTGTAACTGTTGTCAAATTATTATAAGTAATGCTAATCACAATTTTAAGTTAAATAAAAACCAATTTTTTCGTATCAGGTGTGACAGAAGCTTTTTTATGCTTTGAATTATAGATTTACAAGTTCACATATATTTTTTTTTCTCTTGGGAATGGCTTACAATACAGGAAAAAAGTTTGAAAATAGTCAGAAAATGAAATTTGTGTTTATAAAATGGATTCCATGTGGTTATGAGTCTAGCCTAAAATATTACAGGAGACTTTCAAATGTGGTAAGGGCATTAGTGATAGTCTGCTGTTCCTTGTGTGTGACTTTTTTTGGTCTTACCACATTTTGATGTTATCTGTAATCTTATTACTGAACAAATGCATGGCAACATGTACATGAAAGCAGTTTGTTAATTAGATGGCGAGTAGCGTCACCAATTATTATTGCCCTTCTCTTCAACGTCTGTTAACTTAGATTTTTATCAATCAGAGGAGGACACACCAGAAATTTATCTGTGCTCATGGACTATCTGATACTGCATCTCCGTTAGAAAATGTCATACCTGCTATTAAATGCCTACCTAGCTAATTGAAACGCTCCCGCCATTGAGAAGGAAAACAACTGGTATTAGAACGAGTAATTTATCAGCTGTGCCCTCGTCACGAAAGTGAGGCCAGATCAAACTAACTCGCACGTGGTCCTGGGTATAGCTTGATCTGGGACGATTCATTTTCGCTTACACCAAACGCTAGTGAATTTCTGATAAACACAGGTGAATTTTTGGTTGTAAATCACTGAGATTGTTCATCGAAAGCGTTTCGTCTGTTCGAGGGAAAGAATTTCCAACGATGTCAAATAGGAAGCGAAAGCAGAGGCCACCTGAGAGGTTCAGTGAAGACAAGCGAGCAGAATTGACCTGGAACATGCTTGATTTCCATTTGCCGGCTTCAGGCTCCACTTACCAGACCACGATGAATTTTATTGATTCCTCTTCAGTCAATGATGAAACTAACACTCCAACAGCTTCGAGTCCTCGGAAGAAGAAGAGACAAAAGGCATTTGATCGTAACAGAAGCATCGAGCTCAATCTGGAAAACTCTTACCCGCAAACCTGTGTATGTCAGTTAGGTTTGTTTAACATCAATTTGTGCACGAGTGAAACGCAACGTGATGAATTGAAATCACAGAATGGAACTGGTATCTCTGATGACTTGTGGACTGTGGATTGTTATCACTGCGTCGTGATAAAACTTTCCTTTGAGCCACAGCATTCAATAACAGATGACAAGAACTTGTTTGAGTTAAATAATGGCTGCTTGAGACATGCCTCTTTTAAAGCAACAGTTCCTTCCGTTTCCACACATCAACTCGAAGCATTAGTTTACCTGCAAAACAAAGGTGTGATTTCCCTAGTGCTGAAACCAGAGCAACATATTTTAAAAGAAAGCTGGGAAGTTGTTGTGTGTTTGAAGGAGAATGGCTTAACCGAGATGTCTTCTGCATGCGCTGATGTCAAAAATAGGAAAATAGACCAGTTAATGAAAGTGTTAATAGAATGGTTTTATAACATATCTGCAAGAGGCGATGACTCTATTTTGCTGGACTGCAATAATGCAGGAGTAGACAAAGGTTTTGATGAACTTTACAATGCTATCAAGGCAGTTCGCGAAAGCAATTGCTCGTCCACGTCTCTACCAAGGTCTTCTCTCTCAAATACACCCCTTTGCCATGTACTTGATATAGACAAAGATAACAGTTGTACCTGTAATGCAGAAATCAACAGATGTAATGGAGCAAATGATTTTGATGCACAGCATCCTCATCTCAGACCTGTGCTAAGAGGTTATCAAAGAAGGGCTGTTGAATGGATGTTACAGAGAGAACTTGCTCATCAAGTGACATCTGGATGTCAAAGGAAAGAAATTGATGGTAAGTAGAATATTACCTTAGCCCTTCCAATCCCAAGATCTAATTCTCCTTACTGTCTACCATACAATTCATATGATGTTAGTTTAGAGAATTTTGTATTGGATCAACTAATCCCATAATTAATATTTTTCCTTATTCTCATCACCTACTTGCTTGATATTGTATTGATATGGTAAGGAGAAATTCTGTCTTGGTCACTTGTGGGAGTGAAAGGTTTAAGGAGTCTTTGTTTTGCTAAATACATGTTTATTACTCAGAACTATGGAATTCTTTGGTCACTTTTGGTGCTAGTTGGTATGAAATTAATAAGTGACAGAGCAAGTCTGTACCAGAGCTAAGTGGCCCATCCAGCCAGTGCTTTTTCTGGTTTTTAACCCTTTAACTCCCAGTTCAAAAGGTTATCCCTCCCAGCATTTCATTCCCTGACAGTTTACCAGTTTCCATTTATACTCCTGGGTGGAGAGAGAGACACACTGACCCAGCCAGGTCCTTAAGCTGGACCTCTCAACCTGGTGTCCTGCGCACTGATCACTCAGTCACCACATCTCCCACAAAATGTGATACACTTTAGAGTTAAAAAGTAAAAAAAAAAAAATCATGAATTTGTTTCTTTTTCATATACTTGCAGCTCATAGTCTTCACCCATTATGGCAGAAAATTCACAGTTTGGATGGAAAGATGATTTACTACAGTCCTTATACTGGAAGGTACATGAATGGCAGTTATGATAAATGAACATAAAGTGGGCTATGTGACCCATTTTTTTCACCCCAATACCTTAAACTTATCATCTGTAAGCTAGAAAGCAAATGGGAAAGAAAGGGGAGGGGAGGGTGAGAAGGTTGGACATCATAGAGTTATATGTCATGTCCCCCTTCCCCCTGAGCAGAAAGCTGATGAGAGGGAGAGGGGAGGGGAGAGTGAGAAGGTTGCACATCATAGTGAACCATATGTAAGGCCCCCTCCCCTCTTCCCCCTCCCCCCCTAAGATCAATACCCTTACCCTTCTTTATTTACTATCTCTGCCCTCCCCCCTCCTTCTTAGGCCAGAGAATGTTTCTGTACACAACATGATGTTCTAGGCTGGCAATGAACACACTGTGTATTTTAAAATCATTTTGTTTAAGCATCAAAGAGCTGCACTTTCTACAGTTTAACCCTTTCACTCGAAAACCTGGATGAAAATTCTCCTCACTGTCTGCTATACATTTCATAAAAAGTTTGTTCTGAGAATTTGTTGTTGGATCAAATGATAATCTTGTAGTTATTTTTTCTTTTCTTGCTATTCTCTTGATATTGTATTGCATTTGTAAGGAGAAACTATGTCTTGGTCACTCGTTGGAGTCAAAGGTTTAATAAATGATTTGTGGATGTTTCATCCTGAGCAATTTCTTTATATCAATTAATTTAGAATTACAAAAGAAAGATTCTGCCAGCCATTCCTGCCTCCTGGAGGAATTTTAGCTGATGAAATGGGTCTTGGAAAGACTGTGGAGGTGATTGCATGTATTTTGTGTCATTCAAAGCCTTTATCAGAGGTCAAGTCAATTGATTACACATTAACAGCTTCTGAACCACACACAGACACATCGAGTACATGTAACAGCATGATACCAGAAGGCTCTAAATCAAAACTTGCGGAGTGTGAAAATAATGACTGTGATGAAGCTGTTACAGGCCATAGCTCAAACAAGGAGCCAACTTTGTGTGAGAATTCACCACCTTTATGCAGTGGTGATATTGCCAGAGAAATGAAGGGAACCACAGAAAAAGGTGACAGTTCAAGTTATGACTCAGGTCACAGCACAACATCATCTAATGAAGATTCAAATGAGCTTGCTCTTGGTACAGATGGACAAATAATGGCTAAGACAAATTCAGATATTTATACATCAGATGCAGAAAGTGCCACACAGTTTATGAAATGCCAGTGTATCTGTGGTGTAAATTTGGCCAGTGTTGATGACAAATTGCTGCAGTGTTGTGAATGCCAAGCAGTGTTTCATGCTACATGCCTTGGTTATGATTATCCTGGTGGCTTTTTATGCCCTCATTGTTCCGTAAGTAGACCAGCCACTCCATCCAGAGCAACACTGATCATTTCTCCTGCTCCAATTGCCCAACAATGGGTGGAGGAAATCTCCAAGCATACACAACCATCCACAGTTAAATTGCTGGTAAGAAAGTGTGCAGTCTTTTTTGGGATGGTTTTCTTACTTTTTTTTTTTTTCACCCTTTGACTCCCAAGAACAACTTCTATGTGGTAAGTTTGAGTATTAATTCTCATTACCTGTTTGCTGGATAATGTATGGATCTTATCAGGAGAAGTTACATGATAATCATTTCTTGAAGTTAAAGGGTTGAAATTCATTGAGGTATCTGATGAGTCTCTCAACCAAGACAAAATGTTCATGAACAGTGGGCCTTATTCTCACTACTGATTAAATAGTGTTCATTACTGCAAAGATCGCTTTCATGTCTCAAACCACGGTTCACAAGTATGATTTTCATGTTTTCACTGTTATAGATTCATCACTTCACAAATTTATTACAAACCAACATAATGACCAGCTCCCAGTTGGCTTGTTAGCTCAGTTGGTAGAGTAATGCATCTGTATCGCAGAGGTCATGGGTTCAAATCCTGTACAGGCCTGAATTTTTTAAGTAGTGTTCATAACTGCAAAGCTCACTTTCATATTCATGAAATGTTTAGTTATACCAGCTCAGGCACAAACTATATTTCACAGGTCTTTCTTAACTTAGCAGTCATGACATATGATAAGGAGTAGGAAAAGGTATCAACTGTGTTTCTGGACATGGGGGTCTTTTTTAGGGCTGTGTTAGTGGTCTAGACTAACCATTTTTTTTGGCACTAGGCCATATTTCTACACACAGGTCTTTTCTCCTCTCCCCCACTCCCCAACCCCAACCCCAACCCTTACCCTAACTGCCCCCCGCCTCTTTCCACTGCGGCTTATGTATCATTAGTTACCTTCCTTCAGTTATAGATGCATAGGTAAGCACATTTGTAATCAAAGTTTGAAAGACTGGTCTACCTAGACTCCTAATACCTACCTGCAGGTAGGGTTGATAAAAAAATCAAACTTGACACTAAATAAAGATGGTTGTTTTTGCATTTTCTCAGGTTTATGAAGGTGTGGCCAAGATGGGTTTTATTCCCCCTCAAGTTCTTGCAGATCATGATGTAATCTTAACAACATATTCAACTCTGAGATCAGATTTTTATCACTTAGGATCTAAGCATGGTCAGTGAAAAACAAGCTGTAGTTTTCAAAAATTTTTTAAATGAACTGTCTTGGTTTGGTCACAACTTTTTTCAAGTTTACCTTTAAGTGTTCATTTTTCAGGAACTGGTGGGCGGTCTATGCGATACGAGAAACGGTATGTGGCATTACCAAGCCCTCTCACGGCTGTCGTGTTTTGGCGGATTTGTCTTGATGAAGCTCAAATGGTGGAGAGCACAACGGCTAAGGTTTGGTGTTAACTCCTCACTCCTAAGATCTCTTTAGTAATTCTCCTTACTGTCTGCCATACATTATTCTTATGATGATGGTTCAGAATTTGGTTTGGATCAACTGATAATGCATTGATCAATACAAACTCTTCTTGCACACTTGATCACACATCCACACACAAGCTCTCTTGGTCACATGAACCAAGTTCCTGCATTGCAGATACCATGCAAACACTACTGACAGTTCCCTTGTGGACAATTCCTATGATCTCATTTTTTTAAAACCATACATCTTTAATTTTTTCTCAGTGTCTTAAAAATTCTTTATTTGTGACAGCTCCTTTAAACCTTTTTGCAGAAAGTGCAATGTGTTGTTTTTGACAAAGTTGAATTATTGATTTTGTAGGCAGCTGAAGTGGCTTTATGTTTACACAGTGTACACAAGTGGTGTGTCACAGGAACACCAATACAGAAAGGACTTGAAGGTGATGCTGGGTTGTGTGTATGTCTTTAACCCTTTACACCCTAACATCAGTAGGTATATTCTCCGTACTGTTCTCTGTATATTTCCTTAGGCACTGGCAAGGAGAATTTGTTCAACCATCAAGGGCTTCTTTAGTTGGTGATCATTTCCTTTATTCAAGATTGTGACCCTACTAATTGATCCAGAGGTGATATTGTAAGGAGAAGTTAGAAGCTAATCAAAGGGTTAATGATCAGCAATTAGTGGGGGAAAAGTTGGCTTAGGGTTAAAAAATTTTCGACTAAATTGATTGGCCTGGCCAGAATAATGTTTTGTGTTCTTCACAGAGTGCTTCTCTCCAGTTAGGAGTATAAAAGGGTTCCAGTGAATTGGAAAGCCTGATGAAATGCAGGGGGGTAACCTTGCAATGGACTGGCATCCCATCTAGGGGGGAGAAGTGGTAATCTTAGTTGCTTTATGTTAAGGAAACCAGGATAAGCTTAGGCTGGGTGGACCACCTGGGTTGAGTAAAAACTTTGTCTTACTTGTGTTAAACATACAGCTCTGCTTGGGCTTTAGAGTTTTGAGTGAAAATGAAGAAGCCAGAATTTTAAACCCAGGCTTCCTACAGAGTAAAATAAAGGGGTAAGTTTCTAAAGAAATCATTGGTGGGAGAGTCTAACAGAGTAATTTAGTATTATCAACTGAGTTGATAGAGTAATTTGGCTATGGTAAAGAGTTTCAAAGCTGATGTTTTGAGGGTTAGTCCTTTGTCAACGAGAATGGCAAAGGGCTAACACTTGAGACATCAGCTTTGAAACTCTTTACAGTGGCCAGTTTATGTTTTAAACTCAACTCAGTTGATAATACTGAATTCCTTTCTACAGAGTGCCTGAGTTATGAAAGATGCTCTTTCATTTTATGTAGATATTTATGGTCTGCTGTTGTTTCTTGGGGTGGATCCTTACTGTCATCAAAAATGGTGGAAGAGCTTACTGTTTGAGCCATACAGGAATGGAGATAAACAGCCTCTGTATGAGCTTTTAGCCAAGATCTTGTGGCGAAGTGTAAAGAAGGATGTTGTCCATGAGGTGCTGTTTAATAAAGTTTTTGTTTGTGTCATCTAGAGAAAGAGAGGTGCTAATGCAATTAAATTCTTCACTTTTTCACCAAATCCTGAAATGAGTCCCCAAATTGACAACTAGGTTACTTTATTACACCTCACCTAGGGATACCAGTATATAATGAAAATTACGGTTTGTAAAGATAAATCTGAGGCAAACTTCCTCTCAATAAGTTTTCAAAAAAGCAGCACATGCATGAAGTCTACCACCAGATGCCATCTTGTTTCCTGAACAAAGTTTGGAGTGACTCTAAACTTTGTTCATGTTTTTTTTTATTAAGTAAACCAAGAAATATTTTTAAGATGAGCACACTTTATCTTTAAGTTAAGTCACTGTAGTAACATGCAATCCTGTTGTTAGAATAATTTTGGTTTCAGACAGGTTGTAGGTGAAATACCTACAGGTGTGTTGGGGGTGGGCTGGAAGGTCCAGTCCCTTTGAACTCTTACCCCTGGATCTACCCCTGCTGAAGTCTGGAGGCTCACACCACACTGTTTACACCTTCTTTCATAGATTCAACTACCAGAGCAGGATGAGAAAGTAAAATGGCTGACATTTTCCCCTGTAGAGCAACATTTCTATCATCGTCAGCATGAAGAATGTGCAAACACTGCAATGAAGGTTTTTATTTTACAACATTTTTGTGTGCTGCTCTATCCTTTAGTAATAGTTTAGCCACCTCTTTCAGCAAGATAAAAAATCAGTAAAGATTTTGTAGAAGAAGAATGCTCCTGAAACCTTATAATTGTATAATAGTTGTTTTGATAATATTATCATTTTCACTACTGCTTAATTAGTGTTCATTATTGTAAAGATTGTTCTGATATCCATCCCTTAATCTGCAGTTCGCATTATGATTTTCATATGTTCACAATCATAGATTCATCACTTTACAGGTTTATTGCAAACCAACATTACAATAAAAAGCTTTTGATGTTTTTTTTTAACCTCTTAACTGCCATGAGTGACCAAAACAGACTTTCTCCTTACTATATCTATACAATATCATGCAGACAAGTGATGAGAATAGTGAAAAATATCAATTATGGGATTACTAATTGATCCAATACCAAATTCTTCAAACTAACATAATGAGAATCATTTGGCAGACTGTAAGGGGAATTGCTAATGAGATCTTGGGAGTTAAAGGATTAAAAAGGAACAGTAGCAGAAAATGTAAAAGTAACAAATACAAGAATATATTTTTGTAATAATCATGTTTCTTAGAAGATGTTAAACTCGAACAGTGTTTTTACTGAAATATAATAGAGGTGCTTATGGTATCAGAGTGGTTGTATAGGCCATTTTACAGTGGTGTACATGGCTGCCAAGCCTTTGATTTAGAGTGAGGCTGAAGGTGACCTTGTTGTGATAGAGACCAGTATCTACTTAGTTACCATGATAACAAAGTAATTTACATTAGAAAAGCAGCAAGGTTTGTATCATAACAAGGTCATCCTTAGCCTCCCTCCTGTTGAAAGGCTGGGCAACCTAACACACAACTGTAAAATAGACTATTATGCAATACAAGCACTTTTTTAGAATAGTGGGGCTCTTAATATTAACAAGAACAAAGTGGAGGGAGGCGCTTATTGGAGAGGGGTTACTTATTGGAACAAGGGTGCTAAATTGAATCATTACACCAACCAGCTTTCATTTACACTCCCTTTGGGAATGGATTACTACTGATTTCTTTGTCCTCTTTATCTCCAGATGCTGAGTCACTGGGAGAAAAGAGATACAATGCTGAGTGCTATTGACAGAAACACCGTGCATCAGGTACATACACTAAAAACTGTGTGAAGGGTAGTATGTAAGGTGGCTATTGCAAGGGTTCTAAGCCTGTGAATAAAAAAAAGGAGGACTTCCGTTACCAACTGGGCAAGCTCCATAAAAGGTCAATGCAGCTTTAAGCTGCAACACCATGCCCATTATTTTGAGATTCTGAAGAAATATATGAGGTTTTTTGTGAAGTTTTGGCAACTCATTGCATTACTTCACCTAAATAAGAGCAGTGAATAAAAGGGGGTAAGTTTCTAAAGAAACTGTGGTGCTGCATCAGTGGGAGAGTATAACAGGGTAATTTAGTATTATTGACTGAGTTAGTTATATAAATTGGCCACTGTAAAGAGTTTTACAGCTGATGTTTCAAGCGTTAGCCATTTGTGAGAGTGAATGGAGCTCTAGAGAAGAACAGGCAGAAGACAAGGGAGAAATTTCTATTATTTTATCACCACATCTCTCACTATTTCAGTTCTTATAGTGGAGCTTGCAGAGCATAGCCCCATAATTATACAAAATAGTAATAACCCATCAAGCTGAAAAAAATTGGTTGTATGACCGTACAACTGTACAAGGTGCTACTTTTAACATGCGTGGTCAACTGTACCGCGGGCACGCCAACACCACGGCTTTGTCCAGTAGTCCAGTGGTCAGTGCACTGGGCTCTGAGTCAGATGACTTGGGTTCTAGTCCTAGCCAGGGCAAGGCGTTGTGCCCTTGAGACATGCAGGGAAAAAAAATGTGAGCTCCGCTTTTAGGCTTGGCTAAATCTATATATTATTCTAGACACTGTTAGCAAATGGTTCACATTTTAGCAGTGCTGTTGGCTTTTTTTTAATTCCACCAATTAAAACCTGTTTTGTTTTGTTACAGTTGTTGAACCCTTTGTTGCGGCTGCGGCAAGCATGTTGTCATCCACAAGCAGTGAGAGGAGGCTTCCTGTCCCTGCAAAAGAGGTAAATTTTAAAGCATCTCTGTATGTTGTTGCAAAACTGAATCACCTATAAATAACACTATATGATATCTCATTATCTAATAATATCCTAATAATACCTAATAACATCCTAACAACATCCTTATAACACCCTAATAACATTTCTAATAAAATTTTAATAACATCTTAATAACTTTCTAATAACTTCCTAATAACATTCATATTAATGCTTAACAAGAAGGTAATATTATTTCTTTAAGATTTTTATTTTGATTATTTTGTAGCACTCTTACCATGGATAAACTGCTTGAAAGTTTGATATCCAAAGCAAAGTTGGAATGTGAAGAAGCACATCGACAGCTCTTGTTTGCTTTTAATGGTTTGTACATGATATCTTTAGGGAGGCGCGGTGGCCTCATGGTTAGTGTGCTCAACCCCAGATTGGATGTTCCTGGTTCGAGCCCTGGCTGGGGTCAAGACACTTTACTCTCACAGTGCTTCTCTTCACCCAGGTGTACAAATGGGTACCAGCGAATGTGCTGGGGGTAACCCTGCGATGGACTAGCATCCCATCCAGGGGGGAGTAACATCATGCTAAGAAAACTGGAGTTAAGCACTGGCCCCATGGGCCACTTGGGCCTGTATAACAGCTAACTTACATGATATCTTGGATTTTCACAAAAGCATGTTTTTTACTCTCTGCCGCTTATATTACATCATGTTTGTATGTGTCTGAGTTAATATAACATTGAAATAAATTACTTTTGCTCTCCAGGTCTTGCTGGCATTCACATTTTAAAAGAAGAGGTTAGTTTATTCAATATTTTTGCAAAGCTATAACAGAAGTGAAAACATTTACTTAACCCTTTAACTCCCAAGATCTCATTAGTAATTCTCCTTACAGTCTGCCAAATGATTCTCATTATGTTAGTTTGGAGAATTTGGTATCAGATCAATTGGTAATCCCATAATTGATATTTTTCTTTATTCTCATCACTTGTCTGCATGATATTGCATAGATGTGGTAAGGAGAAATTCTGTCATGGTCACTCATGGGAGTGAAAGGGTTAAAAAAAACAATTTATGGCAGATCAGTGTGATGGTGTTGAAATTAGCTTTTGTGCCAATGGATTTTAAACTGTCTGAACTCCATCAAATTGAATTTTCATAATAATGTTGAGTACTACTTACTTGATAATTGAATAGTCTCTCCTCTATAGGGATACAAACAAATTGGAAACAAATGTTGCAATTAAACTTTTTGTTTTAAAAAATTCCAACTGTTGGGAGGCAAACAAGCCTGCTGGTATGATTGATTTGTCCCTCAAAGTTGTTAAGTTTTAGAGCTCACTTATTGTGTATTCAACACTGGAAAATGGGGTTTAATTCTGATAAGATGAAACAATAATACTGTGTTTAGTGTATTATTAGTAAAGTCTGGTCTAATCTGAAGCATGGGAAGATGTTTTTGTCCTTGGTGGAAGACATCATGTCAGAACAAATCCAGTGACAAGCAGGTTAGTCTTCCTCGCAACTATTGTTTGTGTGTTCACCCAAGGCTTTCCTCCCCACAAAGCCTTGTATGACTACAAAGACAACGGCTGCAAGGAAGACTAGGTGTCGGGCTTGACCCAGCACCCCCCATTGTAAGTCCAGAGCTATAACCACCAACCCAGGCTGCCTAGTTTGTTAATTTCTTGATGTGAAAGCCCCTTTTTTCTATTTTCCAGTGGCCAGAAGCTGTTGAAATGTACAGGGAGGCAACAAGATCTTGGACAGAACATGAAGAAACCTTCAGAACAGATGCACTACAGGTGAGGTGGGCCCATAACTGTACATACCCCAGAATGAGCAGGTGTCAGATTTTTCCTTCCCATTTGTTGTCAAATGTTTTATCAGTTGTGTTTGGTTGAAATAGGTAGCCTAAGATACTTTCTGAACTAACATTCTGTTAAAAAGCAGAATGAACCAGATAAGATATATAAGTGTATTATAACTGGAGATTGTCTTGCAATGTTTGGAGAACATCTTTTGGGTGGAAAGATGCTAGAGAGCAGTGATAAAACCTTAAAGGAAAGTGATTTAGAAGAAATGTCAGCCAAATTTGGAAACAGATTATTATTCTGCAATTAAACCAACATACCATCGTAGGCCACTGGAATAGGCAGAATTTGCCTGGGTATTACAGGACAACAGTACAAATGGAAAACAGGGCTACAAAATGGGCACTTTGAATGATTAAAACATTAATTTTTTCTTTTTATTTTTGTTGGCCGTCATAGAAATGAAATAGTTTTTTTTTGTTTTATTTTCATCTTTTGTGCACACATTATGTGATCCTTGTGGAGTCAAGATGAGGCCATAGGATTTATTTCCACATCTAGAAACCAAAATACCAGAAATTAGTGTAATAGTAAAACCCTTATTTGCTGGTTTAAAATAAAATACAAACTGAATTTTTCCTTATTGCTTGTAAAACTTTTCAAGATACATGTACTGTAATATTCCTCGCATCATCTCTGGTACTGAGTGATGTCTACTTCCAGTTGTCTGGTCAAATCCTGAGGTGATCTTGTTATTTTCACATAGAAATTACACACCTTGTTCAACTTGTCAGATGTTCTCAGTCAGCAGCACCCAGGCTGTTCACATACCTTGCGAGATGACAAATTGCCAGATGACGTGAGTAGTAAAGAATATATTTGTTATAAGATGTGGTGTGGACTTTCTCTGTAAATGTGAATGAAAGTGATCCTCGCAGTAATGTGCACGACTTAGGCAGTAGTGAAAGTAACTTTCATTCATGTCTTTATCCGCCGTTCAAATATATGACTTTCATATATTCTTAACCGTTTATTCATCACTTCACGGGTTTATTTAGAATCAACGTCATAACCAGCTCCCAGTTGGCTTGTTAGCTCAGTTAGTAGAGCGCTGCACCGGTATCGCAGAGGTCATGGGTTCAAATCCCGTACAGGCCTGAATTTTTTTCAGGCCTTATTTTCACTACTGCCTAAGTAGTGCACATTACTGCGAGGATCACTTTCATTCACGTCCTTATCCGCAGTTCAAATATATGACTTTCATATATTCTTAACCGTTTTCTCTGTAAATGTTGGATGGATGAATAAGAAGATGATCCTTGTACGATCTCATTTTTAGGTAAAGGAACTTAAGAATGCATACACAACAAGAGTGAATCTACAGGTGGACAGCGCCAAACAAAACCTTGATGCTGCTCAGTCAAGCCATGCTGAGATAAGACAAAAAGTAATTCACTGCACACATCCTGTACTGTGTTCACTCTGCACCCTTTACAGTCCCTAACATCAGTATGCATATTCTCCATACTGTTCTCTATAAATTTCCCAGAGTGCCTAGAAGGAGAATTTGTCTAATAATCAACGGCTTCTTTAGTTCGTGATCATTCCCTTCATCCACATGAGCTTAGTGAGTGATTCTGGGGTAATACTTTTGGGAGAATTAGATGCTCATCACTCTTAAGGAATAAAGAGTTTCTGTTTTTCTGAGCTTTTATCAACTTGTTATCTTTTTCATAGTTTCGAAATAATTCAAGTAATTCTTGGTTTCTTTTAAACTAATTGTAAAGATAAATTTCCATCAATAGTCAAATACTAGAGTTTTTTTTTCTTTATTCACGGACTGGTTCTTTAGAATATTCTTATAAAAACAATGATATAATTTGTGGGTAATAATTCACGCACTTGTGAAATAATTAATATGCAGGTTGATATGCAGTCTCCTTGGTGGGTTGAAGCTCTTCATTCTGTGGCAGAAAGAGGACTTGATACTGACCTATGTCAAAGAGTCCAAGATGAATTGTCATCCACTGACATGGATCTGGGTTCTATTGGAAGGTATGGTATGAATCGTCTTATTCAAGATTCGATGAAAGAGGATCGAGGATCGAGGATGAAGGATAGAGGATCGTGGATCGAGGTTCGAATATCGGGGACGGAGGATCGAGTATCGAGGATGAAGGATCGAGGAAAAAGGATCGAGGATGAAGTTTGGGGATCGAGGATCGAGGTTTGGGGTTCGAGGATCGAGGTTCGAGGATCGAGGTTCGAGGTTCGAGGTTCGAGGTTCGAGGTTCGAGGTTCGAGGTTCGAGGTTCGAGGTTCGAGGTTCGAGGTTCGAGGTTCGAGGTTCGAGGTTCGAGGATCGAGGTTTGGGGTTCGAGGATCGAGGATCGAGGATCGAGGATCGAGGATCGAGGATCGAGGTTCGAGGATCTGGACGCCCGAAGAACTTTTCAAGGATCTTGATCCGCAGTTTCGTCTTAATTCTCTCACGCAAAAAACAATAGCGATAGACAAAGGGCTTGATACAATGCTCCTCTTTTGACACACACGCAGTACGCACAAATGCCGATATTTTCATATCACACACTGTAAAAGTATATGATATTAGTTTTGTACAAGTTTGAATGAATCGTATTAATGTGTAATCTTTTTGCTACAGATTTAAGGACCTTCATGGACTACAGTATATTGTTTCCTCCAAGTTAGAATTGATTGAGGTATGCGGAAGTAAGAAATATTTAGTTATTGAGACATCAATTCTCTTTAATTCTAATTTGTTGAGCCTAAGAATTTGAGTGTTTTTTTAGGGCAATTTTTTAGCCAGCCAGCCAGAGGCAGACAGATGCACAGTTAGTCCATCAGTCAGCTAGATAGACAGTCTGACCGTCAGACGGACAGACAGACTGACTGGCTGACTGTCTGACGGATCGAGAAATGACTGGCTGACTGACTGAATGAAAGTGAGACAGATAAACAGGCAGAGAAAAATAACCACTCGATTTTGAGAGGTTTTAGTTTTGAGTTTTCATCCATCTTTTCATTGCAGTCTACTCATAATAACTTGTTAGTATCCCTGGACAAGCTTGGTGTGCCTGCAACGCCGCAGATGGTATTGGCTAGTGCTGAGTGTTGTTTGAGGCCAGCTCAGAATAGCACTGCTGAAAGGTTTGTTATGATAATGTTGGTGACCTTGACTGTGGCGATGACGATGATGATAACTATAACAATCACGGTCACGATGACAGGCACGACGACGATGACGATGGCGATAACGATGACGATGACGATGACGATGACGATGACGATGACGATGACGATGACGATAACGATAACGATAACGATAACGATGACGATGACGTTGACGATGACGATGATGATGACGATGACGATGATGATAGCAGTAGTGACGACGATGACGAACACGACGCCGATCAAGATGACGATTTTTTTAGGCTTAGGCTATCTCTACAGGTGCCAGGAAACAACAAGTTGTGTAAAGTTACCTGCAGAAAGGATTAAATGTGTATCACATATTTTCTCTGCAGGTGCGCCTTTTGTCAGGTGGATGATATTTTTACAGAATATGAATCACGAATATTTGGCCATCAAGGAATGAAGGGCGTCGATGAGCATAAGTAGGTATTCATGTTTATAGCAAGTCTTCAATTCTCCTAACTGGTCTCTGTGACTTTCTGTCACCGTTAGTTATGAGAATCTACAGGTAAATCAACGTAATGTTTGCGTGCTATTTTTATTCGAAGTTCTCAGACTGACGACACACTTGATTGGCATCGCCATGGCAACACGGGAGGATTACGCGCGGAGTCTGAGGTTGAGAAGGTCCTAAAAGTGATACATAACTTTATCAAGACTCACAGTACGTTATTACTTTCACTCAGTCTTTTTGTCCGTATTGTTCAAGTTGTCACACAACACCTCTCCCTCTTTCGCGTGACGTGTCACAGCCTAAGGTCACGCAATTGTTGTTAAAAGTGACGAGTCGCGAACCTTATTCTCTTACGTGGTGATGCAACGAAAAGTTAAAGTATTGCGCGTATTACATATCACGACCTAAGTTACCTATGTTAAGGCATTCTGCAAGTGGTCACACAACTGTGGTTGAGATTTACTTGACGGGGCACCACTCAATGACATTTTTCGTCGTCTTTACAAATGTTATTTAGGTGCTCACGCAACTGTACACGAATTGAATAACCTTTTGTCTTTACAGAAACTGGGTCAACTGCACATCTGCAACAAGAGGGTCGCTTGCACTTGAGCTTAATTGATGGTCTGAGAAAAGAATTTAAGGTTAGCATTTAGGAACCGACGCTTACACTTTGTACGTACGCCTAACCCTTTACGTCTTATCATCATATTACCATTTTGCATACTCTCCAGACTGTTTCTAAAATTCTCTAAGGCGCTGACAAGGAAAATCTGTTCAGTTTGCTTCGATCAGCCGTGGTATTACTTAGTTTTGAGTTTAGTTAAGTTTACTTGGTTTAGTTTTTATGCTGAGATAAATTGAATGCTCTTTGTTTCCTATTTTTCTAGTTTCTGAGAGCTCTGTGGTTTGCTCTGCGAGAGCGTATCTCTTGTCTTGACGAATTGGACATGTGTACAACTCGCCTTAGGCTTTTGCTGCCAGGAGAACCCGTCACAGATGATATCCACGTGATTCATCCTTTACAGGTACTTAAACATTTCTATTTGAAACCAACGGGGGGGACATATTGGACACTAATGTCCGATTTTGAATTTTGGACACTAATGTCCGATTTTGGATTTTGGACACTAATGTCCGAATTTGGATTTTGGACACCAATGTCCGATTTTGGATTTTGGACACTAGTGTCAGATATTCGGATTTTGGATACCAGTGTCCGATTTTGTATTTGGACACTAGAGTCCGATTTTGGGTGGTCGAGTCTAAAAGTTATTCAGAATGGATACGAATCTGTAGCTCTATTAGCAACTAATTGGATTATGTTTTTTCTTTTGAAGATAGAGCAACAGCGCCTTAAGTTCATGTCCGACAGAGTTGTTGCACAAACTGAGTTGAGGAAGAAGCTCGGTCAACTTCTTTATCTCAAAAATTTGGCGAAGGTAAGTTTTCTGATCAGATTTCGTGGAGGTTCTCTTAAAGAAAAGAAGGTCTGGCTAGAGTGAGCTAAATTTCAAGCAACATATTCAAAATATTTATTTGCTCTATTTTCAGACCCAAACCAGTCATGACGGAAAGAACCCGGAACCATGTCCAGTTTGCACCAAACTGCTAGGAGTCCAGGCAAGTAACTAAAAACGACCCTTCTCCTCATGGTCCTTTTCGACTTATTTAGGACTTTCTGTTTGTTTTTGTTCTTTCAGTGGAGCGTTTTCTCATGTGGACATTGCATTTGCTGTCGGTGCTCCTGGGTACTCTTGCGGCAGGCTGGAATTGGTCCCCGACATAGGAACGTACACGTGAAGTGTCCGATGTGCCGGATACCTACTCTTGCGCAAGAAATTTCCTACGTCAGCACCGGAAGGAGTCAGGACAAAGATACAGAGGAGAATGTCACTGTCAAGGTGGTTTGAGCTTCATTGTTTAGATATAAAAAAAAAAACTAATTCTCATCTGTAATTGTCATCGCTTTCTTTCGGAACAAGTGCTAAGAAATGAGTGATTTATCAGATCAACATGGCTCTATCGTCTCAAAAAATTGAAACACAACTTAAATCGCTCTTCGATTTACCTTCGTAATGCCAATAGCTCTGCGCCAATCACAATAAATAAATTGTCACGAGCAGCCAAAGAGAGCTCAAAGTTGAATCAAGAAAACTGCTTGAAGCGCGGAAAAACGTCGTTGACCAAGTCACGGTTGCTCTTAATTTTGATTTGATTGTTTGAGGAAGTGGCGCGAATTTTCTGGACCAACCACAAAGCAAAGAAAAGAAAAACCGAAGCAATCACGGATAAGTTTCGGCTCTCTATTTTGTAATGGGTTAGAGCACTTTTCGATTGAGAGGCCTAACACTTTAACCAAAGTTATTTCAACAGTCAACCAGAAGAAAGAATACTACCTTTAAAAGCTAATTAGAATTCAAAGTAAAAAAATCAATACCCAAACCGCCCAAAGCGCGGGAAAACGCGGGTGACCCCGTCCTGGCTGGTTTGAGCCTTACATCTGATTGGCTGAGGGAGTGGCGCGAGTTTTCTGGGCCAATCACAGAGCAAGTAAAGCAAACTCCCGGATTACTTCCTACCATCAATTGGAAATTGCTCATCCAGTTAGTCTCAAACTTTGAGTCCTTTTTGCTCCTTTAGGGAAGCCATTCTACAAAAGTTGAAGCTGTTGTGCGCACATTGTTGGCTATTAAGTCGGCAGACAATACGGCAAAGAGTCTTGTGTTTTCTACGGTGAGTTTTTGATACTGTATTCCTTTTAGCCCTCGTAGAAACTCCCCGAACTATTTCAATTGTAACTGGGCAGCGCTCGTAGACTGGGGCCAAGTCATTAGTGCTTCAGCACAAGCGTTTCTTCGCCCTCGCGAAAGTTGTCGCCTTGAGCGATGCGAGCCAGTGAGAAGTCTGCCAGTGGTCTGGCACTGATGTAATTAGTGCCAGACTCTATGCAAACCTCTCCCTGACTCGTCTCAATTCTCGCTGCGAGCGAAAAAACGTACGCCCTGCAGCGCTAATTATGAAGGCCTGCTCCAAGGCTACGTACAGGTTGTGTTAGGAACACTCTTAACTTTCACATTCTGTGTTGATTCTGTGAATTTCAACTTTGTTTTGTTTTCTCTTAGTGGCAAGAGGTACTTAGTGTTTTAGCCCAAGCTTTGGACGAGAATGGAATCAAATATAAACACATTACTGGCAGCCGACTTTTTCAGGTTGGTACCAAAAGCTGTAAGGTCTCTGCCGATTGTCGAAGGTCATACTTTATAATGTACCGCCCATTTTTGACAAGCTTTTTACAATATCTGTGAAGTAGAGGGAGTCTCGATCGAGTGTCTATAGACCAAAGCTAAAGTAATCACGGCAGCCAATCATAGTAAGGCAAAATATCAAAAAGAGCCAATGAGAACGGAAAGTTAAAACAAAGTATTCGCGTAAAGCGCGGGAAAACGCGAGTGACCAAGTCGTGATTTGTTTGAGCTTTGCATATGAGTTATTGAAAATTTGGAGCGTTTTTATCGACCAATCACAAATTTATGCTTTTTAAGGCGTGGTTGGGAGCAGAGCTCTTTTGAGTATGCGCAAAAAAAGCTCATAAAAGTTGTGTGAGGCCCTCGCCTGTCTCAGTCCTGGTCTTCTTTTATGGGTCATGGAAAGTCATGGAAAATGAGTGAAAATGATACTCTTGAGAACAGCGAATTAATATGAGTATAATTTCTCGACCAGAATTCATGGTTAAGGTTAACAAGATCTCGGAAAAGTTCACGGAGGATCGTGAAATTTTATGACTTCGAAGGATTTCAAACCTAGAACGAGAGGCAAAAGTCTTGGCGCGCTCCACCACTTTTTGAATTTCTTTTCATATAACTTTCATTAATCTTTCCCTCTCTCTTATTGCACTGTTGCCTGGTGTTGATAGAATAGTCTCTTATTTAGTAGAATACTGTTTGGGGGGAGGGGAGGGAGAGGAGGAACTTTCAAGTACCTTATCACAGATAAATTACAACATTTCAGTTTATAATGTTAGCTTACAATGTTGGAGGGTTGACGATCACTTACTAAAAAGAAGCGTGCCAACCACTTTTCCCCACTCTTTGTAGTTTTAGTAATACCAGTCTTATTCTTTTCAGTCAAACCTTCAGACGTTCAAACAGGATTCCTCGGTAGGCGTTCTTCTCCTGCCTCTACAAACCGGGTCTAATGGTCTCAATATCATCGAGGCGACACACGTGTTGTTAGTAGAGCCTGCGATGAACCCCGCCCATGAGCTACAGGCTGTGGGGCGTGTGCACAGAATTGGACAAACTAAGTATGTTGTTAGACTCCTTATTATATACTCAACAAAATATCGCGTTTCTGATTGGTCAATGATGAATGCATAAATAGGTTATAGAGTGCAATAGAGGTTATAGAGTGCAATATGGAGAAGTTGCCATGGAAACACCGATGGAGTAATTTTGTCGAGAATATAATAAATTAAAAAAACGTGCATTTCTGATTTATGGAGTTGTTTTGAAAGTTCTTATGGCTCGTGCAATTTTGTGTAAACAAATTTATCAATGCCCATAAATACGCGAGATTTCCTATCTTACTGCTTCCTGTTTTATTTAGTGAGAAGATGATTGGACGAAGTAAAAACATCTTGTTATGAGTTCCTTATGGATGTGTAAACAAATTTTATCAATGTACAGCGAGATTTCCCCTGATTTTTATTTAGTAGAATTAAACTTCTTTATATGTCAGGCGAGGGAGACGTAGGGGCTTTACAGCTATCGTGCTGGACTCCGGATTGAGAGGTCTGGGGTGGAGTCATGGCCGGGCATTATGAACGCCTCCCTCTCCCTTCATGTCACAGAAACAGGGATAAGCGCTAGCAGTGTTAGCCTTTGGCTTGAGTGCTGAGTGCTATGTGATGAGTTAACGTAATTTGTCAGGGAATTTTATTGTTGATTTTTTTTTACAGACCCACCCACGTGTACCGCTTTATCATACAAGGAACTGTCGAGTCCCGGATGTACTCCTTACTGCAGTCTAAGCCAACGAGTTGTGTTAGGTATCAGTTACTCTCGGTATTTTCTTCTCCTGCAGCGTTTTCCAATGCAGAATTTCATTCGTTTATTGTTGTTATTCTTTTTCACGTCAACTTGAAGAACATGGCGTACATTTATGGGCTTAGACTTTTCAAAAGTAAAGTGTTGCAGTAAGTAAGCAAAGTTTGGAGTCTTTAAGAGAAAACTTACCTTCTATGAAGTGTCATGATGCAGACATATTGTCAAGTGGGCGTAAACTCGACTTTCTTAGCTGAGAAATGCATGGAACACAGAAACGCGCACATTCTGAACAAACCCTCGTACCCAGGCTTCCCTGGAAACTGTAATGAAAGTTGTGACACGTGATTCTATCCTGCTCAACAGGACTGGAGCGCGTGACAGTGAGAATGCCAGTCTGACGCTTAGTGACATCGCCTCATTGTTCACTCAAGATGAAGAACGCGACGAGGAGCAAGGCGTGACGGGATCGTTCCTGTTTTATGAACCAACAGACGCCCTTTCTCCTGATTAACAGCGCACGTTTACACTTGCTATTGTCTTAGAAGTGTAGATACAAGTGGTTTATTTTTCACGCTTAAGTCATTTTATTGACAAGAATATAACTAAACAATTCGTTAATGTTAGAACTTGCTTTGTTGGTGCTACACCATTTTTTAATAGAAGAATATGAAGTGTTCCTTTTTAGCGATTTCGTAAGAATGAAGAAAGAAAAATGCAAGTAAATAAACAATTTTTTTTTGAAAACTTTTCCACTTATGTAGCAAGCGAGCAGGCCCTCGTTGTTTGTGCTTTGGTAGGACCATTTCTTCGCCCTCAAGAAAGTACGAGGCCTCAGTTAAGCAACGCGATTCAGCGAGAGGTATTCAAGAAGTTTAGTGCCAGACCTCTGGCAAACCTCTTCCCGACTCGTCTCAAATCTTCCCACGTGCGGAGGAACGCGTGTGTTGCAGCGCTAATGAGGGAGAGCCTGTTTGACGGTTACGACTAATGAAAAACTGAAATCTGTCCGATCTCCCCGACGTTGACATTGACGTTGGAACGTTGGCCAAGGGAAATTGATGCATCATTTTGGCAAGGGTCGAATTTTTGCCCAATCCATTTCTTGCTTTTGTATTTATTATTTAAAACTGAAGCTCAGAGTGAATAAATTAGATGGCGAATCTGTAATTGCAGTATCCTCTATTTTACGGGAATTTATTGTCCTTATACGTTACCTCTTCTTATTTACTCGAGGAGGGGGGGGTGCCGCTGGAGTCTATCTAGATATTTTCAATGATGGGGAAGGGATTCTGAGAGGCCAGTGACACACACCCGCCAAAAAATGGCCCAGGTACCCTATGGGGCTACTTACTGATCACGTTGGTTAGTGTAGTCGACTTTGAAGACAAAACAAAACGTTGTGAGCGGGAAACCAGGAAATTCTACACCATTTGTGAACATGTTTTCATGAATTTTACATAACGCTTTAAACTACTACGCATGTGCAGTGGGCTTGTCAACCATGATGCTTTGCAATTCTTCAAGAATATCGTGGTCTTGGGATAATTTTTTGGCAAGAGCGAGTGTTTGTTCGAATCTCTTAACGATTTTGTTCTCTCAAATTACTACTGAATGTTTTAATTTTGCGGTGGTGGGATAAGACAACTACTATGTCTTTGACTGGGGCTAATACGACCCCGTTGGGTCGGCTTCATCCAATATTGGCCGCAAAGCAGCAAGGATCTGTAAGCCCGTCATCTGGCGTGAAACGAGAAGCCGGTAATTCCGAATTCGGAGGTGAGTTTCTTAGAGACAGCGCTTTATCAGCGTGAAATCTTGGCTTTCATGCATGCTAGGATTTATGATTATCGTGTGGCAAAATTTAATTGCAGAGAAACCAATCAAAACGCATGTTTGACAGAATTTTCAGTCAATCGACATGAACTGGTAGCGAATGCTATAGCTCCCCTGGAAAGCGCACACATTTTTCGTTAGATTAAGCTTACCATAAGTTTTACTTTACGAGAATTTCACAGATGTATGGGACCACAGTAGGATTCCCTCAGGTTGTTTACGTTTATTTATTTTATCGTTAATCTTTTCTGATTATAGTATTACTAAAACAAATTACAATCAAGTTTTGAGGATCGCTGTGTTTAGTAACGGTCGAGTTGATTTAAGCTAGATTCTATGTTTCACGGAGATCGAACTTGTTTTCACTTATTGGACAGAATCACAATATCCACAAAACAACAATTAGCTGTTTTCCAAAAAAAAATATATGAATACCAAATATCACCATTACCCGTGTGAATTTTGTGCATTATTTGACGTTTCTTTGTTCTATCTTTTAAAAGAAACGAAAACCAGTTTTAAAGCTGTATTTCACATGAGTTATGTTTTTGTTTTGGTAATCATTTGAATATGAAAGCAGGAAACTAAAATTTAAGACAAAAAGTATTTACAGAATATGGTGTCATTCAATGATATATTATGTTCCCACTGCATATTTGCAGTCTCCTCCAGACAAAAAGTGGTTTGGTTGCACAATGCCATATAAGATGGCAACTAAACAGGCATTCTCATTCACCTGAAGAGGACAGGGAAATATTTCCATATTAAAATTTATTAACTGATTGGGAGGGCTAGACAGGAAAATTTTTGGCCTGAGGACAAAACCCAGCCAATTATTCTCCAGTTTGGTGCAATGAAACTCAGTCAAGAAGCATTGTATCATATGACATGATCACTAAGTGTTGAAAAAAAAAATAGAGAAACATAAAATAAATTCCACCATAAAAACTTTTTCTTTCCTTCTTGAGTCAGAACAAGGAAATCAAAATTCATAGAGAAATCATGACTAATTAAGAATTTACTCATTTTTACAACAACAGCTAACCTAAACAATGTTATTTTTTTCTTTGTTGCATCAAAAGGGTATCAGTGTTAGGTAGAATAGCTTTTTCCAGATCAGCTCACTTTAACCTGTCTGGCCCTACATGCATCAGCTTTCATTAAGGCTTTCTATAAGCTTGCGTTGCTGGAGGGGTTATATAATAAAACATGACAAGATCTTGGGAGTGGAAGGGTTCACATCTTTTTTATCCTTTAGATGGAGAAAGGAAAAAGAAAAGAAGGAGCAGATGGGGAACAGAGGAAAAGAAAACCTTTATCCCAGGAATGCCAACAACAATGCCACCTAATCTATCCCCGGAGCAGCAACAGGCGTACATTGGTAAGGGAATGATGAATGATGATATTCTTGCTACTGATTCTCCTTCGTTCTCTTTAATTGCTCTTAGGAGAATTTGTTTTCTAGCCAAGACTTGTTTGCTTCTCACCTTGTGTTTCAAGGTAGGATGTTTTTCCTGTGTGGATTTCTGGGACATTCAGTTTAAACCCTGTCTTCATTTGCAGGGTTTTCACTATGTGCTGGCTGTGAGCTAAATTTACCAACCGAAAAAGAGGTGATCTCTGGCTGTATATTGGCTAGGGTTGCTTTAGACTGGGAAAAAATTATGTAATTAGATCTCAATTATAACCTTAACTTTCAGACTATTTTCTTAGCTAAAACTTGGGATTTAGAAGAGAATGAATGGCTTATTTCCTTATAGCCGTCTCTTAACCCTTTAACTCCCAGAAGTGATTAACATGTAACTTCTCCCTATAATATCTATACATCGTCAACAAAACAGGTATTGAGAATACTCAAACTTATCAGGTAGAGGTTGTTCTCTTGATCTAATACCAAATTCTTGTAACCAAGTCAAAAGGAAATGTGTAGCAGCTAGAGGAAAGATTTAGCAATGGGACTTTGGGATTTAAAGGGTTAAATTAGTAGCGTGTATCTGTTTTGGTTTAATTTTAACCTTGTTTTGGTTGTTTGTAATGTATGATAATGAGTTTGAAACAAAGGAAAATAACATTTGAACCAAGGACAAAATTGAACCACAACATATCTGCTATCCCCTGGTTCCATGATTATTTTTCAGAAGTACATCTCATATGGATATTTTGACTTTATGTTATCCTCAACTTTGGTGGATAGTGTGTCCTTGTTTCTTATTTTTTATCATTATTTTTTTCCTATTTAGCTCAATTGAAGATTGAAGAAATCACCAGAATGCTTCGAACAGGAGAGCTTGGGATACCAGACAATCCCGATGAGAGGTATATCCTTCAAACTGTTCCTTATACATTTGCTAGGGTGCTAACAAAGAGAATTTGTTGAGCAAGCTTCTTCATGTAGCGATCAATTGCTTGATTCTCATGACCTCAGTGTTTGATTTAGGGGTATTACTTGTCACTACTTGAGGTTGATTGAACTTAGAGAAATACCAATCAAACCAATTGCAAAGACTGAAGGCCTTATTAGTGAATTTTCTCGGCCATATTGAAGCATTTTCAAGCAGAGATTCGACAGCAGTGAAGAGAGTCATGAATTTGGGGTGATGTCTGGAAATAAGCTCACAATCTTATTTTTGATATGTCTACTCATTTTATTTTGCATGTTAGGTCACCATCTCCAGAGCCAATTTATAACACAGAAGGGAAAAGGTTAAACACTCGTGAATTCAGAGTGAGAAAGAAACTAGAGGAAGAGAGGCATGTGCTTATACAGGAAGCCCTGAGTTTAAATGAAGATTACAAGCCTCCTGCAGATTATAAGTAGGTGGTTTTGCTATTTTAGTTGTCACCATTGACACTTTGCTTCATTTGGATCAATTTTTTTGCCAAAGAAATTTTAGATTCAAAGGCAGATGCCACTGCTTTGAAGTAGATGCATCTGTTGATGCAATTTATGTTTATATTAAGTTGCCTAATGGTTAGTTTTCAAGACTCTGGTAGAACTCTTTCGCATGGTTGGCAGGGCTGTGCTCTTGTTGTGTCTGAGTGGCAGAGGCACCCACCTTTAATCCCTGGACACCTTTTAAACAGCTGGGCATGCTATTATCTTATTGAAAACATTTTGATGTATGCCTGACCAACTTGAGTATTAGTGACACTACTGTAAGACAAAGAATTGAAAGAAAACATCATATTGAGCATTTGTTTATTGTGACCTCTCTCTGTTTTTTGTCTCTGTAAACAGAAAGCTTAGTAGCCCTTTACTATAAGCATTACAAATGAGTGGGAACAAAACATTGTTACCAGGCCAGATCTTGGTACCTTTGAGCAGCCTCAAGTGAAATTTTGGTCGGCAACCTAATTTCTCAACTTCAAACCTGGTTAATCTTTATGAAATTTTGCGTTCTTCATGCCTTGCTAACATTAAAAATTGTACTTCTAAACAACACAGGCCACCAATCATAAAAATCCAGGATAAAGTTATGATTCCACAGGACAACCACCCTGAAGTTAACTTCATTGGATTGCTCATTGGACCTCGGTATGTTGGTTTCCTTTTAGGGATCAATGTGTTTTAAAATTTCTAGCAATAATATTATTAAATACCACCATGTCATCATTGCTGTTTGCAATATCCTGAAAAGAAGTAGGATCTCTGATAGGTTCAGAGTTCTCCCTCAACAAAAGGAATTTTCAAACTTGTAGAGCAATCCTTTTACCTTTTGAATTTTTACGAACTCAAGAAATTTAGGGCAGTAACCAGAGGTACCACTGGTGGTAAATTTTTCCAGTTACTGTTACTGATCAAGTTATACAATATTCATTCATAGTGGTTCAAGAAGAACACTGTTGGTAGTGTTTTCTCAATGAATTTGTTGAATTTTCAAGAATTCCTGCTAGGTTCAGCATTCTCCCGAGATAAAAGAAATTTTCAAACCTGTCAAGCAATCCTTTTACCTTTTGAATTTTTAAGAATTCAAGAAATTTTAGGCAGTAACCAGAGGTACCACTGGTGGTAAATTTTTCCTGTTACTGTTACTGGTTAAGTTATATGATATTCATTCACAGTGGTTCAAGAAGAACACTGTTGGTAGTGTTTTCTCGATGAATTTGTTGACAACAGATTCCTGACAAACAGATTTGCTGTCAGACAGGGCATCTGAACTCTTTAGAGTTTGGAGCTGTGTTTGCTGGCTGATGTCTGTCTTTTCTCATCAGTGGGAATCCATAACCCACCACTGTGTTGTAGATGTCAATACACTTTGCCCCCTTTTCTAAGTGTTTATCTGCCAGCTCATGTTTATCAGAAAATTTGCGTTCAATTGTCCTTTTATTCTGTTACTTTTTATTTGTACTGAATAAGTGATAGTCTGTGGCAGCTTTTGTGATAAATGTTTCAACTTATGGCAAAGGATGTCAGACTTGACCCTTTCACTTCCAAGATCTCATGAGTAATTCTCCTTACTGTCTGTCTTACAATTCTTATGATATTAGTGCAGAGAACTTGGTTTTGGATCAGCTAATAATCCCTTGGTTGATATTATTCTTTATTCTTGTCACTTGTCTGCTTGATACCATATTGTAAGGAGAAATTCTGTTTTAGTCACTCATGGGAGTTGAAGGGCTTTTTAATTTTTTAATAATTATATTTGTTTCTCTTCTCATTCAGTGGCAACACATTAAAAAAGATTGAAAAAGAGGTAACATTGTATTTTTTGAATATGTTTTTCCTTACCTCTTAGAGGGGTAACACTTTAAAAAAAATTGGAAAAAGAGGTAACATCATTTATCTCTGATGCAGATGATGTGATGAAACAAGCAAATTTTGAACTTTTCAGCCAATAGTCTCCCATTGTGGTTTCCAAGTCATTGAGAATTTAAATTTTTTTAGAGGAGTTTTTTTCTCTATCCCTTTACACCTTAAAATCAGTATGCATATTCTCCATACTGTTCTCCAAACAATGTGCTGACAAGGAGAGTTTGTTAAATAGTCAAGAGCTTATCTAGTTATTGATCATTTCTATTATTCTCATCACCATAATGTTTGACTCAGGGATGATATTATAAGGAGAAATTAGATGTTAGTCACATAGGGGTTTAAGGGTTAAATTATATTTTGGCAAAGTTGTTCTTTTTATCTGTTAAGTTGTGCTTGCTTTGGTTTTTCAGAGTAGTGCAAAGATCATGATCAGAGGAAAGGGCTCTATAAAGGAAGGAAAAATACACAATGTAAGATGGGATGTTCCTTTTTTTTTTCCATATCCTTGCATGATTTGTTTTCTTATATCCATGTGTGTTTATCTCAGTGTACTGTAAACACCAGCAGATAAGCCACACTTGCAGACAAGTCCAACCAAGAGTTTGTCAATTGACATTTCGGAGAAAAATTTTAGATAGAAATCAGAAGAAATTACAACTTGAGTTGCATTATTTTGGTGGCTTCATTGAACATATACCTGCATAAACCCACTGACAATGAAAACAGAAAATACTTTGACTCCTCAGCTATAACTTTAGTTGTACTAATTTGGACATCATATCTACTTACTTAGAGTTATGTTTGATCTTACTTAAGTATTGTTTGATCCATAAATTTTTCATTTCAGTCAGATTTTCCATAAAATTTTCACATCAAACAAGAAATATTCAGTTTGTTCATTTAGTCCTTTGTTGCCAAGTAGCTTGGCATTTAACAAAGACCCAAAAGTTTTTGATAGGCAGTGTCAATTTTTGTTTTTTTGTGGCACAATTTCCAGAGGTTCACACAGATACATCTCACTGCTGATTTGTTGTGCAAATTTTGTGAAAATAGTTATGGCTTATCCGCTGGTGTTTACAGTAAGAGCAGTGGACAACCTTTATTGCTGCCCCACTTAACAGTGAGGGCAGAGAGCAAGGGAATGATTAAGCAGGTTCTTACTTTACCCTGATTGGTTTTTGTTGTTCAGGGAAGGAAGGATGGACAGCCAAATCCTGGAGAAGATGAAGAGCTTCACGCTTTAGTAACTGGACCAAATGAACAGTCTGTGCAGAAAGCTGTTGCAATGGTAAGTCATTTGAGCCTTCATTGCATCTTTGTTTTCAGTGTGAGAGGAAATTGGAGGCTTGATTGTTGATAAGCTTGTTTCTTAAAAGGATAGGCTAATTTCTGTGAAAAGTAACATAAAGTAACATAGTTGGGTGAATTCTGATCAGCGAATTTAACAAACAGATCCTTTTTCTCATTTTTCGCAGATTCGGGACATATTGCGGCAGGGCATAGAAGCCCCAGAAGGACAAAATGACTTGAAGAGGATGCAGCTAAGAGAATTAGCTGCTCTGAATGGAACATTGAGGGATGATGAGATTCTGAGGTATTAATCTTAACATCAGTATGCAGAATCTCCTTACTGTTCTCTATGCATTTCCCAAGGTGCTGACAAGTAGAATTTGTATAGCAATCAAGAGATTCTTTAGTTGGTGATCATTTCCTTTATTCTCATGACCTTAAGGTGTGATTCAGGGCTGATATTGTAGAGAGAAATTTAATGCTAGTCACTTTTAAGGGTTAAAGGGTTACCTTCTCACGCTTTTGTGTTGATTTTAAGATGCCGAAACTGTGGATCAGCGGAGCATCGCCACTGGGAGTGCCCTGAACAGAAAAATGTCACAAATAATGTGCTTTGTACAAAATGTGGGGCAGCAGGTCATCTGGCTTCAGACTGCATTCAAACAGAGTGAGTGCAACAACTACTTCTGATTGTAGTCATAAAGCTTTTGTTATTTTAATCTGTCTCACAACATAGTTGTGCATTTGTTGATGTGTGAAGTGCAGTGTAAGCAGTATCGTTAAATGTCTCAGTATGTGCTTGGTCAATTAAGTGGGCCCTATTTCACTGTTCTGCTCACTGAGGCACAAGTTTGCTTGACTTGAAATAATCTTCCTTTATAGTTGAACTCAGATATAAACACATAAATATATATATAAGTAATTTCTTACTAACCTAGATTTCTTGTTTAGAAGAGGTACACATTGACATGTTTAGCATAATCTTACAAAGCGGGATACTTTGTTATAATTGCCCACAATTTTAGAAACAAATGAAATGTTTATTTATTTGTGAAAGACAAGATGATAAGTGTAGAGGATAGTGAAAAAATTAAGTGATTCAACATTTCTGAATTACTTTTGCTGTTTTTTGTCATAGTTTACCACCTATTCCTGTGGTACAGGTGGACAAGGCAAAAATGGATAGTGAGGTAAATTTTTATTTGAATGTGACCTGTTACTCATAAGTGCAATGGAGAAAGAAGTCACTACAAAATATTTCCTTGCCTTTGGTGGCAAAGTTGCTTAATTCTTAACTCCAGTTTGTGACCAAGGCAGAATTTCTCCTTACAATATCAATACAATATCAAGCAGACCAGTGATGAGAATAAAGAAAAATGTAAATTTGGAGATTGCTAGTTGATCCAATACCAATTTTTTCTTTCAAACTAACATCCTAAGAATTGTGTGGTAGACATTAACGAGAATTACTAGTGAGATCTGGGGAGTGAAAGGATTAGGGTTTGAAAAGTCAATTGTTAAATTCATCAAGTTTTAGGGATGGATGCAAATGGTAGAAGTAACTTGCATATTTTTACTTTTTTATAGTACATGTCACTCATGGCTGAACTAGGAGAAGGTCCTCTGCCAGAGCCAAAGGTGCAGCCAAGGCCTCCGCCCCCAGTGGAACCAAACAGGCCACCTCCTCCTCAGCTCACAGCTACTCCACGTCCCCCTCCACCCATGCAGGTATGTTCAGGATCACAACTAACTTTTTATGGGGATGCTGAGTGGCAATTGAATATTTTTGTTTATGGACCACAACTGTCCGTAGTGAAAAGAAAGTTCTTTGTTTTGTATAGAGGATCGAAATACATGCACCTGCTGCTAGAATTACTGAACACAGATGAATTAAATGGATTTTAATTCGAAATTCTATAAATATAGTGCGGTTTTTTAAAAAGCGAAAGGAAGGCTCTTGATAAATGCTTTAAAAGCCCATGCACCTAATGTTTATCATTCCAAGAGTAACGTTTCTTAACTCCCACTAGTGACGACGACAGAATTTCTCTCTGCTATACCAATACAATATCCAGCAGACAAAGTGATGAAAATAGAGACATATAAATCATGCTATTATCATCATCCAATGCCATACTAACTTTTTATGGGGATGCTGAGTGGCAATTGAATATTTTTTGTTTCAATTGCTTTATGGACCAAAAACATTTTACAGATGTTTCTTTGCTTAAAACATTTTTCTACACATGAATGATTACAAGCAAATTGTATAAGAGTGCTATGAAAAAATCACAGCAGTTTCACCTTCTGGCAACCACTACTAAAATTCTGGTCATCATGAGACTGTAATCACTAATTTCTCAGTTGCACTGGTAGCTAGCTGGTTGCAATTTTGGTTCCAGTTATTATGATCATGACAATTGGCTAACTGACAAACAATTCAACAACTAACAATTTCTTGGCTGTTGATTTTTGTAAAGACCATTGACAAGACTTCAACATATTCACCTACTGGCAACCACCACTAAAATTCTGGTCGTCATGATACTGTGATCAGTCATTTCACAGTTGCGGTGGTAGTCAGCTGGTACAATTTTGGACCTGGTTAGGATGAAGATAAGTAGCAAACTAGCAAACAGGTCAATCCCTCAGGGTGATGTGAGAAGTGAAATTTTTCAAGGAGAATAGAGTTTGTAAATAAAACCCAATTTAGGAGGAAACAGAGAGAAACAGAAATTAGAAATTAGAAATTTAGGATAGAGTGAAGAAGAAGCACAAACCAGACTAGCAAACAACAGAGTTAATTTGGGCAGAAAGGAAATACAGATTTCTATTTTCATCAAATTTGGTTCTTGTTTCAGAACACCAATCAAGATCGGCCTCCATCCTCTGCCCCACCCCCATGGGCTGCACCACCAGGTCCTAAGCCACTGATGAGCACACCAGTACCCATGCCTGGGGGAGGGCCTCCTCCACCACCACCTAATGGCAATAATGCTCCACCATGGGCAAAACCTGGTCTGCTGCCTCCTCCTGGTGGACCACTGATGGGTAAGAATGTCATAGGAGTTGATTGCCTTAAGAGTAGACTGTCATGAGAGCAAACTTTCTTAAGAGCTGACTGTCTTAGGAGCTGACTGTCTTAAAAAGCTGACTGTTATAAGAAATGACTGTCTTAAGCGCAGACTGTCTTTAGAGCTGACTGTCCAGAAAGCAGACTGTCCTGAGAGCATGCTGTCTTCAAAACAGACTGTCTTAAGAGCTGAGTGTCTAAAGGGCTGACTGTCTCAGGAGCTGACTGTTTTAGGAGCTGATTTTCTTAAGAGCTGACTGTCTAAAGAGCAAATTGTCTCAAGAGCAAAGATCATGCCATTGTCATCTTCTAGCCGGTTTTCATTGGTGACAGATTCAGGATTGTAGTCAAGAGTGCCTCTGACCCAGTTAGAGTAGAAAAGTGCCATTGTAAGCTTGAGAGAATTGGAGTTTGAAAAATCAAAATGGTTTACCTTTCTTCTGTTCTCACTAAATGACTTTTACTGGACTATAGTGCTCTCAGCTTCTGACTAGGATGTTAATTCTGACTGCGACATAAGTAAAAACTAATCTTTGATGTACTTGTTAGTTTTGTCCTAACCTCTCGTTTCTCATTCCCAGGTCCTCCTCATCCCCATCAGCAGGGTGGTCCACCACACCCTCCCCCTTCAGGTGGACCTGGACCATATCCACCCCAGGGACCTGGGGGACATGGACCTCCACCTCCACCCCCACCAGCATCTGGTGCTCCCCCTCCACCTCCTTGGCAAAGTGAGTAGAGAAACCTGTTTGAAATATTTGAGAAATGTCCATCATCTTTGTAAATGTTGACATGCCTGTTAATGCCTATGTTTTGATAAGCAAGGAAACTTTATCAAATTATGATGAAGTTTTTAGTCCAGCGGCATCAACTTCATAGGGAGAAGTTGTTTATTTTTTTAGCTAAAATCGGTTGCTAAAATGTTGAGATGCCTTGAGCAAAAAGGGCATTTACCAACTCCATCAGATGGCCATGCCCCCCTTTTCCTGATTCAAATTTTGTTCATCAAAGTTTTGTATATGGTACTGCTTAGCTAGCAACATGGCCAAGGGGAAAGTGGCAAGATAAATTATATTGAATCACATGGTGAACAATTATTTCTTGTTGTAGTAGCATGTCTTTATTACTTTTTCAATTGGTTGTAGCATGATGACTGAGCTGAGCATGTACTTGTCCATGTGAGGAGAAGTGTTGAATATGTGGAAATATTGCATTACTTTATTAACACCAGTAAACTAACAATATCTTTATCTTCTCTGGTAGATCCTGTCCCCCCACCCTGGCAGAATCAGGGACCTGGATTTGCTCCACCCCCACCCCCAGGGTTTTCTCCTTATGGACCACCCATGCCACCTCCCTCAGATGGTCATTGGGTGAGTTTTAGTTCCATGAATTGTTTTTTGTTAATAAGATGATTACTGTGAATTCAGGCTTTACAAGCCCAGTGCCCAATCTGTAGAACTGCCAGAATAATGAATCCATTAGTTGTGGTTGTAGTCAAAGCCTTAGATAGTGCCACCTCAAGGCTCAGTCAAGTCAGCATAGAAAGGCAGGAAAAAATCGGGCAAAAATTGGCAGGGGTGCATTCCCCAGATATTTCTTTTCTGACAACTACCATGTGAAGTTCACCTGCTATGTTATTCAATACTTCTGTTCAAGGTGGGAGATAAAGTGGCCCCATGCTGGACTCTGGTTTGAGAGGTCCTGGGATCAGAGGTCCTGGGTTAAGAGGTCCCTGGGTTGAGTGGTCCCTGGGTTGAGTGGTCCTGGGTTGAGTAGTCCATGGGTTGAGAGGGTGTTTCATTGCATTGTTCTTGGTCAAAACACTTTAATCCCACAGTGCCTCTTTCCACCCAGAATGGCTGGTTCAAGTTATCAGGGAAGCCTGATGAAATGCAGGAAGTAACCTCATTGTTGGCTGGCTTCCTATCCGAGGGGGAGTACATGCAGTAATACTCCTAGGTGCTTCATGCTATGGAGTCTGGGATAAGCTCCAGCTGTATGAGCTGCTTGGGTTAAGTAGGGACTTTTTATAGTTTACCTTTGTTCCAGAGGGTGGAAAAGGAGTTTTCTCCCCTGTCTGGTCCACAAGCATAGCTCTTCTCTTAGGCAAGATGCATTACTCTTGCATTGATTGTCTTCACCCAGATGGGCACAAGTTAAACTGTCAGGAAAATGTGGCGGGGGGGGGAGATAATCTGTGATGGACTCACATCCCATCCCATGAGAGTAGAAATACAGAAATACAGAAATTGAGAAAAGCCCTGCCTAAGCATGAACTTGAGCCACTTGGCTCATCCAACCTTCTTTTCACCTGGTAATATATCACTGGTGCCATACATTTTGTTTCAGTCTATGCTTAAGAACAGTATTGATTTAGACATTCTAATGAATGACTTTCATTTTTATACCTAGGCACCACCCCCCCTGATGGGTGCACCTCCTCCTCCACCGCCACCCCCTCCTCCAGGGCCACCTCCTCCATCATCATGAGAGACAGAAGACAGAGGTTGTGGCAGTCAGGGTCACAGGAAATATACAAGTGTCTGCGTGGTTTAGCCACATTTCACCAGAGACTTTGTTATTACAAATGTAAAATCCACATCTCTGCTCCTGATTCATGCAATTGTAGCATAGTGATAAGAATTTGTTAACTTTGGCAGCTCTCTTGAGGAATTTTAGTCTTTGTGATGTCTCTGCTGGAAAAGTCAAAGATTAAGTTTTATGTCGAAGCTGGCTGCTCTTAAAGAGTTCCTTTCCTCTCTTCAATTTTCTCGGCGAAATTGTCTCCAGAGGTTTTCATTGTAAAGAAAATCAACCATTAAGTTGTTTCTCTTGGTCAAAAACAAATGTTGTGTCTTAGGAAATTTCATATGCAGGTAGTTGAAGCACAAACGGAGTCACCCTTGGTTTACTTTCTTCGTTTTTAAGAACAAAAGAAACACTTCAAAACGTCATATGCTGTAAACGCTGTATCAAATGAGCATATTTTTAAACTAAAGTTTGCCCTTGGGCTGGAATTGGGAACAGCTTTCCCTGGGCCAAGCGCTGTTTACTTCACGTCGACTCATCTGGTTTCTTAGGTAGAGTAGGCGTTCATCTTTTAAACAAATAAACACAAAAGGTGATGATAGAGAAATTCTTGGATCGTTATTTAACCCATTAACTCCCATGAGTGACCAAGACAGAATTTCTCCTCACAAAATCAATACAATATTCAGCGGACGAGTGATAAGAATAAAGAAAAATATTAATTAGGGAATTATTGGTTGATCTAACACCAAATTCTCTAAACTAACATCACAAGAACTATATGGCAGACAGTAAGGAGAATTAGTAGTGAGATCTGGGGAGATAAAGGGTTAACCTAAAGTAAGGTGTAAGGAACTTTGAAGGTTTTTATCTCCATTATTTTCCTACGTTCTTTTTTATTTCCATTTTTGGCTGCTTCGTTCCATGTCACTCGCCAACGTAACAGGCTCTGAGACCAAAGGTTAGCCAAAAAGAAGTAATTCCTGTAGGCGGCCTATCTGCTTGGTCTCTAGACCCTTTTTCATTTCGCGGCTGAAGAGAACGAAAGAGGCGCGGGGCATGGGAATTTTTTACCTCCTCGCTCTGAGGGGAAGAGGAGCCCGAATCCATTTCATTGAGCGGAACCAAATTGGATGGTTTGCAGAATAACTTGATTCTATCGATTGAATCGATATTATGAATTGACCATAATCGAGAGTTACTAAAGCTGAGTTTCGAGCATCTGCCCTTTGCTTTGGCTTGCTAAGGGCTGGTGCTAACGTTCTTGTTTCGTCCAAATTTGAACTCGGTGCAACCAAATTATTCCTCAGAGCGAAGGAAACTTAGGCCCTTAGAGGCGAGAAGAAGAGAGAATCTGGGAACGAGATGTTTTGGAGGAACAGAAACGTGACATGCGTGCCTTACGCGATAGGCTCTTTAGAGCGCTTGACTGATTGAAGGTTTGGTCCAGTTTAGAAATTTTTTCTTATACCCTGAGACATTGCTCTGCTTTTCTTAGTATTTTCTTGTTTAGCTTTTGCGCACTCTATCGTTTTGTGACTTCCAAGATAAAACCATCTTTCGTCCAGAGCCTCTCGTGGCTTCGCCGCACTGCGCTAGCATACAGAACCGCCAGCTTCGCAAGCTATTTCCTGTTTTGCTTTCTTTTGCTCAGTTCCGAACTGTTTACATTCCTTTTTTACATATTAAAAATTCCTAAATTATATTGCGAGGTGTTTCTGTAATTATGCTGTAGAAATTTCGCTTTTTTTTTGTCTAAGATTCAAAATTTTTGTTCTTAGTATTTACCCGTGCGTCTACCATTACCTCGTTGATATTTAAGCAATAGACCGCATTTTCTATCGGTCTATGGGCGAAATAACTTCTGGGGATGTTGGGAGAACAAGACGAAAGTTTGGGAATCACGAGCTAAAGGCGAGTGATCTACAAAATTTTCAATGGCTATCAGAAATTTCAAAGAAAACAAAACTCAATTTACTCCAGGTTTACGATAAATTTTTGACCAATCAGGACGCTTGTAGTAATTATCCAAATACTGATAAGTGCTTTAAAAATATGACGTTTCAGATCACATCACTGCATTATAAGGCCGAAGAATCTTTTTAAAATCACGCGAGTGGTTTATGATCATCAGCCACACAGCATGCAAGTGAAAAAACAAACAAATAAAGAAAAAACATACTTCGGTCATATCCAGTGTTATCAGTATTTTATCATTTTCTTCAAGATACTACCCCCTTGAAGTTATCATTTCAAGACAAGAAACATCCGCATTTTCTTTCTTTGTTTTAAATTCTTGTTCGGAAATACGACCTTTATTTTTTCCTTTATGTTTTACAGTGGGATATCATTCCATAATTAATACTTCCTCCTTAAAAAAAAAAGAAAAAATCCATCACCCAATTTAAAAAATCCATCACCTAATTTAAAATCAATATTAGAATTAATTTATGTCTTTATTTGTTTTTTTCATTGGTGATATTTTGTCGCAATTGATCAGTGAAATTTAATTTCGACTGCGCTTGTTGGCTGGGTTCAATGTTCAGAGATGCCTAATGTTTTGGAGTAAATGATTGATGCGTTGAAAGAAATTGTATTTGATTAATTTTTGACTTTCGCACTCTGATCTGTTCTGGCAGACACTGTGTGAGTGGTGATTCACAAGCGCGCTCGTACCGAACAAGTCAGTCGATTTCGCGTGTAATTTAACTTTTCAACGTCTTTAACAAGTCTGGAGAGAAGTCTGTCCTTTTCTGAAGAGGCGAATGTCGTAAGCTACAGTCACAAGAGATGGAAAGTCCCGCGGAAGGTGTGTTTATCACGGCTGTATGTTAGAGATGCGAGGAATTCTGCCCTGCAATAGCGTTTTATTCAGCTTACGTTTAGCATGAAAGATCTTGTGGTGAGTATTTATAAAATAGCTGCTGTAATGTTGTTTCATTGTCGTTAACTAAAATACCTTTCCTTCGCACGATCTAAGGTTAGCTTGGCTTCTGGTTCGATAGTAAACACATTTAAATACATCCGTTTAGTGCCACTGATTCCAGAATCGACTTACTTGGCCGTCAAATTAATAAAACCGTCTCTGAAATACACTTACGATGAACATGATTGTTCTGTTACACCCAAGCTCCTGAAATCATGAGCCAATTTTGAAGAGGAACCTTCTAGACTATGCTAAGCTGATATCTGTCCTGATTTTTAACTCTCCGCTATTTTATTTAATCGGTATTTACATAACCGAAGAGAAAATTGGTCAATAAGCGAGCTGGATAGAAAGTTCAAACCTTTCAGTTAAAGTGTAAACCTTTAAATTTTCATTTCAACTCTGACCGAAAGGTTAAAATGTAGTTCTTTTTTTTGCGAGTGTGTGTATTTGAAAATAACGTCTGGAATATGTTAACAATATTCCTGTCGCAAAGACAGCACATGATTCACTTGTTTATTTTCTTGCGAGCTATTTTGATATAAACACGGGAGAAAGTTTTCTTTTTTTCACAAACTGATATTTCAATACTGGAAATTGGCAGAGAAATTTCATTGTGTTGATGTTTGTAAAATCCTTGAGCGTGTCATTTCGAAAAGCATCCCGCGTGGACTGGCTGTTAACGTGGAAAAAATTACAAATTACAAACCAGCACGGCCTCATATTACTGGGTCATCTGAGACATGACGGCAACTTTTTTGGTCTTTAATTCTTAACAAGCTGTATAAAATGTATTCCTAGGTCAATTTGTAGTTTCTTAAATTTTGAGAAATGCATCAAGATTTTTCCTCAGTCCTCACGAGTCTGAATAATTTGTTTACTTTTTATTTGTTTGCTGAACTTGATAAGACCATTTTTTCTTGACATCACATATAAAAGTGGACTGGACCATTGGATTGTTGGACTATATTCTGTCCTATTTCTTAGGGCCATTTATTTTCTTCTGAATTTGACATAATCACAAAATCGAAAATGATAAAAATCAAATGGGTAAGTAAACTAACGAAATCTGACTTCAGTCAGTCAGGTTTGAGAGATGATAAGGAATGGAAACGAAAAATCTCGCAATTTACTGCTTTTGTCTTTGCTTTTACAACTCAGGAAAGATGCGAGGTATTTTTAATTCATAGCCACGCGTCTCGCATGCGCTGCGCGAATACCACGCGTGTCAATGCAGATTTAGGAGCATGCGTGGTTTAGAGTCTCGATCGCAACGAGGCGTTGTGTGGCCGTATTATTCAAGCTTTCTGCCCTTGCTAGTGACTCGAACAAATACTTACCTGTAAGGCGTTTTCGCTCTAACGCTGCGTCAAAAATCTGCAGCACTGCACTTGACTTAGGAGTCGATTTGCCATTCTGATTCGCGGGTCATTTTCAAAAATGAAGGATAAAACAACTTTGAATCAGGTAAGTCGAGAATGGCGCGCATTTAGGAGTACTGTGATCAGTTGCGTGGTCTTAACCTTGCCATAAAATTCTCTCCCTAATTCAGTGGCAAAGTGCGCCTCAGGACTCGCTTAATTTGCTAGTTCATTTGCTATCGAAGTCAGGAAAATTATTTTTGTTGTTTTAAGAAACGGTGCTGTTCGGCTGGAATTCTGTTTTGTTATTTTCTTTAGCAACCTTATGTCACGCACAACGACGAAGACAGTGTCTCTGTTTCTGACCATTTTCTACGGGTTGTGTGTTAATAGTCTGCCCTTTTGGCAGTGTCAAACCGCCATATCTTCCTTGGAAAGTTTACAAAACAAAATTTAAGCCGTTTTTTCTTGTCTTTGTTTGGAAACGATCACACGATTTCCTGTTGTTGGTTTCAAAAATTTAAACGAACTCCTCCGTATCTTCTGGAGCTTTCGTGCAAGACATAAACCGTGTTGAATTCAATGTTTCAAAGAACGTGTTCCTTCTGTCCTCTTCGCATGAAATAATTATTGTCAGGATGTTTGAATTGAACGAACTCATGTGGTTTGAATTCTTCATTTTATATTCAATAATTTAGCCTGCTATTTACAAGCGTGTGAAATGTAGGGACGGTCTGCTGAACTGTTCAAGCGATCTCGTCGCTCTAATAATTTTATTGTGAATATGCTAAAAATTTCGACTACGGTTGCAATTGAACTTTAAACGCGAATAGCAATGGAAATTTATTTTATTCTTTACTCGTGTCAGTTAATTGTACTCAAGATCGTTTCTTCACGGCTTAAATATCACTCGTAGAGTGACGCGCTGTTTGGATTTTCTCAAAGTGCATATGATTATTCGCCTAAAAAAAAAATTCCCAGTTAATCTTAGTCGTGGGGGCGTGTTGTAATAGGCGTGAAGTCTACCACACCTAGCTCTGTGCAAACGCAAACTACTATTTTCTATTTTCAGCTTTTTCTTACGAAAACTATTGCCTGTAAAGGTTTTCTTTGCTTGTACCAAATATAAGTTTAATGTGTCATGTTTGAAGGGCCATATGCCAGATTTATCGGGATAAGATCTTTTTAATCGTCGTTAATGAGAAACGTGAAATGTTTGTCTGTACTTTTTTTAAAAGCATTCTCAGGAAAAGTTCAAAGGACGTTTTCGATGTCCAGTAGAGAGGGTGAACTACATGTGCTATTGCTTACTATTGCTTATGATTTGGGGTGAAGGAACTATTGTTCGTTGCGGAGTTGTTGACAACTTTCGAACGTTTGATCGAGATTATAGTCTAGATTTAATACGGTTGGTTACTCATTTTGTAAATTTATATTCAGGATTGATTGTGCCACCTACATTGAATTCCATAATCACTGCTTGGTTTCGAATATAAACTTCGAAAAAGTCAATTTTCTTCGTTTCCCCGAATCAGCCGATGGATTTTTCGAACGAATGAACAGTTGAGGAAATCGACAAAGAACAGAGATTCTAGTCTGGTCACGCCAATTACTTCTGTTGTTCTTTGCAATGATTCCTTAGCCAGCCCGGCCAAAACTTGTTTACCTATACCAACAGTTACTCTTTTGTATAATGTTAAAATAAATATGTTTCTTTTGTGGAAATTCGGACTTCTGGGTGATAACTTGTGTGTTATTTGTTTTGAAATTATGATCGAAGTACATTACTGTGCGAGGCCACTGTCATCGTTTGTGTCGTAATCGAGAACTTTTATGGTTTTCTTCGAGTTGGTCTGTTACAATTGTGCAATCTTCATGATTTTTTCCTATCCTGAAACACCATCTTGAAAATTAGCAAGCCTTATCTGGTTATGATTGTTTTACACTTTCATACATGTCTTATTTATCTTTTTCATCTTCAGGTGGTTAGGGCCACAAAATAAATAAATTTAGTGATATACATGGAAAGAATGTAAACTTGCAGAGGCAGTGATTCTCATAATTGTGCTAGGAAACAGGAAAACTCTATTCTAACAAAAAAGAATCACCTAAACTATGTGATGTTTGGTTATATTGAATAAAATGTTCATTATGTTTGAAATAATTGTGGGTGTTCCCCATCAATTTTCATTGTTTTTATCTCAGCAAGCAATTCAAATGAAGACAGGAGGGAAACAGTTTTTTTAGGGGCAATACTAAAGTGACATTAGCAAGTTAACAATTTGTTGGAATTAAGGACATTTTAATTTAATTTTGTAACTTTGCTTACCAGTAATTTGTTCCTCCATCTTTTCCTCCTGGTCTGTCTGCTATTTAAATCTCAGTGAGCAATTGCAATCAAGGCAGAATGTAAATATTGTTTTTATCAACAATTGTTAGTCAAGTGTTATCAGTTATTTAAACATTGTTTGGTTTTCGCGAATGTGTGAATTAATTTCATATTTTTGTCTTATCACCTGCTCCTCTTCCTTTGTGTCCGCATGGTCCACAGAATTACAATTTGTAAACACTATCCCTTCATTAAGTTAATTGTTTTTTGATTTAAAATCTCGTTAGTTTTCTCTAAATAGCTCTTTCTCATTATGTGTTAGCTCTCAATGCAATTTTCGTATTTACTGAGGCTTTTAAAATTGCTATCAGCCAAAATCATTTATACAAATTGATGTTTTGTAATCCGTTATTTTTTTTATACTCTTATTGAAATAAGTTAGGCTAGACAACCTGTCTAGATAGTGTTGTTCTAAATAAGATATTGACAAATTTTCCTTTCACTTCTAAAATTTCCTATGAGTGACCGAGAAATAATTTCTCCTTACAATATCAATACAATATCAAGCAGACAAGTAATGTGAATAAAGAAAAAGATCAATTAGCAGATTTTTAGTTGATCCAATACCAAATTCTTTGAATTAACATCATAAGAGTTGTATGGCAGACAGTAAGGAGAATTACTCAGGAGATCTTGGGAGTGAAAGGGTTGACAGAAGTTGTGTAATTTGTCCTCAGGTTGATGTTGCATTTTTGCGAGCTGCAAGAGCTGGAAACCTTGAGAAGGTTCGAAACTTTTTGAATGAGGAAGGAGATATACACACATGCAATGCTGTGAGTAGAATGAATTTTTTTTGTTGTCAAGATGATGGAATAGACACTTGCAACAGATAAACTATGTTAAGTCAATGTTGTTTTACTTTCTTAGTGTAAATGGTTAAGAAATGAATCCTTCATTTTCAAGAGTGACCAAAAGGGAATTTCTCCTCAAGATATTGATACATTTTAAATGAGAAAGTGTTGAGAAAAAGGAATTGTTTTTAGAGACACCCAGGCTGTAAGCCTTTTTTTAAGGGGGGGGGGGAAGGGAGAGAAGGTTGAAGTTATCATTTGGTATACTGTTGTTATATATAACCAATTTCTCCTTAATGGCCATGAAGAGTTTGTACAGGTCATCAGTTCAGAGAATTAAGCTTTCAAATCTTGGAGAAGAGAGGGTAAACATTTTTTTTCCTTCCTTGCTAGAATGGCCTGAATGCTCTACATTTGTCATCAAAGGAGGGCCATGTTGAGGTTGTTCAGGAGCTATTAAAGCGAGGAGCAGGAGTGAACTTTACAACCAAGAAAGGCAACACAGCACTGCACATTGCTTCACTTGCAGGACAAAAACCAGCTGTAGAAGTCTTGTTAAAATCAGGGGCTTCTGTGAACTCCAAAGCTCAGGTATATATGGCAAAATTTATTTAATTGGCATGCTTTACACCTAAAAATCAGTATACATAATCTCCCTACTATGCTCTACATATTTCTTATGTTGTTTACAAGGAGAATTTGTCGAACAATCAAGAGCATTTTAAGTTGATCATTTCCTTTATTCTCACGACCCCAGTGTCTGATTTAGTGGGGATTCTTGTAGGAGAAATTAGATGCTTATCACTTGTAAGGGTTAAATTATTGGCTGAGTTTTTATGGTGAGAGATGCAGTTGGTATATGGATCTACCCTCAATTCCTCAGAGGACTCGTTGTTCAGATTATTTTATATAACACTCTAATTCTCACAAGTGACTAGCAGCTAATTTTTCCCTACAGTTTCATTCTTGAATCAAACATTATAATCATGAGGATAATGGAAATGATTGCAAACTTAAGAAGCTCGTATTGATCGTTGGACAAATTCTCCTTGAAAGTATATAACAAAATGTATAGAGAACAGTTGGGAGAACTTGCATACTGATGTTAGGATGTTAAGGGTTAAAAAGTCCATTGTGCCATATTAACCTCTTACCTGCCTTGCTTCTAAGAGACAGACCACATAGTGGCATTATTTTGTTAAACTTTTAACACCCAAGATCTGATTATTAATCCTTGCCTCTAGCTGTAACACCTTTCCTTGTAAATTGGTAACAAGAATTTGGTCAAGATAACAACTTCTACCTGATAAGTTTGAGTATCCTCATTACCTGTCTGCTGAATAATGTATAGATAGTGTAGGGAGAAGTTACATTTGAATCACACTTTTACCTGTAAATGCCAATGATTGTGGTGGTCTGTTACAGAATGGCTTCACACCGCTGTACATGGCAGCGCAAGAAGGTCATGTTGATGTTGTAAGAACTCTTCTTCTTGAAGGAGCAAACCAGCAGTGTACAACTGAGGCAAGTGGACAAGTATTTAATTTCTCAATTCTCTTTACTGCTCTCCTTGTAAATCCTGTAGCAATAGCTGCAAGGATTGAGATTTTTTTATCCATGACGGTTTTGTAAACTTAAGCTAATTCATCTTCAAAATTTACAGCATGGAATTTGTGGTAGCTCTGCAAGACAGCGCTATTGTTTTGGTATCTTTGATTAACAGTGTTTGCTGCTTTCCATTTGGTATTTTCCATAAAATTACATTTACTGTCTGGAACATGACATAGTTTGAAGTGAATTTTAGGTTGAAGTGATGTAATAGGTACTTGAAAAAAATTGCTTTAACTGATAGAATAAGCATTTTTTTTTTTGCACTTCAGAATTAAAAAGAGCACTACAAATTTAAAAGGCATTGCTGACAAAGTTTACCTTATTTTCATGTTTGTAAAAATTTTTTTAGAAAACTGTATTTCATGAGACACTTTTAGCAACTTAAAACATCATAAATAGTGTCAATGCTGTTGTTGTTGATGAATTTTGAATGAAAAATTAAAAGACAAATGAACTCAGCTTCAATTGGTTTTTCTGCTTTACAGGATGGTTTTACTGCAATTGATGTGGCTGTCCAACAAGGACATGAGAAAGTTGTTGCTGCCCTTCTCCATAATGACTCAAGAGTAAATAATTCACCTGTTACCTTTTCCTTCAAATTTCTTTTCACAAAGTTGTGTGTCAGAATTTCTTTTTTGGCCTAAATGTCTCTTATGATTTTTTTTTATACTTGGTCTAGTTAAGAAAGCCATTCCACAGGCATCTAGCTGCTGGATCCCTTCATTTCTCTATGAATTCTTTTATATATCTGTTTAATTGGAGTTTCATTTTTTTTTTTTTCTGCTACAGAAAGGCTACCGTTCCCTTCATACTGCAGCAAGGAAGGACTTTGCTAAGGCCGCTAAACTTTTGCTTCAGAAAGATCACAAACCTGATGTTGAAGCTCCAGTGAGTTGACTTCTGTTTGCACTTGTAATTCATGATTTTAAGATTAACATGTTGTCTGATTAAAAAGATATATATTATATACTATGTTATTAATTTGTAGAATGGATTTACGCCCCTTCATATTGCTGCCAAGTATGGAAATCAAAATGTGGCAGGGGTTTTAGTTCAACATGGTGCCTCCATTGACTACAAAACAAAGGTACAGTGTGTGACCAAGACAGAATTTCTCCTTACAATATCAATACAATATCAACCAGATAAGTGATGAGAATAAAGAAAAATATCAATTTGGGGATAATTAGTTGATCCAGTACTGAATTCTCTGAACTAACATTATAAGAATTGTATGGTTGACAGTAAGGAGAATCACAAATTTGATCTGGGAGTGGAAGGATTAATTGTGGTTGGGTGAGTTTGTAATTTGTTTATTTTTTTCTCTACAGAATTACGTTATTGCTCCTCTTCATGTGGCATCAAAATATGGAAATCTCAATATTGTTACACTGCTGGTTGAAAAAGGGGCCAAAGTCGACATTCCTAACAAGGTATTTTAGCTTCATGCATTCAAGCACTTAAACTACTTGTCTGAAAAATATGTGTAGCATGCAGATTTCTAATCAGAGTTGCCAAAATTTGGAACATGAATGAGAGAGGATTGGAAGTAAATTATTGTGCTCAGATTTGTAAGATGTGGAACAAGGAATTGAAAATCTGTGTTGTGTTTTTTCTTGGAATGATTTATTTATTTCATTTAAAACAGTTGTGACAAATGCATATGTGACATGCATATTATAACACAAACCAGTTTTTGCTGGGAACTTAAAAAATGAGAACTTCAGAATAAGCATTATTATTGTTCAGTTACTGGAAAATAATGATCATACTTACCATCCACAGTAGTGGGTTTTAATGTGGTGATCCACAAATAATATGACTCAAATTTGTCGCCTTGTAGGATGGCCTTACTCCTCTTCATTGTGCAGCAAGGGATGGACATGACAAAGTTGTAGAATATCTTGTGAATAAAAAGGCGTCAATAACAGCCAGAACTAAGGTATGATCATCAAAATATAACTTCTTGTAATACACCACAGCATTGTAGTGGAATCTGAGGTTATTAAAGAGGATTATAGAAACTGTTAGAAATGTTTTGAATGAGCCTCTGAATCTTGATACTCACTTTGAATAAAATATGTTTGGCTTTGGCAAAGGAGTATTAAAGCATGAGTTGTCTGCAGAAGTTTTGAATTGATTGGGGTTTAACTAAAATTAAAGCAATCCCAATGATCTGCATTGTATATCAGCACAGAAAGAAATATCAGAAGATGGTAGTGAGAACTTGAGGAATAAAAAAGCAACTGCCTGAAACTTGGGAAAAGGAGTGACAAAAATTGTGATCGGTTTTTGTTTCACATTTGCTCCGACAAAAGATTAACCCTTGAAATGTCAGCTCTAGAATCTATTTGCAGTGGCCAATTTGCATTTTACACTCAGTTGATAAAAAAACCAAATTATCCTGTACCATTCTCCACTAATAGTCAGAGCACCAGAGTTTCTCTAGAGACTTACCTCCTTTATTCAATTGGTCAGTAGGCTGGAATGAGTTTTTAGACGAATTGCAGAGGGCTTGTAAGGAAAACCATCACCATATCATATTTCTTTCACTGATGTATAAGAGTGATCATGGACATTTTTTTTTTTTTAAACAGCATGGACTTACTCCTTTGCACATGTCTTGCCAAGGAAATCATGTCAGCACATCTGGACTTCTAATTGATAACAAGGCTCCAGTAAATGCTGTCGCAACGGTAAGAATATATGATGAAGTACAGAAAAATGTTTTGATCTATCTTTTCTTTTTCTATAAGATTTGATTTTTTTAACCTGTGTTTAATGCACTGTAAGACTTGCTGGCTTAAAATATACTATATGTTATTTTTTTTGTCTTTGTCCACCACAATAATTCATGGAGCAAAGTGATTTTCCTTGTCACATGATACTGTAAAGTGAAACAGGTATCAGTGTATGATTACGTTTTAATGGACAAGGATAGAGTTAGCTTTGAAAATAGACATTGATTTAAACACACAGTGATGTAAATGTACATGTAATCTCTTTGTCATAAAGCCTCTGATATAATAGTTTGTGAAAGTTTTATTCAACAAACTAGTTTCTTTTTTTGAGACTACAATTTTTCATCATGCGAATGGTTTGTACGTCTTGTAAAATTGATATCCAGAAAGAACTGGGATTTGTTTAAGTTGTATTCCTCAAGTGTTATGGGGAAATTGATTTTCCAATCTCTTCACAGAATGGCCTGACACCTCTCCATATCGCAGCGCATTACGGTCATGTAGACATTGCTGAGTTATTGCTGAATCGCAGTGCTGACACGGATGCAAGAGCTAGGGTGAGGTTTTGTGACTTGAAAAAATACTTTCTTTTTGATGGCATAGCTGAGTTTTTACTGAGCTTGTGCTTTAATAAAATGTACAATTTTTTACAGATGCTTCTCAAGATTTACTTTAACAATTGTCATCCAAGGCATATATTAACTTTTCTGATAATTTGAGTGAGTTCTTTTTTGTCTTCCAAAGTTTTTTTTTCACTCTTGAATACAGTAAAAAGCATGTTAGTTGTTTCAACATCATTTTGAGTTACTATTTTGTTGTGTGCTGTGCCTTAAATTATCAAAAATGACATTTTTGTTAATTGAGGGTGTGAGATTTTATGGTGAAAAGGGATTGAATTCTTTTCCAAACACAAAATAATAAACCAATAGGTTTGATGGTCACTGTGTTGAATTTTCCCTTCAGAATGGATTTACTCCTCTTCATGTGGCCTGCAAGAAGAATCGTGAACAGGTTATTCAGTTGCTGTTGAAGTACGGTGCAAACGTCCACTCTGCTAATGAGGTAATTTTTGTTAAAAGAAATAAACGTTGCAAACATAATCTTGTATTCTTAATAGAGTAGGGACGATTATGAATTTTGAATCCACAAAATGCTTTTGACGTTGTTGTAATATGCAGGACATTTGTCACATATGAACAAAGTAATGGGATAAGTTATCATAGAAATCTTTGTAACTCACTGGTTGTGCATTAGAGGGCAAAATCAGGGGGTTTGGGTTTTTAATTCTGTTGTTGTTGCTCAAGACAAAACAAAAAAGCATCTCTCTTTACATATACTGACAAATCAGCTCTAATAAGTTAGCAAGGAAATTTCACTGTACAAAAAACTAGACTTTCTTTAGTTACCAGGAGTACAATTTTGGTTACATTATATTTTCAATTGACTTTTTAAAACAGACTCTATGGAGTGAAGCACATTGTTCATCTTTCTGGCCCTGGTTGTGTGAAGGGTGAATAATAATATCCATAAGATAAATCTTTGTCTACAGGATAGCACAGTTTGTTTTGTCAACACTTATCAATTGGATAGCAATTTATCTACATGGTGTTGTATGTCCTTTGAACAAATAGGCCATGATGGACTTTTGAATACTTTTTTTTACCACAATGTTTCTCTTATTAGGAAATTGAAAGTAAAAATTAATTTGAAGTTTTCTCTGCTGCACCAGTTGAAATTACTCCAGAATAGTTCATTTGCTGATATACTCATTTGCTAGAAAAAACAGGCAATCACATTGTTCGATTCCCTTGGCAAGAGAGTCATGAAAACAACTGCTGTTTAGGACTATAGCCTGAGGGCACTTTTTCTTCAGAGTCAATAATATAATTTTCTCAGTGTAGCATACATTTTGTATTTAATTTAAAATGGAAAAATTATGTTTCTTTATTTATTTTCCCTCCAGGGTGGCCAAACTCCCATGCATGTGGCAACATACTATGGAAATGTAACTTTAGTTCTCATCCTTCTGCAACATGGTGGTTCTCCTGATATTACTAATGTGGTAAGTCTCTATGTATTTCAAAATAAGAATTCTGAATGTTTTTTGCTTTTTTTTCTTTTTGGTTATGGCTATGTTATTTGTGGTTAAAGCTTCTTGAATATTCTACCTGGGTTTAAACTTAGTCCAATATAAAATCTATTGTTCAATTGAACAAAAGAACACATGGCTTCATTTGCAACATCATTTCATTAGCATAACCTTTGTTCAATGAAGTGCTTTTTTTGTGTGTTATATTATATACCTGACACAGTATATTATAGCTTTCAATATTTAATGAAATTTTTTCCTCAAGTTTCTGTTGTAAATAGAAATTTTTTGAAAATTGGAATGTTATGACTTGAATTTACAGCATTCTTCAAAACTGGCAGAAAGAATTAAAATTTCTGATAAAATATCAGACTAGAATGGTACTTATTGAACCAACTAAAGTGAAGAGTTAACACTTAAATGAATATAATGTTTTTATATAATTTGTAGTTTAAAATGAGTCACAGGTCAAAATGATTTTAAACTAGTTAAATATTTGTGCTCCTTTGTCCTCGGTACATGTAACTAGCATTGTCACTCTCCTTTGATGCCATGTTGCAATATGAGGGTATCAAACATGCACAATATGCCATGGTATTGTACCGCAGAACAGAGAAAAAATGCAACGGAATGTGAAGCAACAAAGTGACTGCTCTGAACAATCCAAGCTTTGTTTGTTTTTCCACATTTTAAGGTTTGCTTTTAACCCTTAACACCCCAGAATCAGTATGCATATTCTCCATACTGTTCACTAAACATTTCCCAAGATGCCAACATGGAGAATTTGTCTAACAATCGAGAGCTTCTTTAGTGGATGATCAGCTCCTTTATTCTCCTGACCCTACTTTTTGATTCAGGGGTGATATGTTAAGGAGAAATTAGATGCTAGTCACTCTTAGGGGTGGATGGTGGAACAACAAAAGTTCAGATTTTTTTGTGGGTCATAATAACACTTCTCAGTTTTGATTTGATATGCATTTTGATCTTTGTGAAACCTCTACTAAATAAAATGGAAGTTTTTCCATTACGCAAAGTTTATTGCTCTTGTTTAACAGAGAGGTGAAACTGCCCTCCATATTGCCTGCCGCAGACGAGAGATAACAATTGTGAGGCTTCTATTAAGGAATGGTGCATCAGTGGATGCCAAGACCCAGGTGAGAATTTGTTTGATGTTTTGCAGATTTAGGTGCATGATATTACCATGCATCTTTGTATCCTAATTTTCTTTTTTTTGGCTAATTTGCTGTTCTGTTTGTAATTTTTAGGACCGTGAAACTCCATTACACATCGCTGTTAGAACAAAGAATGTTGAGATGGTCAATCTTCTTCTGGATCATGGGGCTTCTCCAGATGCCATAGATAAGGTATAAATACTGCTAAACTTAAATGGTGCCAAGATGATTTGGTTTTATCAACTAAGTTAATATTATAAATTAGCCACCATAAAGAGCTTCAAAGTTGACATTTTGAGCATTAGCACTAGTCATTTGCTCTGACAAAGAGCTAACGCTGAAAGCATCAGTCAAGAAACTCTTTACAGTGGCCAATTCACATTATCAACTCAGTTGATAAAACCAAATTACCCTGCTATACTCCCCCACTGACACTGCACCACAGCACCACAGTTTCTTTAGAAACTTACCTCCTTTATGCAAATGGTGCCAACATCATAAGCCATCATAAACATTTGTGGTAGGAGACATCAGAGTTCTAGGAATATTTTTTAAAAAATTGACAATCAGCTGAAGGAAAGACTGTTGAATATACTTTTTCATTCCAAAATGGGCAAACAGTACTCAACCCTTTGACGTGTTAACCCTTTCACTCTCAAGATCTGATTAGTAATTCTCCTTACTATCTGCCATACAATTCTTATGATGTTAGTTCAGAGAATTTGGTATTAGATCAACTAATAATCCCATGGTTGACATTCTTCTCTATTCTCATCACCTGCCTGCTTGATATTGTAAGGAGAAATTCTGTCTTGGTCACTTGTGGGAGTGAAAGGGTTAAGAGTAACTAGCATCTAATTTCTTGTTACAAAAATCAAATCAAACGTTAAGGTCGCAAGAAGGAAGTGATCACCAACTAAAGAAGCTCTTGCAGGGCATGAAATTGCGCCTAATACAGGCGCCAATGCGACTAAATTTTTTCACTTTGGCGACCAAATCCTGAAAGTTAGTCGCCAAATTGGCGACTAGAACGTTTCATCATAACCTTACCAAGAGATATAGTGCATTAAAAAATTTCAAACGTTAAGTTTGTTTCCAAAAACAGCACACGTGCAAGGATAACTAGACACCATCTTGGATTTAGATGAGCCTGAAAGTTGTATATCATCCATCCTAGTGGTTAAAGATCTTTTCCCTAACTTAATTTTGGAGGGTCTATCTAGAACGCTGACAGCGTAAAGAAAGATTTTGTTTGTCTTTGAAAATGGCGACCAACCTTTTTTTGAATTGGCTACCACTTTGAAGAATTTAGGAGCCAAGTGGCTATCAGAAAAAAAAGTTAATTTCACGCCCTGGATTGTTAAACAAATTCTCCTTGTTAGCCATGTAGAAAATGTACAAGAACAGTATGGAGAATAAGCATAGTGATGTTAGAGTGTGAAGGGTCAAGACTATTGGATTGAATCCAAAAAACGTTAATGCTAAGGATATTGTTTGATTCAATACCAGATTCTCAGCACTGGCCAAAAGAGAAATACATGTTGGTCAGTTAGGAGATGTAGTTTTTAGATCTTGGGAGTGAAATACTATCAATAGTAAAGATAGCAGACAAATGGATTGCAATTTTTTTTTTTAATTTCATCATTAAGAACAAGTGCACACCTTTGCACATTGCGGCCAGGGATGGAAATGAGGAACTTGTTCAGATTCTTTTGGAGCATAATGCTTCAGTAACTGAGCTGTCCAAGGTATGTACCTAAAACCATTGAAGCAGTTGATAGATTATTTGGTTGCAAAAACTGAAATGATATAGTAAATTGCCACTGTTGAGATTTTTCAAAGATGACGTTTTGAGCATTAGCCCTTTGTTGGAGCGAGTAGCCAATTTTCATAACCAACTCCAAAGACAAAGCCAAATTTTCTTGCAATACCCTTAGTGACACAGGACCACAGTTTCTTTAGAAGCTTACTTCCTTGAGAAGTGAATTGGTTCTTGTTTGCCTTTGATTGGTAAATAGGGATTTTAAAATGTGCCAGACCAATCAGGTGAAATAAAACCAATGCCCACCTGGAATTGGTCCAAAATTATTTTTACTCTGTACCAAAAAAAATGCCCTTAAAGTGTACGATTTTGTCTCACTTTTTGTTACAGAAAGGATTTACTCCTCTTCATGAAGCTGCCAGAAATGGCCATGTTAGAATTGTGGAAATCCTACTAAAGAGCTATGACAGCCCTGACCCAGAAGGAAAAGTGAGTGAAAGATTATTTTTGTGTATAAAAACTTACAATAAGGTAATTAGGAACCAGGGGCTATTCTCTTTTGTTTACAATCAGGGGTACCTAGATGTACCAGGATCTAAGCACTCTTGAGCTGAAAAGTTTTGAGCATTGGTGCTGAGGTGGTGTTTCCTGAGCATGGCAACTCTTCTGGCAGACTGCTCCCCATTTCCCTTCCCCTGCCCGCTATGTTATCAGAGTGTGAGATGCTTGCTTTCCCTCCTTTTCGTGTGGGGGCTCGCGGACAGATTGCCAGCCTGCGCCAGCCTTAGGAGTAGCATCCATTTAGGCGCTGGCTGTTAAGAGTTGTGAGCTCCTAGTTATCTCAGGCAGCTAACCACAACTTTACGAGGAAATCGTCCAGGTGATATTTAGCAGGTCTGTCCATGGGAAACTTAGTTTTGTTATTGATAAATTTTGTCCTTTCTGCAGCATGGACTCACACCTCTACATGTAGCAACTCACTACAACCACGATAAAGTTGCCACTTTCCTTTTGGATAACAATGCCAATCCTAACGCCATGGCAAAGGTAAGGAAAGCCTTCATTTTCCTAATTTCTATAACTGTTTTATCACAAGAAGCCATATAATCTTTCTTTTCGGTTGATGTGGTTGTGTTTTCATAAATACCTTGAGCATTGAGCCCTTTTCGATTAAGTGTCGTGAAACCTAAACTAAAGTAAATCCCAAAAACCAATCAGAGAAAGGAAAATATTTTAAGAGCCAATCAGAACTCCAAGTAAAACTAACCCAACTTCCTAAGCGCGGGGAAACGCGTGCGACCAAGTCGTAGTTGGTGTTACTCTTGCATCTGATTGGTTGAGAAAGTGGTGCGAGTTTTCTGGACCAATCACAGAGCAAAGTAAAGCAAAACCATTGCAATTCCGGATTACTTTTGACACAGTTGAAAATTGATCCATCATAATAATCTTAATACATGTTTATATGAGCATGGCCAATTTTACTGCAAACTTAACTACATTGTATGCAGATTCAGTTTAATTTGTTGCTATCTATTTTTTTCGCTGTTTCATAGAATGGATTTACTCCTCTGCATATCGGAGCCAAGAAAAATAGAATAGACATCGTTCTGATACTGTTGAGACGTGGAATGGACCCTAATGTCGTAACACAGGTAACAAGCTCCAACTTTGTCAGAAGGTTCACGGTTTTTTTGTTTTTTGTTTTTTTTCCACCATCTCACCTTCAAAACAAGACGGATAACATCTTTGTTCTCTCTAATACCGAGCTAAGAATGCACCACATTTCAAATAACTCACTCGAGACTTCGACATCTCCTGTTCCAGGCGAACTAATACACGGCGCGATGCTAGCGGCAGAGAGAAAACGAGGGAGGCTTGGGTCGAGTCGTCTCAATGCGCGACTCGACCTAAACTTCCCTCGTCTTTTTCATTCCTCATTTTACTATCGCCCCGTTTATAATCGCGCATCGTTTTACTTAAGGTACTTTACTTGAGGTTTATTCATGGCCGTTCTAGAATACTGTTGGAATTTAAGAGATTGGCTTTAAAACTTCTGTCTAAGTTTTAAAATCTTTTGTTTTTCTTTTGTGTGTTCCACAGACTGGCATCAGTCCGTTACATTTAGCCGCCAAGGAAGGACATGTGGAGCTGTGTGAACATTTGGTGGAGAATGGAGCGTCACCTGGCCTCACCACTAATGTAAGTAACGACATCATTAGTCACAAGAAATTAAAGGTTTCGCCCCGAAAAACTGGCGTATTTTTTAGGGAGTGCTCAATGTTCTGATCGAGCGATGAAGCCACATATTGGATCATAAGATCGAGGAGAGACTGGTACTAGAGCGTACTGGGGAGATGCTGGTGACAATGAGAAACTTCCCGTCTTCTTCCCCTCTCCTCTTTCCCCCCCCCCTAAGTGGTTTCTTCTCTCCCTAGGCGTTCATTATTTTTACCTAACATCCGTGGTTTGTTTCATTAGTGTCACTAAGAGTATACTAATTCACTCTTTCACTCCCGGAGTGGCCAAGAACGAGTTCCTCATTACAATGTCAATACTTTTTCAAGCATAAAAGTGATGAGATGAAAGAAAACATCAACTAGAGGACATTGTTTTGATGAAAGACTGAATCTTCCGTGCTAAAATCACAATAACTGTATGACAGACAGTGTGGAGAATTGATTTAGTATGATCTTGTAAGTGAAAAGGGGTCAGTTAATGTAAAGAAGACCAACTTAGCAGTGAACAAAACAGCTTTGGTACTAGTTGGAATAAGGAGTGATGTTGTTTTATTTTGATTGTTTTAGAATGGACTCACTCCTCTGCATCTGACAGCAAGAGAAAACAGGATTGATGTGGCGAAACTTCTGCTGAAGCACAATGCGCCGATAAACGCACAGACTGTGGTATGTAACAGATTTCCCCTTCCTCCTTCCTCCTTCCTCCTTCCTCCTTCCTCCTTCCTCCTTCCTCCTTCCTCCTTCCTCCTTCCTCCTTCCTCCTTCCTCCTTCCTCCTTCCTCCTTCCTCCTCCCTCCTCCCTCTTCCTTCCCCCTTCCTCCTTCCACCTTCCTCCTCCCTCCTTCTTTCCTCTTTCCTCCTCCCTTTTCCTCCTTCCTCCTTCCACACTCCTCCTTCCTTCCTCCAACCTTCTTTCCTCCTTCCTTCTTTTCTTCCTCCTCCCTCCTCCCTCGTCCCTCTTCCTTCCTCCTTCCTCCTTCCACCTTCCTCCTCCCTCCTTCTTTCCTCTTTCCTCCCTCCTTCTTTCCTCTTTCCTCCCTCCTTCTTTCCTCTTTCCTCCTCCCTTTTCCTCCTTCCTCCTTCCACACTCCTCCATCCTCCTTCCTTCCTTCTTTCCTCCTTCCTTTCCTTCCTCCTCCCTCCTCCCTTCTTTCCTCCGTACTCCTTCCTTCTTTGCTCCTTTCTCCTCCCTTCTTCCTCAATCCTTTATCTTTCTTTCTCCTTCCTTCGTTCCTCCTTCCTCCCTTGCTTCCTCATTTGCCATCTTTCTTCAGAAAGCTGTCAGGCGTCACCTAGCAAAGTTGATTTAATTACTCAGACTTATCAGATAGAAGTTGTTATGTTGATCTAAAACCAAATTCTTGCAACTGATTTATAAAGAAATTTATAACAACTAGTGGGAAGAATTAGTGATCAAATCCAGGTAGTTAAGGATTTAAAGAGGTGAAGCATACTTCAGGCCAACGTCGCCGAAACTAGTCTGAATGGGATCAGATTTTGTTTCAGCCAAAAAATTTATGTTCTTGTTTTTCTTCCATGTTTCTCTTGTCATCAGAGTGGTTTTACGCCGTTGCACATCGCATGTGTGTATGGCCATTTTGAGCTGGCCAGGCTGTTAATTGAAGCAGGAGCGGAGATTGAAAGCAAAACAAAGTATGGTTACACAGCACTGCACCTGGCTGCACAGTATGGCCACAAACTGATTATTGAGCTGCTTTTGGAACGTGGAGCCAATCCGAACGCACTGACTAATGTGAGTATTGATTACAGAAAAAAAAAACCAACCATTTTAGCAACATTCTTTAAGAGACTGCTCGTCGCAGATCAGAAGTCAAGGTAGCCGTCCGAGAGGTCTGGGTATGAGTGACTGGGTTATAGAGTTGTTTATTCGGGCAAGACAGCATGAGACATGTAACCGCTGTTGCGGTCAATGCACCTCCCAACAGTTGCAAAGAATGTCATGGCACCTTGTCCAACAAATGTGTTCACCGACTTCGCAGGATGACCATGAAGAAATCTAGTGGGGTTGTTCATGCATAGGGATACCATTATTTTGTAGGTGATCAAACAGCCAATTCAATATGTAAACGAGACGCAAAGTTACCGGGCGTGACAAACCTAGGGGAACGAGGTTTGGGACTCGACCTATGTCTCTTCATTTCTCTGCTGCCTGACACAATCGCGCCCGTGCAGTTTCAAAACACCCGGAACAGGCTAGTGACCGTAAAATGCTTTGTTTACGTTTTCCTCTTCTTTGTTCATTTTGCAGGAGGGTTACACAGCACTTTACATCTCCCAGCGAGTTCATCTGAGCACTTTTATCACAGAAAGACTGTCTGAAGTTACGGTAGTCACGCAGACAATTAGATTAAAGCGAAGATCGGTGAGTTATGTAATGAATGTGCATAGAATAATGAGTGATATTGCAGAAAGTGCCATTTTTTTTTTTTTTTGGCGGCTGAATTTTTCGTCTGGCCACCACTTTTTAATCTATAAATGGCCAGTTTCAAAATTTTGTGCGTAAAACCATGCTAAGGATATGTTTCCTTACATTTGGAAGATTTTAATGAGCATCTAATTGTTATACTACATACTTTTACGCCGCAGCCAGAGGAAAACACCTCTTCAGTTGACTCGATTGTCATTTCCGTAGCTTGAGCGTCGATATAATTTTTTACTTGAAATTAAAAATTTAGTTGCCTTCCACTGATCTTGTATTTCAATAAACCAGGAAACTTACGAACTAATCGTACCACGGATATTTACAGGAAAAAGCTTTCCCATCCGACAATCGCGTGCTGTAAGCTCATATTATCAAACTAGTTAAGTTTGCGTTGCATGACATTTATCTTGAGTGACATATCCCCTATTGTAACGTTGCGTTACAAACACAAATTCTTTATTTATTTTTTTTTTTTCTAGGGACAAGAAGGAGATGAAGCAGATGGCGAAGAAGAAGAGGAACCTGATATCGTCTTTAGCGCAGAACCCGAAGAGCTGGAGGAAGAGGAAGTCCTCGAAGCTCTGGAGCTTGTTGAAGAAGGTCAGTAGTGACTTCTTTGTTTTTGCGTGATTGAGAGTAACACGCGAGAGCAAGAAGTCATGCGCGCCAAATCCAGGTTTAACTCCCTCTCCTGCACGTGTTTCTTGCGCTCTTGATGACAGTGTGCGCCGTTATTGTGTCCCCCCCTCCCCTCCCTCCCCTCCCTTTTAAAATATCAGCAACACAGGCTGTAGGACCCTAGCATTTTGGGGAATCTTCTTAAAATTTCACTGATAAATGGTATCCTGTGCAGATCCATCAATTACTGAGGAATCAATCGACCGCTACATGACAATGGAAGACATGGTAGAAGATGATCACCGCTCGCCAGGACTGGCGCACAGAGACTCCGGAATTTTCAGCTCCTCTCGTTATTCTGGAGCCTTCCTCGAGGGAACCCCGACCGGCTCCAGAGCGTCAGACTTAGATCACTCTCGTTTATCCGACTTTAACGTATCGGAGAGCATAACGACTTCGGAAATGATCGTGACAGAGTCAGAACTTCCCTCAAGTTTGGCGGACATGGCCGATGATAATGTACCGAAGTATGAGCCCCTAGTAACGGGAGATTTCCTAGTGAGTTTCTTGGTTGACGCGAAAGGAGGCAAAATGGAGAGCTCTCAAACAGGACTGAAAATCACTCTGCCGCCAAGATCATGCCAGATGCCGACTAGAATCACTTGCAAACAGCTACGGTGAGTGGAGCTGTCACACAATACTGTCATAAAATGATTTCGTGGGTAGAAGCTTTACGCATGTCTGGGCTGTCACGCAATGCCTTCCTGGCAAGAAATGTTACACATACCCTAAGATATTACACCATATATTTTAAAAATTTGTCTTCTACAATCGGCCTAAACCTTGTTTTTTCTTAGTTTTTGGTTCGTTATACCGTCAGTTTTCAGTTCCCAGCTGAATTGTTGCTACGAACTAAAAGTGATTTTGCACTTCAGGGACTTTCTTGCCAGCCAGTAACTTCTCTTTCGAAACCCTTTCTTTCAGTATTCATACAATGTTTGTGAGTTTTATTTAAATTAAAAAATATGAATTAAAATCGCTCTTTCGGTCTGCGATGATTCATTTCTAAATTCTTTTTCCCGAGTTTTGTGAATTCCACCGAAATTATTAATTTTTTTCCTTTTTTGTTTAATTTTCATTTGTATGTTCATTTTTAAGACCGAACAAGCCTTCTCTGCTGCCCCCACTAATGGAGGGTGAGGCATTGGCCTGTCGCGTTCTGGATGTGAATCCATCAGGTGTGAAGTTTCTTCAGCCGATATATCTCGAGTTACCGCACTTCTCTGCGCTCAGGAACGGAGAGAGAGAACTAGTTGTACTGAGAACTCAAGACGGAGGATGGAATTGGGATGAAGTGTGTGTTGAAGACATGAAAGGTACGTGTAAAATTTCATGGCCTCTCTGTTTCCTTTTATCTAAGTAGAAGAGGCGGGAGCCGCGTGAGGGCATGGGCGAGAGCGGGGAAAAAAGAGATGAGCGGAGGGAGAGAAAGGATCACGTACGCCCCATTCCCTCGCGCCGCACTTAATTTGCCCTTGCTATCAGTTTCCAGTCTCTCTTTGACGCTTTTTTGTACCCTTCGCCCATTGTTTTTCAGTCAATCTCGTGATTTCCCGCCCTTTTTTTTGTCAACCATCGGTTTTTTCCTGCACGCGGTCTCTATTTCCCGCGCTTTCCATTTCCTGATATTTGCCGTTCCAAGTTTTAGAGTTAAATGTATCACTGTGACTCGTTTTAGCCATGGATGGTTACAGCTCAGACATGAACATTCATCAAGGCTTCTTGCCCAGCAAGAGATATGCGCGCATTGAGACCCAGGACTTCCCGGAGAAGTTCTGCATCATGTCGAGACTGAAAAAAGAAAGCTTCGTCGTTGGTTCTCGAGGCGAAATCCTTAAATGTTCGGCCCATCCCGAAGTACAAGTGAAGGTTCCTGAGGGGGCTGTGTCAAATGGGACGAAGATAACTTTGCAGGTCAGTGCAAAAGAAAGTCTTCTTTTGTTTAATATCACTGTTCACGAGGTACGGTTAAAACATGACAAACTGTTTGAAATTCTTTAACCGTCAGGTAAAATATTCAATTTGTGAGGGTAAACTGGACAATTTTTTTAATCCGGTATCATGATCGTCTGGGTGAGGGTACTTCTGAGAAGGACTGTTGTCGGTACATGTGACTGACTTTTCGACAATCGTGGCGGGAGTCATCATCAGAGTCGACTCTGATATTGACTTCCGCCAAGGTTGTCGACACCAGTCTCTTTCCGGACTTCCTTTAACCGGACGATCAGACTAGACGACCAGTGTTACTTCTAGGTTGAAATCATCCACAGAACGTGTTTATGTGTTCCTTTTCAATCTTCTAAGGAGCGAGGTGTATTTTTGAATTATTTGAGTCACTTAAATTGGATTTTTCGTCTTTGGAGTTTCTTAAGCTTGACGTTTTTTCTTCGATTTTTCCTGTACGGAAATGTTGTGTTGGTATTTTTTTCAAGACCCCTTTCTCTTCTCTGTTCAAAACCACAGAGGCCATTTCCCCCGCAAAAATTCCATTGCGAGTTTGTTTATCACCATTTCCGATCTCGTTTAAATTTTTCCAGCAAAAATTCCAATCATTTCTCTACCATTTTAGGTTCAGCCAGCGGATGAATCCTTTAATGACTTCGAAGACTGGGTGGCTGTGAGCCCTGTGCTTACAATAGAGCCACAGGACCTTAAGTTCTCCAAACCTGTGACAGTTATTATCCCCACCCCACTCTACAACCCTGGTGGAGAGACTTTCGATATGCAGCCTTCTTTGAGGTTACTCACGTGTGAGCCTCGGGATAACAGGAAGTCTATGTCCCATGCCCCCACGTACCAGTGGTATGACATCACTGATAACACACCACTGACCGTGGTGAAGGAGTATGCTAGTTTTACAACAAGTCGCCCCGCAAGGTAAGGTTCCTTAGGGGAAGATTACCTACCCCTTCCCCCAGCCAAACAAATAACATTACCCTCCCTGTGACGTGAAAATTTTCTCACTTGATAAACGCTTTAAGGTAAAATAACATGTTCTTCATTTCCAGTAAAGAAATGTTTGAGTTTCGTAGCAAATAAATTTTGTCTGTTAAGACTTTATTTTTGTTTAGTGATTTAACGTTTTATTTCCCATAGGTACTGGCTTGTAGAAACCCGTAACCCAGACAACGTGACGTCAGATGCGCGCCTGTTGTACCGCAAGTTAACCGCTGTTCCTTTCTTAGTAAAAATTGTCGTATTTGCCAAAGTAAACCCCGAAGGGACAGAAGCCCGTTTGAGAATTTTCTGCATTACGGATGATAACATCGACAAAACACTTGAGCGTCAGACTGGTTTCGTGGAAGTGGCCCGCAGTCGTGATGTGGAAGTTTGCGAGGGAAGACCAGTGCACGTCAGGTGGGCGGTCAGTCAGTTGTTAACAACACCGCGGCCTGGGCGGCCGTGCACCAATTTTCCGCGCAAAATTTCAAAGAAAAACATACAAATTAACCATTTGCACTCAAACTGTGCGTGAAAAATAGAAATGTATAGAATTAAACAAAAGTAGGGAAAAAGGAAAACTGTTTAAATTGTTTATTTTTTTTACGATTTTGTTTATAACTTCTGAAAGACGAATTGGTTCTGACAGCCTGGTAGCCTGTCCTCAAGCTATTATTAAGCCTTTGGGCTAAGCAAACTTTCAAACCAGCGGTTCGTTTTTAAAGGTATAATTTCTTTGATTAAATTAGAAACAAAATGGGGTCGAAAAGGAAGATTTCCTTTTTCCTTTTTTGATTTCTTTTTACATATTTCTTTTAACGTTTCAAAATTTTTCTAAATTTTAGTGACAACGGCTTCTTTAACATTTTCTTCAATAACTTTGCACGGGAAATTTGCGCGCGGCCGGCCAAACTTGACCTTACTGCGCATGCCTCTCGTGGGACTGCTGTGTTTTCATAACGCGTTGTCATTCTTATGAACTCAGTATTTAGCGTTACTCGCCTACGAGTTCCCTTTAGCTAGCTTCGTAGAATATTCGGCTGCCAATCAGAATGCTGGAGCTCAAATCTCCACAGGACACCCAGATGTTCCTTAATGCTATGCTCGTGATGATTGCTATACATCACTTTTTTAACGTCACTCTTTATAACTTCAGGTGTGTAGGAAATTTGACTCCTGTTACCCGTGAGCCTCTACAAATCACGTTTTCTCCTTTCCGTGAGAACCGCCTTGCTGTGACTGTGCGCGTGACCGACCCGTCCCAGCCCTTCACATGTCGGCTGGCATTCCTCAAAGAACCTCGTAAAGATCGCCAAGGAAACGTGCGCACCATCTGTAATTTGAGCATCGACTTATCTGAGGAGGTGAGACATCAAATAACAGACCGATAACTTTTCGAAATTTCTTGAATGTAATATTGAAAAAAACGCTTTTCTCTTACCTTCGCGCTTGATCTATATTTTTGAATACTTCGTGATGCACCTGATATTATTTAACCAATCACGTCCAGAGACCTTGTACTTGAATCTGAAGCTTTTTAATTCATGCACGGTGCACGTGATTTCATTTTACCAATCACGTCCAGAGATTTTGAACTTGAATCTGAGGTCAAAATGGATGCTTGAATTTGATGTTGACGTGGACGCTCTTATTTTTGTTCAGTTCTACAATCTTTTTTTATCTTAGATTTTTCGTTCGAGACTGTTCAAAGCTTTTATTTATTTCAAAATGACGTATTCAATTTAATATGTTATTTCTTTTACTCCTCAATTTACGAAGATTGTGGTCTAGCCTTTTAATCGAAAATGGATCTAACTGAACGTTGTCAAAAAAATTACCTGTTTTGGGCAAAAAGCTCGGGAAACTCGGTTGGTTCCCTTTTTAATTTTATTGGTTGAGCCGAGATAGGTATGTTTTTTTTTTTCCTCGCATTTCATTTCATTTCATTTAATTTTTATTTAAACACGGTCAATCAGTCAAACAGTCGCCAATCACAGAGTGAAGTGAAGTGGATTCAGTGTTACCCTTGATAACTTTCAAGACTCCATTCAAATTTTCCTTAAATTCTTCAGTTAAATGAATATGAGTGTCTGACAACCCACATCTATGTTAAAATATTGTTCGTATTTCTTACAGAACTTGAAGAAAAGCGATGCTGCGTGGCTTCCTGGTAAGGATTTTGTTTAACGGAAAGTTATCACTGCAAACTTGTTCACACAGAGAAGGAAATTAGACCGTTAATTTTATGAGTGAAGGAGATGTCATGTGTGGTGAACGCGGGAAAAACGGTGTCATCTGCGTTAAGCGCGGGAAAACATGTCATCTGCGTCAAGCGTGGGAAATTATGTAACCCGCATTAAAGAAGAACCTTGAAACCTTCTCTTCATTCCCCCTTTTTAAAAGTATTTTTGATATCATTTAATTGATCGCGTTTTGAGATTTCAAAGAGGAACCTAACCTTTCGAAAATTTCCTCAAAATGTGCTGAAAATTTAACTACAGACACCGCCATTTTCCATCTTGCTTAGCGACCTAGCCGCATAGCTGGTACGTAGCGACGCCCAAGTCCTCTTTTTTCCAGGTCGTAGTGATTTTTTTGAAGCTGATGAAAACGTAGCTGATGCACTTAAGGTGTTGTGTTTGTTACTTCCTAGATGAATTGTTGGCATTGATCGGCAAAAATGTTGGACCAGACTGGGTTGCACTTGGGCAGCAGTTAGGGTTGACAGATTCAGAACTGCAAGAAATTTCCGACAGAAAGTAAGTTTTAGCAGTGATTCAAAAGGATATTTCCTACATCGTTTTTCTTCTTTGTGGTTGGAAATTCTCCTCTCTTTTGTCATGAATTTCCTGGTCAATTATTTGCAAGAATTTGATGTTTTATCAAGATGAAACCTCTTAGCTGATGGGTTTGTTGATTCTCAGCAAATGTCATTCAGCCACCGAAGAAAGGTTCATAAGCTGGCTTTTCGAGCAATCGTGTTTCGCTCTGACGAGGGGCTAACGTGCGAATAGTCAGGTGGCCAATTCACATAAGCAACTCAATTCGTAAAACGGCACCACAGTTTCTTTGTAAACTTGCCTCCCCTGTAGTAGGAGGGTTAAATTTCAAGACGGTATCTTTTTTTCGGTATGTTTTTTTAGTTCTTCTTCGCCCATCGAGTGCGCCACTGATGTTATGAAGACTTGGAGAGATAAGGAAGACTCTGAAGCTAGCATGGCGTCCCTCGAGAAAGCTCTGCGTGATATGGGACGAAGTGATATCGCAGATAACTTTAAACAACTTGCTTACAGCAGCTACTCCAAAGACCCTGTAGTTGTCGTGGAAACGCGCCATTTTTCCCCAAGCAAAGTGTCTACACAGAGCTCGGCCCCAGATAACCGCAGAATTTCTGAGTTCCTGGACTCAGTGGGTGAATCTGACGACATGTTTGGCGGTGACGAGATTGCCTCGCCTCGTCTGCAGCGCGCTTCAGTTGACGGGGAAGAGGTGTTCTCAGAAGTGAGAACCATAACAGTGGAAAGTTCACCCGAGCCAATCATAGAAGAGTCTGTGATTGTCGTAGAGAAACACAGAGTCGTGGACGAAGATGGCAATGTTATCGAAGAAACCCAGAAAATTATTGAAGATGGCAACGAAGTGACGGAAGACAGAGAGAAATTGCTGCAGGATTTTTTCGCGAATGATAAAGGTGTCCTAGATTTCCTCACCAGCGACAAGGATGGCACAGTTGAAAACGGAGCAGAAGAAACCGAAATCTGAAGAGATGATTTAATGAGTAACGGAGCAAGACGTGAAATACATTTACGTGATAGGTTATGAATTAATAAGGGACAGTGGTTTGGTAAAGACTTAAGTGTCAAATGCACAGATAAAAGAGGAAAAAATCTCCGCCTCTGGTGATAAGAGTTCTTGCAGATTTAATATTCAAAGCGCCTTGTTGTAAAGTTTTGTGTATGAAAAAGGAATTGTTGAGAATTCAAAATCTCGTTAGAGAGAGATTTTTAAACTACAGCCACAAGCAAGATATTCCAGCTTGTGTTAAGTAGTTTTAATTCATTTCATTCATCATGCGAAGCATGTTTTACCATCCTTTGAATATGTTAATTCTTACCTCAGTCCTGAATATTTCAGCGTTTGCAGTTTTAATTCGATAAGACGTGGCCAGGTTTAAGATATTTTTAAGTTTTAAGACGTCGTTGCATGTCTTGGACTGTCACGCAATGAAGTGTTGCGTGACTCACCAGGCATTTTTTGCCATAATGGAGGATCATTTGGATTTTTGTTTTCTTTGCGATTTTATCGTAGTTTTGATTTTATCCCTTTCTTTGTTCCTCGCAGAAAAACGTGTTAGTGTAAATTAGCAAGCATAAGTTCTGTGAGGTGTGTCTGCTGTCTGATTGTTTGCCTGCTGAATTTGTACTTGCTGTCATCACAAACTGTTTCTAAAGAATTTAGTTGAACGTAGACAGGGCTACCTCAATTTAGAGAATCTAGTATGCTTCGTTAGACACTCAGTAAGTTTTCAGAAAATTTCTAACTATCGCCATTATCCGATCAGAAACTTCCTCGAAAACTCTCCGGTAGACTTCGTTGCTACACGGCCTATGAAAAGCAAATAGTGAGTTTAGATTGTGACTAGTTTTTGCCAAGCAAATTTAAGGATATTTGAGGGGAATCATTTCGGAAGTTATGAGGTTCTGGTTTCCCTGAGAACGTAGCGCTGTTAAGTGGAGAATCTGCTCAAGAAATATGACAGATTTGTTTATAATTTTGCTTAGGTTTTCCTATTTTCCAGATTAAACCAACAGCCGGATATGGCTCTTAGCTGAGATAGCGTACATAAAATGGTATTCAAAATTTAGAATACGAAAATAAACTGTCTGTACTCTACTTTTGTCATAATTGACATTAACCCCATGCCTCCCAAAAGTGATTAACGTGTAACTTTTCCCTACAATATCCATAAATTATCCAGCAAACAGGTGGCGAGGGTATTCAAACTCATCAGGCACAAGTTTCCAAGTTTTGTTATTTCACACTGTTTACAGAAAAAAATAACTTAACATGATTTACAATGATGTGGAAAAAATACAAACAGAAATTAACTTGAAGAAATAATATTTATTCGTGTACAGTGACCAAAGTAGCCAATGAGCTTTCGAGTTGGTCACTGTCGTGTGTGAATATGAAACAAGTTATTGCCTTGATTGAACAGCAAATTCGCGTAACCAATTTACAAGCAAATGTGTTGCAGCTAGAGGGGAGAATTAACAGTCAGATCTTGGGAGTTAAAAGGTAAAGAGTTGCAAAACCAAAGTAACCACAACTACCCATCAGAACAAGGATTAACGTTATCATTAACCCTTCAACCCTAAGAGTGATCAATATCTAATTTCTCCTGACAATATCACCCCTAATCACCCAAAAAGGTCGCAAGAAAAAAGGAAATGATCACCCGCGATAGAAGTTCTAGATTGTTGAACAAATTCTCCTTGTCAGCACCTTAGGAAATGTATGGAGAATATGTCTATTGATGTTAGGGTGTAATGGGTTAACCAATGAGTACTCGAAATAATAACCGCGAACCAGCTTGAAGCGCGGGAAAACGCCGGTGACCAAGTTGGGATTGGTTTTTAAGTTTTGCATTTGATTGGTTGAGATGGTGTCGTGAGGTTTGTAGACCAATCACAGAGCGAAGAGGCAAAACCAAAGCAAACCAAGATCGCTTTAGATGTTCAATTGAAAGCTACTCTATTTTGCTAGGTTTCTTTGCCACAAGAGGTTGAAAGCTAACACGCGTTACTAGATAGTAACAGAAGGCGAAAAAAGAGAAGAATGGAAGGGAAATCGAAAATCCAGAGCCCTAACCAGAATGAAAGTGATGTCAGTTGCTTTTGGGATATTCTTCCTTTTGAGATTATTCTTAAGATGAAAGACAGCTCTTGAAATCCCGAAATATTTTACCCCTGAACATCAGTATGCATATTCTCTATAAAAGAAGAATTTGTCTAACAATTAAGAGCTTCTTTAGTTGGTGATCATTTCCTTTATTCTCATAAAAGGTTAAAGTATCTCTCAGGAACACGCACGCGGTAGAGCAGACACGCGAGGTAACTTCTTCCTCGCGCGTGTCGGTCTAAATCTTTCGCACCTGCAGGCTAATTAAAAGCACTGTGAAACCACGCGTGAAACCACGTATGAAACCACGTCACCATTCCCGAAGACCACTTTTGTCCTCTTTATTCATATGGAAAATTATTTTTTCAATCACAGATCTTTAAAGAGATATGCTAATTTCTCATTGCGGACGTGACTCGGAGATAAAAGCTATTTACGTCAAAAGAAAAAAAGTATGAAATGTTTCCATAAATGGAACCCTTGAAAAAAAAAAGAAAGTTCCCCTAAATTGTGTTTGTATCTGAGAGCTAATAGCATCCATATGCCCGGAAATGTCTGAATACAGGTTATATTTATGAAACCAAAAGTAACAAATGACACCTAAGCGATTCGTCTGTAATCTGTGAAGAAAGACATTTTTGAAGAAGGCTATCGACCTTTCGATTTCGAGTGGAAAAATAATTCAAATTGAATGGAGATATTGGTTCAGTAATCATTTTCGTTTTGATGTTGTCATGTAAATTTACAATAAATACTTCACAAAGAAGGAAACGTTTTAAAGTTCGAGCTTGGAAACGTGCTGCAGGGCTGTCACACCATTCCATTCTACGACAAACAACACCTACTATTTAAAAATTCTTCCAATCGTTTTGGGCAATGCGCGCTAAGGGCATAATTTCGATCACAAACGTTGCCATAATGCACTTGAAAAGGGGAAAACTGCGTGCCAGGTCGGTCTTTTCACGAAACGCTGGTCGGTTTATACACGAAACACACAATTCCCGGTTGAAAAACAGTGTTTTGGTACAAGGTCCGCTTTTCTACGAAAATAAATGCACAGCCTGGAAGCGTCTGGATTCGTGCAGGCTAAATTTAAATTCAGCAAGGTCATGTACAGACCAAAATTTCATCCAAACAAATAACAAATCTACAATTGTACAAAACTGTTTTAACTGCGACAAGAGACTCTGGTGTCGGGACAACTTCCGTGCGGTTTTCAACCTGATAAGCACAAAATGAGTCGGACAGGAAACCCTCAGAATTGCCACTGCTGAGCGATGAGGCTAAAATTAGGCTGGAAGCAACAGTTTTATTATTAACACCGAGGAGGGGATTTTCCAGATGAAAATTCCTTTGGCAGAATCGTTCTCCTTGCGGTTCGTTGTGTCGCCCAACCATTTCTTTCGAAAACCGCACCGCACCCCACCACGCCCCACCCCACCCCACCGCTTTTCGTTCGTCTGATCTTCTACTCAAACGAAGAACTTGAGGCATCTGAAGGGAAACGATACCCCTTTGACATCTTTTGCTGGATAAACATTCCCGAATCATCGTAAACATTGACATGTTTAAGTGCTATTTTACGTTGATTGCACCTTCTAGTTTGCCTTCTCCTCAGTCCTCTCACGGCAGTTACATGAGTCACGTTTCAGGAAATCTACCGAGCGGAAGTGAAATTACAGTCTCAACTTCCGGTAGGTTGATTGGTGACCCATTACTGTTATTGATTGTTGTTTCCGGTGAGTTCAGGTCTTCCATTATCAGGATGACTGGTTACCAATCGGGCCTCATTCTGCACAATTAAAGTTTTTTTTTACATCCTACGTCAGCCGAAGTTTCCTAACACTGCCAGAAGTTTCATAACAAAGTTCAGCTAAATAACAGCTGCACTTAGGGACAGACAATAGTGATTGTTCCAATACATCACGTGCGCGGCGTCCCTTTTCGTTCCATATTTGGAGGATGCAGATCAACAAAGATTAGAGTCTCGTCTAACATGGCGGATGAGACTGCATTTTGCAAACACTTAAAAATTCTGCCTTTCTACACGCGTTTTTTATGATGCTTTCTCTTGAATTTACTACTTAAGCCATGGAAGAAGGCTACAAAAAAGTAATCGAACGAAATCGCGACAAATTTCGCCGCGCTGTTACAGTAGAGAGGTTATTTTCGCCTTTAGTTGTCAGCAATGTTGTGACTTCAGACGAGGCTCAAGCGATTCAAAGCGAGCATCCTACTCAAAGAGTGGACCGACTTTTGGATGTCATTCAGAGAAAAGACTATGAGAAGTTTAAGAAGTTCTGTGTTGTTCTGGAAACGACATACCCGTACATGTTGAATTGTATGTTTTTGGCAGTGGACCCTCCAACTTCAATTGGTGAGTAAGTTAAGGCGCCTGACCTAAAGTAAACAAGTCAAATCAGTCTTTCACATTAGTCTACGAGGATATTGAAGAATTATGGTTTCTTAGCTACACGTCCTCGCTAAAGCACTTCTTCTTGAAGCGATTTCTGTTGCTCGCAAATTCTCTTGACGATACTGTATTAAACGTGGAAGTAACTGTTAAGATTTTTTTTTAATGTGGATATTTATGGTCAAGGTTAAGCTTATCAAGGGGTAGTTATTATGCCTTTAGTTCATGATGATCTCGCGTTTAGTTTCTTACAAAATTTTTTTGACACTAATGACAGCGATTTTGCGAAAAAAAAATTATGTATGCTTCGGCGGAAATATGGAGTAGCGTGATGCGTGAAAGCGAAGCCCGATGATGTTTGCACGCAAAATATATTTTTACGACGCAAGTCGATTTCGGGGAATCACTTATTTATACTAAGGCTGAATTTCGTTACATTTCTGCACGTCCGAAAATGAATTTAAGCTTCGTTTAGTTATGTAACAGCTCTGCCGAAAGAGAGGAAAACACTTTGACGACTTGTAAGTTGTTTGTCACTAGACAAACAGACCTTAAAACCACAAGTTCAAATCTTTTTTGTGCTCACGCCCGAAGCCACTTTATGAGGATATAAGCCTACGTTTTAAGAAAATTTTCCAAGAGTTGTTTAGGGCAAAGGAAGTATTGGAAGCGATCATACCACTCTCATGGTGGCTTAGACTTCAAAAAGTTGCGATCGCAGGGAAGATAAATACATAATTGTTTAATTTGTGTTATCTTTCAGCTTCGTCGCACATTCGAACTGATCAAGGAAAAACTACAGATGGTGATAGTGATCCACCGCGGCACATGCAATGTAAGTTTTTTGCTGTAGAAAGTTCACATTCATTTACAATTAATTGTGAATTGTATCGCAATCGAAGCCGTGTAATAATGTTTCCTTGTATTTAACCCCTGTGCCCTGCGGTATAAATTCGATCTCGCGCACACAAAGAACAAATATGATTGTGTTGGCCCTGTTCCCAGGGGCGACTTACCTAAAAACAATCAATCAGAATGAAAAATAATCAGGGTTTTGTTTACAATTGCAAAGTTCCAGAAAGTGATATTTGCTTTTCTGTGTTTTGGCAACTCATCTGTGGGGACTTGAGGTGCAAATGAGCAGATTTTCTCTAATAATTCACAGCTTTAAAGTGAACAGCTATATTGGCTGATAAATCGGTGTGATTGACGTTGGGCAGCAGAATTAATGCTATAGTTATGTGGTGTTGTTTTTCCTGTCAGCCAACTGGTGAAACCTGATTTTCTTTGTAAACTTCAGTGCTAAACTTGTTTTGCTGTTATTTTAACCATCAAGTGGGTTCCTTGTTGGTTGTGTTTACAGTTCATTTCTTTATGTAACCAAATCATTGTTGATTTACTTGAGGAAACGCTTGGTTGAAATCAGCTCTTCAGAAATATCTTGTGAGATTTGAGAGTGTAATGTCTGCCCACATATCATAATTACATAACATAAAATCCTATTTTTAAATTACCATCTGTGGCAGGCCCTGGATCATCTCGACGCGCAAATGTGGGTCGTAGCACTAGTATGACAGGCCATGACCTTTGCAAAGATCGGCTTCATGGGTTGAAAAATGAGCTTAAAACTGTGAAACGGGACTTGGAAAAAGTCACCGCACAACTGCATGAATCTGAAGTAGAAAGGGATGCCTACAGGAAGTTAAATGACCTGAAAATTGGAGAAAGATTGCATATTGACAATAACTCTAATGTCCCAATTGGAAATTCCCAAGGCAGTGAGAGGGAGGAGGAATTTATAAAGCTCAAAAAACAGTACGTAGAGTGCTTAAAAGAACTAGAGATGTTACGGTATCAGCATTCAGAAATGACAGCTAAATATGACGCTGTTTGTCAACAGTGTGAAAGTGGCAGAAAATACAAAATGTTATTTCAAAGTTTACAGAGAAAATTTGAAGAGTCAGACCTTGAGCGAGAGAAGTTGAAACAGGAGTATGAGGAAATTGTATTACTTAGGGAAAGAGAAAAAATTGAACATGGTGAAATCAGGAACAATCAGAAATACGAGGAATTTCATTCTGGAAACACATCTTTTGATAAATATGAGTCACACAAAAAGGAGTTTGAAAATCTTCAAGATTCTCACCAAGACTTACGATCAAAATACAATCACATGTACAAAAGTTATCAGAATTTGGAGACAGACTACTCCACCCTTAAAATTCGGTATGAAGATTTGCTTCATGAGCAGGACTCGCTGATTGTGGAACGTAATGGACTGAAACAACAAGTTGAAGCAGCCATCAACAAGTATGACAAAGCTGTTAAGGATCGTGAAGCTGCTTTGAAGACTTCATATCAGGTTCAACAAGGGAGAGAACGTGAACGCGAGCAGGTCATGACAATTCAAATGAAAACTGCCAAAGATATTGCAAAGTTAACTGAAGAGAGAAATGCTGCGTTGAATGAATATCAACTGGTGATGAGTGAACGTGACACAGTTCACCAGGAAATTGAAAAACTTCATGACGAGCTCACTAATCTGCAGAAAACTAATGAAAGCCTTCAAAAAGATTACTCAAAACTACAAAATTGTCTTCATGACACGCAGGGGGAGCTGTCTCTCTTAATGGAGGAACGTGAACAGGGGTCGAAAGAGGTTTTTACTCTGAAAGAAAGTCTAAGCCAGGCTTTTTCGGAAAAGGATAGTGTTGACAAAGAGCTGGAGAAAGTCCATGAAGAGTATGAAATGTTAAAACAGGAGAGGAATGTGGCAAGAAGAGAACGTAGTGAAGCAATAATTCACAGGGACAAGATTCTGAAAGAGTGTTTTGAAATTCGACAGAAACATCAGCTGGTTCTTAAAGGAGAAAATAAAGAGATGGATGCACTGAAAAAACAGTTTGAAGTGCTTTCAAATGAATTGACAAATGCTTTGCATGACGTAGAAGTTGTGAAAGCAAGAAGAGACTGGGCCATGTCTGAAAAAGACAAAGTCATACAAGACAGAGATTCTTTGAAAATAAGATTCACCAAGATGCAACACGAAAGAGATCGGGCTGTCAGTGACTTGGCCGAACTTCTTCATGAATCTGATGCCATGAAGAGAAAGCATGGTGAAGTTGTTGCAGAACTTTTGGAACTTCGAAGCCACATTGAGGTGCAATTGAATCGCGAAAACCTCTCACAAGAGCTTGTTTCTAGTAGGGATTCTGCAATTGACTCTGACTCAACAGTAAGCTATTATTCCTTATTTTTTGACCATGTACACCCTAAATCAGAATGCAAATTCTCCATACTGTTCTCTATACATTTCCAGTGTTGCTTACAAGGAGAATTTGTCTAACAATCAAGAGCCTCTTGAGTTTGTGATTATTTCCTTAATTCTCATGACCTTAATAGTTGATTCAGGGGTGATACTGTGAGGAGAAAGTAGATGCTTATCACTTCAAAGGGTGAAGGGATTCAGAAAAGGCTGTAATTAAGTTTGAAAGTAAAAGGCGAACACCAAATAGTAGGTAGCCATGTTATTTTATAAAATAATTCAAATAGTACACATGCTCTGGTTGGCCATAAAACCATTTTACATGAGCGTATGTAAACACAGTTTTCATAAGCTTGATAAGCTGAAAACCATGACGTGAAGCACTTATTTCGTGTTCTCCCAACCTCCCGCATGTTTATATCAGGCTATGTAAACACGGAAACCATTTTACATTTCTACAGTATAAATTAACTCTCAGTGAAAATTTTCATGTTCACTAAGTCCAAAGGAAGCTTAATTGCTTTAGTTAAAATTCAAATCTCCTTGCAATATCTCCCCTGAATCTCAAAGTTTAAATATAAGAAAATGATCACCAAATTAAGAAGCTCTTGATTGTTAAACAAACTCTCCTTGTCAGCACCTTAGGAAATCTATAGAGCTTTGTGTGGAGAATTTGCATTCTGATGTTAAAGGGTTAAAAGTTGAAGTATTGGTAAATAGTTGTTATTGGTGACACTGATACAGTTTTATTAATTTATTTGCAGGAATGGGAAACAGAATCAGTTGTCTTAGAAAGGGTGAGTTAATGATAATTATGATGTTACTTTTGTTATTTTTTAACCATTTCACTCCCAAGATGTCATTACTAATTCTCTTTACTGTGTGCTACACAATTTTTATGATGTGAGTGCGGAGAATTTGGAATTTGATCAACAAATAATCCCATATGTGATGAGTTTTGTTTATTCTCATCACTTTTCTGCTTGATATTGTTTAAAGTTGTTAGGAGAAATTCTACCTTGGTCACTCAAGTTTGAATATTCTCACTACCTGTTTGCTGGACAATGTATGAATGCTATAAAGAGAAGTTACATGTGAATCACTGTGGTTTTGTGTGGCTACCTGCTCTTATTGACACTCCTACTTTGGGGGAAGATCTTCTATTTCCTGGAAGGGCCAAATTTGTGTTTGCACCAAAGTTAATTCACAATTTTTTTGCTCCAGATGAATCTCGACGATGATCTTGGCATTGCCATTGCTGGTGGAAGAGACACTCCTGCCATTCCTAATGACAGCTCCATTGTTATAACAAATGTTGCCAAAGGAAGCATAGCAGACGGAAAGTTAAGGTCAGTAAGATAATTATCTGTGGCTATCCGTGCTCCTAGATAAGAGCATTTAGGTCACCATTGAGAGAAGGAAACATTTTGGTGACTAAATTTCCAGAAAAAGTCATCATTTGATCATCTCTGTTTGAAAGTGATGTAACATACTATAGGAATTTTTGCCACTTGGTGGTTATGGGCTAAGGTCTAAATGACAGGGCAAGAAACTTTCCTTTTAACTCTCCCATCCCTTTGGATGTGCAGCGTTAATTTTACTTGTCTGAAAAACAAGCTTACTTGTCTGGAAATCCTGATAACAACTGTGCTAGAAGCAGGGTTCACTTGGAAAAGACTTGTACTCTGCACTTAAATATGCTGGCTGATAACTATTCATGTTGGGGAAGTTTAGATTTTGATTTTAATTGTTGGTTTTCAGGGTGAACGACTGTGTACTGAAGGTGAACAATATTGACCTGACAAACGTTGAGTACTGCACTGCTGTTCAAGCAATCAGTAGAGGAGAGGTTGTCAATATGGTCAGTGTTGATGATGTGTTAATGTGTTAGTGATAATGACTTCATGAAGTCATCCTCTTCACTGATTTTCCCTACTCATCCAAGATCTTAATTACATACTGTAAATTCGTCTTACTCTTTGCTTTATACTTATTATTTTAGCAGTAAGAGTTGTGTTTTTTTTTTTTAATACATCCATGCTATAAATGAACTCCCAAGATCCAGTGGTTAGTTCTCCCCTCGAGCTGCTACATATCCCCTTGTAAATTATTCACGAGAATTTGGTGTTAGATCAAGATGACAACTTCCAACTTCCTGATTAGTTTGAGTGTTCTCATAACCTGTTTGCTTTTAAAGGGAGAAGTTACAAGTCCATCACTTTTGGAAGTAAAAGGGTTAAATAATTTCTGAAATTATGAATTAAGATGTTTTCCATCTTGTCCCAAGTGTGGGCCAAAGAAAGAGGCCCCATAGTGATTTTGCATTTTGGCATTCAGATGCTCTACCATCAAGCTGCAAAGACTCTTTGGTGAACTAGGCCGTTAGTAGTTTCATATGTTGCCAGAGGCAATCAATAATAGAATAAGAAAGAAAGACAGTTTTCTCTGTTATTTCATTACAGAATAATCTCGTTGTATTTCTTGTTGCAGACTGTCAAGAGGAAAAGGTGTTCAGGATCCAGGGCAGTGCTTCATCCAGTTAGTCTCATGCTGACAAACAATAAAGGTATAATTCTGCAACTGCTAATAATAATGATAATGACAATACTAGTAATAACCTGAAGAACTAATGTTCCCTTCAGTAACAGTACTAATGCTCGTACCCCTGGACAGCTAATAGCTGGGAAACTGGAATAAGCTCTTGTTTGTTCACTATGAAATGAATTCTCATGTGAAGACTTTGTATAAGAAAACCAGCAAGCATGTTTGTGACTTTTTGTTTCTTGTTACTTTCCAGAGCTGGGGATCAGAGTTGACAGCACAAATCATATCAGTTCAATTATGCCCGGCAGTGTTGCTGCAGAGGAGGAAGCCATTGCAGTTGGAGATAAGATTATTACCGTAAGAATTGTTTCATCAATAGAAGAGGGGTGTTAACATGGTAAAGTTAGTGACGGAGGAGGGCAGCATTCTTCTCAGCAGCAAGGAGGTCACCATGGCAACCTAGCCACACTTCACCTCAGACACATTAGTGTATACACATGTGCGTACCTAAAAGTGAAAGGGGGGTAGGGAAACAGCAGGGGGAGGGAGGTGGAGGAGGGAAACAAAACAGGGAAAGCAGCAAAGGGTTAAGACACTTATGAATGCTCATTTCCTTCTTGTTTTAGATAAATGGCAAATCTATTGAAAACCTGACTCAGCCGGAGGTAGAGCAACTACTTTCAATGAGTTTAGTGAGCCTTACTCTGCAGAAACTGTCGTCATCTTCATCTCGGCCACAAGTGCTTCAGTCTCTGCTGAACGAAGTCAACGAAAAGATCAACAGAGAAAATAACATCTGCCGTGAGGCAGAACTTACCAGGGAAAGGATAACAAATTCTGGCAGCTTGAATGAGTTTCAAATGTCACAGCAGGGGTCATCCTCTGCTTATTATTCCGGGAAAAGTTCTCCTTTGCCTGATGACCAAATATCATCAACTCCAGAATCAATTTCTGAACCAGCCATTCATTCATTGTCATCTACACCTCTTTGTGAGGTTATTGGCGAAAAACAAACAGATTCCAGTGATTTGTCAACAGAGGAAGGAAGCGCGCCCCATCTTGTGACAACCACTGCGGGCTCAACATCGCGACCAAGAACATTTCAGAAAATCAGGTCTAGAACATCACAGATGTTCCCCAGTCCCCTGACAAAGTCACCTGGTCTATCAATGCCATTCCAAAAAGAGAGACCAGTGCCTCCTATGAGAAGTTGCTCTTATATGTCAGCCATCACATCACCCCCGCAAGGAGACTTGAATAATAGCTCACAAGAAGACAATATTAACGCCATGTCTCCACCACCAGTTCATTACCCATCAAAGTCCCACGTTATTCCTCGTAAAAAGAAAGATTCTTACTTCCGCAACGGCTCTCGTCCCCAGTCTGCACCCTCTGTGAGAAACTACCAGGTGGCTGGTAGCCCTGTGTCATCTAGTTTTGGACGTTATTCCAGTCATGAAGACCCTCTGGCGTTAACTCCACCCAAGTCAAGCATTTCTGGGCCTCCTGTGACAGTGGCAGTGCTTCGCTCCACCAGTGTCCCGTATTACACAGCCAAGAGTCACTCAGTACCAAGTTACGGCGGTGTCCCAGCGGTAAGTCAACAGTGCTTGCCAGTAAACTGCCGAAGTAAACAGAGAAACAATAAACAACAGACGCATGTACACTCAGCTCCGCGCGGCAGACACAGCCGACAGGGTTCTTCTCACAGTACCGAGGGTGATGAACGCAAAACGCGGCATCTGTCTCTGTATGACTTTGACCCGCCTTCAAACGCTGAGAGCAAAGTTTACAGGATTAGTTTACCAACTTCAAGGTCACAGAGGACGCCTGGATACAGTAACGGCAGCAGCTCAGTGAGTTCAACACACTCGATTTCCTCAGGACATACCACCCCTGTGGTCATCCCTTCAACTCCAATTGTGCCAGGAACCGAGGAAAGCCCTGCATTGGCTTTTGACTTCAGTGGGCAGTTGGCCTCCAAGGAAGAAGATCCGTTAAACATGTAAGCATTCTATTTTTGACAGACAATTCTCTTTATTAGCTGCAATGCATTTTTTTTAACTAGGGAAGAGGATTCGATGTGATTTGAAGAAGTCACTCTTTAACTGATAAGTACGTGTAACACAGCGATCAAACGAATGAAGGGGATAAGTTTCTATAGAAACTGTGGTGCTGCGTCGGTGGAAGTGTTTAGCAGGGAAGTTAGTATTCTCACCTGAGTTGATAACGTAAATTGGCCACCGTAAAGAGTTTCAAAACTGACGTTTCGAGCGTTAGCCCTTCATTATTCGCTCTGACGAAGGGGTAACGCTCGAAACGTCAGCTTTGAAAATCTTCATGGTGGTCACATCAACTCAACTGATAATACTAAATTACAGCGGTCAAACGTCGGGTTTACGGAAGTGGATCAATTTTGGCCGACCGTGCGCCAATTTCCCGCGCAAAATTTCAACGGAAAATATAGGAAACAACCACTTTCTCGCTAAATATGCGAAAAGTAAAATTATTATGTTCGCTGAATTCAGATGTAAAGGTGTAAAGGGTTGATAAATATTTGATTTTAATGCTTTGTTTGTTTGTTTTTTTTGCAGAGATTATGAACCTCGACGAGTGTTTATTGAAAAGAAGGACACGCTTGGGATTTCCATTGCGGCTGGCTGTCAAGGAGGAGTGTTTGTTTGTTCAGTAAATGAAGGAAGTGTCGCTGCCAGAGCAGGACTCAAATATGGCGATCAACTTCTGGAGGTTTGTAGTTTGGGAAAATACTCTGCAGGATATTTTACTTGAATAATAGCGCGCAAGATTTCATTCACAGATTTCAAAATTCTAACCACCCAGCAGAGCGTATTAAAGGGCATCACAAGAAAGCACTGCTTTCTTTGATTTGAATTATCACACACTAGGGTTCCATTCATAGTGTAAACCTTTTTGTAAAGCATAATAAACAGTACCAAATCTAAGAATTGCTCATGAGCTTTCATGTTAATGAAGGGCGTAAGTTTCTAAAGAAACTGTGATGCTGCGTCGGTAGGGGAGTATAACAACATGATGTTATAACGACAGCCTAGAAACTCTTAACGGTGCCTAGTTTACATAATCATCTCAGTTGATGAAAGCAAATTATTTCATTCGAACAGTCACACAAAAGGGGTTTATTCATAAACGGAAATATTAGAACCGCCTTAACCCTTTCACTTTAAAGATCTCAATAGTAATTCTCCTTACTGTCTGCCGTACAATTCTTATGGTGTTAAGTTGGAGAATTTTGTATTGTATCAACCAATAATCCCCTAATTCTTTATTCTCATCTCTTATCTGCTTTATATTGTATTGATATTGTAAGGAGAAATTATGTCTTGGTCATTCATGGGAGTTGAAGAGTTAACAGCTCAGTAGCTACAAGTTACGGGAATTGTCAAACTCTAGGGATTCATCTTCAGTGAAGTGTTTATAATAATCGAATTTTCTGGTTATTTTCGCAGTACAACGGCGTGAATCTGAGATGTGCAACTTATGAGCAAGCCGCCATGATTCTCAAACAATCCGGAAACAGTGTTACCATTCTAGCGCAATTCAACCCAGAGAAATTCAAAGAGACTACGGAATCATTATCCAGCCAGTCAGAAGCGAGCACTACCTGTAGCACCCCCGTCAATAAAAACAAACATTCACGTGAAGGAAGCAGTAACACTCCACCAATCAGAAGGAACGGAGGAATTCTGCCAATCATCGACAACGAACCTCCTGGGGACTTGCGTTATGTATTCTTCACCAAGAGTCCCAGCTCACTTGGATTCAACATTGCCGGTGGCAACGCAATGGGAATCTTTGTGTCGGAAATTCAACCTGATAACGAGGCTATAAGTTCTTCAGGACTCAGTGTCGGAGATCATATTTTGGAAGTAAGAAAAGCGACAGAATTATTTATTGAATATCCAACGTGTAAGAAAAACAAATTGAGGAAAAAACGGAAACGGTGCCATTTTTAAATTAAAACTTACCGGGGGAAAAAATACAGAATCTAGCCACGGCGAGGCAGAATAGGGTCGGGTTCATTTTTGTGAAAACGTAGAATCGTGACTGTCACGCAACGGCTTTGAGTGTCAAGATGAATCAACGGCTGCGCAAAAGAACACAGCATTCAAACGTTGGGCATGAGGTAGTGGGATCAAGTCTGGCCGGGCGCACGACAATTTTCCGCGCAAAATTTCAAATTTAAACATTTTAAACAACCGCTGTCTCGCAGAACAAGCGCAATAAAATTAAAACTTTCCCAGAAATCTGTAAAAGGAAACATTATTTGTATGCGAAGCGTGATATTTCGTTGATAGTTTTTCGATTGATTATTTCTGAGTGTTTTTAATTGGATGTTTCTGTTTCAGTTCAATGGCGTAGATTTAACTTCGGTAACAGCAGAACAAGCCATGTTAGAGCTGTGTAAACCATCTGAGACTGTTCAAATACTGGCACAATATAACCCAGCGAGTGAGTAGTCAGTGTTATGGTGTTGTAGGAAAGTAGTCCGGGATTACAATGGTTTCGCTCTAAGTTACTCTCTGATTGGTTAAGAATACTTACGCCAACCTTTCAACCATTCAGAACTCGACTTGGTTACCCGCGTTTTCCCGCCCTTCAAGTGGTTGACGCGTACAGTTTCTGAATTCCTATTGGTTCCTTGTGAGAATTCTCTTCACTTCGCTCTTGTGATTGTTCCACCTACCCCCATTAGCGACGCCCAGTGTTGTTCTCACTTTATTTTGATGTTGAATTTTTTTTCAGAATTCAATTCCCTTCGAGATCAGCCAGGAGATTCTTTCTACGTCAGGTGAGCTTTGAAATTATTGCTTTTGGAGATTTAAGAGCACTTGAAATCCTACAGGCCTCTTTTCTGTAATTGGTTAAATTACAGCTGACCAGCAATGACTGTAGCTTTACTTGATTCTAATCCGCAGGTCAAATGAAATTTATTAAATTTACAACTCGCGAGAGCCAAAGAGTATGTCAGCCTGTAAAAAGAATTATTCTTTCGATCGTGTCTTTTTAGGGCTCTATTTGACCGTGCCACAAACACCAAAGGCGATTTGAACTTCAAGAAAGGAGATATTCTTTACGTTACTGACACAATGTACAATGGTCACATGGGATGTTGGAGAGCTTGTCTTGTTAATGAAGAAGACGCACAGAGAAGAGAGATTGGAATGGTTCCGAGCCGGATGAAGTAAGGAAGCATTAGCTGAAAGTTAATGCACGTGCGCGCGTGTTAAGCGTTAATCGTGCTCTGTATTACGTTATCAGCTTTTTTGCGCACTTCGCATTTCACGCTATGCACATCATTTAACATTTCACGTTTAGCATGTTATTCCTTCCCACGTAAAGTTGTGCGTGTTCTGGTTCCGTTTCATCCTTAGTCTAAACCTTTGTTTTGTAGTAATGTATAGTTACGAGTTTGAAAGACAGGAAAAATAATTTAAACTGCTTGATTTAGTGTCCACCACGCTATTCACTGGGCCATCGCTTCTCCCACAATGTGATATGCTTCGCAAAATTTATTTCTTTTATACTTTTTTATTCAGAGCCGAGCAGGAGATTCTACTGCGTAGGAGCTTGGCGCTTGTTCACGGAGACGAGTATAAACTAAGTGGAAGAAGAAGTTTCTTTAGGCGAAGTAAGAAAGGAACCCACGGCTCGTCTGTTAATCATTCCCGTGAGGGCAGTGACTCTGCTACAAGCATTACAACCAGTTGTACAGGTATGACCGTGAGACTCGAAAGCAAAAACTCAACCATTTATGTACAGGTATTCCAATGAAAATTCTATAAATGTTCCAATAACCAAGCCGAATAAACATCCAGTTAGGCAATAGGGTAGGTTTTCTACGAACAGAAATTACACCTTTAGTGAGTGAAATTACAATACACACGAAATAACGGAGAACTTACCGACTGTTTCGAGTTTAGACTGACAATAACTCGACAATTTTGGTTAGCAAAATATATCAGTACAAATACGACGACAAGTTTTCTTTCGACAAGGCACATGGCCGATGTCCCGGATGTTGACGTCAAAATGTAAGCACGCAATGGGAGCTACACTTACAACTTTTAGCGTTTTATTGGAGGTGATTAACTTTACTCTGTGATTGGCCCAGAATACTCGTACCGCCCTCTAAACCAATCAAACTTAGCACTAAAAGCAAACGCGAGTTGTTCAGCCGCGTTTTCCCGCGCTTCAAGTAGTTCACGTGTTTTCATATCTAGCTCTTATTGGCTCCTTATGATGATGCTCTTCGTTCTGATTGGCCCCTGGGATTGAATGACTTTCGCTTGTGGTTTTTGGTTTACGATACGCAAGCCACATGCTCTTTTTGAAATGGAGGTAACTTTTTCATTTCCATTTTTCTTTCAGATCTTGGTATAGCTTCTTACCAGACAGTGGAAAAACTAGACAGTAAGTGCAAACCGGTGTAGAATAACTTAGTCTAGCAGTACCAAACATTTTGCTATCCTGTATGAGTATTGAAGGGAAATGTTAGAGTTGTGTTTCGATGAAGCTTTTGGGCGCGACAGTTACTGGAAAGCCAATAACATGACCAGCAGCACAAGACAACCTGCTCAAGATAAAAAGGGCAGATGACACACATCAGTCGATGTGAAGTGTCAAACGTGAATGCCCAAGCCACGAAACCATAAAAGGGGAACTAGGCAGCAAAATTAAAGTTCAGATTTAAACTTACTAAACTAGCTGCTCTTAATTCAGTTGATCACATGTGTTTTCACTTCCAGAGAGCGTGTACCACTGTTACTACCTAAATACTTAAAAAATGCCGCGTTTGAATTTTAGGTCATATCCCAAGAGCTGTGATTTTGTTCGGCCCGTTAGTGGATGCGTTGTACGAGAAACTATGCGAAGAAGTCCCCTACAAGTTCGTCCAGTGCAAACCGGGTCAGTTTATTTTCCTTGTGGATTCATTTTCTAATTTCTCTCTTACTTGCTCTAATCATTAGTAAGTTAAAAGCTGATTAGAATGCAAGGCATAATCGCATAAAGGGTATGGAAGTTGGTATTGAAGTGGAAAACATTCCCTTGATCTCGTCTTAAAGGGCTCTGTGATTGGTCCACTGAGAAAACTCGTGCTAACCACTCAACCAATCAGATGCAAAGTTAAAACTACCTGCGACACGGTTGCATGCGTTCTCCCGCGCTTCACTCTGAGTTTCCATCGGCTCATAATGATATTTTCCTTCCCTCCGATTGGCTTTGTAGTAACTCTGGTTTGCGTTTCACGGCACTCAACCAAAAAGCGCCTGGGCCATTCTGACCGGTGTTTGTAACTGTTTATTTCAGAAATTGTCAACTTGCCGGAGGAGAAGGTCGAAAAAGGAATAGCAGACGGCACATTTGTCGATTACGCTTGGAAAGGTCACCAGCTGTCCTGTACCACAATGGCTTCCATCAAACAAGTGACTGACAAGGTAACAGAAAGTCAAACTGCTTAGTTTACGGGGGGAGGGGTAGGCAGGTTTTTCCATGGGTGGCGTGGGTTTGAGGTGTTAGACCACCTTCCTGTTCAAATTAAGCAGCACACGGGGATGCCATAGATTAGCATGACTATTTTTCAAATTAGAGGGAGGGAGGGGCGGTAATTACATGCCCCCTTAGCTGCACCCTCGTTTTCTGAGGTTGAATCTTCAATATTTTGATCAAGATCGAATTTCCCCTTTCGAAATTTACGATGATAACGCAGATGAATGACGAGAATGTAAGAATTAAATAACCAGTTTATCGCTTTTGCTCCAATGTATCATCTCGGGGTGGGCAATTTTCGTGAGAGATTTTCCACGCTTTGTCTCACCATGTGCTCGGCTTGGCAACCCAAATGCATAAAAAAACGAGACGCGTATTTTCCAAGCGACGGTTTTTAAGATGTCACGCAACAAAGACGATATAGGCGACGAGGACAACGCAGATCGTTGCGTGACATCCCATTATTGTCCCTCCTAGCCGTTTTTGTGATGTCACGCAACGTCTTACGACGACGAAGACAACGTGGGTCGTTGGGTGACGATCCCCAATACGTCTGTTAAGGGTAGTGATTGGCCGAGGAATGCCTCTAACTCGTAATGAACCTGACCTTATTTCTTTTTTTTTCTCAGCACTGTTTATTGGATGTCAGTCCGACAGCGGTAGAACGGCTACATGCCTTACAAGTCTATCCCATCATCTTGTTCGTTAAATTCAAATCACCTAAACACATCAGGTAAGCTGTGCTTCCTGAGAAAGTTTTCACTAAATTTTACAATATCAATAGAAATGCACTCTAGGCGATTATTTTAACCGAGGATACTATCGCTTTTTCGTCGCATAAACGCAACCCAAATTTCGTGACGTTTCGTTGGAAGAGACCTGGCATTTATTAGAGGAAAGTGGGCTGATACAATGTTTTTCCACCTTTTGTATTTTTTCTTCTATGCCCTCCCAAAATTTCTACCGAAAAAACTTTAGGCCCCCCCCCACCCACCCCCCATACCTGGTGCTATCTGAAAAAGACGAAGCCCTCCTAAAAGGCCTTGCAACCCTCCCCTTTTTGATAACCTCCGTTCATTGACACCAGCCCGCTTCCCCCCCTCCCTCCCGTAGATGAAATCTTTCAATCCTCAAGAGGCTGAAAAATAATAGTGATCCCATTGTGTACATTGCAAGCTGTGAAGTTGATCCAAACATTTGTCTCTCTCTTTGTAAACAGAGATCACAAAGACGGTCGGTACGTTAGAGAGAAGATGAGTCTTCGACACGCTAAGGAACTATTCGAATCTTCTAGTAAAATGGAACGAGAACTGAAGCACTTATTTAATGGTAAGTAAAGTGTGAGGCGCATTTCCTTTCTTTCCTGAAATAATTTTTGAGAAGCGGCAAGGTGTGGCTGTTTTGATAGCGCGTGTAACAGTCGATTGGGTTCGTTGTGAGCGTGGATAAGAAAACACTTATTTCTTTTCAATACTGCATTTTCATTTTTCTTCGCATGGTGCATGTATCTTATTTCCTTTGTGTTGATTTTCTAGGTACCGTACATGGAAGCAACCTTAGCAACGTTTGTTCCCAGATTCAAGAGATGGTGGACGAGCAACAGAAGAAGACAGTCTGGGTACCACTCTCCAGTGTCTAATGTATCGCATGATCCAATGAGTTGTAACCATGGCTACAACTACGTTAAAAATAGCCGACCAAAGTCTTTTTTCAATTTTTTAAAATCTTCCTGTACCTTGGTTTTTGAGATTTTTTTGGTTATCCCAGCACTGTTCTGGATAATTCATACGCATGAAATGGTACTGAGGATTTAGAAGTTGATTAGGTATGGGGCTGATAGGTTTTTTAACGTAACGTGATAAAAACATTGGAAAATTACTTTTTTGCCCGTTAACCAAATTTCCCCCAACGAACTTGTCTAGTCCAAAAAAATTATAAGAAATAGATTTGCTTGCTTTGCTCTTCGTTATTAAATGTTATGGTACTTGATCTCTGTGATCTCACTTTTAAAGAACAAGTACATAAAAAAAACCATCTGCCTTACGGCTTACTCTCGGAGAATGATCTCATTTACTGAAAACGCAAAAGATTCCGCAAGTGGAAACTTTTCTCCTCCCCAGCAGGCTGGGTAGGAATCGTTGTAAATAAGCTTCATGTAAATTCACTCAACTGTACACAGATTCGCTCCAGCTTTTCTTTCCTTCTTTAATGTTAGTTGAGGTGAAATTTGATGAGATGTGCATGCTCTGCGAATCAGCATTTTAAAGGTTGGGTGACCAGTCAAAAGTTTTTTCAAATGCTTGAGTTTTAAATAGTAATTTATGATGTAAGCTTTGCTTTGTAGATTCCCAATTAAAAAAATATTTTTCAGATACTTTTTCTTTTTTTATTTTTCTCTTTGAATTTATGAAGAGTTCAAGACTGATTTCATGATGCAATTCAGTTGGTTTTGGTTAAAATTTTTGTGTACAACTCTGATAGACAAATCAGAGCTTTTCAAAAGTCCTCGCGAGTACTTTTTCCTTTTTGTTTTAATGCATAGCATTAAAATACGTGGCCAAATTTCATTAAGGGGGCGCACTTCTCTCATGTTTCACTGTTGTTTCAACTGTGATTCAATCCATTTAAGTGAAGCCTTTGGTTTGCCGCAACTCAAAATGTGTTGGTATTTAAGTACAATGATCTTGTCTAGAGTTGCCAGTATACTACAAAAGAGTTTCAACCTTAAGTTCTATGACACATTCCCTGTATTTCTTTATTGCTTTGACTCATACCCAGGAAGAAAAGTTGAATTGCAAGATTGTAAAATTCTTGCCTTTTTCAACAATTCCTCTGAGGTATTGGAGGAAAAAGAATAACAAGGCCTATCTTAGGTCTACACATAGAGACAAAGGTAAAAATAACAAACTCCAAGAGATGAAAGTCATATCATCTGGAGAATCTTGGACTCCACTGACACTTCCACGATTCACCCATTGGCCATGTTCTATGCAAACCAATCTGACAGCTCTTCATGTTCAACCAATTTAATAACTTTTCATTGAGACTTTCCCTTGTCAAACTATAAATTCAAGCTAATTCGAACCCTCCATCCAATTTTATTTGAACACAAAATTAATTTGTGTCTCAAACTACCTTAATCTATGGCTGGTGTTTTCTTTTACCTGTATATTTCATACAACCAAAGTATTTTCTTCATAATTATTTTGATTTAAATGTCTTCAGTGTGGCTGTGTACATTGAGAACAGCTGAGGTGGAGGAGCCTCCAAGGCCATTGGAGTTCTCATTTAAAATTGGTGGTCCAATCACACCAGCTTCCCTAGCTTGATGGACCTGAATGAATTTAAAAAGAAATATTCAGTGTGTGCGACAAAAATTATTAAAACTTAATCAAAAGTAGAAATAGCTGGAAATAGCTTCTTAGCTGGATTATTTGAAAACTAATCAATCACAAAACCATAACATTAGGTAAAACATAATTCCTATCATGAAATAAGAACTACCTAACCCACCCTTCTTGCCCTTTTTGTGAATCCCTGAGTTGTCTCTGACATTTTCACTCACGGTACTAGAGAGGGGCTAAATTATTGAGCCCCCATCCCTCACATGAGAGGAGATTTTATTGCCACACCCCCATACCCATGGTAGTTTTGTCAGTTCCAGAGAGAGGCAGGGCAATAATTGACATGACACATGTATGAGAAGTTGGTACAAACAAAAATGTTAGTCCCGTATTGACCTTCCACCCAGTAAATAATGCACTATGCATATTGCGCACTGCTGGATCAGCAAAGCACCATGCAAGCAAATCACCACCTAAACAGAGGAACAAGAACAGCCAGTCTTGAGCAAAATCATTCTATTCCATTTGCATCCTTTGATGTGGGTTCTCTTCCAACTTATATTGAAAAGCATGTCAGCTAAAAAAATAAGATTATGTTATGGTAATTGTCTGCAAGCAAGTACCTCGCATAAGAATCTTGCAATTCCATCGAAGTACCCATAACACTGCCATGTTTCATTGTGTGTTCCACGATCAAAGCATTCCATTTTCTTAAGACAGGATCCTGATGTCTGTTAAAGTATAACAAAAGGTTTAGTTGACATCTAATTCCACTTCAAAAAAGCTACAAAAAATCATAACTCTTTAGTGTGTCCCGTAAACTTTTAAAAACATGTTGGACTTTCTTGCAATTTTATGACAAAAAATGTTACTGGTGCTGTGAAGAGAAGATCATGGTTGATCAAAACAAACCTTGTAAAGGCTTGTCATCATTCTTGGAGGGATAAGTTGATCAGCCAATCCAGACAGAAAAAGGGTTGGAACTTTTGACTTACGGATCTTCTTCAAGGAATCAAACTGTAAGGCATAAATGTCAAACAGTATAAAAATTAAATAAAAGTTGAAGGAAATTCTGGTGCTTTATCTGTAGGGTTATTGCATGATAATTCAGTTTGGTTAACATTTCAAGCATTAACTCTTGGTCAGAGCTAGTGCCTGGGCTATAAATCTGAGGGAAAAAATTAGGTAGAAACTGAGAACATGAGTTTGGTAATATATTTATTATGTCTCTGGGTTCAAATAAAGGGGTAAGATTTCAGTTCAAACAGACTTTAACCCTTTAAATCCCAGAAGTGATTAACATGTAACTTCTCCCTATAATTTCCAAACATTTCCCAGCAAAACAGGTTATAAGAATACTCAAACTTATCAGGGAGAAGTTGTTACCCTGATCAAACACCAAATTCTTGTAACTAATTTACAGGGAAATGTGTGGCAGCCAGAAGGGAGAATTAATAATCAGATCTTGGGAATTAAAGGGTTAATAAGGCATACAGTGAAATACGACCTGCTCAGTTGACCAATCATAGCACACATTCTAACTAAGAGATATAACAAAGGTTGTTACTCGTTGGCTAAAAACCATTTTTTAGATTACCTTGTTTCTAAAACAGAAGTAAGGTAGTTTACCAAGGCCATTAACAAGTTGATTTGCCATGCCTGGAATACTTGTAAAAGTGTTCTCCACAATCAAAGCAAATGCTTTGTCCAAATAAAGTTCATTTGACGCTAGAGCAATAGCCACAGCCCCACCCAGTGAACGTCCAAATATAACAATCTTATTTGTGTCTATATCAGTCCGCGACAACAGATAAGAAAAGGCAGCTTCTGAATCCAACTCAAACCCTGCGATGAAAAAAGAATTACATACAGCATTTAACCCTTTAATTAGCTTCCATAAGTGATCAAGGCAGAATTTCTCCTTACAACATCAATACAATATTAAGCAGACAAGTAATGAGAATAACGATGAACATCAATTAAGGGGATTATTTGCTGACCCAATAGCAAATTCTCTGAAGTAACACAAGTAGAATTGTATGGATGACAGTAAGAAGAATTACTGATGAGATCTGCAAGTGAAGGAGTTAAAGATCACTTGTGCTTGTAGAACAGTAACCTATTAGGTATAAAAAAATTCACACATGGAAAATCAATCCATCAAAGGAAATACACACATGTGTTTCATGAAACTACAACTTAAAAAAAGAGGTAATTCTCCTTGGTGCCGCAGAGGAAATGTGTGAAGAGTATTGAGAGAATATGGATACAGATATTGGATACAGATATTGGAGTGTAAAAGGTTAAAAGGAGTAAGATTCTAAAGAAACTGTAGTGTTGCATCAGTGGGGGTACTATGAAATGTTTGTTTTTTAAATTTATTGATAATATTGTATTAGCCACTGTAAAGAGTTTCTAAAGATGACATCTCCAGCATTAGCCCTTCAGAACGGAGGGCTAAACATCAGCTTTAGAAACTCTAAATGGTGGTAGATACACATTATCAACTCCCTTACCATATTCACTGGGAGAGCCTTCACTTTTTCCATATCCTCTGTACTCCACCAACATCACATTACAACCACAGTAATTATGCCAGCTCTTTGCGTTAATTAGTCTGTGGCCAACATTTCCCGCATTTCCATGAAAAAACAACACGGTTGGAACAGAGCTCTGAAACTGAGGCGGTTGTTTTATAAATATAGCATTAATATTCACGCCATCTTGCGTCTTGATGAACAAATTCTCGAATGGTAAACCCAGAATAGCGGGGTTCTGAACGTACACTCTTGCTGTGACAGGTTGTTCCGGGAAGTAAAGCAAAGTGTCTTGATAATGGTATAAGGCACCAAACACTGCTGCTGTTAACAGCAAAAAGCTAACAACTCCTCCGTATAACCAATAAAGAAGAAGTAGAGTTAGCATAGCCGCACTACACGCTCTCCAAAACCGAAGAATGAGGTGCAGAACAAGTTTGCCAATGCTCTCGATCGTTTTAAATCCAGTGTGTTCAATAGATTTCTTAGTTCTTGGCATCGTTGAATCAGCTTCAGACATCAGGAATATGCTTTCAACTTTGAAACGTGGCCTTATCAATTTCAATAACAACAAATAAATATGCAAACTTCACACAAAATCCTAGCCACACAAATTAATTTTTATGTGGAAAACGGGTGAGTTTTAGGCAAGATGATGCGTAAGATTTCCTCAGCCATACACACAAAATACTTGATCATGGTTTATCTTGCTGTTTGCGAATCATTCAAGGTAAGAAAAAGAAAAACTTTGGACACTTCCCGAAAATGAAGGACTCCCCGAAGTCGCCATGTTTTTTCGCTTGTCTATGGAACCCAGGACATATTGTGTACTACGAGAAAGATTGGACACTAGGCGAGATCACCAGGTTACCAAGGTAGCAACGCATAAATACTGACATCCGTAATATTGAACATATTATGAACAATTTTGTGTGTTAAAAATTTGGTGAGAAAACGAGAGATATGAGTTCCCACGAAGACGACGAGGAAGAAGGACCATCTGTAGATTCTGCAAATGCAGAAGAACGGATAGCTGCGCGAAGAATCCGGATACAAAGACGTCTTGAAGCCGCGAGAAGGTAAGCTTTTACAAGCCTGCAAAAAGTCGGAAATGTTTTGAACTTGCAAAAGTTTCTGTTCTTTTCTTAATATCAGAGAAGCAAGTGGAGAGGATGCTGCGAAGAAGAAGCCAGTTGATTCAGAGAAAGATGCACTTAAAAGCCGAAAACAAATGGAAGACAGTAGACAGGTTAACAATTTATTTGAAAGATCAACAACATCAGAATAAAATCTGCTACAGGAACAAACTTAATGTCTCTGCTCCTATTCCAGCAGAGGAACAAATGCCAATGTCTTTTTTCTGAACTTTCCTCGTTTTGTTTTACACAGCGCTTGGTGAAACTGAAATCTGATGGCACGGAACTTGTCACAAATGTCCATGTTGCAGCTGATGCAAGAGAGTCAACAAGAAGACTTGAGGAGGAAGAGCAACGAAGGCAAAGGTAAAAAAACTCTTAAAAAATATCTCGCCTTAACTATTCTTTACATGTGGGTACATTTTTGTATCAATATTCCCAAGTGCGTGGAGAAGAACATGTATTAAGAAATGGATTGTACTGAAGATAATATTCTGTTTCAAAACTTGCTATTTATTTTTTTTTTGAAGAAATGAGAAGCTTGAAGCTGAGGCCAAGTCTGCTACTGAAAAATTTGAGGAGGTAGGGTTAAAATCCATCTGACCAGAATTTTGTCTAGTGCACTGTATTTAGTACTCTTGGTAGATATGGCGAGTGTGTCTTACTTTTTGGAGTTATTTCTCCTCAGATCACCAAGAAATGGGAGTATGCTCTTTCCAAAGAAATTCCTCAAGACTTGAATGCAGTGAGTGTGTTTTACATGAAAATTTATGAAATACATACAGGAATAACATTGATTAACCTTTCAACCTATAAGTCAGTGACTAGCATCTAATTTCTCCCACACCACTACCAGACATTACATTACACATTAAGGTCACAAAAATAGAAAAAAAATAATCACCAACTAAAGCAGCTCTTGATCATTCAACAAATTCTCCATGGCAGCACCTTAGGAAATGTATAGAGAACAGTATGGAGAATATACATCTGATGCTAGGGTTCAGAGGGCTAAGTACCATAAGTAATACTAGATTTATATCTTTTGATAATGTGCAAATAATCTTTCATATTATTTTCAATTCTAGATGTTGACAGAGCAAAAAGGTGCCTGTGACAGTATGATAGATGAGAAAAATAAGCTTATCCATGACTTTCAACAGGTAAATAATTGTTTCTTTTGCTATTTTTCAAGGTATTTTTTGTGGATATAAGTTTATAGCATTTTGTCAATTTTGATGACTTGAATGTTTTTTTATTAGGAGCTTAAAGCCAAAGATGACCAGTATGTGAAAGACTTGAAAAAAGCTGTGAGTTACCAAATACTTTTATTCATTCAAGACTGAATGATGTAACAAAAACTACATGAAGTTTGGCTTGTGCTCCAGGACCTAGGTTTCTCTGTCTGCAGGAAGATTTGAGACAAGTCAAAGATAGTTTTACTAGGGGTCTGGCACTAGTTATCAGGGCTCTGCCCCTTGGAGACTTCTCACAGATTCACATTTCCAAAGACCTCATTCTTTTCTGCAGATGAAGAAATGCTCATGTGTAAGCACTAATAATTTGGGCTTGCAGGCTTAACCCTTTAACTCCCAGATGTGATTAACATGTAACTTCTCCCTACAATATCCATACATTATCCCACAAACTGGTAATGAGAATACTCAAACTTATCAGGTAGAAGTTGTTATCTTGATTTAACACCAAATTCTTATAACTAATTTACTAGGGAATGTTTAGCAGCTAGAGGGGAGAATTGACAATCAGATCTGGGAGTTAAACAGTTAAGTTCTCTGTAAGTATTGACCCTAATTATTTCATGTTCTGTGTTCAAAGGCTGAAGATGTTGACCTTATGGTAGAGAGAATGGAAGAACAGATGAAACATTTGACAAAAGCTTACAGAGAGGAACTCACTCAGATTGAGGTTTGTAAGATTTACTCTGGGATTTCCTCAACCTTTTCTTTCCCAAGAGCAACCAAAAAGGAATTTCTCCTTACAATATCAATAACTTTTCAAGGAGAAAGAGTCAGTATCCGAGGAAAGATCTTGTGTGATTTGACATAAAATTCTCCAATATCATTTATTATCCTTATGGAAGAAGACTTAAATGTCCAATCATTCGAAGATGTTATAGCAAAGACAGCATATTCTCCTCAGTTATTTTAAGATCCTAAATGTGGTTCTGGTCTGGGACTTGAAACCTTGACCTCCCATAGAGCAGTCCGAATCTACAAATTGAGCTAACTAGGCAGCTAAAGCTCTATGCTATAACTCAGATATGTGATTTAATGAATACATGGTTATGAATTAATTTTTATTTTTAATTGTTTTACCTTGTTATAGAAAGCTTTTGTAACTGAACGAGGTGAGCTGATTGATAATAACAGAAAGAAATGGGACACCTCCATGCAACAGAGACGTGACAAGGAGGTAGATTACCATAACTTATTATGTCTGTTAGTATATGCACTGTGATTGGTCAATTTTGCAGGCCATATTTCAATGTACAGCTAATTTAAATCAAAAGTTTAATGGAAGTGAAATTTCCCCCTCTGTTTGAACCCAGAGTAAAAATGAATATCTTTCTAGCATAGCTTTCTCAGTCTGTACTGCTACAGAACCTTAATTTTTTGTGCTCAGATTCATGGCCTGTGTGCTGTGCACTTATGCCATCAATATAATCCAAATGGAAAACTTGGTCTATAATTACAGTACAACCTTGAAACTTGAGAAGTAAGAGGTATTAATAACTTCAGATTGTAATTTAAGGAAATAAATTCACTCAGAAATAACCATTGTGACTTAAAAGAACAGACATAACTCTCATTAATAACTTGAATTGATTGAACCACAGGTTGAGTACATGGATTCTCGACGTAAAAGAGTTGAAGACCATGAAAATCAGTTACAAACATTGAGAGTCCAGGATGCAGAGGAATACAACATGGTGAAGATCAAACTGGAGACAGACGTACAGGTGGGTAGCCTAACTGATACAACAGGTTCTTTTCTTTTTTTAATTTTTTTAAAACTGGTTTGATCCCACACAGTTTGAATTCAAAACACTTTTTCATATGCACTCTGGTGAATGGCTTCTTAAATATTGATGATTACTGCACAATAAAAGGTTATGGCTCTGGGTAAAATTTAAAAAGACACATGTCGTGCTTTTGAAGAAGAAGGAAGAAGGTCAGTGCAAAAAGGGGAAAAGGAGATTGAGAGAATGCATTGGAAAAAAACTTACGACTGCTAAGAATCGATCCTGGATCTCTCACTTACGAGGAGGACAGCTATTGATTTTGCCGAGTTTGCAGAACTTATTTATAATGAGAATGTGCGTCCTGGGAGAAGAACATGGCACATCAGTGCAGTGCTCTACAACCTGAGCTAGCCAGGCAGCAGTTTATACAGGCCATTAAAGGATAAGTTCAGGAAGGCTGTTGATCAATGTACTTTTCAAATTTCCTCTAATCTAGATATTGGAACAACAGCTACAGCAAATGAAAGCCACATACCAGTTAAACCAAGAGAAGCTGGAGTATAACTTTCAAGTGAGTCATTTCTAGAAACAGTAAAGATAATTGCACTGTTAACCTTTCAGTTCCTTGAGTGACCAAGACAGAACTTTGTTTTGAGTAACAGGATGGCTATAACATCAGGAGATGCTCAAATTAAACAATTACTTATTTAATAATATTTTAAATAGGTGCTGAAGAAGCGCGATGAGGAAAACACTATCACAAAATCACAACAGAAACGTAAAATCACCAGGTTTGTATAGTATTCAGATACAGTGTACTCTTTACTAGCAAACATGGGCTTGTAAAAATTCATGTAGACTTTTATGTCCTTTTTTCCAGACTTCAAGATGTCCTAAATAATCTTAAACAGAAGCTGGCCAAGCAAGAAAAACAATATAGGTGATGGTTTATTTTGATCATTTTGAAATCAAATCCTCTGACTTACCGAGTGGGGCTGCTTGAAATATCACGAGTATGTGTTTCAATCCATAATTTGGTAATTACTGTTGGTTTACCAGAGAGGACAATCAAAGCTTAACAGACGATTACAAAAGAATCACAGAACAGTTTAGAGAACTACAAAAAAAGTCAAGGTAAGTATTGGAGGTTTTTTCTCTCAATCTGTAGTTGTGAGGGGCATATCCTATGACATGCACTTTATAGGATTTTTTTATGGGTCAGAATTAAATTTTTACCGGTATTTTGTAGACATTTTCAGACAACAGATCAAAAGAAGTTTCAGGATGTGTGGGCCATGAATGAGGAGCAAGTCAGGGAACTGGTGCACAGTGTGCTGGAGGCAGACAGAATTATTCATGAACATCAATTGGGTCTGCCTTGGGAGCCACCTAATCTGTAAGTACAGTCACATGACTGTGTGACTATTATGAAGTGTCATCAATGCAAATGTCAAACCAGTTAATCCACATCTGATTTGAGTTTGGTGAACTACTGTACATTTTTTTTGATTAAGTAGTTTGATTGTCTGTTTGGGAGTGAGTGATGAGGATATATTCCACTTAGATTGTTAAAACAGATGGACTACTCTTTGGCAGGGAGTCACCTGTTGCTCATAGATTTAACCATTTATTGTCAAACAGTGACTACTATACAAACACACCATAAAAAAGACAAACAACTTATTCACAACATTTACACCACAAATGAACTGAACAGAACAGCCTAACATTAGCAACAGATTGAAACTGGCCAATTACAACCTATGTACTCTGTACACTTAAGACTTTTAGCCAATAGCATCATGTCAAACTGACCAATCAGTGTGCAAGAACTGGACTTCTAACACTCATTTGACAACAATTTCTCACTTGACTCTGATGATGACTTCAGCTCAGGTTGTCAAAACATCATTCACCATGCACCACAGACAACAGTTCTTCTCAGGACTATTCTCTCCCAGATGATCGGGCTATGCTATCAAGCACTGTTTTGTAGTAGTGGAATGAATTCAATTTTGTTTCTCATTTTAGAGATTTCATGGACACTCCCAGGACTGCAGAACAGACTTATGGAAGTAAAGAACAAAAGATGTCTGCAACACAGATGGCTCATGAGATCATGTCAGGAGGTGAGCACTCAAAAGCAATTCTAGGGTTACACATGATGGGTGGTTAAGGCCAAAATTAATATTGAAGTGTAAATTTAATAGAAAGACAAGTGTGATTCAAAAATTTATGAACCAGTCTGAGATTTGATTTGCCTCCTGAAATATATGTGACTGGTGAATTTTTTTCATGCATTTCTTGAAAACCTCAAGATTTCTCTGAAACCTTTGTACACGAGAAGACATATTTTAGGTTTTCCCTTTTATGTAAAGTGAGAATTGTTCTTAAAATTTGTGAGCAAAATGGGATTAGAACCTCCTCCCCACCTCCCCCTCCCCCATTTGCTACCCTCACCAGACAATTGGAAAGGTCTCAATTTTTAGTCCAATTTTATTAGTCTTAAAACGCTGTTACATTACCAAAAACTTCCAGTCTTTAATTGTAAGGTTTGAAATCAGAGACTCCCAAACGATCAACTTGCTCGACTTGTCTGTTTACAGATCTCCTATTCTTTGTCTCAGTTGATAATTGTTCACTCTACAAGTAAATTAATAGGTGTGGAAAATTGAAGAAATGTAATTTATGTATAACAGAGTTAATGCAATGTTCAATAGTGATTGTAAGTTGTTTTGTGTGATCAACTGTATTTCAGTTGGGACAGATGATGGAGAGGAAGATATTGATAAGAGTTCAGTTGGTGGCAAGCTTGAGAGACAGATGGCAGGAAAGAAATTGTCTGCTAAAACCATCAAAGCTGTATTGGAACTCATCTGTGATGAGGCTGTGAGTCAAACACTTACTGTTACAAACATATTTAACAATATTATAAGTAATTGTTTTAGTATAATTGCTCAGGTGCCCATGAATTCTGTTGTAAAATTGTTTTTTGTTGTTAAAACCATTCTGTTACGATTATGTTTTGATTACTCATGTAGAGATAAGCAGCCAGTTGCCACTCAAATTCAACAGGTCTATTGTAATCAGTCAGCAAAAACTTTATATCTTTCTTTTGAAAAGTGTTATGCTAAACTATTTCAATAGCATCTTTTGCATTCTACGTAATTGAATTTTGTTCTATCAGTTTCATCAATTCCTTGGTAAAATTGACAGAACAAGAGCAACAATCTTGAAATTTAGCACTCCTGCTATTTAATCACCTAGTGCAAGGTGATTATAGCTGGATATGAAGCAATCCTCTACCAATCAGAGTGCACTTACCTCTATAATCACAAAAGCAATTTAACCAATAACTTATAAAGTATAAATGATGTATTTTATATCATTAATAATATATTTTTGTCATTTATCTTTTGCTATTTTTACAAATTGTAGGGATTTCTTGTGGAGTCCAAACTAACCAAACTACTTGCTCCTCTTGAGAAAGATGAACAATCTCTGATGAAGCTTGATGCCATCTTTGCAGTAAGTGTTTGTTATTGCTTGAAAAGAATAATTTGGAATATTATTGGTGTTGCTCTATTGCATTTTTTCCTAGCCTTTAAAAACTTAGACTGCACAGTGAAATGCACAATTAAAATCAGCCACATATTGTTACTAGTCACTTGTTATATAATTATATAATTACAAATATTTTTTGTAATTACCGTTACCAGCACTTATTAATTCCCTTCAATATTCAAATTTTATAAAATGACTACTGGGATGAAGCTACTTGTCACTGCATTGGGCATGGTGCATGCTGTAATCATTTTTTCCTGTGAATTAATTTAAAGAAAGGAAGCTTCTAGTCATGAGAAAAAGAAAATGGCACAAAACGTCTTTCTTTTCTGTCTCAATGATCTCAAAGCTTGTCTTGAACATTGGAAACTTGACTTGAGCCTCAATTCTCAAAGCTTTCAAGTTTTGAGTTTTGAGTGATGCAATCAATCTGAGTTTTAAGTAATGCAATCAATCTGAGTTTTGAGTGATGCAATCAATCTGAGTTTTAAGTAATGCAATCAATCTGAGTTTTGAGTGATGCAATCAATCTGAGTTTTAAGTGGTGCAATCAATTGCTCTGACGAAGGGCTAACGCTCAAAATGTCAGCTTTTTTACCCTTTACGGTGGCTAATTTACGTTTTCAACTCAGTTGTTAACACTAAATTACCTGCTATACTCTCCCACAGACGCAGCACCACAGTTTCTTTAGAAACTTACCCCTTTACTTTTGAGTGGTTACCACATTGTATGTTGATGTTCATGTAACAGTGACTCCTTTAATTATCCTTGCCAGGTTTGACCTTGTTTAATTAATCTTTTTATTTTATTTTGAAGGCATTGGGTGTAGATACAGAGGATGACATCTATCTGCTGTCAAACTACTTCCTTGGTCATGGAGAGGGTGAACAAGCACCAGAAGGGAGCGAGAGAGGAACTAAGGATGATGAGATGACAGAAGAGAAGGCAACCATTGAAGAAACAGCTGGCAAAATGGATGAAAGAGAAAAGGAAGATGAAGATGGATCTGTAATGTTGAGTGTGGATGAGAAGGCAAGCGATTCATCATCTGTAAAAGCACATTTGTCAGGTAAGACTTGCGTGAACTTTCTCCTTTGTCAAGGGCACGTTAGTTTACATAATTTATAATTACCATTTTCCATACATTTCCCAAGATGCTAACAAGGAGAATTTGTTCAATGATTAAGAGCTTCTTTTAGTTAGTTGACCATTTTCTTCATTCTCACAATCCAAGTGTGTGGTTTAGGGGTGATATTGTGCGGTGAAATTTGACGCTATTCAAATATTTGTCTATTTATCTCAGTTATGATTCTTGGCACAACATCAGATTTAATCATGGCTAAAATTCATTTTCCTTTGTCCTGTAAAAATGAAATGATTTTTTGTTAAAAAAAAGGATTTGTTCCTACAGAAATGAAGAACCTTATTCACCCAAATGAAGTTGTGAAGGCTTTAAGAAAATTTGTGCAAGACAACCGCCAACCACAGAAGTAAGTAAATTCATGTAAAGCTTGAAAGCTGTTTTTGTGCTGAGGGAAACTAAAACCTTAAATTCCCAAGATCTGAAGACTACTTCATGCTACAGATTAGCAAATATATCTTTATGGTTAGTTCTGAGAATTTGGAGTTGTGTCACTTCTAAAACAAAATCCTCTCATTGATATTTCTCCTTATTGATTTTTAACTGTCTGGTTAACCCTTTAACTCCCAAGATCTGATTGTTAATTCTCCCCTCTAGCTGCTACACATATCTTTGTAAATTAGTTATGAGAATTTGGTGTTAGATCAAGATATCAACTTCTACCTGACACATTTGAATATTCTCATTACATGTTTGCTGGATAATGTAAGGATATTATAGGGAAAAGTTTTCTACTTTCGGATTATTATTATTTGGAGTGTGAGGGTCAAGGGTTATTTCATTGAAAATCACAACTCGACCTTGTGTGATTGTATTTCCCTTCAGGGAAGCTAAGCGGCAAAGTTTGAAGGTGGGAGCTGGAGTTGGAAAAGTGACCACGTAAGTATATGATTGTCAAAAAACATTTAAATTTCTTTTTTGACAGCTAAAAATGTAGCACAAAATTAAAACTACCTCCGTTATTTTACAGGCTTGATGAAAGTTTCTGGCAAAATATGGCTTCAGTAATAGATGTAAAGAAAGAGCGAGTTTGGACAGCTTTGTTAGATGGATTTGAAAAGTATTTGGCAGTGCTGACAGAGAGGGCAGCTCTGATACAAGAAACAGATGCCCTCAAACAGCAGGTGAGCAAGAGATGGTACAGTTATGCCAGATTTGGAGGAGATATTTTGTGCAATGTTCTGTGCAATATTGTACCAAACAGGGTTATTAAAAAGATTTAGAATAGCTGGTGCAATTTTTTTTCAGAGTGGAATATGAAATGCATTTAACAATTGGTTCATATGTCAGTGTGCGTTCATCGAGATATGAAGCACGCAGGAAGTTTGGAGAGCACGAAAGATGCATAAGAGTTGCTCGAGGCTACGCCTCAAGCAACTCTAGCTTCTTGAGTGCTCTCCAAACTTCCTAAGTGCTTCACATGTTGATGAACGCACAGCTGACGTATGAACCAATTGTTTTATAACATTTTCAACCCAAAGGAAAATTTTTTTCTCAAGGGATTTGTTTGCTGACGTCATGAGCGTGCACAATAGGAATATGAAGCACACTCGCGCAATTGAATTTGATTAGACAAATTTACTAGCTATGTTATAACATTTGTTGGCTTATAAACTTTTACCAACCTTTTGTAAAGCATGGGATATTTTATCAGTTTCTGCACTTCACAATCATTATATTAAATTAATACCTGATGCACCATTTTCAAAGAGTTAGTTATTTCAGCATTTAGAATAATGTTTGTTACTGAGATACAAACAGGGTTGTTGCTAAGTGCCAGCTGCCAGTGAAATGTGCCAGATGATAAAACGGCAATTGCCAGCTGGATTTTTGGACTGGAGTGCTCAGTTAACCAAAACATGCACTTTTTAGACTATACACTTAAAATACTATCTTCAAGCTGGCTCACTTGATATTTCAGCTGGCAGCCTAATTCCTTAGCTACAATCCCTACAAGTTATTTTGGTTCTGCATATAGCCACTTTAGCTTGGAAACATCTTGTCTAGTAAACAATAAGTGAACAATGTATTGAGGTTGATATTTGTTTCCAGAATGCAGAGCTAAGGATGTTGCTACATCAGTATGTGAACTCCAGAGTAAGTTTATTATTTCTCAGCTGAGCTTGACACATTGATTTGGAACCACACTTGAGTCTCATTAAATTCTCTTCTGTTAAGAAATACCACAAGGAATTGTTTCTTGTTGTCTTTCTTAATGGGTGAGAGAATATGACTACATCATGATTATTGATGGTATTAGTTACTTATAGTCAGTTAGGAGAAACATGATTAGTCATTAGGGAGGAAACATTTTGAAAAGATAACTCACAGAAAAGAGTTTGACAGTTAACAATGTTCCCATTCTCAATCCCACTTGCTCCCATTCCCACTCTCTTCTCATTTTCGTTCCCACTCCTGTTCCCATTCCCATTCTCACTCTCATTCCCACTCCTGCTCCCATTCCCATCTCTTCTCATTCCCACTCCTGTTCCCATTCCCTTCTCACTCTCATTCCCACTCCTGTTCCCATTCTCATCTCAATCTCATTCCCACTCCTGTTCCCATTTCCTTCTCACTCTCATTCCCACTCCTGTTCCCATTCCCATTCTCCTCTCACTCTCATTCCCACTCCTGTTCCCATTCCCTTCTCACTCTCGTTCCCACTCCTGCTCCCATTCTCATCTCAATCTCATTCCCATTCTCATCCATTTCCCATTCCCCATCTCTCCCTCTCCATTCTCTCATTCTCACTCCATGTTCCTGTTCCCATTCCCATTCTCCTCCTGTTCCCATTCTCTTCTCACACTCATTCCCTTTCCTGTTCCCAATCTCATTCCCATTCCTGTTCCCATTTCCTTCTTCCATTCCCCCTTCATTCATTCTCCTCTCACTCTCTCTCCCGTTCCCCCTCCTGCTCCCATTCTCATCTCAATCTCATTCCCCTCCCCATTTCCATTCTCCACTCTCACTCCTGTTCCCATTCTCTCACACTCATTCTCATTCCCATTTCATTTCCTTCTCCTCATTCCTCTTTCCATACCCTTCTAACTCTCATTCCCACTCCTGTTCCCATTCCCATTCTCCTCTCACTCTCATTCCCACTCCTGTTTCCATACCCTTCTAACTCTCATTCCCACTCCTGTTCCCATTTCCATTCTCCTCTCACTCCTGTTCCCATTCTCTTCTCACACTCATTCCCTTTCCTGTTCCCAATCTCATTCCCACTTGTTCCCATTCTCTTCCCACTCTTATTCTCACCCCTGTTCCCATTCTCACCCTATTTTCACTCTCATTCCCACTCCCATTCCTGTTCCCATTCATATTCCCATTCTATACCCATTATTTGGTGAGCTTGGCCATTACTGAGTTCATACAGCTGTTTGCATCAAAAAGGACAAAGTGCACACAACACTCTTGAAAGGTATTCCAGGTGTCTTGAAATCAATTGTTGTAAATGAGTTACAGAAATAAATATGGACTAAAGGACCAATGAACAAGAGTAAATACTGATATACTCATGAATACAAGAGGAACAAAGCAATAAAATATTGCCTTGCACAAATTGTTTCTTAAGGTAACCTAGAGTTTGCTCTCCATGAGTTTACATCATTTTCGGTGTTCATTAGGGTCAATGAGTGTGTCCTTTTTTTCATCAAGTTTAGAATTAAAAGTTGGTCTTGCAAACAAAAAAATTCATCAAACCTGTTACACTTCTTTACAATGCTGTTTTCCCTGAAATCCTGACATGAAGGAACTGGACCTGAAAACTAGTCACACTGCCTTTTAAGGTTGTTGCGTGCACTTGCATATTTTCCAAAAACCTTTCTACAAACAGCTGTACATAACATGTGTCCTGCGTACTGTTAAGATCAGCAATGTTGATAGCTTAAAGTGCATGAAAAGAATAGATGTTATATATTTTTTGTAATTAATGTTCTTGTTATCCTACAAGGTAAATCAAGAGCTTGAAATTCCACCCACCAGGATACTCCAGGCAGAGCTATCCAAAGAACATGAATGAACTGTACATTAAACTTGTAAACATCCCTTTTAGAAGTGTGTCATATTTATTGTAATAAAAATATACAAATCTGATTCATACAATGTCTATTTGGATGTAATGCACAATTATAATTAAACTTTGTCTCCATAACAGTCAACTTAAATATTTGATAATTGATACACTGGATTACGCACGCATTTGGTGTGGTTTTTACTTACGATCTATGCTTTTATGTTTTTAATAATTGTTTGTTTTGGTCAGTAAATAAAGGTAATTAACCCAAGGTGCTAATCATTACAAAAGTATCTATCTGGATGCTTTGGGTCTACATCCTTCCAGTCAGGAAATATAATAGGCAAGTGTCCTAACTTGGTATCCAGCACTGGAATCACTTGCTGTGCCACAAACTGGTTTCCCTCTTTTGAAAAATGTAGGCCATCACTTACAAAAGACTCCCAGTTCTAAAAATTCAAAGATTTTTAGTTTTAGATTGTGAGGACAGATGATAATGGGAAGGGGGGTTGGAAGGAACTTTTGATGCGAGATCTACTTCTCTCTCTTTTCCTGATAACTAAGTTATCAGGAAAAACTTGGAGCTTGGAGCCCAAAGATCTAAAAACCAGATGCCTGCAGACAAAGAGGAAGCCTTTTGTTAAGATTTGGGCTGCATGGAATGGGTGGTAATAGTGGGTGGTAATCAGTTATTGCCGTGGATGAAAAATTTCAGTAGTTAATACTATGATCATCAGCACCCTTAAACCTTGTTGAAAGTGTATTTCATACTTCTTATCGGCACAAGTTGATAAAATCTACAGGTTAACATCCAAACTTACCGGCTGTTCATGGAATAACTTGTAAAGATCGACAACCTCCACTCCAAGCTTTTTTCCCACATCAGCGCATTTTTCAGCAAAAGGTTTTACCCGGGCATCCCAAAGGCTTACTGGTACATCTTGTAGAGAAAATTGACAATCATTGGATTAATAATTCATGCGTGGTCAACAATCTCCACCAAAGATACTCACAGGTTCAATCAAAGAATTTCTCTCAAAAGTAAGAAAAGAAAGAGTTCAATAAAATGACCAACTACATAGAATAGCAGAGGAAGTGTGATGAAAAGATTTCCATCTGTTTCCCCTTTTGATAGATAAAGGATATTACATGGCACGGATATGAGAAATTTCTCTTCCAGCATTGAAAAATTTTTCACAAGAGAGCAAACACAAGAAGTGAAACTTTGTATCTCCAAGTGGCCATGTAATTTTCTATTTATTATATAAACATCAATGAAATACTTATAAAGGCACTGCTATCAAAGACACTGCATTAAAAGGACCTATTTATTTTATGTAACTACAGCAACAAGGATCCTTTCACAAGTGAATAAGTCATGTTATCTTCACACAAGAAGATATCATGTTTTTTGCCCTAAAACTCACTTGGTATTTAATTGATGTTTGTGTAATAGAAGAGAATCTCTCCTTAGTTACAATCATAAAATAAAAATAAAAATGTTTTTTATATATCTATTATTTTTCCCCCTTGAGGACATTTCTTTAACCCTGAAGAGTGACTGGCATCTAGTTTCTCCTTACAATATCCGCCCAATATCAAACAATATGGTCTTGAGAATAAGGAAAATGATCACCAACAAAAAACTTTTTGATTGTTCAACAAATTCTCCTTGTTAGCATCTTAGGAAATGTATAGAGAACAGTATGGAGAATATGCATACTGATGTTAGGGTGCAAAGGGTTTACCCCTTAAGACACCACACCATTTCTTTCTTCATTTCAAATGAGATCATTAAGAACAACCTTAAAACTGGAGTCTAAGAAAAGAGGTCTGAGGGCAGCTTAACTTCACTGTAACACAATGCAGAATCACAGCAGCTGGCTTCTGTGAATCTGTAGCACCTGCAAGTGCTTTAATGAGTCATGGCAGTAACGATTGAGAGGAAGTCAAGGGTGACTTTTCATCCATTACAAAGGGCCAATCTGTGACCTTTGTAATTTTTTTTCAGTCAGACAAGTCATATATACATAACAAATGTATATCTATCTTGTTAGATCTTTTGGCATATAGTATCATGGAGTATTTTTACAAGTTATGCCGCATTTTGACAACCAAGTAGAGTGAGTTAAAATACAAACAGTTCACCCTTTCACTTCCAAGATCTTGAGAGTAATTCTCCTCACTGCCTGCCATACCCTTCTCATGAGATTAGTTCAGGGAATTTAGTCTTGGATCAACCAATAATCCCCTAACTGATATTTTTCTTTACTCTTGTCACTGGTCTGCTTGATATTATATTTATACTATAAAGAGAAATTCTGTCTTGATCACTCATAGGAGAGAAAGAGTCAAACAGGTTTTTTTTTTTACAGTACAAAATAACCAACCATCCAATAGCACTGTATCTTAGTACTTGACTTGGGCATTATTTGTAATCTGCTCAGTGCAGTTGGATAATAAAAACAGTTACTTACCACGTTCTGCACAACATTCCTTGTACTTATCATCTGCTACTGCTGGTGGTGTCAATAAAACTAGTTGACTTGCTTCCATGCCATCATTCATGAATTGTGTCAAGATGTCCATTAAGTTTGTAGCATACTGTTCTACAGTAAGTCCCCGTGGGTCTGTCTCATTGCAGACAGCATCATTTGAACCAAGTAGCACAATTGCCGCCACAGCACTACCCTTGGGATTATTGTCACTCTGAAGGACTTTGGGTAGAATGAACTTGTTATATGCTGATGTGTAACCACTGAATCCTCGATTAAGAACATCACATTTCCTGTTGATAAAAAATGAAACAAAACTCAAGAACAAATAAAATTTCTATTCAATTTACTGAATGTGGATGAGATGTCACAACACATGATTACAAAAAATTAGCATAGTAATACTTAGCTATGGGTTCCAGTAATACATAGATTTAGCCAAGCCTAAAAGCGGAGCTCGCATTTTTTTTTTCCTCACGTCCCAAGAGCACAACATCTTGCCCCGGCCAGGACTAGAACCTAGGTCATCCAACTCGGAGCCCAGTGCACTGACCACTGGACTACTGAACAAAGCCATGGCATTGGCGTGCCGTGGTACAGCTGACCACGCATGTTATGAGCGATAATTAGTGGATCCAATACTAAATTCTCTGCACCAACATCATGAGAATTGTATGGTTGACAGTAAGGAGAGTAACAAATTTGATCTGGGAGTTAAAGGGTTAAGGAGGCTGTTCCACCCAATTTAGACCTCTCACCTTAAACCCTACTGATCTTTTTCTTTAAACCCCTAAGAGTGACTGGCATCTAATTTCTCCTTACCATATAACACCTGAATCAAACATTAAGGTCAGGAGAATAGATGAGCTGATCACCAACTAAAGAAGCTCTTGATTGTTAGACAAATTCTCGATGTTGGCATCTTAGGAAATGTTTAGAGAACAGTATGAAGAATATGCATACTGATCTTAGGGTGTAAAAGCTTAATTAGCTAAGCCCCACTATTTCATTGTATAAATTGACCCTCTCAGAATTAAAACCTTCCTTTATTTTCAAAACGCCACCAAAAAAAATGTAACCTCTTTCCTATTCTTTTTAACTCTTGCAAAACTTTAATCTTGATCCTCACAGAATCAAGACCTGTGTCATGTATGAACCTTGTTCTCTGTAACTCAGCAGTAAAGCGTCAGAGTGCAGAGGGTTTGATTCTTTGAGAGGAATCAAAGTTGTTTTTTTTCTCACTATTCAGACAAAACAAAAAAAAGTCTCCCTTTATTTCTTTGTAAACAAACCTTTGATAATAATCTGCCAGTGTTGCTCCCCAGCCTCCCTCACTAAAAGATTGCTGTTAGAAGTGCAAAGTTACATCTTTATATCAAGAATGCAAAGTTTTTGGTGAAATCTTACATGACGTCTTTACCAGGAAACTTTTCAAAGATGAATCCGCATCTTGGAAAGAAAGAGAGATTGAATGGGAGGGGGTGGAGTGTGGAGATGTGGGAAAGGGGAGGGATAGGCTAAAAAGCAGGTTTTTCATAGAATTCTGAAGCCATGTTGCAAGTAAACATTTATGTAAATTGAGGGTCTTATCGGTGGGGAAAAGTGGCTATACCTCGGAAATCAACCTTCTCTAGGGATGAGAGGCAGAGAAGAATTAACTCCTCACTAACAAACTTTTAACCCTTAAACTCCTTGAAGTGATTAACATGTAACTTTTCCTTTTAATATCCATACATTATGCACCAAACAGTTATGAGAATACTCAAACTTATCAGGTGAAAGTTGTTGTCTTGATCTAACAGCAAGTTCTCATCACTACTAAATAAGGAAATGTCACTCTGTAAGAGGGGAGAATTAATAAACAATCGTATCTTGGGATCATAAACTTTACGGTAGTCTCCAAATTTCGCCAATGTTTACTTTTCAGGAGAAAGTCTTTGCAGATTGAAGTATGGGATTGTATGAAAATATCGTATCTCTGATCGACAATACAATGCGCTCACCATCATGGTACCGTACCACTGGGTGCCGAGTCTTTTATGTGAAGAAAAACACAACACCGCGATATTTGTTAGCAGGTTGCCAACTTATGACGTGGTGATAACGTGAAGTGACTGCATTTAAAGACCAGCAGTGGAAGATTTTTACACACTTCAGTAAAACGGAGGTTCCTAAACTGATATAAAATAATTTCAAACTTACCTGAGTTAAGGAATCCCCGAAGAGAACAAGTTTTGGAAACAATCTTACCGCCATCTTCACCGAGAGAATGCGAGGGGAAACTGGAGACAAATTGAACTTGAACTAGTAACCAGGCTCTTCTCGACTGTGAGTTTTTAAAGAACTTTGAAGCGTCAGAGCGAATAACGCTCGAAACGTCAGCTTTGGTACTCCTAACGGTGGCAATTCACATTATAAACTAAATTGATAAAATCAAACTATCTTCTCGGCTGTGACCGTCACTCCTTCACAGTAGTCAAGCTCTCATTTCTACAAGCAATTACGCTCCCTCGCCTTGCCGCCTCAACAAGCCATTGATATGTTACTGCGGCTACTCAAAGACGATTGCATCCCAGCAAATGGGAGCCTTCGTTTCCTTAATAGCCGTCAGTACATTCCCTATAATCTGAGCAGATGACAAGCCGAGGGTGAAATGAAAGTCCACAGAACTTGATATCTCAACAGCTCATCGTAACCCGTCAGTTTTACATCCGTGAAGTTTCTCACTCAAATTAAAAAAAAAATGGACCAGAAAACTCGATTCATTTATTAGGACGACGTTTCACAGAAGAAAAGGAGAAATATTTTTTCAAAGAAAATAATTTTGGGGAGATACGCATTTCCTATTTTCCGTTTTTTTATAGAACATGAATATTTACTCTCAGTTCCCCCGTGGTTTAAACCTAATTTATTTTAATCAGTTGAGTTTAAGTTTTTTGTCCTGATTTATTTCCGCGCTTGCCCCTCTGTGTTCCAGTTTGTAAATCCAGTTCTTATTCTCTTCCTTAGACTCTGGCCTCATGGGTCGAGTCTCCACGTGTCTTGTGTACATGCGCTTTCCTACCCCCCGACAGACAAGGATTTGCAACAGACACCAAATATGGGCATAGAAGTACAGGGACCTACGAGAAAGATATGACATTTTAAGAACGCTTCTCTTATGACTCTCAATCTGGGTGTAAAACATTTCCCTTTAAGCAAAGTCCATCGCACAAACAAAAAAATACTAGTGAAAAAAATAATGATATTATGGCGCGGTGCGGAATTCTAAGAGTAAGCTGCTCCGTGCTCCTTTCTCCCAGAGTTCCAAATTCCAGTATCTCTTTTTTTTTTTTTTTTTTTTTAATATATTGAATTTTTTTTGCTTGTGCGACGAACCTCGCCGTAGTCTACCGCACGAGAGAAGTACTATGCAACAATTCCAGCCAATCTTGGGTCAGAAATTTTATGGCATGCACATTTGTGTAAATTTTGCGCGTTTGCCAGCCCTGTCACATGTCTTTTATTCCCGTCTTTCATATAACAGCCAAGTGAAACCCAGAAGAGAGAAGATTGAATTAAAAAATTGTAAAGGAATAAAATCACCCCAAAGCCACAAGAAAAAGGAAAATATTAGGTCTCCCTGGATAGATATTCTCTAAATAATTACTCTTTTCAAAGGACAGTTTGTTTACTTTGAGGATTAAACTTTGATTTACTTATTTTTAAAGCGTTCAAGTCTGAAAGGCTGGGGTTTCTACAGAATACCCACCTTCAGAGTATTCTCGTTCCCAACCACCATTCCCACAGTAAACCTACTTTCACAGCATACCTACCTCCAGTAGTCGATACTCAAGCGTAGTTCTAAAAGCTGAAATGGAACACCTCCTTCCGCCATGCACAGGCCGGTTGCAATACATGTGATCACGTCATAAATAATAGCCAAAGCACGTGTTTTCTGGAAATATGGCCTTATGACACGACGACCCTAAACACATACAAGAAGAGAGCCAAAGAAGCGAGTTGGGCATTGAAAAAAACGATCTGAAGAAGCAAGCTGTTAGGTTAATTCACACGACTAATAATAAGGCATCCTTTACCTTCTTCGACACCTGTTCAAATTAAGATTAACTAATCTTTTTCCTACCGATTGACCAGAAGCAGAGATGTAACATGTTTTTTTAAAGATCTTTTCTAAATTAAATTAACGCGACGTTAGTTACCATTCTTCCCGCTTCTAGCATAAGTCCAAATGTCAGAAACATCATGTAGTATCCCGGATAGAACCCATGCCAGACTGAGGACGTGATAAAAACAGCAAGTGTTCTGTGGTGGGTGACTCGTTCGTAAACTGTCCTGAAAAGATTGAATATTGTGAGAAAAATCCTCTTCGGTTTTTTTTTCCAGTGTTATCAGTTAAGATATCTGACAAAAAGTATTTAGGAAATAATGTAGACTCAATTAAACGCAGCGGATAGGAGCCAATTAGGGACCTGTCAAAATTTATCGCCGGAGGGGGGTCGGTCAGAGGATTTTGCGGGATCACATGGTTTTAGAAATTTGTATGCCAATGAAGGGGGGGGAGGAAATCATGAGAATACTACAGTACATAATAGGGCGATCAGGTACATTTTTTGTAACACTGCCAAAATTCTCCGACCCCCAACCCCGTCTGGCGCCAAATAATGACCAGAATGACCGGTTCTTCACCAATAAACGCCGCCCTCGAATAAAAACCGCACGCAACTAGATGAAAAGAACTTGAATCCGAGTATCATAAAGATATGCGATGACAAGTAATTCACTACTCAGTAATCTACACAATCCTTGGAAAGTAATAGCTTTAAAAAAAGTTTTCCATAATATTTTCAAGTGATTTACCGGGTAATTGTTATTAGTGATTTAAGATAAACGTCCCGCTCTCGAATAAGCGACGTTCAATAAACTCCGCATCAGAAATGCTAAACATTAAATGAATTCCCGGTGTTTAAAACACGTAACAACCAACTTGTGGTTTCTTAGTTTAGTTCGCAGTAGTGCCTAACTTATGTATGGTGGGAGGGGACCCTGAATTTTTGCACACTCCTCTCTCTAGTACCCCTAAGTGCAGTCAACCTCCAGTTAACCACTCTGTGGAACAAAATTGTGTAAAATGTCTAACCTTCTCAGCCAGAGTGCAGAGGAAATATTCCAGTTGTCCATCATCATTTTCATACTAGTGGCGAACTAGAAGAGAATAAAAACGGCAGATTTAGAAATTCACTTGTCGGTGGCATCATGCCAAGTACGTCGGAATTCCTAAGGAGTGGTCTCGGTTCAAGACCCAGGCCAGCTCATTTCAATGTGTTTTTGGACAAAACCCTATTCTCCCACAGCGCCTCGCCGGATTAGGTTTTGGAAAAAGGATATCGACGTATTTCTAGAGGAAGCTAGCGAAATTCGTACGGGGAGGGGGGGGGAGGGTAGCCCACGACGAACTGGCATCCCCTCCAGGGGGGGGCGAGTGGCAACATTCTCGTGTCTCCGGTCAAATGAGCCATTAAGCTTGATCGCTAACTTTACTTATTTTGACTAAAGCATATTTCAGTTTAATCACGTCAGCTGTATTAAACTAACTAAGTACTCTCCGTTTACCAAAAAAAAGAAACATCGTACCTCGATCTTAAGAATATTAGCATTAGTGACTCGATTCCATTTGGCTTTTCCATTTTCGTCGTAACCATTAAAACCCAGACCTCCCATGTTATTCACGGCCTCCGCTGAAATATTCAACAGGAAATCACTAATAATCAGACTCTAAAATTTCTGTGTTTGCACCACGCATTGACAAGTAAAGAAGCCAGGAAAAAGACAAGGACGACAGAGATGAACAATGCATGGAGGGGAGGAACTGAAAGAAAGAGAAAAGGGGATGGAAGGGAGAAAACAAGATGTGACAGTGAAGACTGGTAAAGGTAAAGTTGATCACTTACCCACTTTAAAGGCAAAGTAGTATCTCAGCTTAGCAACCGTGCCACTAATCCAGCCGTATATAACTCTCCAGTAGAATGGTTCAGATGCTATAAACTTGGGATCTGATGATTCAAATTTTAAAGACAAAAGATTTTTTTACAGTAGCTATAAATTGAAATAGTACATAGCTCGTTGCGCTAACTGACTGTCTGACTGAATGACTGACTGGAGACTGACTGATCAGCTGATTGATTGAGTGGCTACCTTACTGACTGACTAACTGATTGACTGGCTGACTGACTAGGTGACTGACTAACAGACTGACTTATTGACTGACTGACTCACAAACTTACTGACTGACAGATTGATTGACGGACTGACTGATTTTCTGACTAAATAACTTACTCACTAACTTACTGACTGACAGACTGACTGACGGACGGACTAACTGTCTGAAAGACGGACGGACTGAATGTCTGACTGACTGACTAACTGACTGACTGACTGACTGGCTGACTGACTGACGGACTGAATGCCTGACTGACTGAATGATTGAAAGACTCAATGATTGACTGACTGACTGACAGACAAACTGACTGAATTACTTCCTGACTAGTTGATGGATTGAATGACTGTACTGACTGGCTGCCCTACCGCATGACCCATTAACTGACCAAATAGCAGCCTACCGACTCGCTGACCGACCTAAACTGAAAAAGTACACTGACTCACATATGCCCATAAGGATTGAACATCTGACCATCCTACAAACTAACCACCTTACCTGCATTTTTAGAAATCGGATAATGTCCCCCAGTCAGGAATAAAATAACCACACACAAGAAACCAGACAACATTTTCTTTAAAACATCCATCTGAAGCAGAGTGACAAGAAACACACAAAGGAATAAATGCGCGTGCTCCAAGTCATTTGAAATTTTGAAATGAAAACGATAAAACTATCTTACCAAAGGCGAGGGTTCTTTTTCGCCAGGCTTCTAAAATTAAAGGAAAAAGAAACAAACTGAGTGCGATTCCACGGTTATGTCAAAATCTACAAGTTCGTCCGCGCATTTGAAATGATTGACTTTTTCTTGCGCTTTTGTAATTTTGTTTGGTCAGTGAGGCAAAGAATATTTAATTTTTTTAAAGTGTTTACAATATAATACCTTAGGTCTAATATCTGAGCCATCGATAAAATCGTTAAATTCCTTGAACGTGCAGACTGGTCCTGCAAGAATTGTGCTGTAATGGAACAGGTAGCTGAAGTATTCCAACAGAGACGGGACTTTTCTAAAGTAAAAAAAAAACCACCGAGTTTTACTAGAAATGAAAACGAGTAACAGTGAGAGGGAAAAATTCAGCTAATGTGACTTCTGAGTAAGTCTATGATTTCTCAGTACTAATCCCCTTGTTCTCAGAGAAAGTCTTCATAAATGTATAACGAATAAATGAGATGTTGTAAATGAAATATTGCAGAACTGGATTTGCGATATGACTTTTTATCCAGCGCCAATTTACGATCTCAACGCTAAGTCGTGGAAGGCCTGGATACAGTACACATGCTGCCGGAGTAATATGTACATGAAAAAATTACGCGCTTCTGATTGGCTGAAAACGAGTGCATTCTCGTGCAACACGAGTGCAAAGTTGTAACACGCGTGCAATTATAAATAGCGCGTGCGCGCTTTCAAAATTTCGACTATCTCGACTCTCTGTGATGCTATTTCATGTACATCATCAACAAGTTCTAAAAAGATTTCTCGTGTAATTTGGTGTAATAAGCACTTGTAAATTTTTCAAAAACTACAAATTGCACGCGCCCAACGGGCACCTCTAATGTTGTTTTCTTTGAAAAATTTACTCATGGTTCTTATTATCAAATTGCACTCGAAATATGTAATTTCTGACGTTTGAGTGACATGGGAACGAATCAGTCAGAAATTAACATTCTGATGGCAGAATTAGTCTTATGTTTTACAACTTTTTTTTTTCGTATTGATGTAATTTGCCTTTTTTAAATCTCTGTAAAATATCACTATATTCAATTATTTTTAGTATGTGATTAGCAGTGTAACCAGGTTAGTTTGCCCTTTCCTCGGGGTATTGTACTACTGCATTAGATGAGGAATACGTTTCCACATTTTTTTTGGCCACATCTAAAGAGTGGTATTTTGGTGGTTTTTCGTATCTGGCGTAGCACAGGTTCTTTTCGTAGAAACCTTAGTATTTAGTGTACACAAGCTAAGATTAGGATACATACACTACAAGACTGGCTGACTCATTCTATTTGGATGCGAATACTACAAGAGGTATCCGCGGGTTTCGCCCATAACGAGTTTCGCCCAAGAAGCGTTTCGCCCATAACGAGAATGGTTTCGCCCAGGCATAAATTCGATTCGCCCAACTTGACTAGTTTCTATCTCTTTTCCAATTATGTGTTGCCGTTACCTATGTCAGAAATACAATCTTTAACTCTCGATTCCTTTGTTTTAGTATTCACGAAACCGTATTCACATGTATTCATAAGCTGGCGTGCGGAACTTATCTTCCGTGTACAAAAGATTTGCAACGATGATATGTTCCACGCGCAAGTGTTTTCAAAAGCGTTTAATTTAATTCTCGAGAAGAAAAGTGATGCAAAAACATCATAGTAATGCTTTTACGACAAACGGACGTCTCTGCAGTATTTCGTGCGCGAATTACCTTAACAATCCCCGCTCCACAGTGAAAGCTATAATTGACTTGTTCGTTTCAACAGTAACTTGTTCGTTTCAAAATTTCATGATCTCAGGTCAAGTCACTTTTCTTCATTCTGTGCATACAAACGTTTATAAGGTTGACGTCTTCCGAGTGAGAGTGTAGAAGTTTTACTTATGGGCGAAACCTTTATTGTTCTGGGCGAAACCATTCTCGTTCTGGGCGAAACGATATGTGCGAAACTCGTTATGGGCGAAACCCGCTATAACCCTACAAGACTACAAGACTGGCCCATCCTAAATAAACTTTTCACATTGAAAATGAGTGAGTGTGGTCAGAATCATGTTATAACCTATACTAATGTTCCATTAAGTGTCGAAAGCATTATTTAACAGGACTGTGTTCGTTTTGATTCACTTTACTTGGTAACTGGTGAAGGAAACTTGACACTTTATCCTATCCAATTGCTTGCTGGTTACTCTCGTTTTCAAACATTTTTGCAGTTTACTTTGGGATCTCATTCTCTCATTGCAACACTTTTTCTTAATTCTGATTGGTTGTGATTTCTCAAGGTTTGGTTTACATACACGGATTAGAAACTGCGCCTTAAATGAGTCAATTGGGTTTTCAGGGGAAAAAATAACAATGGAAGACTAAAAGTCTTACTTGAGTTTTTCCTTTCTTTGCTCATCTGTTAGATCGCTCTCCTCTCTCGCAATTCCTGTTGACAAAGCAAAGGATGGTTTAGAATAGCGACAACACGGAATATCCATTGGCAAAGAAGAGGGGATCACATTCTAGCGGCTCCTCCCCCCCCCCCCCGCATTCTCCATAGTAACAACAATGCGATAAGGGAGGCTTTTCAATCCAATATCGGCAAAGGAATGGGGGGAAGGGATGATGAAGATAACTCTCTCCTCCCCCGGGAAGCTGGAGGGAAGAGAGACGCCTAGACTCGTTTCCCCCCAAAAAAATGGTCGTTAGCATTTCTGCCGTTTTCTCGGCTCCGATCATTCGATCCTCCCGTGGGGGAAATGCAGGCGCATTTCCCGAAAAGTGGCCTGGTAATCGAGCCTAATGCAATACTGTGACAAAAACGTAAGGGCGTGTTAATTCTCCGGGCATAGTGAAGTGTGGACGTCTTGTATTCTGCAGCATACACCTTTATTGATATCTGTCGGGCTATACCAGCAACTAAACTACTCTCTACATCTAGTTACAAGCTCGGCTTCTATAGGTACGGTTGAGGATCTAGAACGTTCCGTAACATTACAACAGATTCTATTTATATATTGATTCAAGGATGACTCAGCATGACACAGCTACTTCTAGAACATTCTTGAAGGTCACACTACACAGAGTTCGATGGCTTACGGCTTTATTAGAGGTTATTTCTACCAGAACTAAAACCCTTGCTTTAACAAAGACATAGATCATCTGTTATCAACTTACCATCGTGTAGATTGAATGCTATGTAAGTAACTCTCTGAACGATCAACATCAGTGGGCTAAAAGCAACCAAAGATAAGTCAGTGCAAAACTCGTCACCAGGCTGCCCTTCTCGCGCGAGTGGCCTTCAGATCAAGTAATTCTTCATGGCTTCTAATCGTGATCCTGCGCAATGGCGGGACAGTCTCGCCTAATAAGCCCCAATATCGATAATTGATAACCTCATCGACCCGTGTAGAAGGCGCTTAGATAATAAAAGATGTTTTCTCAAACAAAGATGGGTGCCCAGAAAGTAGTCCTCTCACGCGCGCTCTCATCAGTTGCGTTGCGTGACAAGACCTTACCTACGATCAGACGTTCTTTCTTACGGTGAGCGCGATTGTGTTACATGGCAGGCGGGAGGATTGTAAGTTGAACGAGACAAAACAATGGCTGCGATGAAAACTAAACATAAAGAGATATATTTGATTTTAATATGCACAGTTTTCACGCGATGCGGCTTAGTTTGCAGTTTTTATCACCATTTCGGTGCCTGTTAGGAAAGTTGGTCATATTAGGATAGATACACTCACCCAGAGAAATCTACAGCGTGTTCTCCGTAGTTTGTTACTTGTCTATAAATATGGGCCACAGACAACGTCCCCATTGCAGCGATAAATACAAATCTGACACAAATGAAAATAAGAAAAAAGATAAAGATAATTAAAACGATAATGACGATTTTAATTAAAAAAATAAACCAGTCTGACTTGTCATCAAATGCCAGTCAGAGCGAGACAGTCTTTGGTCACTTTACCCCACCCCCTCTCCCTCCTCCGCTCCGAGTGACAATTACCTCATGAGTCCCCTGACTAAGGACCCCGATGCCCTAAGGTGCGTAATAAACTTGATTTTCGCCGTTTTCTCGTTTCTGTCTTTGTTCTCTTTCTTAGGGGGAGGAGCGCGGGCTCTTTTCCCGAATAGTGCTCGGTAATCGAACCTAGGTCCGTAATCGGTCAACCGTTGGGCATGCGCGAGAGTATTAATTTTGACCCGCTGCGCGCCTTGTAGAATTTCACAGTTAAACATTAAAAACGACGGCAGTCTCGGAAATACATATGGGAAAACTTGAAACGTTCATAGAAATTTGTAAAAGGAAACAAAAATAGGTTAACACGAGACTAAATGTCAATTGCTAACATCTTCGCATTGGTTCGACTGGAAGTAGACGGGACATACCTGTGAACTACCGCAGGATTTGCAAGCGAGGTAAACATGTAACACACAGCGCTCAGTCCGATAAGGATTAAAATTTCCCTGCAGATTGGACCATAAGAAAAACCTCCATTACTGACAGGCAAAGATCGTAACGGGACAAAGGAGGATGGTTCATATCCCTTGATGTATCACGTCCAACTGTTTTACAATTCAGCAATGATCGCATCATTCCTAGACTTCGAGCAGGCCTTCATTAAAAGCGCTGCAGGACGTGCATTTCTCCGCTGGCAGGAAGATTGGAGACGAGTCAGGAGGGAGAAGATTGCTAGGGAGCTGGCACTAAAAACATTATCAGTGCTGAACCTCCTGTACTCGCCTTGCAGACCTCTACATTCCCACTGGCAAAGAAACGCTTTACCTCCCAAGATCTGATTGTTAATTCTCTCCTCTAGCTGCTACATATTCCTTGTAAATTAGTTACGAGAATTTGGTGTAAGATCAAGATAAAAACTTCTGCCTGATAAGTTTGAATATTCTCATAAACCGTTCGCTAGAAAACGTATGAATATCAAAGGGAGAAGTTACATGTTAAACAAAATAATGTAAACAAAATAAGACATTGGATTAAAACTCCCTTTTGAGGGAAGGGATCAGTGTATTAATTTAAATTATATAATAAGCTCAGTTATGCACGCATTCTGATTGGTTCTCACTTATGATCTATTAGAGGACAGACTTATAGATGAAGTCCTCGTTAAAACTTTTTTCCATAAATTTTAATTCTTTATTGTATAAAACAAATAGATTCCAAGTTGCCGTGCGTCTGTTCAGTAATAGATCACAGAGGGCGTCAAAATGTGGTAAGAATATCAGTGACGTTTTTGTTCTTACCACATATTGACGTCATCTGTGATTTATTACTGATATTAACAATATAAACTTGGAATCTATTTGTTAAGTAATGTTTAAAAAACGAGCAGGAGTGTTTTATCGGGTTTTTGACCCGATAAAACATGTGCTGCGAGTTTTTTGAACGGCTTCAAAAACATTCTCGGAAAAGCGTGTGTCAAGAGAGTTCATAACAATTATGCTTTTGTGAACGTTAGAAATTAACATACGAGAAAAACATGATCTTGAATTCGAAGTTTCAGATGATGTATTGTCTAAGATGCCTTTACCAGATTACTGTACTAATGGAATAGAGAATTTTTCCAGATGTGTATTTCACAACTGTACTATTAATTTGGTGCAAAAGTAAATTTACTGAGTGAAATTTGTTGAAAGAACATTAAATATGTTCCCACCATTTGTTGTGTCAGTTTCTGTGTTGATAATTAATTAATATTCATAAGTCACGTGCAGTGTCTTTATATCTGATAAAACACCGCATACTAATAATACACGTGAAGTATTATCTACCATTTGATAGGTTAATGGGCTTATGAATTATTAATGAGTTTTTGAAATATTTCATAAACACGAGTCTGATCTTGGCTGTAATTCTGTGTTCTCTCTATCTCTCTTTCTTCTTTCTTCTTTTTTTTTTTTTAATTTTTACCCACGAAATTTAACCTCGACCCGCACCACAACCCACGACCCCTACGCACGACCCACGACATTTAGCTACACTAGTTACTAGTAGTAATACCTGTCCACGTCTCATTAGCATATAAGAAACGAGTTGTACGAAGTCACCCTATTATCTAACTGCTTTATTTGAAAAGCTTTTCTCATAAGGCGAGAAATGCTAATAGGAGAGCGGTTTCATTGACAGGTCTTACCAACTGTCCAAATAACAAGTTAAAATGCAATATTATAACAATATCTCTGTCGTATTTACAGCATTAATTTTCGCGGCATGTTCTATTACATCATCAAACTTTTGGTTTTTAAAACGTTATTCGTTTCAATTTTAACCACGCTGCATCGCTATGCTATTGTTGACATTAAAATATAATCATTGGGTTTTTTGTAATTAAGTAAATGAAAGAATTTCATCAACAGCTAATAAATGATATCTCAAGCAGAACCTGTTATTGAGAAATGTTAACAATTATTCAAATGTGTGCATGTTCGTCAACTATGCATAAATTACATCATTATCATTTTCCTTCTTACCAACTAATACCCGATTAAATTTTTATTTTTTCAAAAGAAATTATGGTAAAGACGAAGTAAAAGAAGAGAAGTCTTGTAAAATGTGCAAGATGAGATCGCACGAGCTGATCATTTTTGTAAAATAAACATTGTGGCGTGACTTGAAATTTGAATGTGAGCAAGTGAGCAGCAGGGTTTGTATTGATGGTGGGATTCTTACCAGCTGAAACAAAACCACGATAGTGCCAAACCCCAGACAAGTCCTAAAAGTCGCCTTGCGCTTGCAGAAACACGTCTAGGGTGGAAAACAATCCGGAACAGCACACCAAGAGGAAGGCATAGCAACATACAAAACACGAAATTAATCTGAGAAGAAAGAAACACAAAGATTCGTATATTATGGCGGATGGTTGTTGGCGATTTTCACTGTTAAACCAGCAGAAGTTGGTTTTTTTTTTAACCTTCAGTGGCATATTGGATCAAAATGTTTCATGACCTTAAACTACGGCATAGGTCAATTAATGTTTTAAGCCATCATCGATATCAATGGTATCCCTAAATTAACGTGCCCTAGATCGGCGAATGCTTGGAAGTTCTTTGTTTTGTTTTTTTTTTGTCACTTCAGAAATAACGTGACCTATGACTTCATACACATCTAGCAGAAACCTCGCCTAACAACATAATCTTGGACATGCATGTTCTGAATGCTTTGCTGTACCTTGTCAATCGAAAACTTCGTCCTGCGAGACAACTCCAGAAGAAAATTATTGATCCCGAACATAATCGTATTTGTCACCGAGACTCAAGGTACAATGCTCAAGAAAATTGATTTCACGACAAAACAGAAATCGGGTCCAGGCTCCAAAGTGGACTTTGAAGCGTTCCTTCAGAGCATTGCTGTTTACATGTACATGTTTATCGAAACTCTGTTAATCATTATGGACAGTACGTCGGCCTGATTTATTTCGTCAAAATGGCATTTCAGTGATGACGTGAATAATTACGAGGTGTGACGGCGCGTGCATAAGTATTAGCTTGGGGTTTATCATTATTTACCTATCACTAACCGATCTTAGGCGAACTGTCATGATGACGGGTGTGTTCATTTAACCTTTACCATGACCGTAAGCCGACAGAGTTTTATCTTAGCTCGATTCGAATCCAACTAGGACAAGTACAAGGCAAGGCGTGACACAATGTTTACTCATGTTCATTCAGCGTAACGGTTGCTATGGATCAAGCACGTATTGACAAACTGTTTGTGCGCTTTAAAAAAGCTATAGAAATGGAAGAAATATAAAATATCAGAAAGTTTCTGATTGTTTCTTAAAAGGGATAATAAGGCTTTTTGGGAAGATTTGTTAAGTTGTGTAAAGCAAACCTTACGCAACGTTGGAATTTGTTGACACAACCGTTATTAGATATTGTAACGCAACGCTTTCTTTACACGACGAGAGTTACTACATCACGGGCGACGAGTGGGGGATGAAGAAAAGACCGAAATACGAGTGGTCAGCGGGTAAACAAATTTAATAACTCATATAGAGACATATCAGTTATAGTTGCGGAAAACAATAGTCTTCTAAAGCCGAAATGTCAACAGTATACTTCGCTAAATAAAATGTTAAGCAATTTTTCATAAGTGTTGATGGCACATATATCTTTTACTGCTGTAATAAACAATGGAGGTATCAGAAAAGGCATCGGTGGCATCTGAAAAGACACCAAGAAGAATTATATTTACGTTTTGTAACTTGCTGCGTGACGAAAAAAGAAAATCAAAACCGTGGTCCCCAAATGAATTCTCCCACCTTGCCCCAAAAAATTTTCAAATTTTCCGCAACTTCACCAGTTCCTATTCGTAGGTCCGGCCAAGCCTTTATGGTCATTGGCTCCCGTATAGCCACTAACTATGGCTTATAAATACAGTTATTTAGTGTTAAACTGTAAAACTCCCCGAAGAAGTCTACGACAGTTAAACGAAACGCGTCGGAGAATAATGAAATTTTACAACTACCGTTCGCAGAGTGCTGCTAACCAGTTTAGTTTTAAAGATTTTTTTTTTAAAATGTGGTGCGATAGCTGTGGTCAGTTTTTCCATGCAGGTTGTCTGGATGTACCTTTCGCAGAGACGTAGGGGGGCAGAGACACCAACACAACATTTCACCTGCCGTTCGCTTCGAAAGTTTTCATCCCGAGTTCATTTGTTAAATAAAAAAGAAAAAAAACACTTCGAACGAAAAACAGAATTATTTTAACGCCTGGGTCTTTTGAAAAAAGGTCTCCTAAACGAGTGGCCCTCATTATAAATATTTAAGCATGGTAAATACATTAGCCTTAACTTGGCTGTTTCTCGAAGCTCATTGTTTTCCTACATGCCTTTTTCACGTGAAACGAGGCGATTGAATATATATAATAAACACTAAAAGAACTACAGCAGATGGAAATTTCAAATTTCTTATCTAAAGGCTGTGGATACAAACTTATTAATGACTCTAAAAATATAACAATCTAGAACGAAATTTTTTTAGAGTTGCTTAGCTTTTCATTTTTCCGGAATCGAAAGTCGAGATTGCAAAATTCAAGTGAAAAGCAAACCGACTGTGATTAATGCCTCAAACAAGTCAAGATACTGTTTTTCGTCAAACAACAAGTTACATATCGTAAAGATCATTCTTCTTGATTCCTTTCCCGGTGTCACCGATGCCTTTCCCGATGCCTCTGTTGGTTAATATAGCAGTAAAAATATTGTTCCAGTCAAAGCGTTTGGAAAATTGCTTAACTTTTGAATTACCGAAGTATAACCTGGTAACATTTTGGCTTTACAACACGATTGTTTTTTGCAAGTTACAAAACGTAAATATAATTTTTCTTAGTGCCTTTCCGAATGCAACCGATGCCTTTCCTGATACCTGCATTGTCTAATATAGCAGTAAAAGATATATGTGCCATCAACACTTTTGAAAAATTGTTTCACATTTTATTGAGCGAAGTATACTGTTCACATTTCGGCTTTACAACACTATTGCTTTCTCCAACTACAACTGATGTGTCTCTATATGAACTATTAAATTTGTTTTCCCGCTGACCACTTGTACTTCGGTCATTTCTTCCTGCCCCGCTCGTCGCCCGTGATGTAGTAACTCCCTTACACGACCGAACAACAGCTTTAATGGAGACCAATGCTGAAATTCCGTAAATAAGATCAAACTTTTGAATCGTTCAGTCAAATATCCGTAAATTTTAAAGTGATTAATAAAATTTGCAAGCATAAATTAAAATGTAGGTCGAGGTAGTAATTTATTCGATGAATTCTGCCCCAAGTTCAATCATCTTTTAGGTTTGCCACACAACATATGAGGCAAATAATTCTTACTGTTTACAATATAATTCTTGCGATGGTAGCTCAGAGAATTTGGTATTGGATCAAACCGAGAAAGTATTATCTCTTGATCAACTAAACATCTCCTAACTGATACTTTTCGTTATTCTGAACCTTTTTCTGCCTGGTTTTGTATTGACATTGTAGGAGAAATTATGTCTTGGTCAGTCATGGGAGTTAAAGAAACTGGTTTAGGAAAGGTCAATCTTAATTTTCGTAGCCTTCCTTAATACGGGCGACAAAAAAAATCGGCAGCCAGAAGTTAGATGTTGCTCTCCCCGGAACTTGTTAGACCGTGCTCGTCTTCCAGTCACGGATACCTGGCGGTGTGATTTAAACTGACAGGAAGCGTGACTCACTCGCGTGACACACTAACATGACACATTAGCATGATGCAGCAATATCTCTCTTCCCTCTGGTGCTCGATATGCAGATACCTCTCCACATCCAATCGAAGAATTTCTCTAATAACACTCAGGTTCACCAAGCAAAATCACCCCTGGTCTGAATGGGCGCGGCTTGCTGAACTTACACTTGTCAAGCTGCATGGCGCATTTTGGGAAACCGAATAGTCCTGGAAGGTTACACTGAGGTAGAGAACCGACACACTGAATTCCACAGTCTGAAATAAGAAAGAACAGAATCAAATTAGTCGTTTTGTGCATTTCAAAGTACCATTTTATCCGCCAAGAGTAACTGGTTTCTAGTTAAAGTTTGACAATATAATTAAACACTGAGGCCAGGAGAATAAACGAAATGATCACCGATTCAAGGAGCTTTTGATCACCAAACACATTCTCCTTGTCAGTACCATGGGAAATGTACGGATAACAGTGTGAAGGATTTAAATATTCATGTTATGGTGTTAAAAGTTTAGGTTTTTATTTTAAATTTTTGTTTACCCGCTCTCGCTATTTTCTGATTTTCGATTCGTCCATTATCTTAGTCTTTTATTTGCTTGAAATGTTTGACATGTTTTCAGGGCAAGGGTCACATCTGTGAATTTTTTCTGATTACTGCAATTATCTGCACGTCAAACAATAATACCTTCTTTTATCTTATGGCAAGGTAGTATTGAGGATTTATTCGAACGTTCTGACTGGTTCTTCCTTTGCCGAGATTTTGCCATACGGACCTTTTCCACGGAAATGGCCATAAGGCGTGTCTTTTCGTTCGCAAAATACGGCAAATTTAAAACATTTAAGTATGTTCAAGAGCAATTTCACAAAATACTTACTAACCTCGTTTGCTCGGGCGGTACTGGGGAATTTTGGCCTGACCTCAGGCCAATATTCCTCAGCACAGCCCCTGTGCTCGGTTGGTAAGAGGTTAGTGGTTTTTTTCTCGCTTTTTTGCGTAGCTTTACATCTCCAACTTCTACGTTTAGAAAGCACAAACAAGCGAGCATATAAGCACACAGCTTTGTTTTCAAGTGCCCAACTCAAATCAGGAATTAATTTCGACAAAAGTACAGCAGAAGCACGACATCTGAATCAAAACTAAGAATTAATTTTAAACTGAACAGAGGAACAGCTCGCTACCATGAAACAACCTTAGAATAAGTGAGAATAGACTGTACGTACCAGGTGACACAGGTCTCCCACCTGCAAAACCAAACAAAATGGGCAGCAAAACCAGCCAGGTGTAAGAGTATTTCATTTTGACACTAGAGTCAACACGCAGCCTTTTTACGGTCTTTATGGGGCTGATAAATAATGATATCTACCGGGAGGTGGACAATTCAAATATTCTACCTAGCACCACACCCTTGATGTTGTCATATATTCACGTAAACTGTTCACCGGGTGATATTTATTCATGTGATGTTTCAGGAAGAGAATATTAACTGGTTTTGGTCATGAGCTCCTCCCAAAAAATTTCCGGCTTGGGACCAAGAATTTTTTTTTCTCCTTCCCTGTGATGTCTTAAGATTATCGGCCGACAGTGTTTCCAAAAGAAGCATTACCGTGTTTTACAACCACATCATCTTGTTAATTTACGTTGCTATAAAACAGTTTGTTGATCAAGATTTGTATTGAAACTTGAATTCGCTAACTTCACCAAAACTGATGTGCCCTGAGTAAGAACCGTTTGTTTATCCCTGTAACTTTGATGCAGTCACTTGACTATAGTACCATCGTACTATAGAACTATTAAGCTGCATGTGTCTTTGTTCACTACTACGAATGATGCGACACTGATATTCACAGGGCGAGGACTGTTTTGAATTAATCTGTCAAAACTTTAATTGCGTTTTCACACTTCATCTGATGTTTTCCCAAACCTGTCCCGACCGTGAGGAAAGAACGACTGCTTGTTACGTTATAACTTTTTTACGTTTTTGGGCGAACAGAGGCAAATTTAAGGCGGGTGCAAGTTACGCGCGAGGGGAGGAGAGCAAGTTTCCGTCTTTCGGTTTTTTTTTGTTTTTGCGCTCCTCCCCTCGCGCGGACTCGCACTTCCCGCTCGTCTCGCGCTGGCCTCCGATAGAATGAAAAACGCAAAAAAAATTATGTCTATTCTGCAGGCCAAGAACATGTTTCCATAAACGAAATTGTGAGAGGGCAAAGGGACAGACCAAAACATGATATCAATTTTCTCAACAGCAAATTATTGAATTGTCCAAGTTCCTGATTATTTCTAGGTTTACGGAAGGAATCAAATTATGTTTTGTAGACTGCAATTCCACGGAATTATTCTTGTCTCATTTCATTTCAATCTGTAAGGCAACTGTTGTCTGCAAGATGTTTTGTTATCGGTAAATCTTGCCATTGTTGCTTAAACAAGCTATTGTCAAACTGTTGACGATACATGCAGGCAGTCTGGTAATAGAGACACGTTTCTTTAAAAATTCATCATCTTTCAAAACGCGCATGCTTATCTTAAGTTGCATGGAATTACGAAGCCTGAATTAACAATAATCTTCCGTTCTAAGGGCGATTTCTCATTCAAAAAAGCACTCTTGCCTTTTTTTAACTCGTCTTTCATTCAGCTGTGGAACAAATGAGTTGATATGAGAAAAGCAAGACACTTTGTATGTGTTGTGGCCCTTATAATCGTTCTGGTCGTACGTGGAACTTGGACAGTAAGACACGACACTTTCTGGGGAGAAAAAGGTTAGTAATCATTTCTTGTTTTCGCTTTTCAGGGCCTAAAAAAACGTAAAAAGACATTAATTTCTAGAAAATAGAAAGTGACAAAGAGAAGTGACTTCATCAATAAGCTTGTATCTCAATGGGGAATCTGTCAACAGCGGACAAATTTTAAACTCTGACTTCAAAATTTCGACTCGAATCAATGGCCTAGTTTTTCTTTTAAACTGCAAATTTTGAATTTGCTTCTGACCATTCCTGTACTAGTTTGGTTATGAAAAAATCGTGTTAAAAATTTGCTTGAATATAGAAGCTTTTACAAGGCAAAATTCAGTTTGATTTTGTATATTATTTGGGGTTTACGCCGTTCGCTCACCCCATGTTGTCGACGGTTTGTCGAAAACGATGGCTGTGATTTCTAATAATTTATTATGTCGATACCTTGGGGGTACCATTAGCTTGTTAAACAAAAAAACCTGTGTCTTACCGAGTCATCCAAATCATTCCTTAACGGTTAAAACTGACTGAGAAGTCTCACGCAATCGTCAAGTTCAGTTCACGTTGGTTTACACTTTGCCAGTTCGGCGAAAGAAGAAATGGTTTGTAAAATATTTTTCAAAGCTTTAACTTTGAAAGAAAAAGAAGTTGTTCTCAAGTTAGGACTCACGGACTGCATTTTAAAAGATAATAATAAAAAAAAAAGCATCAGAGTCGACGATAAAAAATCTAGGGATACAATTTTTTGCTGTAGCTCTTCTCGTCTTCTCCAAGGGAGGGACCCCGCTGAACATGATGTCGACGTCCTGCAGGCCTGGGTTTTAGTTATTTATTTCTCCTTGATTTTTCTGTTATCGTGGCTGTTTCATACTTTATATTATGGTAAAGAAGAAATTGCGAAAGAATAAAAACTGATAAAAAATTATAAATACAATAAGTAAACTAATATGAGCGTGGATGACAAAGTCAAGCACAGTGGGCTGTTGTTAGACGAGAAACAAGTTGTTTGATCATTCTGATTCCATTCCGGAAGTGTTTCCCATGGTTTCGTTCGCGATTTGGTGTTGTCAAAATGCAAATCGAAAACTGAATGCAATCTTCAATCACTTTCAGCTGAGAAGACGGTTTATACAAATCTTCCAAAGCATGACGAAGTAAAAGCGCTGTCACATTACTGTGGCCGAACATTAAAAATTTGAGTCATATACGAGAGCAACTCATTAATAATAATTTGAAGATATCATTCTTCTTCTCCTCTTGGGCGCGGTACCGTTTATTGAATGTCACGCAAATTCTCTCCCATTTTTTCGGGCGTCGAGGCCGAGGGTAGGGGACGGAGGGGGGGGGAGGGGAGGCGTTGTGTGATATTCCAAAAAAACGGTGTACGCGCGACTAAGCACTTTTGAACTCAGAGATTGCGATGGCGTTCAAAGACAAGACGGTGTAACAAATCTAATTTTTTGCTCCTTTTTGTTTCAGCGCCTCCTGGTTGTCAGCCGTGTCCTAAAAGTGATGAAGGTCTGTTTGACACCCCAATTTGTGGCAAGAATGGAATCGCTTACAAAAACTTTTGCTATCTCACTTTAAGGAATTGTATCGCTAAGATATTGAAGAAGGAACCAGTTTTCCCCTCTAGTGATCCGAAAACTTGTGGGTAAGATTTTCGGCGGCATTTGCTTTCTCATATTTGTTTACATAATTCTGGCACATATGCACTAAATTCTTTCCCATAACAGATTTTCTTATTTTCATCATCGTTATTACCATCGTTCGCATCAACACTTATTATCATCATCATTATAAGTATAGGTAATAAGTAAGCGTGTAATTTGAAATTTCAAAACGAAAGAGATTTTCTCCAATTATTATTATTATTAAATTATCATCATCATCATCATCATTAATGTCATAATCGTATCGTAATCATTGTTATCCATATCATTATTAATGTCGTTATCATTAACGATTCTGCCGATCGTGATCCTGAGTTTTGATATTCTCTAAATTCCAGTGAAATGAGCTTTTTTCATCCTCAGGTTGCAAATGAAGATGTATAACAGCTTCTCTGGGTCGCCATTTAAAAGAAGAAAGCGAGCGTTGAAATCTGGTCCGAGTATGACGGTCAAACACTACTAAATTGGAAGACTGCATGACAAGTCTAGCCAAAGAGAAAAAAATATATATTCTTCAACCATCAGCTAGAAGCTGTCTTTCAACGAAGTTCGAAATTTATCTTTAACAGAAGACGTCAAAAACAACTGTTATTAACTGTGTAGTTACGTTAGAAATGAACTCATCTCCCGCTGCTAACACCACGTACTTGTTGGTCTTTTGACTGGCGTTACCATGCTGCGTGGGCAAATTGTCGGCGTTAATCCTTTACACCCTAACATCAGTGTCTATATTCTCCATACTATTCCTATATATTTCCTTTGGGGCTTATAAGGAGAATTTTGTGAATAATCAAAGCTTATTAAGTTGGCTATCATTTCCTTAATGAACGGTTCAGGAGTATCACAGTAAAGAGAAAAAGGATGCTGATCACTGTTAGGGTTTAAGGGCTAAGACTGTCAGTCGAAAATTAATCCAATCTGCTCATATAAAATAAGCTCTCTAACCAATAACAATACTTTATAATGAACTTGCTACAAAACTAGGACCGGGGAGATTTTTAGAAATAACTGTTTCCAAGCGAAATATGTATATAAAATGAATTCAAATTAACTACGTTCACACAAAATGGAAGAAATGACTTTTCTAGCCGAGACGGCACACGTCAAGCTTAGAAGGAGACGCAAATATCAGTATCTAAGCATGTACGCACCTACCCCTCCCCTCCCCTACCCAACAGCAGTCAACTGATAACAAGTTGGGAAAAATGTTAGGTTAGGGGAGGGACTGGTGTGTAGTTGCTCAGATACTGTCATAGGCCTTAACTGAGTGCTTTCAAGGATATTTGGTTTGGGAATAACTCGATACCATGATTCTTTTCGACCCCTGGTTAAAAATGAAAATTGAACTGATCTTTATTTTCTAAGGGAAATCAGACATTTTGAATAGAACTCTAGCTTTATATTATACATAGATGTAAATATTTAAGTTAAATGTGCATATCGATGATCTACAGTATTTGAACTAAACTGATAAACATATTCCGAAAATTTGGCGAAGTTTGAAATTCCCCGTTAGGGATATTTTACATGAGTATGGGATGTAAACGTGTGTTTTTCTTTTTTCCTTTTTTTTCTAAATGAGTTTTCTTTCGATATTAATGTTTCATGGCATCGTTTACCCAGTCACAAAATACTAGAGATCACCAGAGATACCATAAACTTGAGCAAACTTCTTTATCTTTCTTAAGCTTGCACAATGAGCCTTTGCAGATATGCAAATATGTCTGCCTTGACAAACGGACAAAATATTAGGATTTGTATGGGAACAAACGCACCCTCAACCGAAACTTACATAGATGGCAAAAAAGATCGATGAACTGAAAATGAGCTAACCGGCCTAAATCAGCCCAAGCTGAGAAACTCACACGATGCCAAGGAACAACCTTTTAGGCGAGGTAAATTTGTTTAAATTTTGTTCAAATCAAGTTCAGATTTTTGGGTTGAGGGCGCGAACATTAATTCCCATATATACAATTTCGAAAAAGTCTTTATATTTCGCCCACTGTGAAACTTAAATTTTATGGAGGCTTATTGTGAGAGCTTTAACCCACCTATGATGCACAGAGCCATGAACGTGAAAGTCTCGAGTACTGATTACATCTTCCGCAAGTCTCTCGTGACAGGATGTCATGTTAACTAAATAACGTGAAATTCCGGTAATATTCCATTTCACAACCTCACAACAAAAAGAACAAGACTCACGGCGAAAGAAAAAAACCTCCCAGCCCCCACGGCTCTCTTTTATGCCGTGAGGACATTATTATTTCTTTTGCCGTGAGGTTATTCTTTGAGGTTATTCGCGAGTCTTTTTCTTTTAGCCGAAAGGTTCTTCCTTTTGCCGTGAGTCGTTTTCTTTTCCGGCGAAGTTATTTCTTTTGCCGTGACAGTTGTGGGCCAACGTAGATAATAGACACTACAGAAATTCAAGTAAATGCAAACAAAAGGTGTGGGTTTCACATGTCATTGCAGTTTCTAGAACCACTCACTAAGTGAAGTTCATTCAAGGGCGTTGGAGCGGAGGTCTGGAACTACTCCAATCATTTTACAAAAATAAAACATACGATAGCCTTGGCACAGAACGTATAGCGAAGTCACTCCGATATTACACGATGTCGATTCTCGGAGAATTTCTCCAGAGAATTTCTAGTGCAACAAACTTCCCACTAGATCAGGCAAGTTTTCCTGATGTTCTAAACGTTTATATTTTTGTTCAATCCGTACCCTGACAGGCTTGTGACATGGTGCGCGAAGACTGCTCAACCGCAGCTTACCTCAGAAAAGCATCTCGCGATTCGAGTTCTTCTTTTCATATTACGTTAGCTTTACTGATTCACATTTAGACTTTATTTTTTCCTTTAAGGTCAATTTTGTATTTTGCATGCTGTTGTGTGCACCTCTTGGGACAATATTTCGATTGCTGCTTCATCCGAATCGCGTTTCGCCGAACACCAGAAGGGCTGTAAGTCTTTTTTGGGGCACAGCTCTGACGTGGTTTTGTTTCGAATGGTGAGATAAAATAATTTCTTGTCTTACGGATTTTTTTTTTTGAAATATGGCCTGTTGAGTGGTGTTTTCCGAAAACACTGCACTTCAATAAATTTTTAATTAATTTATATTTTGAATAACGGGTGGATATTTGTTTTTATAATTGAGAGAAAGAGGCGCAGCAACTTTTGTTTTTCACTTGTATTTCATATTTACCTCTTTCATATTTTTATTCTTTGCTTAACATCCAATGAAAATTAAAAACAATGTTTGTATTCACAGCTAATTACTAAGCATCGCCATGGGAAAAATTAACTTCACAAAAACCCTTAATCTTGATAACGTTTGAAAAGCATCTTTTGTGTAATTAAGTCAGTAATAAAATTCTACACCTGAGTCTTCAATAGTTTCCAACCTGATGTTAGAGCCATGACAACAAATTACATCAACCCTTTAAGTCCCACCAGAGACCAAAACAGAATTTCTCCTTACACTATCAGTACGATATCAAGCAGACAAGCAATGAGAATAAAGAAAAATGTCAATGAGGGGATTATTGGTTGATTCAATTCCAAATTCTCCAAACTAACATTACTTAAATTGTATGACAAACAGTAAGAGAATTACTAATGAAATCTTGGGAGTTAAAGGGTTAAACCAAATTCCTAACTGGCTTTCATCAAATCCAGATCTCTTTGCCAACAGTGATATCATTTGGAGACTCTTAAGTACTCATAACTTTGAAGAAGTTCATCTCCAAATAACATGAATTTATTCATTTTGATCAAGGAAACCCAATTTGAACACTCTAAGATAACAGTAGTAAAAAAATAATTCCCAAAATGCCTAATTTTAATCCTCTCACTTCTAGATCTCATGAGTAATTCTCCTTACTGTCTGCCATACAATTCTTATGATGTTAGTTTGGAGAATTTGGTATTAGGTAAACTAGTAATTCCCAAATTAATATTTTCTTTCATTTTATCACTTTCCTTCTTGATATATTAACTCTTTAACTCCCAAGATCTCATTAGTAATTCTCCTTACTGTCTGCCAAATGATTCTCATTTTGTAAGTTTAGAGAATTTGGTATCGGATCAATTAGAAATCCTATTATTGACATTTTTCTTTATTCTCATCACTTGTCTGCATGATCTTGTATAGATATACTATGGAGAAATTCTGTCTTGGTCACTCACAGGAATTAAAGGGTTAAAGAGAAATTTCCTCCTCATCACTTGAAGGAGTTTTGAAAGATTCATCAAAGTCCAATAATTTGTTTTTGCATAATTTGTCTTCACTCCTTCTTGTGGAATGTTTATTGTGAGTCACCCCCCCCCCCCAGATACATTAACATAAAACCCATTTTTTATTTTCCATTCTTTCTCTTGACAGGCAAACCTTAATCTTGATCAGTTTTAGCAGCATTTGTTACATTCTCACATGGCTTTTAAATCCTTCATTGGTCCACAAGTAGGTTATCTCCCTAGGTATAATCACTGATTCTTCCTAATATCCTCTGCCTCAATTTCTTGCAGAAAGACTGTAACCCCTTTCTACCCTAAAAAGGATATGGCCATCCCCAAAGCACTGATTATTGTTTTTTGGACATTTATTTGATTATTGTTTTTTTGGTGTATATATATATATATATATATATATATATATATATATATATATATATATATATTCGTTTGCCTGTTTCGTGAATAAAATGTAATTCACCTAAACACTCTAAAGAGTGAAGCGATTCCCCCATCGTTTTTTCTCTGTAATATATATTTATATCAACATTGAGCACTGTTCCTCTCGAAAATCCCTTCCCTATATATATATATATCAACCTTCCTCTCTCCCCTCCCTGAGTGACACACTCAGCTGCACCCCATGTGCAACTTTTTTTTTTGTAACTGCTTTGTTAAGTATGACTCTCATAATACTAATACAATATACAAAATAAATAAAAAATACAAGCTACAACATGAACAGTTGTTTGTACTCACCACATTTTGACCACATCTGTGGTCTATTTCTGAAGAGAAACATCACAACATAGAATCTATATGTAAAATAAAAATGAATGATTACTGTATATTTTCATTTTTTTCTTTTTTTTTTTTGCAAACCTTCCCTACAAAGTTTTCATTTTTGTCCCTCATTTTCTCCTGTACTAATTCCACTCCTCATCTCCTCCAAACAGAATGCCCTCTCCCTCCCCTCCCAGCTTACAAGCCTCTCCTTTTTAAATTTTTATTTTATAGATATGTGCTGATAGTGTCAATGGGCTTCATGTCTGTTGCTCATCTCTACAGACAAATTACTGACTATGGTGGTTACACTTTGGACTTTACAGGGTAGATATTTATATATATATATATATATTATATATATATTATTTATAATAATGATGATTACAGGAACTGAGCTGTGGACTTTCCATGAGATAGTGCTACCCTTGTTCACTGTTTCCAAGTCGAATTGGAAGTTGGAACGATTGTTTTTGAGGAGAGGGGGAAGGCAGAAGACCTGAAGAAAAACTCCCAGGGCAAAGACAAGAACCCACAACAAACTCAACTAAAATGTGATGCCAAGTTTGGGAATTGAACTTGGGCCTCAGTGATGAGACCCATTAGCCCTTTGTGAGAAGGAACAATAAAGGGCTATTATTTAAAATGACAGCTTTAGAAACTCTTTGCAATGGCAAAGTTACATTATTAACTCATTTGACAAACCAATTTATCTTATTTTTTTGAAAACATCTTTTTCACTGTGCCAAAACATAAAAAATTTTATCCGTCATATCTAGTTATGGGCACTGTAAATATATTCAGGAATTTTTTTTTATCTTTTTTTGACAGACCCCTGATGGTTTTGGTACAAAAGATCACTTATGTGGCATTCAGTGTCCATGATGGTATGTATTCAGAATGGCACACATTCTCCATACTGTTCTCTATACAATTTTTAAGGTGCTGATAGGGAGAATTTGTTTAACAATCAATAGCTTCTTAAGTTGGTGATCATTTTCTTTAATTCATGTGACCTTAGCGTGTGATTCAGGGGTGATTTTGTAAAGAGAAATTAAGTGCCAGTCACTCAGGGGTAGGTGATTGGACACTGAGGTGATGAATTCTGGAATATAATTGTAAGGTTGCTAACCCCTCTACTTAAAGAGAAAAAATATCATTTAAACCTGTCATTGACGTGCCATTTTCATCTTTTATCTGTCGCTCTGACAGGGCTGGGAAGGGATGATAGCAAACTAACCGAAGAACAAAGGAAATGCAGACTTGAGTAAGTTTAAGTATTTAAATCTCCAATATTCTGTTGCCTTCCCAAGGTTAACTGTTTTCAAAACAAACCAAAATTAAAACATACCTCAAAAACCAACAGATAAGCTGCACTCACAGATAAGCTACTCCTTGAGTTTGGCTACTCAAATTTTGAAAAAAGAGTTTTTGAGAAGAATTCCAAAGAAATCACAAGTGAAGTCTTACAAAAGTTTCTTCATATCGATTGCTTCATGAAACATGCATGAATGTTTAGTTATTCTTAATGTTTACAATTAAATGACCCATCACATAAACCATGGGATTAAGAGGGCTCCAGAGCCTTAAAATGCCCAGCAAGGAGATAATGAAAAGCCTAATTTATTTTTCTATTTTCCAGGAAAGTTCCATCTTTATTGGAGTACTTCAGCTATTTATTTCACTATAGCACAATACTTGTTGGACCTGTCTGCACCTTTAAAGATTTTTGATTTTTGGATCCTGTAAGACAGTGGTATCACCTTTAAATTTTTTTAGTGAACACTTTTTTATGAAATGGCTAAATGTTTGTCATGTGACATCATTCATCTAGGGGTGATAAGACAGTGGTAATCAAATTTTTAAAAGCAAACACAGAAAACATGGCTTATGACTAGGAAGTAGGATAAATGTGAACTGATGAGAATACTTACCAAAAACAATAGTGCAGATTTTGTATAACTGCGAAGTTACATTAAAAAGCTGCAGGTCATCTCTGAGGAGGGTTTGAACATCCCCTGCATCCCTCCTTTAGTTCTTCCTCAGAGGGAAGGGGCCAATTGAAAAAATTATTTTGCCTTGAACTCACCTGCTTGTACATTATCTTGGTAGGAGTCAGGCCAGAAAGAGCCTTCACCTTTGGTAAGTGTTCAAATATTTCACATGAGCCTAGTAAACAAGTATCATGGAAATATCCAGTCAGTTCCAAGCTTCATCATCCCTTCTCTCCCACCCAAAGATCTCCAAAGATCTCATCAGTAATTCTCCTTACTGTCTGCCATACAGTTCTTGTGGTGTTAGTTTGGAGAATTGGGTATTGGAATAACTTATAATCCCCTAATTGATATTTTTCTTTATTCTTATCACCTTGTCTGATCGATATTGTATTGATATATTGTAAGGAGAACTACTGTCTTGGTTACCCATGAGAGTTAAAGGGTTAAAGATTGGTTCGTTTGCATTCCAGCTCCCTTATCCAAAACTGTGTTCAAATGCCCTATTCAAGCACAATTTTTTTTTGGAAGGATTCTTCATGCGATCAACGAATGTTTTTTGGTGCCGTTTTTGGTTTTTTTCGTTTGTATGCATCACTCTACGATGTTGTAATTTATCATAACAGACGCGTTCGGCAGCTGAATGCAATACCTTCGAATAAATTTTATTTAATATCGTTTGAGGGGGTTGCTGTATATTTTACAACGTTTGTTCATTCGTAATTCAATAGCAGTTCATGCTCTGCGGACAACAACCAATCTACGAGAAAAACAAGATCAGCGGCAGTGACTTCTTGCTCAATGATCAGAAGCAACTGATTCGACTATTCAAGCTTTAAAAACCCACAAATCAGACAATTCAAATGTACACTCTAGCTTTTAAACATACCTTTAAAGATTTTTCGCAGATTTGTAAACCTTTTCTTCGAAGCCATTTGCCCTCGAAAGCGTAGTCTTTACTTTTAAATTCCTCCATGATAAAAATCAAACCAAGTTTATTCCACTGTAAAGACTTGACACTTAGGGTTTAAATTCCCAAGTCCACCCAAACAAGGTTCAAATAGTCTGTTTTACAGTTGTATGCGTGGTTGCCAAGCCTTTGAACAGGAGTGAGGCTGAGGTTGACCTTGTTATGATACAAACCTCGCTGCTAACTATATACAATATATACTGGTCTCAATCAAAACAAGGTCATCTTCAGCCTCACTCCAAATCAAAGGCTCGGCAACTAAGTATACAACTATTAGATGGCTTATTCCTCACCCCGGGAAGGCGTTTTGTGTCAAATAATTCCGTACTCCACGTTCACAGACGCCGGTCATATGCCCATGGACTCCCCGGGCATTTGATCGGTGCAGTTACCTGACATTTCCGTTACTACGTGCATTTCTGGACATGAGTGTGATAATGAGGGCTCGCTAGCAAGTTATACTCGGGAATCTAATGAACTCTTTAACTTGACTGAATAGTTTAAAAACCGCACAAGTTTAGCTAATCTCTCATCTTTTTTTTTTCCACAGTTTGCTGCTCTTAGAAATCTGATGACGTCGATGACATGTATAGTCTTCGTAATTCTAACTGGATCCAATTACCCCATCGCCAGGAATGGAGGTATTCTGTTTCACTTCGTGGTTGTGTCTGTAGTTGATAAGGTCGGAAAAAATTCAGGATTGCATTGGTTTTGCTTTACTTTCTTCTCTGATTGGTCCAGAAAACTCGCGCCACTCTCTCAACCAATCAGATGCACGTCGGTCGCCCGCGTTTTCCCGCGCTTTTGGCAGTTCGCTGGTTTTTACTTTGAGTTCTAGAAGTATTTTCTCTCTTCTGGTAGGCAGTTGTTATTACAATTGTTTTAAATTTACGACACTCGGTCGAAAAGTGTTTTATCCTTCATCAAGTAAACGCAAATTTAAAGTTTAACGTTCTTGCCATCAACGTCTTTAAGGCGCTTTTGTAACGTTTTTACCCTTACATTGCTCCCAGAGATATAAAAATTGGTACCGGTGAACGGTCTGTGAAGGCGCAAACCCTTCCCTGGGTAGAGAAGCGGGGAAGGGGGCGGTGAAATACCCCACTCCGTGGAGTAAGAATACTCTTAATCTACGTATGCACCAGAAACTGTGCTTAGTTACGGCAGTTGTGCGGGCCAGTTTCTACTGCTAACTTTTCCTTTAGCTAGAATCAATCATTTAAAAAATAAGTATGGTTAAACCCAAAGCACTCAACCTCATAAAGGATGCGACCCCCCCCCCTTACCTGTCACTTGAAATGGGGGGGGGATCTGTACGCACCTTCAGATGTACGTCTTGCTTCTTCTCCACTTTTTTTTAAGAGAATCACAACCTCGATCTTTTTTAACTCAACCGCGTGTTCTGTTTCCTTATAGATCCTGATTTCATAAGTTCTAATCCTCTACTGTGGAGACTTGCCTATGCCTGGATCTCAATAGTGTCTGTGAGAATGCGTTACTACTTCGCCTTTAAACTAGGTAAGTAGTGTTACGGATGTCGTGACATCGTGTCACGCTTTAAGAGCGCAATGCATAATGGAATTGTAGGAGCGCGAACCGCCTTCTCGAGATGGCGGCAATGTTGAGTTGATGTTTTCTCGTGATTAAAGTTGCTTGTTGAGTCGAACCGCGGAAACAGGAGCCTTCTGAGCCTTCTCCAACTTGCAGTAGTGTTGGATATTCAACAAGTAGCAACTGATACAAGCGCATTCTCTGTGTCATGAATTTTTAGGTGTAGCGGACTGCATCAATATGTATATTTTATTGTTGCTTTCAGCGGAGGCAATGAATAACTTTTGTGGACTCGGATTCAACGGTTTCGACGAAAATGGAAGAGCGAGGTGGAACCGTATGACTATTGTAAATATTCTCAAGATCGAGGTGCGTTTGTGTGTATGTTCTTTTTTTTTTGTCCAAACTATTGGATTTTTTTTGGGTTTTCTACCATTTTCCCCTTTTCCTTCGCTTTTCTTTCAGTTTGCAACGAGTCTGAAGGAAGTACTAGACAACTGGAATATCTGTACAGTCCTGTGGTTGAGAAGGTATGTTGTTATCTTTTTATTGATTGAGTGGGAGGGCCGGACGGGAAAATATTTGGCCCGAGGGCATAATGTGCACTTTCGTTTTTTCTCCTTCTCCTCTTTCAGCTCCCATCTCGTTGGGGCGGTTGACCATTTCTGGCCCTCCTCAAACCATCATACCCCCCCATACGGGGGTTTTTTTTTGTCAAATGTTTTTCGGTAAAAGCGCGCGGGGGACCGGACGGGTCGTACGACAACTCTTACTATGATATATGATCAAAGAGAGTGTTTTAATGAGTGTTGCGAACGAAAAGACTGACAGTTTCTAGATGTTAACGTCATGGTGTTTGCTTAAACTGGGAAAACGAACCTTTTGTGGGTCACACATTTGTTACTCACTCTGTGACCCCAAAATTTAACATTTTTTGGGGGGGGAAAAAACGTTTCTTTCTATTTCCAAGTTATCGTGGTTTCGGGAAAAGAATTCCTTTTTCTTAATACAATTTCCTTTGCTCCTTTTACACTCTGAAAACCACCAACTGGATCTTTGATCGGGGCACTTTCAAGAAGTCTATCAAATAATGGCAATTTATCCCATTTATTAAGAGCTTGGTTCATTTGTGTCATGAAGTTAACAATTTTTATGTGGCTTAATATTACACATGTATTAATTCTTATTACAATACTTTCTCACAGAATTGTGTATGAACGAGTTTCACATCATCCCACGCTGGCTGTGTTCGTCTTGTCTGCTGTGTGGCATGGGTTCTACCCAGGATACTACATGGCCTTCGCAACTTGTGGACTTATGGTTGAAGCAGCGAGGAAGGTATTTATTTGCAAACTGAAAACTGTTGAAATGATAACAGGTGGCCTTAAAATATTTTTTTCCAGGTAAAAACAAGGGAAATGTTTCTTGCGATTTTGTTTGTAGGTTCGTAGAAAATACAGGCCTCTCTTTCAAGGCTCACATGTCTCCTCTTGTTTGTATGACCTCGTAACATGCGCAGTAACCATCCTTTCTTTGACGTTTGCTTCCATCCCATTCGTTGGTTTGGAAGCTAGATTTGGCTTGGAGTTTTGGCGGTAAGAATTTCTTTAACTTTATCTGTTTCGTAATGACACTTACAGGGATATGAACATCATGAATTAGCACAAATTTTAATTTATTTTGCCGGCCCGTATCAGAGCTTTTAAGTTGAGCACAAGCTTTAGCCGAGTAGAGATTGGGACGAGACGTGTAAGAGGCTAGTTATCTCGTTACTGAGACTCAGTCCCTTCTCTCTCTACGACACGATAGAACGGCCGCTTCCCTACATTCCCCTAGCACTATTAGAAAACAGGTGCGGATTACTGATAGTCCAAATTTGTAAAGTTGCAATGTTCAAATACCACCGCATTTTAACGCACGGTATTAAGACTGGTATTCGCATCAGATGAGGGAAAGAAGGGTGGGTTACCTGTGGTAGTCTCGTCTCTCATTTACCCAACTCCCCCTTTCCCATGCCCTGACGTGGCCACGAGTGATCAGTAATCAGTATTTTTCGCGAAGTTGAAGGGTCTTTGGTTCGACGCCTTGTGTGGGGGGGAATTAGATTTCTTTTTTGTTCCACGCGCGCGAAACTGTGTAGCATATTGATTTAAAAGTTGTTTTTCTTTTCCAGTTCTATGTATTTTTATGGACTTGTTTGGTCTATCATGGCGTTTCTTCTCCTAAGTGGTGGGAAGTCCAAGACCGAAGGAAAGAAAGACAATAAAACCGAAAATGTGGATGTCAGAGATGAAGAGAAAGACAAAAAAGGCAACTCAACAGATGAGAATTTAACAGAGCTCCGAAACAGAGTTAAAAAGAATATGGAATCACCAAATGAACTGTTTCGTAAGGGTACACCTAACAGCCTGCTAAAAGAGAACCTGATTGTGGGGTCATAGAAGAAGACACTCAATGAATTTTAGACAGAATTTTATTTAAGGAATCTTTAAGAGCCTTATAAAGCTAAATTCTTAAAGGCCCCTTCACTCAGCACCGTATGTATAGTTTGAACTGTGGCTCAGATTTTAGCAGGATATATGCGCTTCTGCGCTAGAGGCATTACTTCTGTTGGTATAAAAAGATAGAACGTAATAATATGTATATTGGCGTTCTAAAAATCCCCAGTGTTCTAATCAGTACCAAAAAATTTATGATTTTTCTGCGACATAAACGATACCTGAACATTAAAAAAATAGCTACTGAGGTTTGTACTTGTTATTTCACCAAATTTAAGTTAGAAAATTAATATATATATTACCTGTAAATACGATGAAATAAATTATGATAATTTTGATATGATGATTAGAATATTTTGCTCTGTTTTGTAGCTCTTAAGAGCTGCAACTTTTTTACGTAACTTAGAATGAAACAATACTGCTCATGGTATTAAGTGTTTTTTTCTTTCTTCATCGGGCTATCTTGCAATGGCATCATATCTTTGACTCCCTATTTATTGAAATAAGCTTTTTCAAACACTTTTGATTCACATTATGGCTAATAAAAATTACTGAAGAGCCCGCCTGCTCGCACTTCCAAGGGTGACAGAAAATTGGTTGGAGTGATGGGGGATTCCAGTGAGCTGATAGTAAATCCCTGAAAATATGATGTCAAGGGAAATCGGACCTTTTTCGAGTTATTGGGGTATGTGAGGTCGACTTAATCGAGTTCAAGTTAGCGCGGTTCTGGTATAATTCTGATATAATTCTGGTATACTTCCTCGATAATACTGACAAAACGCGAGGCAGCCATTTTGAAATTCAGCGCCTACGCTATATTTATCTCACGCGAGGTAATTATAGCGAGATATGACGCAATCCTTGACCAATCAAAGCGCGCGCATCTTTACAATCACCGGAGTAATTACATTATGGCCGGATACAACCAAATGTGTTAATATCAGATGAGCATTTAGGTTGATCTGATTTCAGGAATATACCCTATTCACAGGATTGCTTCATCGTCCTTCGAGAAGCCATTCATATGATTCTTGTGGAAAAACAATTTGTCGCTGCATTGTTTATTTTATTTATTGTCATATCCCCTTTCTTTTCATAGTGAAAACATTAATACAAACTAATTTATTAATTTTTTTTGGAATACAATTTACTTAGCATTCAGAAATACTTGTATAACCATTGGCGATGGATAACGTTTCATAATTCAAACGTATGCTGTTAATTTAAAAGCTTATTTAACCTCAAAATTTATTAGAAAATTAATTCTCCCAACAACGACAATGCAACGTCGCGCCAACTGGTGATTAGAATAAATGGGGGGAGGGAGGGGTGGAGATTTTGAAACTGACTGCCAATGAGGGGGATCACTAAAATGCTACAGAGCCTTAGGAGGGGGTGATCGTGTTAGTTGACTGTGACACTACCAGAATCCTCTGCCCCTCCCCCCCCGGCCCCCCCCTCCGTGATAAATAATGACCCCTCATTGAGACACGTATAACTCATCTCGTACCCAAATCCTATCGTGTGACTGCACCCGCTTGACCACGGAAGGTCTGGGTACGAGACCAACATATCACCTAGGGAACAGTTGTGGGAGAGAACTCCAAATTCTTAGGATCGACCGACACCGAAATTTATAAACATCTGTTAGGAGAATTGACTCCCAGATCCAGAGACTGAAAGCGTTTAGAACAATTTTTCAAAAAAATTCCCTGGTTCGTCAACCTTATATCAATTTACACTGCGACGGAGCTTAAATAATTGATTGTAGACACTAAATTGTTTTTTCACTTTAATTTTCGATGTAAGGCATTGTTGTTGGCCAAACTTGGAAGAGAATCATCCTTGTGGTTCAGTTCGAATTTGAAGGATCCACTGGGCGTCACGGAACCGTTTGCGCCTCTAGCATCATGGGAAGGCCTTGGTTTGCCACTGGGGCAGATGATCAGTGTTGCAATCAACAGAATGTGACCAATGAAATACGTCGACCTAGGAAGTAGAAATCATGTGCGTTACATAATGGTAATAGGACTGAGTGGAGTTCAATTCGGTCTGTAATCATATAAGTGATTAACAAAATCGGACGACCGCGAAGCGGGAGTCCGATTTGTCAATCACGAGTATGATTACAGACAGAATTAGACGACGCGAAGTCCTGTTACCAGTCAATCATTACCATTACAATTTCCGGAAAAAAAACAGTTACGACAAACATCTCCAGTAGGGACAATGTCTAAAGAAAAAAATTTGGAAATTTCCTAGTTATTGCAATTGTTATTGTGATCAATTCTGTGATTGGTGGATTTAGCTGAGTGAACTTGAGATGATTGGCTGCTTTAACTGTCCGATTACAGGTGTCCGATTACAGGTGTTCGATTACAGGTATCCGATTACAACTGTACAGGGTGATTAGTGAAATTAAAGCAGGTGATGTACCGATCACATTTGAGGAAATTGTGGTTGTGATTATAGATTGTTCAAGTCGGTACTTAATGGTTAAATCCTATATCTTGTGACAAGGAGCCTCGAGAAATTTTGGATCAGTTATAACTGGGAGGAGAGAGACTTTGTGTCTTGTCCAAGAGCACTGCACAATGACCTCGCTAGGACTCAAACTCAGCTCTCCTGACTCAGGGTCTAGCACGGTAACTTTTGGATCACTGCGTCAAGTTGTCCTGTATATCGATTTGAATGACTTCGGCTCATGGCAGATAAGCCCGAACTTAGTTATCATTCTTCGAAAAAATTGGCTCTGAGCTGTTGGTTTATGTTAAAAAGATGGATGTGGGCCTGTCCTGATTGTACTCGGCAACTTTTGAGCAACTTTTGGCGTTTGGAGCAACTTTTTGCGGTTCTGGCAACCTCGAGCAATTTTTGTCTTTCTGATAATTTTTGAGCAAAATATTGGTTTGGAATCCATATCAAGCACGAAAAAGTTAACGATTTCGTAGAAAGCTTCAATTCATGCAAATTTATTGAATAATTATCAACACAAACGAACTAAGTGTTTTGTTCTGTTAGACTTAAGAGTATCCTTAAGTTTCGCCCATATTTGCAAGCAACTCTTTAAAGGTAAGATGTTGGCAATCGCAGCGTAGAAAAAGCGTATAAAGCTTTGATTAACGTCTATTTAAAAATATCAAGAAATTAAGGTAGGAAGTTTTGAAATTTAGTCACCTTTTTTTGGACTTTTGGTAATATCAGAGCAACTTTTTGGCATTCGAGTGAGTAACTTTTCAACATTCTACGAGCACAAAGGGGGCAGACCTGGATAGATGTATGCGTCCTGACAGAACAAGTTTCCCATTAGAGGGTGAATCACTCACCGACCAATAGCAACGCATGAGTCATCTTACCTGTAGAAATTCATTGAGAGATCAAATCTGAGCAGCACAAACGCTGCCAAACAATAGGAGGCACACAGAGGGTTACAAGCCATCCACTGAAGAAATTGCAACAAGCTATTGATCAACGGGATGTCCTTCCGCGGAGGTCGTCACAAGCATGTCGCACCTGGAATAAGAATATTCATTTACTTGTTGTATTTTCACCACTCCGTCACTTGGCCAAGCTCTGGTCAGAGGCCGTACAGGTCTATATAATATCATGGATTACCCAAGCATTATTGATCGGTTCTCACCTATGACCTATTGGCCTTTTTATGGAGGACAGACGCATAGATGACGTCACCATTTCAATTTTTTTTAGCTTTTTCTTCTTTTCAATAAGACAAATAGATTCCATTGCCGTGGATCTGTTCAGGTATAGATCACAGAAGACGTCACACTCGGCTGCGTCTCGTTTGCCATTTCTTTGTACTTACAACATTTTGACGTCACCTGTGATCTATGACGAAACAGACGCAAGGCAACATGGGATCTCTTTGTTGATTGCAGAGCATGACTGGAGCGTAGTAACGTCAGTTATTTCAACAGTTAGAAGCTTACCTTTCTGTCAGCTACTATGAGTAATATAGAAACTAACAATGCCAAAAGATAACCGGGATAAAATCCATGCCATATGGCAGATACAGCTAAAGTGAAGTACGTTCTATGGTGAGATACTCGCTGATAAACAATCCTGATACAAAGAGAAAGAATGGACAAACAGTCACGAGAGAGAACGCTTATCAGTTTCGTTTACTTCGAAAGACAAAGTTGTTTTTTAATTTTCCCGCTTGATCTGAAGGGGGTAGGGGTGAGTAGGGAGATAGAAAAACTGTTCCTCTATTCATCGAATTTCAATTTATTAATATCAATTTATTATCCAGCAATTGAAATTTGTATCAGTGCAAGAGTATTGCCATTTGATATAACACTAATTTCTCTTAACTGATTCATGAGGAATTTTATAACATTTGGAAAGGAAAATCTCGGGTTAGATCCTTAGGCTAAAAGAATTAGTTTGAGGGTTCTAAGGTGATGTAGCTGGATACAAAGTGGTTATAACAATTTTATGTTGTAAATTCACATCGTTGATTAAGTCACAATGTTCTTAGTGCTCACCTTTTAAGCCAAAGATTTGTTGTTATATTCCAGTTGTTCAACAAGTCTTTGAAGTTCGTGGATATCTAGGAATACCAAACAATACAAGGCTTACGACTTAATCTAGAGAAAGACTCGACGTGGTATTTTTGTAAGGTTCAGTGATGTCGTGAGTATTTTACTCGTATTTCACTCAGGAGATGTGACTCAGTAAAATATCTAGGAGCAGATTGTATACTATTGTTCACATGGAAGAACTAACAACGGTTAGTCAAAGCTCTAAATATCGTCTGATGGGTTAGACTGAGTGGTGTAAAAATACGAGCCTCTTACATCGTTTTACATGGTCATGCAGTGTAATTCCCTCCTCAAATACCAAAATAACAAAACTGTTTCAAGACCTGCCATCCCTGTTTATAATGCATACGTTATGGCGTTATGGACTAAGGATTAGCGCGTTAGAATCCTGCTTGAGGGAGCTGGGTCCAAGCTCTACTTGGCTCATTTTGTTGTCTACTTAGGAAGAAACTTTTATCTCTTCCAGTCCTCTCTTTGGTATCATTTAGCACAGGTTGTCTTTAGAGGAAAGCTGACAGCAATTTCTTTTGAATCAGCTCCTTCTCAGTGGAAAAGGTCAGGAAATTTTACCAACTGAAAACTCCCAATCTGGAACCTTTTATATTTTATGTTCGTTGATAAATTTGTTTAGTTTCCCAAATCAGATTCACAAACCTCTAAATCCACTGGATAAACGTTTGTCATTTTGTTCCAACGCTCTCGCCCGCTTGGATCATAACCATTGAATCCTAAGCCGCATGCGTTATTTACTGCGTCCGCTGTGGATTAAAATCGCGGACATGACGTTAGAGCGATGGACTTGTATTTCATTTACAGGGAGTTGCATTGCCCATACTTCAGCAGTAGGGCTTGCATAATTCATGCGCAGACGCAGTCCTTTTACCCTTCATGAACAAAGAAAAGTAACTGTCGACTTACCGATAATCCAAGCAAAATAATACTTAAAACGTGTAGTGAACATGGCAAGAAACGCAAAAGCCATTCTCCACAAGAAAGAACTATTGGCAATGAAACTGGAATCTGGAATAAATGAACAGTATGGTACTGGCTAATTAGAGATGAAAATACGACTGTGATTATATAAATATAATATATTTGAACTGCGGATTAATAAATGAAATTGAGAGTGATCAGCACAGTCATGAACATTACTTATTAAAGCAGTAGTGAAAATGAAGCCTGAAAAAAAGATGAGAGTGATCTTCCTAGTAACAAACACTACTTTAGCAGTAATGGAAACAAAGCCTGAAAAAATTTCAGGCTTGTACGGGAGTTGAACCTCTGCGAAACTGGTGTAGTACTCTACCAATAGAGCTATCAAGCCAACTGGGAGTTCATTTGATATTCATATTTTCACAGTCGTTCATTTATTACTTCACAGATTTATTACAAACCAAAAAACAACTAGTTACCAGTTAGCTTGTTAGCTCAATTGGTAAGGCACGACACCGGTATCGCAGGGGTCATGGTTCCGACTTCCGTACAAGCCTTAATTTTTTTCAGGCTCTATTTCCACTTTTGCTTAAGTAATGTTTGTTACTGAGAAGATTACTCTCATTTTCATTTAGCGATAAAAAGTCGAATATGTTTTTTTTAAGCAAACTATTACTGAGAAAAATGAGATAAAAAATGATTCATCTGCATATCTTTAAATTTTTACCCTCGGGTCTAATTGTGAATTCTCCCTTCGAGCCACTAAACATTTCCTGTTCACTATTTGGCAGAGAATTGTGAGCTGTATCAAGAAGAATCAATAGAAACGCATACCTGCAGTAAGATGGAAAGGAAATATTTTGGACAAAATGCAGAAGAGGACCAGACACAGGAGACTTGAGGCGAGCTTCGTTACAACAGCATTCTGATGAGAAAGCAGAATCGAAGAGCTATTAGGACGCATCTTGACCGAACATCGTAACAACCAAAACCATCACAATCAGAAGAAGTGAAAATTACGAGGGCCAATGAGAACTCAAGGTAAAAACAAGCAAAGTGCTTAAAGCGCGGGAAAACGCGGGCGACCAAGTCGCAATTGGTTTCAGTTTTGAATCTGATTGGTAGCGAAAGTAGTGTGAGTTTTCTCTGGACCAATCACAAAGCACAAGAAAGTAAATACAATATTAATGTAGTCCCGGATTACTTTTGACACTCAATTTAAAATTGCTTTTACGTTCAGTTGAATTCGGGTTCAGGTACAAAAAGAGATCAGATTATGCGCCGGCTTTTTTGAATAAAGTAACTTACCGTTGGTGAAGGTTCCTTTTTGGTTTCCTGTTGTTAATAGAGAGTTAGAACAAAAGAAAGTTTATGATTGCCAAGGCATATATTAATATATTCAAAGGTTTAAATCGCTAACAAGTTCTGAGCTGTAACCATCCTCTGCTGACACTACAGCATAGCTCTTCGAAAAGTGAAACACTTTTTTATTCAAGAAATCCATCTGATTGTTGATAAATAAATGCCCAATCGTTGTCTGACCTTTGAGGGAACAACATCTACTTGTCAAAATAATGATGAGGATTGAAATGCACCAATGAAAGCACGCCAAAACGAACCAATAGCGGCTGACCATCTTGCTTCATGGGGAGTTGAGGGATTTTTTGGGGAGGGAGGGAGGTAGGGGGCAAATGGTTATCAGGGGGGTGGAGGGGGTCTCAATCGTCCTTAACAGAGTATGAATGAGGTACTTTAGAAAATTGACTGACAATGAAGAGGATCATTAAAATGCTACAAAGCCTTGTGTGTGTAGGGGGGGGGGGGGTAGGGGGCAGGTAGATTTCATCGTGACACGACCAAAAACCTCTGAGCCCTCCCCCGATCTTCCGACGATTAATAATGACAAGTACGCAACAGTATAGCAGTCGAAACTTTGTGAATCTTAATTGATAGCTTAAATCTCAGTGGCGGATCTAGGGAAAGGGACACATCATTGGGTAAAAAAAAAAGAAAGAATTGCAGAAGGAAAGAAAGCGGCAGGATAAGCGACAAAAAACCGCCCCCCCCCCCTCCTCAGCTCAAGATCTGGATCCGTCACTGAATAAAATCTTCATAGTATAGTAAGATATCTAAATTGTGAGACAAATTACCACGGTACAAAAGTTTAGTTAATAAAAGGAAACGATGAACTGTGGCAAGAATCTTTCTGCGAACCTGATCTGTAGCACTTGCGATGTCGCGCCCTTCTATAAAGTCCATGAAGTCATTAAAAGTACATACAGGACCTGCTAACAGCGTGCTGTGGTGAAACATATACCCAAAGTACTCTAGCAGTGAAGGGATGCGTCTGTCGAAACAAATGGACATATGCTTGTCTATGTACTATTGACGTGAACAGAAATAAAAAAAAAACGTTCTCGCATATAAGCTAATATTGAAGAAGTTACAGACAAAGAAGCTTGGAAAAATCCAGGTTTTGACACCTGGCCGCCACCTCATGTGCCACTGTGTTGTTCTCACCACGTTTTGATGTCATCTGTGATCTGTTGCTGAACAGACGCGCGGGAACATGCCATCTACTTGACAAATTTTTTAAAACAGTTTTAGGAAAGCTTAATGCAATTTATAATCTATTGGGAAAAGCTCGGAATACTCACTGAATTCTCTGCTCTTTTTGATCCTTCGAAAGTTCAACTTCCCGTCTTCCAAGCCCTGCCGTTAAAAATGATTCTAACTCTCCACAGCGCATGTCGAACGTTTTTTTAAAATAATATATACACTCAGCGTTTAATTTTAAATCACCTAAGGGTTCATTAGAGTTTCTACCCATTGACTCAGTGGTGAGAACTCTACCGTGAATCTCAGCGAGCAAAATATTTTAAATGTTGATGTTAAAATACTCTAGGCTTCGGCGGAACGATTCATGTTGCCCTTTGGCACAAAATGCAAAGTTCTTGAGTAGTTACACACATTCTGAATTCTACTGGACTATCCAAATTCATTAGAGAGATTTGAGAGACTTGAAAAATTACATCAAACTTGCATATAAAAGACGCCCAAAGAATCGGTTTGCACCGGCTGGCAAACAGAAAGTATTATGGTATGGTATTTTCTAGTGCGCGAGATATCTCCTCAGGTCGGCTCCAACTGTCTCGCGTGCAAAGCTGATCGTGGCGCAGGGCAACGAAAGCCAGCTCAACGGCCTGGTATTTTCCGCTCTTCTTGACAAGTCACATATGAAAACTGTTATCAAATTGACTTTTCTAGGCACTTTATGATCTTACCATCATGTAAGCTGAATGCCAAATATGTCACTTTTTGAAACATGATCATCAGGCGGCTGAAAGACCAATATGACTCTTTAAGTTCCTAAAATACTTTTAAATGTTGCTAATTCAGCGAATTTGTGTCATAAAACTCGCGTCAGTCCCTCAAAACGACTTTGAAATTGTCAGTTACGTTTAGTTGGAGAGATCTGGAAACGTCTTGGTGATTCAAGGAAGAGTTTCATCTCGTAACCAGATCCCGCTGGAGTGGTTGGCCGTGAGAGATATGGATACACAACTAAATCAAGGCTAAACTAGTCCCAGACCTCTGGAGGAGGAAAGAAAGTATCACAGTACTCTGAAGTACTCTGAAGATTGGTCGATCACTGAACCTGACTAGCATCTAAGTTCTCCTTACAATGTCACCCGTGAATCAGACACCAAGGTTGCGAGAATAAAGGGAAAAAAACCAAAGAAGCTTTTCTTTATGAAACAAATTTTCCATATCAAGAACTTCAGGATATGTTTGCAGCACAGTATGATGACAGGGCGTAAAGGGTTAATCATTAAGATTTCGCCTTACCCGGAGTAGTCAAATCTATTGATTCCATAGTAAAGGATCATCCGGGCTATTTGTCCCACTGACAACCAGATCAAAGATACCACAATGACGACCCTGGACAGTGACAATAATATGATAACAAAAGTTGAATAATGAATAGTTTGAGGAGATAATGGCACATTACTTGTCCCACTGACAACCAGATCAACGATACCACAATGACGACCCTGGACAGTGGCAATAATATGATAACAAAAGTTGAATAGTGAATAGTTTGAGGAAATAATGGCACATTACTTTCTCTTGTGAAAACGTAACATGACATACCGATGGATCTGACAGTACAGCGGTCACGAAGTCTATTCGAGTAAGGGTGATTTACCATTTTGTACGAGCTTTACCAAACATGCTGGGAGTTAGAACATCATGACTAGCTGGCTAACATGACCGTCTTTAACCTTGTGAGAAGTTCTAGATTGGGTTGTTATTTTGGCTGCCTCTCAGCCGTTTCAAAAGTCCGCTCATTTGACCGTCTTATCAGATCTGACGACATAATGGCTGTGGGGCAATCGGTGGGTACGTATTATGAGCCATTGAGACGCCAGTATAAGACGTTTCAACTGAAAGAATATTGGATCAAGGATCAAAGTGCAGTTTTACTTACTTGTGGACTTTCTTTGGATTAACACTCACTGTGAACCCGTAACAGAGTGCACACACTAGAATCAGGATAATCATTTCGCTGAAAATAAAAGGAAAAATAGAAATCTCTCTGCTCACCTATCAAGTCAATGAAGAGACGAGATTTGTTAGCGCAATAGGACAATTTTCAATTGAACTTCGAAAGTAATACGGTTTGCCTCGCCACGGTTGTGATTGACATTCCGACCAATTCCTTCGCTCGAGCAGTGCAAGACTGTCACAGGCGATTTCCCGCGCTTTAGGTTGCTTGCTTGCGTTTACTCTGAGATCTAATTGACTGTTCAAGGTATTCCTTTTGTGTTAAAACTTGTTTTTATTACTTTGATTTGTTGTTATAACACGCAATTGCAATGCGCACTGTTGTGGCCGAAATATCCGACTCCTAAATGGCGTTAAAATCCGTTTGCAGTTCTTTGACTTTGTTTTTATAACACTCAATTGCAATGCGCTCTTTTCTGGCAGAAAATATCTGTCTACTATATGAAACCAACAAAGACAGCCAAAACACAAAGATGTCTTAATGCATATATTAAGTTAATTGAGATATTGTTCTAGAAATCTTTATAATATGAATAGAAATTTCCTTGACATGAAATAAGGAAGCTAAGAAGTCGATTTAAGACACCCTGCTGAGAAAAAATTTTCCCATGTTTCTGACACTTCTTAACCTTGAGCACTAAAATAAGTCAAATGTAAATACTAAAATCATAGCCGATGACTACTCATGCAAAAACCAAGTGTAATATATGCATTAAGCGAAGCGGAAAGCTCAACTAAATTTTACGAAATGTTTCAGAATTAAAATCCTACCTTCCTAAACATATCCAGCCTAAAAAAAGGCCCCAAAGTATTGTCATTGCCAAGCGTGTATTTGCTGACACCCTTTTCGGATGTAATGTTGTGCGATATACGGATCCAAGCGGGAAACATAACAGCATGCAAAAGACGAACTGGATCTGCAGAGATGACAATATACATATCTAGCTCGTATAACATCGCCGTTGATTTAGAGAAAAGTTGTGGTTCACAAAGATTATAATACACTTTTTCTGAGTTCCTCGAGATGATAAACGTGATGGTTACACGGCAGGAAGTTTAAATCATTTGACCATACTTAAGCATATAAACATTACGACAAAGGGTGCACAATACTATAATTTTTTAAGATGGAACAGAGTTATAATTACGAAATAACTGTGTCTTTTTTCGCGTGTTGAACACTGGGTTTCTGCTTTTTATAAAGGAACAGTCGGTAAGCTGATTCAGTGAGACAGACAGGACGCGTTTAAATCTTGAATCTAGGACACATACACAGTAATCGATTGGCGAGGTAACTACAAAAATATACCTTACCTGCTCGACTGGCGTACTCAGCGCCTTGGCTACAAACAGCAGCGAATCTTGTATAAAAAAGATCATTCTACTACATACGAACTGTTTTCGCGTTGTAAACAAATGAGCAATGAATCGGAGGCTTTCCGGCAAAATCTATCGTTGAATAAAACCTGCTGACGTTGTAACGCCACAGTGATTTCTTTTTATTCTAGTAATTTAATTTATTCAGAAGAGAAGAATTAAAAAAATGCCTTATTAATGTTTGCATGATCAGTGACCGATCGTTTTCAGAATTTGAACAAATTTTTGCGAATTGTCATGTAGCCAGTCAGAACTTTGTAGAAATTTGTGATGTAACACTTGCAGAACTTACTCCAACAATAAGACAAGCCGCTCTATTGATACAACTCAAATATTTAGTCGAACGACGTTGTTTAGATTTATCTTGAATACACATTGAGATCAGAAAGATGAATAGGTTAATTTCATACTCAAGTCAAGCGGCTAGTTGGGCTGCAACCTATTCCGATTTCCATAGCACTAAGAGTGAATTCTAAAAATTCTGGGACATTAGCATATGTCTGGAGGTTTTCGATCACAAAGGACGGGCAAAGGAGCGAGGGTCTGACGAAGGAGGGGGGAGGGGAGAGGCGAGGGAATCTGTCCTTCTCTCTCCCTAGGTCCCAACCCTCTTTTTTCGCCTGCAACCACTCTTCTCAAGCCACTGCTGAGGGATAACAATACGCTCAATTGACGGTGGTGAACAATTTCCTCAACTGCGGTATACGCACTTTCTCTCTTTTTTTAAAGACATGTACACCGATCATTTGCGCAGAAAAGGCGTATTTAGATGGCACTATGAAGTTGGTGATGAACTATATACTTTCCTTAAAAATGAAAAAAAGAAAAAAAACTCGTCCTACGCTGTCTCATGCTGACGGTGCTTATCTTGAGGTTTGCCAATGAAGAGTTGGGGATGGTACTTATTTATAAAGGGTGTAAGTTTCTAAACAAACTGTGGTGCTGCGTCGGTGGGAGAGTATAGCGAGGTAATTTGGTGTTATCAACTGAGTTGATAACGTGAATTGGCCACCGTTAAGAGTTTAAAGGCTGCCATCTGAGCGTTGGCTCTTCGTCAGAGCAATTGACGAAGTGCTAACGCTCGAAGCGTCAGCCTTTAAACTCTTTACGGTGGCCAATTTACGTTATCAACTCGGTTGATAACACCAAATTACCATGGCACCTAGTTAGACTCCTGGGAGGCAGGGGGAGGTCAAAAGTACTGCGAGGGACCGATGCGTCGCGCAAAACATTGAATGACATCTGTTTTTTTTTCCACACAATTTTAATGCTAAACGTGAACCTGCCATTTGAGTTAGTTAAGTACTTTTAGTTATTAATTTTCAAACCCCGAAGTATTTAAGTTTCCAGTTTTCAAAAGATCACGCGGCAGACCTGAGGAATCTCTAGTGTCATTTGATTTGTTCAACACAAGCGTAACTGAATTTATTTTTCAGATAATTTGGAAAAAATTGAGAGTGAATATTAAACTTCACAGTAGAAAACATATATCATGGTTCATTAATGCTACAAGATAAATCCTAAAAAAAGATTTAAAAATAGAAGATTCATCTTACCCCGATTTTGATGTTGGGAAAGAAATTTGGTCGTGTTTTGAGCGAAAATTGCAAATGTCAAAGGTCATCGCTCTACAACCCTCTTGGAGGAGAATTTAAATTTTACGAGCTCTAAAACAAAACTGTATAAATTAGATTTTGCTCTAGTAAGAATTTAATTTCATATGACAATAATAATAATAATAATTTCTTTCTATAAATGACTTGTTTCTCGTGTTCGTCAAGTAAATCTTTCTAGATGCGTAATTCAATCTTTTAAAATCTGCTCAGACTGCTTCGGCTGGTTTCCAGTTGTCAAGATGGAAACGCTAGAATGGCGCGCGGCCTGGCTACATAGGGACACACGGATTCCCACGCAAATTTGTGCTTGTGATATCATAGATAGATGGGTTTTCTTCGTAAGGCCTTCGTTCTGCCCATCAGTCCATCTTTCATACGAGTGAACGAAGAAGTACTGGACTTCGGCCGATCACTCGACGAAGACGCCCGAAGCTTTTCAGTCGACTGACTCCGAAGTCTGTCCAATGAAAATGGTCCTCTCGAAGATTGCTTCGGCTTCTCTTCGGAAACCGAATTTTCAGTCCAATTATACGATGAGCGAGATCGTAATTTATCGGCAGGAAGAGGCCGCTTCAATTCGCCAGCGGAGGAACCTTTAACTTTATGAACAGTAAAAGGTACTTTAGGTTTGTCTTCGTTGAACGAATCATCCGTCTTTTCGGTGTGTGAGTGAAGCTTCTTCGAAGTTACGCTCTTCACCTTTTCCACGTGAAACGGTCCTTGAGTGCGGTTTTTAGCTTCACCGGACAGTGCATCCTTTTTATTCCCACCGTCATTATTTTTACCATCAAACGCATTGAATGTACGATTGTTATTGTTGTTGTTGTTGTTGTTTACTTTGTAATCCTCACCATCTCCCTCTTCAATCCGCCTCATTCGTGTATGAAATTCAAACGGTCGGGACAGTGTCTTGGAACTGTCTTGAGAAAAACGTCCTAACCTCTTCTTTTTCTCGCTCTTCTCGAACGAAGGAGTCCTTTTTACAAATGAAGGTACTTTCAAATTTCCAGAATCTTTCACTTTTTCACGACTTCGAATAAAACTTGACACTGACTTCTGTACAACTTCTCTGGCCTGCTTATTGTCTTCTGATGTAGTAACTTCATGAAAAGCGCAATTCAGTTCCATCGACAGACTTTTCCCCTCTTCATATTTAACTCGCCGAAAATGTTCAAGATCACACTTGTTGGCAACGATTGCTATGGCAACGGAATCTGCGGTACTGTCCTTTATGAAACGAGCAATGCGCTTTGCTTCTTCAAAACTGGAACGATCGGTGATGGAATACAAAATGATGAAAATGTCGCCTTGACGAGAAATGAGAGTTAGCTTCTCAGCCGTGTTCTGAAAGCAGAAAAGCACAGGGTTAGCTTCACAAAAACTTACTGTCGTAACTTGCATTGCTATTATAAAGCTTTTCATTTTTGCCCTTTTCGCTGACTCGAGTTGCCCAGATTTCCGACGTTTTGTCGAGTTCAGTCTTCGAACCTCGTTTGAGAGAGAAGCGTGGGCTCATTTTCTGACTGGCGGCTGATCATTCAGCCTATGACTGGTAACTCAATATTTCTATTAAAACTAGTTTAAATGCATTTAAATGTATCTAAAACACAAATGACAACGTACCTCTCCTGCAGTATCCGCGATCTCCAACTCTACTTCTTCATTGTCTGTTTCAACATGATGCCTGTAGGTTCCCTCTGAGAAAAGAACGACGTCAATTATTGTCAATCAGTTGCTAATACGATTGCGACCTGCCGGCGATAATTCGATTTTGACGTAACTTCTTTACTCTAAGTAAGATAAAATCCAATGTCTTAGCTAGTTCCCAGCGTTCAGTTAGTGAGGCGGGGCGCGGAAATAGTAAACGGCGCAATAATAGCGGCAAAGAGACTGGTGCGAGTAAACAAGCCTTTTTACGAATAAGTGTTCTAATCCGGCTATTCCCTTGTTTATATAAATTATCCACCTACCTATCGCTCGGGCATATTCTCCAATAAACCGCCTGGTCATAAACCTCACAATCAGGGCTAGAGGAAAAATCAGTTAAACTGGTTAGTGAATAATTGTATACGTAAAGTTGTTGTATACAGAAAGTTGTCATTGAATACATGAAAAAAAATTCTTATACATTGCAAACATCCAACCTATAAAAAAATGTAGTTTATTTGATTAAAAAAAACAGTCTCTTCAGATTTAAACTAGTAACAATAATTTCCCATATCCGTGACTCGGCAGAGAGTTTAAGATGAGAATCACCGGAAGAGCATGGGTAGGGAGGAAAAGGAGCTAAAATTTCAAGCGCTTGAAAATTGGGCGAATAATTTTTGTGGTGTGAAAGTAACAGAGGAAAGATATTTTTTAAAGACCTCTCACACCTTTGATCAACAGATCGAAACAGAAAATAATTGAGTGAATGATTTTGTTGAAAACAGATTTATGCGCCTTGAGAAATAAATTAATTTATCTGTAGCCCGCAAAATAGTCTCTATAAACCTCTATAAAATAATACAAGCTTGTATAAAGGCACATGAATATTGTGATGACTCAACGTTACGAGGCAACACTTCGAAGAACAATCGAGAAGCTGCGTTTGATAATGGAGGACTCAATTTAATCTACTCGACTTTGATCAAAAGAAATCAATCATTTGTTTTGATTAAACAAAGACGATCATTTCTAAAGAGAGAGTGTGTCAAATGTCATTTGATAAAATAACTTGACTGAACTTTTGTCCAACAGGAACTGAGAATGACAGATTTCTACAACGATCGAAAGATAAAACTCCATCTGCTTCGAAACACATTTTTTCAAACCACACAGACTCAATTTTGGCATTTAAACAACGCACAGTTTTTCCATGTATCTGACCTCAGTCTCAGCATCGAAATACTTGAGTGGTTTTGAAGCGACTTTTAATCTTTGCAAGGTTTTGTATGGAGGTATTGCACTAAAAGAAGTACTGTCAACTCTGAAAATCAAGTAGTTTGGATCTTCACTGCAAATCAATCACAACGGAACAAACACTTAGATACTGAGGTAATTAGCACTCTTGTTATCTCTTAACAATAGAACAGCTCCAAGGTGCAATAATAATTTATTGTGCTTACGAGATTTCATCATCGGTCTTAACTTACCCGATTTGCCAACTCCAGCCTTCCCGAGGATATAAGCTTTCGCTGGTTTAATGGATAACTGATTGGGTCTGCGTCTTCTCATGGTCTGTTCCTCGCCCGGCCAACAGTTCGCACAGGGTTAATAATTACAGCGGGCTCCTGAAAAGAACAGACAACAATGAATTCATAAGTGGATTAGAAATGACACGTCACTTAATTGTGTATAACGGAAAAATTTTCCTACATTTTTTGTGGTTCTTCATTGGCAAACCACTTCGACTTTCTCATGTTTTACCCGTTCTCATTCCTCTTCGAGTTTTCTCGACTCTTACATTAACCCTTTCAAAAGTGATTAAAATGTAACTTCTCCCTAAAATATCCATAGATTATTCAGCAAACAGGTAAAGAGAATACTCAAACTTATCAGGTAGAAATTGTTACCTTGATCTGTTTGTTACCAAAATCTCGTACCTAATTTAAAAGGAAATGTGTAGCAGCTAGACAGGAGAAGTATCAATCAGATCACTTCAATTTTCGACAAACCGAAGAAACTCAAAAAATGTTCCGACTCTGTCAAAGAAAAATTCAAGTTCGTTGTATGTCGCAATTTCCTGAAGAAAACAAATTCAACGATACACCCCCGTCTTAACTGCTCTAATCTCATTTCTGGATAACAAAAAGGAAGAATTTATCAAATCTAAGCTTCGCCGATTCAAGTTGGTTATAACTTACAAACATTCAAGGGTTTGATTTGAGAGAATTTTAAAAATTCGGACAGACATTGAATTATCGCATATTTGTGCTGGCTAGGAAAATTAGAGTTTTTTTTTTATTAATTGCGGTTTTGATTATTTTGATTATAGCTTACACCATTTTCATCATCAATAAAATAACACGACACAAACTGATTCTATTTGAGTACAATCAATCTTATTTTCACTTCTACTCAAGTAGTGTTCATTACTGCGAAGATTGCTTTCATATTCAAGTACAATCATTACTAATCATACTCTGGATGTGACAAATTTCATGAATGCCGTTATGGATTACTAAGTTCGACTAGTTATTGAATCCATGTCAATACCTTCCAGAGATTTTCAATAAAAAAAATTCTCCATAATCACAAACACTTCTAAATGACAGCTACCATGGTTATTGATTCCCAAGTCTTGTTAATCCACTCAGTTCTTTGAACGAAGTGGAAAAAATTTTGCAACCCCTAAAAAAAATGAACTTGTTTTGGTGGGAATGAAAATCGTTTAAACAGACATTAACCCAGTGCCGCTCGCCATATAGACTGGCTAAAAGTTTATAACAATACACGTAACCGAGATTTAAGTATGATAAAAGACTTTGAGCCTTCCTTTGAGACATAAATGGATATTAAAAAGTTGTTGTTCACTGGAAACCCACAAATCTCTTCATTATCTTCCTCCTAGTTGCCCGCGAAAACAGTGTCACGTATTATGTGAACGAAATTTAAGTATGATAAAAGACTATGAGTCTTCCTTTAAACATAAATGGATATTAGGAGGTTGTTGTTCACTGGAAACACACAAACTTCTTCCTTACCTTCCTGAGAGTTGCCCGTGTAAACAGTGCCACATTCTTATGATTTGACCGTCTTTCAACGACGCCTCTAAGATTTGCAGAGCGCCTTATTTCAATGGCAAATCTCGCCAAATAATGCACGATCTGACCATGCAATACAAGATTTAAAGAATTATCTAATAGCCGAGGTGGATATAAAAATTTATATGCGAGTGATAAGAAATCGGTGCCTCTTGTGATTGGCTGCCTTTCAGTAAAGCGTCATGTTTAAAGGACGTAGCACTTAGATAGCTGTAATCCCTTTAGCAGTGGCTAGTCACGTTTGTAAGTAATACATTATATAACTAGCCTTCCGGGAAAAAGGCACTTAACTCATCGTTTATCACAGAAAAAACACGCCCAATGTTAGAGGCTCGAATCACAATACTTGCACGTCCGTACTCATTTGAGTTTTATTAACGCATTTCAAGGTGAAATTCCAAACACTGATCAAGGTAGGAATGGACACCAGAAAATTGCGATTTCATAACCTTTGAAAGTTGATTCTCCAAATCGTCAACGCTGTTGTTCTGGTCCTAAACTTTCCAAGGTGGTATTCTTGGAAGAGGAGACTAACAAAATTCAAAGTATCAAAATTCTCCTTACAAAATCACCCCTGAATCACATATCAATGTCACGAGAATAAAAGAAATGATCAAAAACCAAATGAGCTCTTGATTGATAAACAAATTCTCCTTATCAGCATCTTAGGAAATGCATTGAGAACAGTTGGAGAATATGCATCCTGATGTTAGGAAGTAAAGGATTGATTTGATATTCGCCCCACGGAGGTTAAAAATTCTCAAAATGAAAACCATTTCCCAGGATGGAGAGGAATCAAGGGAGATCTTCTCACCACAACCGGATTTAACAGTAATGAAACATCCTGGATTTTTCCTAAGGACCCGGTGTAGGAAATTCCCCCTAGCCTCCCACATCCTTTTGAAAAATTTCCGCTCGCGCCCTTTCAGAAGAGTGGCTTTTTAAGGTATTACATTTCTGGCTCATGTTTCGAACCAGATGCTTTGTAAACCACATAATTATAGAGCCGTGGCTGGAAACCACACAAACGACAACAACAAGTCCAAAATAGCTTCATGATAGGATTAGCAGGGTTATTTCAAGTACATCTTAAGTGGATTCGACCTTCTGTTTTACTTAACAAAGATGAAAGATAAACACCAGTTTGCCAGAGTATCATTGGCTTTGTCAAAGCGCTGTCGAAAAGTTGGCATATTTCGTCACTTGTGTTCGCCACAGGCGGAGGATTTCATTCAAGTAACTCTTGAAAGGTTATTTCAACCCCTATGAAGACTGAGAAAGCCTCACATGTTTGCAATCCATCAACTGTTTATTAGCACTGTACAATTTGCTTAGTCATGTGTACAAACACACGAAGGCCGGTAATTCAATTGATCACACATCGCCAATTTTGCTTTGAGGTCTTGCGCACACATCACTACACCGAATCTATGAAATAATTTTTTCTTCAGACTCCAAATTTTTTTAAGCTCTACGCTGATATGTACTTTACAAATCTTGAATTTCTTTTTTTTATATTTTTATTTTAGCAACTTGTTATGACGTAAGTTTCATTTGAGCTGTGGATGGAAATCAAGCAAAGAAATGATTCTTGTAGGGAGACTGCAAACAAAAAAAACCAAGCGTAAAGAAAAATATTGTAGCTTTCGAGATCCATCTTTCAGGACCACTGTTACTTATACGCAGTAGATGTATTTTATCACAGATTATTCGCAGACATCAAGATTAAAGCAAACAGAAGTTTAAGAGGATAATTTGCAAACTCCGATTTTGAACCTGGGGTCGTATCCTCCAGAGATATAGAAGTCGTCTCAAAGAATCTTTACGAATTGTTCTATTTTTCCAAAACCATTTTGTTTTGCTGAAAACAAGTTGCCATTATGGAATTTACTTTTCTCCCGCAGAGAAAGTTTGTAATCATGTTATTATCCTTTGAAATCCTCTTAGAAATTTAAACATGAAGTGAAAATTAACCGTATTTTGTGGAATTATTTATTGAAATTGGGGATCTCAACTGTCGCTTCGGTAATTTCTACTGTGATTACCACACAACATGCTGGGCATGCCCGGAGGGGAAGGGAATTCTAAAAAAGTTGGTCAAGGAGGTATGCCTCTGAAGCATTCAAAAGTCCATTCAAGGGCCTATCCGAAGCTCTATACCAGACGTCTGGTTTAAGACGATTAATAATGAAACTGTGTACTGTTGAAGATTCACAACCCTGAAATCGTACCCTCTTTGGTGATATCTGCGAGTTAAACGATATAATGTAGCGCCAAACGGGACAGTATGTCGAGTGACGCTCCCCCACCCCTCCCCCCCCGTCTCCCTAACCTGGGACATTTTGTTGAGTGACTGCACATTCTGATCTGTCAACTGGCTTCACATGTTGCGCTTCCTCAAATGAACTAAGCTATTCTCGAATGCTTGTAAAAAAAATTTTCACTATTTTTAGCTTTCACATGCGCCTGATGAGAAATTGATCGACTGAACCAAACGTGAATGCTTAACACGTTTTGGCACGGAAAAAATCTACATATTTTTGTTGGGGAAATACGTTGTTTTATCAGACAAGTGTATTTGTCTTTCAAGTTTCAAATGATTCTCATTACGCAATAGAGACTTCAACAATTTCTGACTTATATCAAAAGCATCATTCTAGGTAAATTTTAAATGGTCATAGAAAAATAAATTGTGACAGGTTATAATCTGAAAAACGTGAGCTTAGCCGCGAACGTGAATGAGAAAAGCCTCGTTCTCAAGATCTAGTAGAATTGACAACATTGAGATCAAAATTGAATCAGATAATTCCCTTAAATAAATGGATCCTCGCCGTAAAGGTGTATAAACAAACTTTGAAGGAAAGGACATATTTGATCTCCAGATATCAGAACTTCGACACGTGAGTTAAATCGAAATTGGCACGTTTTCAGTGTGATTCAAAAGCGCGCGCCCCAGGTGAATTTCTTAGCTCTGATGAATGATGAGACCGCTAAATACTTTCTCAGTGTAAACAGTTTGCGATAAAGCCCTCGAAACCACTAAGAAGGTCTTGTAGACTGAAGCAGAACTCTTGTGAAAGATAAATGCATTGATATATCCTACAACACATCTTCGGATGCAATAAATCTATTAATCGGAGGCTTGAACTCAATAGCGTTTTGCGAAAGAAGCATATAAAACTCCGTTATTGAACTTTTGTTAATTATCGTTCTTAACTCAACCAGAATCGCGTCGAATCGTGTCGTTTGAAGCCGGTGAATCTGTGTAATTGTAACCGCACGAAACTCTGACCATGAGCGGTTGTTGACTGCATCAGTCCGACAATAATTTCCTTCCACAATTAAACGCACAAACCGCAAAAGTCATTATCACGTCTGACCTGAAACACCTGAACACTACTGTATGGATACACTACGCTACCTTGTTTATAACCTTGATCTTTGGAAAAATAATCACTCCTCTTTCCTCCCGGTGTTCCAAGCAAATTCAACGCAGCAAACTCCTTTCTTCCACAGCAGGTGTTTGGCAAAGGATATGTATGGAATTCTGAAAGATTATTTCGTAAATGTATTTCTGCTGATAAACCTGATGGTTGGATAACTTTGGCAACGGAATTCTGTATCACCGAAGACAGTTCTCTCTGGATTACTTGATGAGACACATCGCCTCTTTATACATGTTTTTCACTCGATGCAAACGGTATTCAAGAAATTTACCACCCCGCAAAAAATTCTAGGCGAGACTTTGAAATCAATACTCCTCTTACGAGGCAATGTAAAACATTTTGTGCCCCGCGTCTGTTGGAAAAAACAACCTTGTTTTTTTCCTTGAAACAATCGCATATTTAACCTTAAAAGAGCATATCATTATGTATAAAAAAACCTCTCTCACTGTATTTCCATTATGACGTTTCCCTTTCACTGCCACTGGCTGAAATAAGTTGATTTCAACCGACATCTGACGCAAGGGATTACGTATATGTAAAACTCATTACCAATATTTCGAGTGGGTGCTTATTTTGATAAACCAGACTCGTCGTGATTCCCATTATTTTTTAATCAAAACCACTTTAGGATGATAGAATAAGTAACTGGCTTGTTTCGTAGCCAAACGCACATACCTTTCGATGGTGGGTACTCGGCTGATACTTAATAGGTGAAAACACTTCAATTTCCTGTCATAAATTCGCTTGTCAAAACATGACAACTCTTTTTCTCGACCTACAGTGGTGCTGTTACGAATGCAACGTAAAATCCATCAAAATTTTGCCTCAAGGAGACTGTCTTTGACACATGTGCCTCTCTAGGTTATCGTTTCATATGCGAGTTGTTCAGCAGTGGCTTGCTAGGTGCTAAGGTCATCTTGCACTTCTATACTCCTTTGTGATTTTTTTGGCGTCAGTTTTCGAGTCCTTTTACATTTTTTTTTAATCAACGTTTAACGTTTCTTACCCATGTAATCCGATTTCCCCTTTTTATGCTGTTTTTTCTTTTACATACTACAGTGAGAAAAACACTTTTCATGACCTCCAAAGATTATCTCTCTGATTTCCATGTATCTTATATTTTAACCTCGGGCGATTGTAAGTTTGCTAATAGTTCAAATTCTTATTAGCTTCTAGATCTGTCAATTTGGTTTAGATGGACATAAATACTCTTACAAACTCATGATTGAAACTTCATAAAGTAGCGCCATGGGTTCAGAACGGTCAGACATAAGAGAGCATCGGGAAGAGAGGGGACGGCAAGTCTACAATAATTCCGAGGGTGGTTCGAAACATAACCCTCGAACCCATGAATCTGTTTCAAACCACAATAAAAATTGTTGACTCCCACCCCTCTTAAGGCCTGAACAAAATCCAGCAAAAAAACCTAACCAAAAAGGTAACTACAAAACTTGATTTCAATTTCGGACCGTACAAACTTATCCTACCTCCCCGTCTCACTCTGCCCTCCTTTCCCCGGAAAGAGCATCTTATAACTGATATTTGGCACACTGACAGAGTAAACATTAAAAAAAAGCCACCGTGTTGAAATCATTTTAGTGAGTTTCAATTTTCAGCGACTGCCATTTCAGGATAACAGTTCAAGGTGAAGATTTAAAAGTCAAGCTATTGGCCGCAGATAATTGACCAGGACCCAGCGCAAATCAGAGATGAGAAACAATTGAATCAGCCCCGAAGGCTCTGGAGTTCTTAATTGAAGAGAGCAATACTTACGTAATTGCGAAATGTTTTCAAGCTCAGAAAATATTGGCAGACAAAAACGCACCCACCTGTATGTAGAGAACACATTAATGAGCCGCAAGGACTGATTACGACTTGCCTGTCACAATGAACATTAACAGGTTTCCCGCATCTCGTAAAAACTTCCTCATTCGTGGCATCTGCAAACTTAAGTTATTTGTACTTCTATGGGCAACAGACGTGAACGAAATGACCTCCACCTATCCACGTTCCTAAGCCAGCTTCTCTTCATTCCTCCTCGCGAAACTCGATCTTTTTAATGACATGACTTGTCTTCTACCCACGCCAGCTCCAAAGATCGACAACCAGATGACCGGACTGTTCGAACACAACACTTTTTGTTGTTTCACGTGGAAGTCTAACCTGGATCGCAATGTGATACACAGCGGAATTGATGTCTAAAAACACCATAGTGCGTTCAATCACTCGTTCTAGAACACCTCAGTTAAACTGGCATGTAGCCGCGCGTCTCTCTAAGAAGCGTGCAGGACAAAACGTGGAAAGAGGTTAAAACTTGTAACAGATGGACATTCTTTTCATTTTAGTGCTGAATATTGGTTACAAGCTACACCGTTGTGGATTATCTGCATACAAGTAACGGGTACTCACGATTGTTTATCCTCGCGGCAGGAAATGTTGATAAAGTGTACTCAACCTTCCTTAGTAAGAATGAAAACATGAAATATTCGTGATGTTAGCCTACTAAGTTAAATTAAAAGTAAGCGATGACAGACCGGAAGTGATCCGATCAAAGAAAGCGATTGTAAAAGGGCAAGGCTTTCTCTTCCCGACGGTATCATTACTTTTCATTACTCTTGAAGAGGGGGGGGAAGGGTTCCAAGCATGTACCCCTTTCAAAATAAACGTTTGGTCACCGTCAATGCATCCCTCTTAAACATCTAACATCAAACTCACAGCCGCTACGAATTTCTCCGTACAACATCGATACAATATCATGTGATAGATGTCACCCTCGGGTTCAAGCCATTTACTGTATTACAATATCAAGTGGACAAGTTATGAGAATAAAGAAAAATATCAATCAAGGGATTATTAGTTGATCCAAAACCAAATTCTAACATCATAAGAATTGTCTAACAGACAATAAGGAGAACAACTAATGAGATCTTGCTAATGAAAGAGTTATGTGCCAACAGTAAAACACGATATCCGACTGAAACATCATTTTACAATATAGGTGAGCAAAGGTGGCGCTCTGGCTAAAATAGACGTCCTCTTTTATCAAACTCTTAAATTGATCTTTAAACACTTCTAAGCACCATCTTATTTACATAAGATCTTAATATTTTTATCATTTTATAAACCTTCATAAAGAAAAATCCTGTGTGGTCCCGTCATGCCTCACCCCCCCCCCCCCCCAAACGCCTCCAGTGTGCTCGAATCCCAAAGATTAAACCATCCGATAGCGTGAATGACGCAAATGTCCTTGCCACGTACGGGCCAAAATGCTTCCTTTTTACCATATCCTTACTGTGCAAGATGGGTCAACCAACACTTCAAGCTGTTAGCTTATCACGTCGTTCAGGGCATGTGGCAATCTTCAATCTGCTCGGCACGTTCCAAATCTTTGTTCTGGTATCCACATGTTCCAAAGAAGAACTCTATTGAAGATAGCAACGAATAAGAACAAAGTTCCAGCTAACCCGATCTCAGTCCCCATAGGACAGAGAATGTCGAGCGGAGCGCGGAATCTGTTGTAGCCTGTGTCTAACAGCTTCTCCGAGTATTTAACTCGTTTGTGATAGCTGTTTGTTTGTTTGTTTCTCTATTTTGCCAGAGGGAATGGAGACTAGCTAAGACATCTTTGGAAAAAGACCTTTTCAGCTATACCTTTCTTCTTTTTTCCTAGATATTCTACACATAAACCCTTTAGGATTAGTTATTAAATGTTTAATTCACTGGTGGATGATTATCCAAGAGTTTTGGTACTGTTACTGTCAGGCAAGGATGGTCAGTTAAGCTTGCGAGCAGGCCTCGTAATTTGCACTGTAGGACGTATGTTTCTCCGCTTACAGGAAGATTTGAGACGAGTTGGGAAACACGACAAAGTGTTTTCCAGCATTCCAGACATTTCATTTGTTTTCATTGGCTCTTAAACGTATTTTCCTATCTCCTGATTGGCCTCTTGATTACTTTGGTAAGACATTCATCGAAAAGTGCCCTTTATATCAAACAAATTTAATCACTGCATGACGTCAATACGGGCTCTAACATAATGAACACAACAAACAATCGAACAGTATTCAATAGTTGAACTAAGAACAACCTAAAGCTCCCTTTTCACATTCCTTTGTCATTGAAATTATGGCACATAAAGCTGGGCTGTCTATAAACGCAAATTGATTTGATGTTTGCTGCGAACATCTGTGACTTTGCATGAAAATTTCTACCGCGAACTTACATTTTTATAATTGGTATTGGACATAATAATCGATGTTTCGTATTGAAAGCTGCAGATAACTGTCAAGTAAATGCTTGGAAAGGTTTTTTTGGGGCAAATATCTTTCATGGTGATCAACTTCACATCATGGCGAATTATGACTATAACAAAGGCTATCGCTGGTTCCGTTTTGAAAAAGATTCGGCCATCGATTCTTCTTTACCGCCGTTAAGCAGCTATCGTAATGCGAGAGAAGTAAACTCTATTCTATGGATGTCCAACGCTGAACATGTTGCGAACAACGAAAGAGGACATGTCCACAGCGACTCCAGTGTCATCAGCAGAACCCATGAACCTCCTTCGCTTCATCTGCCCATTCTTCTGACAGGTTATGAATCGAACACATCACAAGCAGCGCCTACTCTTAGACTACAAAAAGCTGCTGATATTGAAGATGGTTGTACAGTGCACAGTCACAGAAATACTTTGGCACTGCCTGTACCAACCCCAACTGTGTTAATGGGATCGGAAGCAAGCGCTGTCAGTCACCATACTTCTGTGAGCAAACGGACACCGGTTATTCGAGCACATAAAGCACGGAGCAAACGTACATCAGCACGAAAATCAAGATTTCAACCGAATCTTGGAACTCAATCAGATCTTCAAGATTGTCTATTTATTCAGAACGGTATTCAGTGTTTTCCAGCGGGCGGTAAGGGATTTTTGTCGCCACAGAAAGAAAAAGACATCAACGATTGGATAAATGGATCAAAAGCTAGCAAGGAGTAGATTAAATTCCCAATAGTACCAAGAGGAATAGACTACCCAAAAAACAAAACCACTCTTACGATGGAAAATAAAGTTCATTTCCTCGAGTTGAAGAATTGTTACGATTTTACCCGAGAACTGACGAGATCGCTGTTCCCAATATTTAACTATCGTAATACGTTTTTTTCAAAGCGTAAAAGTTTTTCAGAACAGCTCAAAACAAAACGATAAATCAACAGCATACCTATAACTAAATAAGCTGTGTTCGAAAAGTCCTAAGTTTTTCTTTTCCCTCTGTTTCTTTAACTCACTTGATTGACCAAAACAGAATTTCTCCTGACAATTTCAATATCGTATCAAGCAAATAAGTGATGAGAATAAAGAAAAATATCAGTGAGGGGATTATCAGTTGATCTTATACCAAATTCTCCGAACTAACATCATAAGAATTGTAAGCCAGACAGTAAGGAGAATTACTACTGTTTCATGCTACATAGTTTGGATAGTTAAACTATCATTAAAATTGAGTTAGAAATTTTTGATATCTAATCCTTTCTGGGATCCCTCAAGGATTCTTCCATCCCTTACACTTGTAACTATTTCCCTCTTACTCTCATGATCTCGATATAAATTCTCACAAGTGTGTGCCATACATTCCTTACAATTTTGGTTATAAGAATTTCAACAAAATCTGAGTTATCTTTCAGGCAATATTTCTCTTTCTTCTTCCCTCTTTTCTGCTTAACCCTTTAACTCCCAGATCAAATTTGTCATTCTCCTTACTGTCAACCATACAATTCTTATAATGTTAGTTTAGAGAATTTAGTATTGGATCAACTACTTATCCTCAAATTGATATTTTTCTTTATTCTCATCACTTATCTGGTTAATATTGTATCGATATTGTAAGGAGAAATTCTGTCTTGGTCACTGACAGGAGTTAAAGGGTTAACTTTTTGACCCCTAAGAGTAGGATCTAAGTGCAATCTTACTCCTGAATCACAAATTATGATCACAAAAGTAAAGGAAATGATCACCAACTAAAGAAGCTCTTGATTGTTAAACAATTTCTCCTTATGAACACTGTAGGAAATGTATAGAGAACAGTATGGAGAATATGCATACTGATATTAGGATGTAAAGAGTTAAAAATGTATTGATGACATGAGCAGAAATCACTTATCAGTCACCCCTGGGCTAGCCTCTACCAGGTACTCTTTCTGTGGGTGTGAGCTAAGGAGTAGACAAGCTACAAACAGCAGTTGTGGTTGTCAACAAAACACTATCAATTTTATGTCTGCTCACTTTCTTGCTAAATTCCTCTTTTTCTGGGAGCATAGTGCAATTACTCCTGGGAGTGGAATGGTTTTTCCTTATTGATTTAATCAGACTTGGAAAATAGTTTTTCTTCTGAAAATTATATCCAGTGTTATTCCCTCCAGCGATGACCACATTTGCAACATTTGTAGAATGTGGTCATGGGTTCATCTGCTGACCGAGTCTGAATCTGCATGAAGTAGGCTCTGTCGTGTTCACACTTGGGGCAGCGCTCTGTTTTAAATTTAAAAAAATACATTTAATGGTTGGTATGGCTCAAAAAGTCCCTGATCTAGCCCAGGTAAGATCACTGTGAGGTGCTATTGGACAAGACATGTTACTCATGGCTACCAGGAACAGTCCTCTGAAGGACTACCCAATGCAGAAAATCAGAACACATGATCAAGAACTTCAAACAAAATAATGGAAGGTATTTACCTTCTGTTGAGTCGACATTTTCCCAGGCTTCCTTTCCACCTAACACATCATCAACCTCTTTTAATTTTGGATATTTTTTACTTGATATCTGTCAGAGAATAGTGAGAAGTAATAATTATTTAGAACATGGTTTAACCCTTAAACTCCCAGACCAAATTTGTAATTCTCCTTACTGTCAACCATACAATTCTTGTGATGTTAGTTCAGAGAATTAGTATTTGATCAACTTATTATCCCCAAATTGATATTTTTCTTTATTCTCATCACTTTTCTGGTTGATATTGTATTGATATTGTAAGGGGAAATTCTGTCTTGGTCACTCATGGGAGTCAAAGGGTTAACATACTCAGGGATCCTTAATAAGTAATCTTAGTGAATAGCTTATATCTAAAGTAGCCGTCTGGAAGTATAGAGCAGAGCTCTCAAGTTGGTTTGCATGGTTCCCTCCAAAAAATTGAGAAATAATGAAGAAGTCATGACGTGCATTCCTTTATTCTGAACATGTGTGGAGAGATTCCATGTTTCTGGTCTGTGGTTTGCATATGAGTATGTACTGTTTAGCTGAACATTCATTTTATTATAATCACTGGTTAATTTTAATGAGGGCACTGTTTATGTTTATTGTTGTGGATACACTCAGTTTAAATAAATATATCTCAATAATGATCATGATGCTTGTTATGTAAAACATTTAATTGATGATGCATAATCTAGTTGTTCAGTTCAGTTTAAATCAAGCTAACCAGAGTTAAATGCTCAACCCAAAAGTCTTGAGAACTCTGAAAGGCTTGCCAAGGGGCAGTTCAGACTATTAACAGGCCACAAAATACATATCTGCTATGTCTTTGGAAATGATATGGATGGTTTTTCATGGGATGTATGGTGTAAAATAAACTCTCTTTTTTTGTAAAAAACAACAAAAACAACAACAACAAAATCAAAGTAGACAAAAAAAATTCAGCAAACAGTTTTGTTTTGAAAGCGAAATTAATATTTGAAAGCGAAATTAATATTTGCAAACCACATTTGCTACGAAGGTCAAAATGCACCCAGTTGAGAGGATTGAAAATTGAAGTTTTGAAATTAACGCAGGACAGTAAACGAGCCAATTAACCTGTTATTTCTCCAAGTCCAATAAAACAGAAAAAAATAATCAAACTTCCCTGAGGGGTGTAAATGCACGTGTAGGTAGGAATAGTTCTACGAGTATGTCAGAAAGGTAACAACGAATACGTCACCTTTTTTGTGATGTTGTAAACATAAGGACACGTTTGACAAGCAAACCTATACGAGGATGGCCCAGTTCCTTCCTCTACAGTCAAAACATTCGAACAAGTTGGGCAAAATAAAAGCATTTTGCATCCTTTTTCAAGTCATTAGTGAGTTTTGAGTATGTACGCTATGTACCCAACACCAAAAGTCAATTTGAGAGACAACCGCTGACCAAATCGTTGCTTTGTCGCGACTTTATGTTCTTTTTCACGTTTCATTTTACATTTGGAAAGAAATAAGAGTCAGTCGCTGCATTTTTGAAATTATCCTGGAAACAAATTTTTTCGGAATGCCTCGTTTACAGACCTCTTATCTAAGAAATATGAAACGATTCGAAATATTGATTCTGCTAAAGTCATACTATGTTTAGTTTTTTTAGGGAAAAAAGAAAGTTTCCTGAACCCACACTTTGTGATAGGTCTGCCATGTGAATTCACTCTCAAGAAAAAAAAATTTCCCTTCTTTTTCGAAAATCTTACTGATCGTTAAGACCTAACTTTCGTGTCATTGTATCAAAACCAAAGTACTGTACTCACAACAGCCATTCACGAAGGGACGAAAATATATTTTGTATCTCAATGAGCAAATAAGAAACTTAGATAAAAACAAGCGTCTCTTAGAAACACAGCACAACGCAAGTTCCAGTCCGAAATCCAAAATCGGATACCGGAGTCTAAAATCCAAAACCACACCCTAGCCCTAGTGTCCAAATCCAATATAGAACACTAGTGTCCAAATGTCAAAATCGGAGATTAGTGCCCAAAATACTAAATTGGACACTTGCGTCTAAGATCCCAAATCGGACACTAGTGTATAAAATGCAAAATCGGACATTGGTATCTAAAATCGGACAGTAGTGTCCAAAATCCAAAATGGGACACTTGTTACCAAACTCCAAACACGAACTCCATTATCCTGCAAAATTCAAAGTCTGAGTAGACTCTGTGGAACGGAATATTTCACTCCAAACATACTTCTGCAAACCTCAAAAGTAAAAGAAAACTTAGTTAAGATGAAAATCCGTTTTGCAATAACGTCTAAATAACATTTTATTAAAGCGTCTGTTTATTGATTTGAAGCATACAATAACTTAACACTCCACATCACCGGAAAGGGGATCTCTACGATTCCGCACAGTTCCGAGATCTGATTTTCTATTTCTTTTCCCTCACTCTGTGGAAAGGACAACTTTGTCGAGGGAAAATATTGTTTTGATTTCATCTAAAGACAGAGATAAAGCTATAAGCCTGATCAGGGCTCCTAGCCTAATAATTTATTTTTTTCAGGAAAATTGAAAAAGAGATTTGAATTCGCTTCAATATGGCCTATATAAGCTAATAAGCTTGCCGCTGTTTTTTTTTTAATTATTTGGCGAAAATATTTCTGAGTAAAAAGAAAATTTATTTCACAATCACTATTTGTTATTATTATTTTTCACTGTCCAGAGAGCGTTGATTTATTTTTTAAGACTGCATTAAGTGACACATAAAGGACGTTTTCATCTCTCCTGTAATAAATATCACATTGTTTAGAGACAGAATAAGAAAACAGAAGAACTTTGTGAAAACAGACAAGGTTAAAGTGTCAAAACCGAGAAAGCTCTGAACAGTAAATTTACTTTCTGCAAACCTTTATCGCACTTAACTGTCGACGTATAAGGAATTTACTGTAATTAGGTGATTCATTTTTATTAGCTTGGATACTGAAAATCGTTTTGTTATAGTTATTCCTCGAATTCAAAGTGATAAGTGAAAAATTGTAGTTATAATCTGTTAGTAATTTGAGATGTCAGCGGAAGTACTTAGCGGGACATATTTGAAGAATAATACAAAGGGCTTGTTCACTCAACACGTTCAAGTCTGGGCTAATTATCATTAGAAAGACTTCTTTGCAAAGTCCATTGAATTCGTAATTATCTTCGTTCATTCAAGGTACGCAGAGTAAATTCGAGTTAATGGTGAGAGATAATGGGAAATTTTACGCTGGCCTTACACCGGAAACACAATTTGTCGTGCGTGCCGTTCAGGAAAACATGATATGGTATAGAGGTCGTATTAAGCCAATTTTTTAGATCGCATCTTGAAGACCAGAGGAGATTGTATTTCTCCGAGCACTGGAGTATTCAAATAAGTAAACATTGAATCGTGGCGAGTTAAAAAGGTTTCCTTATCGTCTGTTCGACTTTAAGTTTGTGTGTTACAAGGAGCACAACATTCGATGATTTTGGTTTATTTATCAACAACATATCTACGTACAAAACTGCTTCAAGGACCTCAAGGTTAGTCGTTTTAACTAATCAGCTTATATCTTTTGTTGCTAAAGGTGTATTTACACAACTTCCAAACATTTAATTGCCCTTTTCGACTTTAGTGAACGGTAGCCAACGAGGTCCGCTTGATTCAGATTGAAAGGCCTTTTTTGAAGCTGTTACGGCGACAATTCTCGTGTGTTTCTGGCCGTAACGCAACACAAAAGAACAGTTTATTTTGATGCTGTGTTTCTGAGCTATTTATAGTGTAAATCGCACAAATGATACCTAATCGAAAGTCGTTAAATTTCTGAAATATCCGAAGAACGACTCCAGCAGAGCTTTCCGTCTGTTCCATTCAGATTGTTTGTCTAAGAAACATCCTAGGAGGAAACTGAAGGAAAGCACTTGGTAGCTTTTCAAATAACAACCTCCTCCTAACAACAGAAAAATACCAGACAAAGCAGGTTTCAGCTGAAACGACACATGTTGAAATGTGATGTGATGTTAGATTTTGAGCAATGCGAACGGTTTGCAGAAGACGTGAGCGAATTATCGTCTACGAAATCAAGTTAGTGGCATTTCAAAGTTGTTTATAATTTTCTACCAGAGTAATGTATTTCTTTCACAAAAATAATTGCATTTTTTGATTTGTTTATTGAAAATGATACGCGTACCAATATTTGCTTTTCAACGAAACGTTTGCAGTTACTGTATATGAGTATATTTGCCATAATTGCCTCTCTGAAAGCTATCCGGTCTTTGCTCGCAAGCTTATGCAATAGTTTTTCATCCCTAAAGTAGAACTTGTCACACCGCCGAATGAATTCTCCCTAGTCTGTTCCAAGGATCGATTTTAAGAAAGTCTTTGTAATTACCGTTCCTGCAACTTGTCTTTTGAATTGATCGGCGTGTTTGCATCCAAGATGGAAGTATTGATAGTTTTGTAAATTAAAATACATTAGCATCAGGAAGCAAAAGGGACGAAAGAGAATGGATACGTTTGTGAGTTGAGTTCCGCTCTATTAATTGCGAGATTTAAATTTTAAAACATGACGCTTGGTTGTCTTTGGACTCGTCAAGCTGCCGAGATTTATCATGAAGAGGGTCCTAGGCGTTCAGTGTGTAACATGGGGCAGCGAGGGCGCGCAAACGCATTTCTACCACTAAAAGGGCATAGGAAAGTGGCGGAACCTCAAGTGCAGAAAAGGAGCCGCGCGAGGCGACTTCAAGCACCTGTTTTCTCGCGCGATCTTTATGGACATCAATGTTGTTCCAACGCCTCCGTTCCTGTAGCAGAAGCGTAGCCAGGTTGTTAAAGGGAGGGGAGACTTAATGAATGCACCCTTTAAAAACGCAAAAGACTAATGTCTTTCGTGCGCTCAAATCCGAAGACTCTACATGTCATATGTGTCAGTGCTAGATACTCGATTTGTCGGTGTCCGACAAATAGATGATATGTGTAGAGACACTTGAAGGTGGAAAGACGCCAAAGTACACTACATTTCTGGCATTAAGAATTAAACCGTGCAATATTTTGCGAGCAAAAGTACGATTTTTAAAAATTCTCTCGTTGCCCTTCGTATCTTCCCTCTGAACAAGTGGGTGGGCAGATATCGCACTTACCGACTGCTAAATTGAATTGTTCAACAAGTTATCATGCTGTGGTAATTTCAATTCTAATTTCACCTTTTTACAATTGCAGATATTTGTTGTCATACCTGACAAAAGAACTTCACACCACGAGAAGACTAACTGTTCTTACAAAGCTTAAAGGCTTCAATGTTGCTTGTTAAAGAATCTTTAGTTCTTCCTCGATTCATCCTATCACTCGCTTTATTCACCGTTGTATACACCACGAATACTTATGAACCAGATAATTCTCATGAGTTCGGTGCTCTCTCCAGCCCGACTCCGACAAAGGAGGGCCCTTCAGCATCACAAGTGGCGAGAATTGACGGCGACGTTTTCCTGGGAGGACTTTTCCCAGTTCACGCCAAAGGCAACGGATCATCTTTGTGCGGCGAACTAAATGAACAGGTCGGAATTCACCGTGTGGAGGCCATGTTGTATGCAATGGATCAGGTAAATTTCTATTTTCATTTAAATATTTATTAAAAGTTGCCTTGGTGTTGTACTTGCGCGTTCAGCGAATGTGAATATTTTTTGCCGTGTATCAGTCAAATTTGGATCCCAGCCATCTACCACTTTCACAACAATTAATTCGTACTATTTCGAATTGATAAAATAAAATGTAAGGACCGAGATCTCGATAATTTACACATATCGCGTCCCTGAAATTTGGGTAATCAAGGATCTATATTTAGCTCTGTTCACTGGATGTCGCAAAAAATTTAAATCCATCGATTGTTGTGTCGAAAGTCTTCTCCAAGACAGCAGTTTTTTTACACGTAGTGCTTACAGGAATGTTAATCTGGTTCTGGGTTGTAGTAAGATGGAAATAAAAAGTCTTGAGCAAGCAAGGGACGTTTTTAAGCTAAATAAGTATTCGATCTTATTATACAATCATTCGGACAATCATATTGTACATAGTTATTCCTATTCCTGTCTTTATATCATTGACTGTGCCTAATAAAAACATCATCCTTTGGTTTTTAAGAACTATATTGGTCCATGAATCTTTTCAATGTCACTTTAAATATGCATTTTTTTCCTAACAATTTTAACTGATACTTTTATCCGCTTATTGAATGGTACAATTCAATAATGCACGGCAGAAGGATTTATAAACGTTAGTTTCGTTTTTTTTTTCTGTTAAAAAAAAATAGCTGAAAGACACCTTTTTTGTAGTGAATCGAGTTTCTCGATCGATTTGAATTTTAATGATAAAAACGTCATCGTTGATAATCGGATCAGTTTTGAAGTATTTGTAAATCGTTCGTCTGATTTGGTAGACAAAATTATATAAAGCAAACCGACCTCAGTAATTTTATAATATTTGCTATTTAGCTGTCTCGTCAGTAACAAATATCAATTCTAACACTTTCTGACGTTCCATTCAATATTTTATGGTCACAGAATTTTCTCAAAAACTCTTCAATTAAAACAGGAGGATATTTTTTTTTCTTTTCGATACAGATCGTCTTAAACTCGAGGAGTCTCTACTTTCTGTGACGTCATGCTGTGCGTCACAGCATGAGGTTGTTGATATTTGGAATCATTTCAAACTCAATAGTTTCATTGCATGTCGGTATCTGTGTCATCAGGCTTTCAAACAACGTACACCGCGTGGCACCTCGACAAATCATATTTGTAAATGTCAAAAAAACGCTTCTTGCATCTAAAGGAGCTACCACTTTCGAAAAGGTTTCCAAAAATTAGTTCCTCTCGAGGAATCGTCAATTGTTCGGACATTGTCGACTTGGTCTCGCTTGCTTTCCCGCCTTTAGCGCCAAGCGCCGTTCACGTGACGTGTTTTTTTAAGTTCTGATTTGCTGATATTGTAGTCTACGTTTTCCTATTACTGAGCTCAAACTTTCAGTAAATAAATATTCGACTTGATCTGTCAATGCGTATAATCTTTCAGAGATTCCAACCCTCCCGATTTGATCGGGAGTCTCCCGATTTGATGTCTTGCCTCCTGCTCTCCCGATTTTTACCAAATTCTCCCGATTTATCATAAAATTCTGAAAACTAGGGGAAAATTGCTAATCTTTAGAATTTTTGGCGATCTGTCACTGTGAAACACTCATATTATACTTACTTTCTTCGCGAAGAGCATTATGGTATGTTATAACTCAGGCCGGAATGATGTCAAAATTCATGAAATGGCACTTGAGAGAACCTAAATTTGTAAAATTTCCCGGGGGCATGCCCCCTGACCCCCCTAGAAGCTCGCGCCTTTGGCACTAATAATTACTCCCTATTTTCCATCACATGGGGTTGGAATCTCTGATCTTTATTATATGACTCGTAAGATATGGTTTGACTAAAAGAAAAAGGGAAACAATAACACTCAAATTAAGGAAACTCAACGAAACAAATACGAAACGAAAAACTGCTTACAAGATTTATGAGCCTGAAGGAAAAACGTGACAAAAGCGAAACGCGAAAACAACAAACTCGAGCATATGGTCTAGACCATAATAAGCAAACTAAACCCAGTACCGCGTAGGTAGGGCAAACTAAACATGACGTATATTGCAATCAACACTTTCTATAATTAAAACTTGCATCCTACTGTATTGAAACGTAAAACAACACTTTTCTTTTCTCTTCAAGGTGAATGAAAACAGCACTCTTCTCCCAAACATAACCCTGGGCATGGAAATTCGCGACGACTGTGGAACAGTAAACACTGCTTTGGAACAGTGCCTGAACTTTGTGCTTGGTACACTGACCAATAGGGAAGAAATATGCAGTTCCCTGGTAGGGACCCCTGAGGTGAAGAAAAAAGCTGCTCTGGTGGGGGTGGTGGGGCCATCGTACAGCATTACTACAGTACAGGTAACACGACTGTTTGGGGAAGTTTACAGCCCCTATTTGGGTTATAAGTGGTATGTATCTCTACGATTGTAATAATCATATTGTGACTACACTGAGGTTATAACAGTGGTATCATTTGCATTATAGGTGGCCAGCCTCCTTCGTCTGTTTGAAGTCCCGCAAGTCAGCTATGCTGCAACAAGCGCTGAGTTGAGCGACAAGGACAGGTTTGAATACTTCGTGCGAACTGTCCCCCCGGACTCATATCAAGCGCGAGCCATGATAGACATCATTACATTCATGAACTGGCCAGCGGTCTTCGCGGTTCATTCGCGCGGCAGCTATGGTGAACAGGGAATGGAGATCTTGGAAAAGTTCTCGGTTGTGAGCAACGTTTGTATTGCTGACCATCGGCAATTAGAACCAGATTTTACTGAGGAGGAATATGACCAGATCATAGAACGATTTCTTACAGAGAAGGATATTCGCGTTGTTGTGATGTTTTGCAATGCTGAAGATCTTCGTTCAATGCTCCAAGCCGCTAAAAGAGCGCAGAATCGAGGCGAGAAGAAGCGGTTTATCTGGCTTGCAAGTGATTTTTGGGGGACAAGACTTCGTCATGTTGAAGGTTTGGAAGATGTCGCTGATGGCGCCATTACCATCGAATTTCAAACGTTTGACACGCAATTAAAGCCATTTTACAATTATTTTTCGAAGCTGAATCCACTGAACAACTCAAGAAACCCTTGGTTTAAAGAATACTGGGAGAAGCGTTTCAATTGCAAATTTGGAAAAGGCCCGTTGTCAGGAAATCCTCGTTGTCTTTTCCCAGAGAATCGTTTTTCAGTTCTGGACAGATTCGATGCTAAAGTTCCTTTTGTCATCGATGCGGTGTTTTCATTTGCGCACGCGCTTCATGCTATGCACCAAAATATCTGCGGCCCAGTGCCAGGCCTCTGCTCGGCCATGAAGAAATTGGATCGCTCTGTGCTATTGTGGTATTTGCGGAACGTGTCTTTTAATGGTACAACTGGGCTGGTGAAATTCGATGCCAACGGCGACAGTGCTGGAAAGTACGACTTCTACGTATTTAGAAACTCTTACAGTGCTTACTATACGAAACTGGGAAGCTGGGTCGAAGGAAAATTGACGATGGACTCTCACGAACTTTACAGAGCAAATAACTACCTTGAATCACATTGTGGAAAGCCTTGTGGACCCCACGCTATAAGGCGCATACGCGATACGGTCTGCTGCTGGACATGCGAAGACTGTGACGCAGACTCTTACGTTGAAAATGACTTCACGTGCAAGACTTGTGACAAGGGAACTAGGCCAAATGCTACGTTCGACGGCTGCGAACCTTTACATGAAGTATATCTCGACAAAGTGTGGATAGTTGTAGTTGGCGTATTTGCGTCTCTAGGAATTCTTGCCACTGTCACTGTTTGTGTTGTGTTTCTTAAATTCGCTCAAACACCGCTCATAAAAGCTTCAGGACACGAATTATCCATTGTCCTTCTTGCTGGAATACTACTTTGCTACAGTTTTGCTTTCGTGATGGTTTCGAATCCAGGCAAAGTTGTCTGTGCGATTCAAAGATTTGGAATTGGTTTGTGTTTCTGTGTGTGTTATTCTTCCTTATTAGTGCGCACGAATAGAATTGCGCGCATTTTCAGCGGGATAAAATCACCTTCTTTCATTAGCCCAAAATCTCAACTTCTCATAACTGCCGTTATAATTGCTCCGGAGCTCGCCATGGCCATCACAGAGCTCTTGATTCGACCGCCGAAGGCCATGGCATCATACGAGCAAAAAGACTTTGTACTTATCAAATGTAACATAAGTACTGTTGGAATGGTAAGCTTGTTCGGCTACAATGCCGTCCTTATAATATTTTGCACATATTACGCGTTCAGAACTCGTAAAACCCCGTTGAATTTTAACGAGGCTAAATTTATTGGTTTCTGCATGTACACAACATGCGTGATATGGATCGCTTTCGTCCCGGTGTATTATGGAATTGGAGGAGGATTCCAAGCCATCGCGCTGGCTTTCAGCTCTGTTATCAGCGCTACAACAATCTTAATCTTTATCTTCTTGCCAAAAGTCTACATTGTGTTATTCAAACCCGAGAAGAATATCAGGAGCAATTCCAGACTGCGCTCAAGATCAAAGTCTTTTGACTTAAATGTACCGGAGGCAGACATTGTTTTCAATGGTAAGTCTTCGCTGAATGAACACACAGCGGTCAAACGTCTACGCACGTGCAAACGTTGTGACGAAGCGCGCTTTCAGTTTGTCAGAACCAAGTTGTCTCACACGAGTAACAAACAACCACACAATCCAGTGATAAGTCACGGTGTTTGAAAGCGAATAACTTTTGTAGTAAAGCCCAAAACAAAATGTCGGATCAACAAGATACCCGCACTTGATTAAGCTCTGTGTTCGAGTTTTCATTTTCCCCATTTCTCTTCCCTTTTAAAAGATTCCTATGAACTTTTTCAATTATCATATACCTATTTTGCTAGACAACGGTTGAGTCCAATGCCTTTCTCTGAAATTTTGTTCAGGAGATTGGCGCGCGGCCGACCAGAATTTATCTCCTTTAGCGTGCCTCACGTTTGACCGCTTGTTTGCCGAATGTTGATTTCCTCTCTCTCCAGCTCGATCTCACGAGCAAAAACTTTTTCTTACCGAAATGCAAAGCCCCTCAATCTCCCCTGAAACCAAATCTTCAATATTTACTCCTCGCTCGTACCGTTTTTGTGTTCTTTACCCAAGAAATGCTATTTTCACTGGGTTTTTAGTTATAAGATATCTTAAATATACGATTCTGCAGGTCAGTCTTTCCGCAAGTTTAACGGCAGCGTCCCCTCGACGCCAAGTTTAATCACGAACAAAACGATCAAGAACGGAGGAACACAGCATCAGAGTCAACCTCAGGTACCCAGTTTCACGGCAATTTGACTTCTGAAACTTGGCACTGTTTCTAAGGACGCTTGAAAACAACATGAATATGTCCTTCATCTCCAGAGACAGAACCATTCTCGATAGAGATTGGATGATAGTGAGCCAATCAGAAAGCAGAGCAAAAAAAGCGGGAAGATGATCTTTGTTGAAAGGTGTCGGTACGCATGCCACCCATAAAATGTTGTAGGAAAGAGTAATATGGATCCGGTGAAAAGCGCGGGAAAACAAGTCGCGGGTGGAAAGAGCGAGGGAACATGGCGCAATTGAAAAGTGCAGAAAACATGTTGCAGTTGGAAAAGGAAGCTGAGCAGACTGAAATAAAAGGCGCAGGAATACAGAAGACAAAAGTCAAAGTTTATGGGAAATAAAAATCATCTAACCGATGCTAACGGCGAAAACTTATGCGTGCACTATGATACAGAAACCAATGGTCCCGAAAGAAGCAAGGAGTCTCAACTGTTATAACTGATATCGTATTTTCTAAAGCATCTTTTGCAAATGGCGGTTATGCCAGCAAAGGCAATTTGCTCACCTGATTCGGTTGTAAAATAATAATTTCAAATTTGTCGTGGGTTTATCTCGAGATGTGTCAGATAAATATATCAAGATTGTCAATTAGTGTAATTGTACAGAACACTTTTAAAATGTTGGCTAATTTGGTGGAGAAAAAAAACCAGTAGGGTTCCCACGGAATAGTATATCTTTCAAATTGAAATTTACCTTTTCTGTAATTTTTTCCTCATCATAATTTTCGATGATAAAAATTTTCTTTGACATGCGGATGATAATAAATTTTGTTTCGTTTAAAAACAAACACTGAAACAATCAAAACAGTATGATCAGTTTCCTCTTCGTGAAAGAAGAACCCTCTAAACTGCGCCACTTTCGTCACGAATGGCTTCGTTCTCCGTCTATAGTAGCGGTACAAACTAGTACTTGGGAGGCATGAGTTCGAATGTCGTCGGAAACTGAATTTTTTTCAGACTTCTTCTCTGTAATTGCTTCAATTGCAGCTCGCTTGCGAGAATCATTGAGGTTTACTTAAGTTTTTTTTCCAATTCGCTCGGGAAATTCTGTTGAGAGGTTTACCTCCTCGGAGGTGAAGAAACGCAAACTTTAAATATATAATTCAGATTTTGGCCCATGCTTTGAAATAATCTTTTGGTATCAGAAAAGATTATGGTTGTTGTAACACGAGTATCAAGTAATTAAAAACACTGTAATTCCTTAAATATGCTAAAAAAGCATGTCTGAAAAGGGTTTTTTTTGTCTTGTGATAAAATATGATAAATTAGCCCCGTGGACCGCCAATTCTGCAAAACTCGAATACAAGGGACGATCACTCAGTGTGAGACGAGGTTTCTTAATGGGAGTCGAATCAACGTCCTGCCATTGAAGACAGACATCAAAATTGAAAACACGGCTCTTGGCACGCAAATCTCCCTGGCTTACTTCCATTAATTTAGTTTCGTAAATCCATTTTACGGTTTGTTTATGTTTTCGTTTTTTTTAATTTGAGGATAAAGGATCCTGTCGCAGTGAAAAGATCTTTTAGCACTCTGGCGTGGGAAGAGAAGCAATGTCACTTTTAATTCCTGATCAGAAAAGTTATTTTATTTTTCCCGACACTTCTTACGGTTCTTAACACAAAAAAGAACAAATAGAAAATCGAGTTACGTTTTACCACCAGCGTAAAGTCACTTTTGTCCTTTGTCTTAATTGAGAATTTCCATCAGAGGTCATTAAGCGACACGTTCTTCAAACAAAGAACTTATTCATCTCATGGGAATGCATCCACTACGAATTTCTTTTCACCAAACGACTAGAAAACCTTAACGAAATAATCATTCTGACGCATTTTTTTGTTTGTTAAAACTGTAAGAAATTGATCATGCTTTTTTGCAAGTAGGAAATAGAAGGAAAGTTGTAATAATTTTGACAGATCTGTCGTGTCGAGAGCAGAGTTTGCGGAACAATGGCCACACTATGGGATGCTATCAATTTGTTTTAGTCCAGTTGAATCACTATGGCAGGATGGTAAGGTGACGACCAATCATAAGCCTGAATAATATTTAGTTTTATGCCACCCGAACTGGTGAGACATTAATAAAACATTCGTCGCCTTTCAGGAATAAACAAGAATCATTCCAAGTTTTAGCTGCACATCCGAGACGAGGAAGAGAATCCTATCAAATTCAGGTATGTTGGCAAATTTTGCAGATGCAGTCAGCTTTTTTTTCGCTTTCATTTGAAATCTTTTTTTTTTCGGGTTTCGTAAAGTAATTGGTGCGATTTTAACAACCTTGCTATGTAGCGTGTTAAAGTGCAAAGTTTTGCAGTAAATTATCGGCCATAATTTGTGTGCGGGAAATTTACGGGGAAGACTCTTATGGCGAGGCAAAGCTAAATTGTAAATTTGGAAAAATCATAAAGATATTCATTATTCAAAGTAAAACAACTTGCATCTCTTTCAGAATTGGTTTGTTTTCTAGTGAACTCTTATTTCAAACATGACTCAAATTTGAAGCATAAAAAACCTTCAACTTTCTCGATAACTTAATTATGCATTTAAGGGGTGTGTTTCAAACAGAAGTTTACTTCGCTTAACTGACAAGTGCGCTCTGTGATAAATTAAAGTAATATTCACAAAAATGACCTGGAAATACGGTAGTTATTCACTTGTAGAACTATATTTAATGTGATTTATTTACTCTGCGTGGTATGTAGTTGGGTTCACAATCTTGTCTGCGGTACGATTTAGTGAGGCTTTTGAAATTTAAATCAAGCCCTTGACTTTGTTTGGGCCCGTATCTGGCTATCGCAGCCGCATAAATTCCCATAACACTCGCTCATGTAGTGGTAGCCATCAGTAAAAGCTGTCCGTAAACTGCATGTTTTAATCCAATATAACACGTCGCGTAATTTGCAACGTAAATAAGAGGCAATCGACGATTGACGGTAAAATGTTATCGTCTACCTGTATCTGCACAGTTCTGCCGATTCGTGCCGTGTTGAATGTCTTCAAAATTCATTCACTGCAGAAACGAATGTTCTCGGAAAACTCTGAACGCGGAACATGGAACAGCGTTAATTCAATAATAGATTAGGTTTGGCTGTTTCGTTTGTTATTCGTATTAATGCTTGTTTACGTCGAGTTGGTTTCACTTTTCCATCCCTGCGAACAATTCAGTGCAATCATTTCTTTCTAATGGTCCGAAACTTTGATTGTAATGAGCCAGTTACACTTTGATTAATGTGTGTTTCAACCTTCAATATCTTATACTTAACAAATTTGTAAACAGAACAAGTTAACAAAAAAAAAGGTTACCCCTTAATTTCTGATTTAATTTTGACTTACCTTTTATCTGATTTTTCAATTTTAAATTAAAATCTTAAGGGTGATTTAAATTGAGGTGTTAATTAGAGAAATTTCAAGCCAGCTGGAGCGATTTGCATCACAAGTGAAGCTTAGCATTCAATCTATTAGACAGCAGTATTTAAGATCCCACAATCAATTCTTTTGTGGTGTCAGTTTGGGGTTCAAAAACCTTTACCTTTACCCTTTTCATTCTCAGAAAAGCTAAAAATATGATTTCTTCCTATAAAATTATAACATTATACCGAAATCAGACGCTGAGAAGAGACGAATGCATCAGTCCTAGAGTTTTATCGAAACATATTTAAAAACGAATTCTCCTAACTTGTTCAAAGAGAACCCGGTACAGGCAACAATGGAGAAGAACAGATTGGTCTCTGATCTCAAATAATTTTGTGTTTTGTTAAAAAAAAATCCTCACTCTTGGTTGGTTATGTCATTTTGAATGCATTCGATGCATCATTGTGTTCAAAGGAGAAAAGGTGTGACTTTGTATGGGGTAAAATTATCCGGCGGGATCTCGTGACATCCTGAGGTAAACGTGCTCTTTGTTCAAGTAAACCGCTGGCTAAGTATTTAGCATTATTGAAAATTGTGAACACTATCGAAATCATTTTCTCTTCTTCAAATTTTTTTTGTCAAAAACACACCGTTTTAGCTCCACCATCAGTGAAAAAGAAAAAAATTGCGTTCCAACCTGAATAAATTTTGCATACAAATATTCAACTTTTTGTACAATTAAAGTGAAGTTTCACCTGTTTAAAGATTAAATCAATTGTCTTTTGCTAGTCTAAATAACGCTTATCTTTTATCACATTTGCCCAAACCATGAACGATCCAGAAAAATGTATACAACATTCATATGCAACACCATGGATTGATCGACAACATTGAGAGATACTCCTGAAAATTGTCTCATTATTTGATCAATTTTTTTTGCATTTAATTTTCCAGTTGTGTTACATATTAGTACCCGTGGTTAGCATTTAGCCCCTCACTCGAGAATGAAACAGTTTTTTTGTTTTAATTTCGCTCAGGCGAATTGATGATCGCTTCGTAAATTTTTTATTAGGACAGAATTTAACAATGATCTTGATTTAAAGACAATTCCAAATGAGGGTATGTTTACATAAAATCTCGAGACAAACCCCAAAGCAACGCCTATTCCATATAATTTTAATGTTGTCGGTATATTTTTTCTTAGCCTGTCGCCTGTGTCACAGCAAATTTATTGATAACAAAGTCTATATTCCCATAACTTTTTAAGATATTTATTTTATTTTCTCTTTGTTTCTTTTCTGTGTTAAAAATTTATGCATTAAATATTAATTACTTTGCTCTCCAAAGAAAACGACCGCTATTGTAGCAAGATCTACTTTTCTGGATTTTTCCAGTCTTTATTTCTTCAAGATAAGCATCAAATCCGCCCACAAATGTACGGTGGGTAGCTCCACTTCTTCAAACTGTGCGTGGAAGTCTTTTACCTTGCTTCTCCGCGCTGGTCTTTTAAAACTGTACGTGCCGTAAAAAAAAATTCGCGGTTGAGCCTTGATGTGGTTAAAATTTTTCGCAGCAGGATAGAACACTATACAAGACCTGATTTATTCAGATGACAACAAGTAAGACGCGTTTTAGTGACATACAAAAGCTTCGTGAGTATCTCTCACTTGTCGGTGTAAGTGTAATGTGCTTTCTGAAAAGAATTGAGTTTTGGTTTCGCCTAAGTCACCCAATGCGAGACTAACTTTTGAACCTTCGAAATTCTCAACTCGTCTGTGGTTATTGTTTCTCGTTTTCTTGCTGTTTTTCTTTCTTACCGACACCCTCTTCTCAATTTTATTTCAGATAAGTCTTTCGAAGTCGGCTCATCCGATGGGCGTGTTTTCGCATCCAGAGCTGCGAATCTCCTCCTCGCGTGGGCTCAAAAATATGAAGCGACGACAATAAAGTTTCCCAACCACTATTCAAAACACAAAGACGACAAAAATTCGTTCATCTGTGCTTCACGCACTCAAAGGTAAGCTCAAATTATTCAACTCCAGCATCTGTTGTAATTGCCTCTGACTCACTTATGCGGGATAGCCTTGGAGTTCAGTTCAGCTACAGACCATGTTTCATAATTTCATCTCTTGATCTTTAGCCGGAGAACAAAAAGCTTTCTATTCTATGGTGAACAAATAAACTGGAAGTGTGAGAAGTTCTGAAAAGATTAGATCTAATCTCACCATCCTGTAGCTGTTGCCTTAAGCTTTCAACTTTCTTTTTCACTCAAGAAACTTATCAAACACACCCGGCCGGTGAAACTGCTTTGTGTCACTTACTCGCACGGTTACCCGAAGGCCAGTTACGTCGTTTTCGAGTCCTCGCTGGCTTGTAATCTGTACAACATCACAGTATCTACAAATCATACCAACGTTACTCCTGCGGGTTGGATTCCGTAATGACATTACGTCCATGCATAAAAATATACTTTTATTTCTTATATAGCTTGATTGTTTACAGATAATGGAAATAACTCAATTTTCACAAATGCGAACTATCGCATACCATATAGAGCGTAGTTTGCAGTATGTTTGGTAAAAGAGGGCTATAATTTATACATGTCTTGTCTGGCATAAAGCAAAAAAAAAAAAGATAATGAAAAGACAGTTCGCGTGTTCATCAATTAAATCCCCCTTAGGAAAAAGCATTGTGTCAAAATTCTTGCGCGCGTCAAGTAAATGAAACTTGCGCGCGCAAAAAAAAACCGACATGAAAACCGGCTTAAGCGAATTTACCCAATTGTAAAATTCCATGGGTACAGCGTTCGGCAAAGCATTCTCGTTCATATCTTCTAGCGAAAAAAAAACATTAAAACCTTGTACACTCGTAAAATTTGTTATGTAAACAATTCTCTGAGGAGCAAGATGTTATTAAATACAGAGTGCTTATTAGCTCCATACACCAGTGACAATTCCACGCCATCTTAATCAAGCCTTTCTTGATATGCAGACTGCCTCTCAATTAATTAACTAGTTTCAATTTTCGAGAAGCTCTATGTTCCGACCTCTGACTAGTAAGGAAGACGAAACAAGTTAATGCAACAGAATTTTATGTAACTACCATCAAGAGATTTTAACTCTTGATTTACCTAACAGCAAACGATTACAACCTCCCTTGCTGTTCCCGCGGTTACCGGTCAGTGGTGCTCAGTTCACTTCATGTTACGACACTGAAAGTCAAATCTTGATGATTAGATAAACGAAAAATTATTCGAACAGAGAGGAATGACAATTTAAAGATCAAATTGATTGTTGTATGTTTTCATCAAGATCTTATCGTCTCTATAATGTGGGATGATTTTAAACTAAATTGAACCTCTAGCACAAGTAAATTAGTTGCTTTAAAGAATTGCTACCTGCTAACTAGGATTTGTATGAGATCCTGATAACACGAGGAGTGAAAGTCTTAAGGCTGGAAAGAACAAAGATGAACGTTGTTTCGCAGATGGTAAATTACTGGAAATAAAACGAGTTACAAAAACTACTTTCAATCTTTATTTTGATTCAGTCGTTAAACAGCGGTCATCAGTTACCTCTCGTCTCCTCACTAAAATGCGCGCGGGAAGAGATGCATGAAGATCTTGGAAGGAGAGAGCCGCAGTAGTCACTTGTGCGCATTTCAAACCTAGTTTCATGTTCAACTTATAAATTTAAATGATTGATTAGTTGTACCTGTAGGGCTGGTAAAAAGTAACTTTGCTTTTTCTCGTGATTTGTCGTTATAGACTGGTCGTAAATTAACCCACAGTAATGCATGCGCTCTCAGTGGCCGCATCGTCACGAGCTTCCGGTTATGATGGAGACCGCTATGTCAGATGTGAAAATTTATTGGAACCCTATGGCCCGCAATCAGTCACAACAGCGGATACAGGAATAAGAATTCGCATCAACGTCCGGGGACTTGTTTTCGAAACCTATGAACAAACTCTGGCCCAGTACCCTCAAACATTGCTCGGTTCGCCAAGCAAGCGGAGGGAATATTACAACACTCTGAGCAAGGAATACTGTTTTGATCGTGATAAAGTTGTGTTTGATGCCATACTATTTTTCTATCAATCCTGCGGAATTTTATCATGTCCCGAGCACGTTCCACGGGAAAGTTTTTTAGAGGAAATCAAATTTTTCCAGCTTCATGAAGCGGACTTGAGGTACAAGCAGGAAATTGAACCTGAGAAGGTGAAAGATGTTGAAGAGGAGATGCCCGAACATCCGATTCAGCGAAAAATTTGGAGGCTTCTAGAATACCCTCACACCTCCATTTGGGCGGATTTGCTGGCAAAATTCAGTTTACTTGTGATAATATTATCAACGATAACATTTTGTATTGAGACTATCCCGAGGTTTAATCGGCGCACTGTTTGTCGTGATGTCACTTCGAGCTCCTTACACAACAATACCAACGGTCATATATTGTCACGTGACCTCTACAACACTTCGCTGGGCGATAATCACATCAACCTGACAGAGACACACTGTACTGTTATAGAACGTGGTACCTATTGGTCAACGATCGAGACTGTCTACGTAGCATGGTTTACGTTTGAATATGTTTTGCGACTTATTGCTGCTCCAAATCGAATCAAATTTATGACTTCCGCCTTGGGTTTAGTTGACTTTTTAGCCATTTTGCCATTTTATATCACTCTTATCTTCGAAGCGGATGGTGTCTTGATGACGTCATTTCCGGTTTTAAGGATAATTCGCCTCATTAGAGTGTTACGAGTCCTGAAGCTTTCTCGCTACAGCAAAGGCTTGAAAGTTCTCGCTCAAACATTAGTTATGAGTGGAAAAGACCTACCGTCGCTATTAGCAGTTATGATTATTAATGTGATCCTCTTCTCCAGCGTCATTTACTATGTTGAGAATGACGTGAAAGACAATGACTTTGATAGTATACCAGACGCCTTTTGGTGGACGATAGTCACCATGACCGCAGTGGGTTATGGGGACAAGGTACCGAAAGGTGCTCTGGGTAAATTAATTGGAGCCATCTGTGCTGTATCCGGGATAGTTGTTCTGTTTTGTTTCCCCACCCCTGTCCTGCTGTCACACTTTGAGGAGATGTACAAGCTAAAGGGAAGTAGTCCGGCGAACAAACAGAAAGGGAAGGAAAAGCAAAACAGTGGGAAACAGGAGGATGAAAGCAAAATGAAAGACACTGAAGTCACTCTGTTGGGAGAAGGAGAAAGAATTGAGATTTACGTTTAATTTTTATATCCAAATTGTTTAGGTATGGTTTCTCTAGACCCCTGAAAAAGGTGCAAAGTTTTCAGAGGCGAAAGTTAAGAATCACAGTTTTGTTAGAAAAAGTAACGATATAAATGATAATAAAAAGAATCTCATCCCTTACCCAGCTTTCCCTCGGTTTTATGTAAAAATTTCACCGACAATGAAAAGATGTAGGTACAAGATATAACAGGATCCGTAGCTAAAAGACGAAGACTAGCTGTGTAGCAGTCGAAACGTTGTAATCAATAGAGTTGATAGCCTGACTCTTTATCGCGAGGCATGCGATTTACGTTCAATTATAAAAGACTTTCACAGAGCAAAAAAAGTCACAAAGATTTTGATTAAAACTGCTCGAGACTCACCTGAAATATACCCTCCACCTGAAATATACCCTCCACCTGAAATATACCCTCAACCTGAAATATACCCTCCACCTGAAATATACCCTTAGCATTGCTTGGTGTTTCTCAGTATGTGTCCTACGAGTAATCAAATTTATAGTCATGAGACGAGAAGCGAGCTGTTATCGACTGCATCACTGTCGTACTAATCTTGAAAAGTTCACAATATTCTACCAAGGTCCCAAAATTTGGAATTCTCTCCCAATATCGATAATTCGTTCGACTAGCTTTTGTGCATCTAAAAAGGAAAATGATGATTGAATTTTTAATGAAACAAGTCTGTATTGACAAAGCTGCATATCCACAACTTAATCTCAAACCTATTGACAACCGAGGTGACCTCCCACATTAGTCTGGTGGTTTCGTGGAGGTCTCTCTGCCTTACCATACTGTTGAAATTGCATTAACATTCGTTCTGAAGTGGCTGATAATGATAATGATGATGGTGATGAAACCAGGATAAGTAGTTGGTTCGTCAATTTTGAAGAGGAAGAGGCTACTTACGTGTCACGTTAATCACGGTTTTATCTGCTGGCGATGTAAAGTTACGATCAAAGCTATAGAAGACAACTAACAATCTTATTCCTTAGTGACAAAATTAATATTATTTTTGCGGATTCATTAGATAAAAGATACTGGGGAAAAACGCGGGAAGAACACGGGAAGAGATCGTAATCGCTAACTGACTTTAAGAATCTAAAACAATGTTTTAAACCCATGTAAAAATTATCTCCATGGGATTAACTCCCGACGTTATAAATTCATGAGAGCCGAGCAGTCTCGAAATCCTTGTGCCTCGTGAACTCTGAGAAGTGCCTGATGACGCCCGATGACGCCTGATGTCCCAGGTTTAACGGTGGACACGAGATTTTATTTCGTCAACTTCATTGACAGTAGAACGATTTGTGCTGGAAGAAAAGGGTGAGTTCGTAATCTAATCAATTTTCAGCATTTCCCTTTTTTTCACACAACTTCTTAAAGATATTCGCTCTTTGGTTATTTGAGTACTCTGGGGAACAGTTATTTCACTTGTAACTTATACTTAAAACTAGAAAACTACTAAAAAAAAAAGCTTTTTTAAATAACTTTTAATAAGTCACGACTCAGGCAGCCAAAAAAAGTACACTTCGCACGCTAGACGTGCTTATGATTAGACATCAGAGTGGAGGCATGGGGCGAGATTCCGTTACCTTTGAATGAGGTGAATATGAAGTTATGCCAAGCTGGGCCGATTGTAGAAAGTAGATCGACTTTGTTTGCAGATTTTCACTGTTTTTATGATGCGTCGACGTAGGGGATGGAGAGAAAGAGATTTTGCCGAAGGTAGGCACTTAGGTCAGCTTTTTCCATGAAAAACCGGGGCATAGTTTCCCGATATAGTTCGGAAATAGATCTTGATATTCGATCGAGATCATGCACATTTATACAGTAATGCATGAACTCCGTCCAATTTGTGCAATCTGGAAGCTTTTTTAACTTCGATCTGTACAGCTTTTGACTTTTGATCAAGATCTGCCTCAGAAGAAAAGAATCTACAAAGATCTCAGTACCTGATTCGAGTATTCGTGGGTAGCTACTATTTCAGGCTGGGTTTCGAAAATCCCATCACAACTTTGGCGCCCGAATTTAATTTGTAATTTAGTAAAACATCGTCCTAAACAATAGAGAATCGGAGATACACTCGTAAATATTTCTGATACCCGTAAGAGCTTGATGCATCATCTGTACAACACATTTCCACTCATATTGGCGAAGTTTCTGCACAGCCCCAAAACTCCATCATGCTTACAGTTCTTAAAAACCATAGAATGCCTTTGGGAATACGGTTTTGTTTAACCCCTTAAATTTCCAAGATCTGATTGTTAATTCTCCCTTCTAGCTGATACACATTTCCTTTTAAATTAGTTATGAGAGCATGGTGCTAGATCAAGATAAATCTGGAAGTTGAAGGGTTAAGGAGGCTATACAGAAATATTTCTGATGTCATCAGTTGTCATTACTTGACCATTTAATATTGTTATAAAGTCATGAGGAAAAGTGTCTTAACCCTTTGAACTTTCCACTCTCAAGATCTCATTAATAATTCTCCTTACTGTCTGCAGTACAATTCTTATGATGTGAGTTTGGAGAATTTGGTTTTGGATCAACTACTAATTCGCAAATTTATATTTTTCCTTATTCTCATCACTTGTCTGTTTTATATTGTATTGATATTGTAAGGAGAAATTCTATCTTGGTCTTCACAGGTTAAATCCTAAGAGTGACCAGCATCTAATTTCTCACTGCAGTAATGCTGCTGAATCAATCATAAAGATCATGAGAATAAAGGAAATGATCACCAACCTAAGATGCTTTGATTGTTAAACAAATTCTCCTTGTCAGCACCTTAGGAAATGTATAGAGAGTTGTATGGAGAATATACTTACTGATGTAATGGTGTGAAGGGTGAACAATCTCTCTTTGTGGTCAACAGTTGAGATGCTATGATTTTCTTAGAGCAAGAGCATCTAAAGTATTTCCGAGCAATAATTTTAGATAATTGCAGGTTTCTTTCATCTACGGCCTAATGATAAATTTAATTGTTAACTTGATAAGGGAAAGTTGGTTTTCTTTATTCTTATCATTTTTTAAACGTTATTTATTATTGCCAGTCAACAGTGACATGTGTAGGCTGTGTTTCCAAGGACCTGATGAAGAAATTTTTGGAAAATTCTTAAAGGATATAGATACTGGTTTTTCAGTTCACCAGTATTGTATGGTAAGGAATGATTCCTTTACAAATTTAAAATTTTTTTGCATGTAGTTCAGCCCTCTGTCCCTTTTAATCTCCTTAACCTCTAAGAGTGACTAGAATCTAAGTTCTCCTTACATTATCATCCCTGAATCACTCATCAAGGTCATGAGAATAAAAGAAATGATCACCAACTAAAGAAGCTCTTGATTGTTAAACAAATTCTCCTTGTCAGCACCTAAGGAAATGTATAGAGAACAGTATGGAGAATATGCATACTGATTAATGTCAGTGTGTAATGGTTTAAAAGGCAGTTGTGCCTCAGTAACACTTACAATGTTGGGAACATGGGAATAGTTTGTAAATCACTCACCTCCAGCCAGAAATGAACAAACTTTTCTAGGCATGTGTTATCACGCTGGTAAACTGATGGAAAGCCCTGTCTATTGCATAATGAATTGTTTCCTGTGCAGTTTCTTTCCTCAGGACTGGCTCAGAGAGGAAAAGATGATGAAGAATTTGATGGATTTTTAATCAAGGACATAAAGAAGGAAATATCAAGGGCAAAGAGACTGGTTAGTAAGAACAAAAACAGTCCTGGTCACTTATTTGTCAGATACAGACACTCAAGTCTCCATCTTAGGCCACTAAACTTTCTTGTCAATAGCCTTGATTTTCAATCAAAGATACAGAATAACACACATCTAATGATTAATTTTTTGTAGTTTCTCTCATAATGCAGTTGTTTGACCCTTTAACTTCGTAAAGTGATCAAGATAGAACTTCTCCTTACAATATCAATAAAATATCAAGAAGAGAAGTGATGAGAATAATGAAAATCATCAATTAGGAGATTATTGGTTGATTCAAAACCATTTTTTTCAAACTCAAATGATAACAATTGTAAGGGGTGAATTTATGAATTTTTGAATGTTTAAGTGAAAGGGGTGTGCAATGTTTTTCAGCTGCTCACTGAACTTATTTCCATCTGTCACTGTTGCAGCTGAAGTATTTAATTTGAGCCTGTACCTGTGAGATTGACCACTGACCAGAAGAGCCTGCTGAGCTGCTCGTGATGAATTATTTTCCAATGACTATATTAATTGTCTTTATGGTATTGTTTAGTTTGGCTCATTTCTTTGCAGAGATGCAGTTTCTGCAGGAAGCTGGGTGCCTCTATTGGCTGTTGTGAGGGAGGATGTTGTGAAACTTTCCACTATAAATGTGGAAAAGAGAACGGAGCTCTGTTTCAGTTTTTTGATACCTTTAAGTGAGTTTATTTTCAGTGGTAATAACCTTCTTTTGCTTTGCACTTGGGCCATAAATCCAAGCGGAAAATACCCAGTCCATGACTTACAATACAGAATTTTAATTGGGTTAGTAAAAGGTTTTTAACCCTTAAACTCCTAGAAGTGATTAACAAGTAACTTCTCTCTACAATATCCTTTTACTATCCACCAAACAGGTAATGAGAACACTCAAATGTATCAGGTTGAAGTTGTTCTCTTGATCTAACACCAAATTCTTGTAACTTATTCACAAGGAAATAGAGGAGAGCAGAGAGAATTAACAATCAGATCTTGGGAATTGAAGGGTAAAACATGTAATTGTTGCTTGTGATTTCAGTAAAATAGCTTAACTTTTTGAAAGAAACTCTGCATCAGAAAGGCCAAAATTTGATGAACACTGTCAGTGGCATTTAATGGATATGTTAATGATATTTATAATGACTGTCTTGAAAGGTCGCCTCATCCATAGGAGATTTTTAGGCTAGTCCTGTCTGAAAAATCTAGGACTCAAAAAAAAAAGTGAAAAACAACTTAAGACTTATAAGAATAACTACACCAAGGTTAATCCTTTTAACTCCCAAGATCAAATTATTAATTCTCCCCTCAAGCTTCTAGACATTTCCTTGTAAATTAGTTATGAGAACATGGTGTTAGATCAAGATGACAACTTCTACCTGATAAGTTTGAATATTCTCATTACCTGTTTGCTGGATAATGTAAGGATATTATTGGGAGAAGTTTCATGTTGATCACTTCTGAGAGTTAAAAGGTTAATAAAACAGAGCTACCAAAAAACTGCAAAGTCTCAGTTTTCTGACTTAAATTACACTAAAATTCTTAAGATAGCATTTTTGAAATGGCAAATAGTTTCACTGGTCCTGATTATTAATGGTCTTGTTCCATTCTGTAAATAACAAATAAAACAAGTGTGACTGGCCCTTTGAGATACCAAAAAGATAATTTTGATGATTGTTGTGAATGTTGATTACTAAATGTAGCATCAATAGTAATATTTACCATATTTTGTCCCTTTGTGTTACACCACAGTTCTTTTTGTCGGCATCATCGCCCAACCCAGGATGTGGCATTAAAAAGAAACCAAACCTGTCCAATCTGTTTGTGTGAAATAGAACAGAAGAATAAGTCACCTGTTTATGATATTCCCCTTGTCACACCTTGCTGTAGAAGGACGTGGTTTCACAACAAATGTCTTCAGGTACAGAAAAATCCTTTTTTTTCCAATTTTTTTCTAATTTATAATTTTCACAACTTATTGCCAAACTCCACATTTTCGTCAATTTGTTGTTTTTTTTTTTTTTTGCACATCATTGATTGACAAGGTGACCAAAGAATCACTCTGATTTTCAAATGATCCTGGCAGAATTACTCATTAGAAAAAAAAATCTATCTGTATATGAATAACTGTAACTTGTTGCACAATCTAGATGCGACGGAAGTTCAGATTGTCACCAAGGAAAAAACACAATCATATAAAAAAAACACAATTATATGAGTATTTAACCATTTTACCACCCTGGGATACATCTGCAACTTAAAACCTTTAAATTCAAATGGAGTAATAATATGCTAAGACACCTTTTCTGGGAAACGTTTTGTTCAATTTATGATCACACTTATAGGTTTTCAATATTTTTCCTGTAGAAACATGCAAAGTCAAGTGGGTTGTATTACTTCCGTTGCCCAGTTTGCAATAATTTGGAAGAATTTCAAGAAGAAATGAAGCGAATGGGAATTTTCATACCTGATCAGTAAGTTTTAGTTAACCTGTTTATCAACCCTTTCCCTCCCAAGATCTCATTAGTAATTCTCCAAAAAGACTGTCAAACAATTCATATGATTTTAGTGCTGAGAATTTGTGATTGGATCAACTAATAATCTCCTAATTGACATTTCTCTTTATTCTCATCAAAAGGGTTAAAGGGTTAACTCTCATGGGTGACTGAGACAGAATGTTGGTTTTTAACATCAATACAATATCAAGCAGACAAGAGATGAGAATAAAGAAAAATATTAATTTAAGGATCATTAGTTGATCTAATACCAAATTCTTCAAGACAACATCAACAGAATTGTATGACATACACTAAAGAGAATTAATACTGAGATCTTGGTAGTGGAAGGGTTGAAATGATCTCAGATTAATTTCATGTCAGAGAAGTGAATGTTCACATAATATATTAAAGGACAGAATGGATTATTTTATGTAAAAGATTCCAAATGCATAGAATACGAGTAATTCCTCCTTTTTGATGATGTCGGGGAAAAAATGGTGATTGTGTGCTACAGGGATCTTTGGTTATAGTCTACCAAATTCATAGATTGTGAGCATTAGTCCCTGAAAATCTGCTATTAGTGTTGGAAAACTGACAAAGGATATTTTTGTAAAATTATTTACAGGGATGCTAGTTGGGAAACAGAAGATGCCTTTGTTGACCTTCTTTTTCAGTACAGTCGCTGTGATGCAAAGAACTGTGTCTGTCCCAATGGCAGAGAGTATAAGGAAACATCTGGGTATAAAACACTTAAATTCTCTTGTTTTTAGTGGTGTATTATACATTAAAAATTCTACTTTGATTTAAAACTTTCATTGAAAATAGTGCAGTCAAGAGCCATTGGATTAGTCTATTAGCAATCAATGACAGTACCTAAGCAACTGGACACCTACCTCCCATAACCTATCTATAACCCTAAATAGTTATCAGTTGACTGTTATTGGGGTAGGGGAGGGGTAGGTGGCCAGTTGCTCAGATACCAACATTGATCCATGTAAAGCTAAAGCAGTGGATTTTTGGGGAACCTTTTGTATTTTACATTATATCAGTATTCCAAGCTCAAGGTATTTCAAACGTACCATTTGGCACCTTAAAAAAAACAGAAAACAACCTTCAGAGATGAAATTTAGTCAACAGAGGAAAAAAAATGATGGAACAATGGGAACACTTTGTGTAATATTGTATGGTTGAAAAATGGCTGAGCACACTACAAACCTTTGAAGTAAGCAATGTGGTTGTTTGATGTTAAAGGTTCATCAGTTTACTTCAACTTAAGATCAGTAACATGCAATGTTAGAGCCTGCTTCTTTTCCACAAAACACAGGTCACCAATTGGGCAACTTTCACTGTAAATTTAGTTGCCAAAATTGTTTTAAACTTGTGGTTGCCATGGAAATGTTTTTTGCTTGGAGGGCTCAATACATTTACAGTATTGCTGCTCTAATTTCAGAAAATGGCGCCTGCGTTTGTGTGACACCTGTGGCCAAACTGGCACCCATCTGAAGTGTCAACGCTGGAAGAAATCCCCCGGAGAATGGCATTGTCATGTATGTGGACATAGTGAGCCTCAATTGAGTACACGGCAAAGACAAATAGGGGATCATTCCATGAACTATTTAAGCCATGACGATGATGATGATGCATGGGAATCACCAACAGAAGACTGTGAAGTCAATGTGTGTTCAGTGTCAGATGATGAACCTCCTCTTGCTGAGATCAGAAATGAGTTAAACTGCAGAAGAGAGACACCTTTACCTGAAGATACTGTTGTGAAGAAGCCTAACATGGGATCATCTCCTATGAGGAAACGTCTCAGAATTTCCCTTCAAAGATCAGATGATGAAGACGAAACAATTGAACAAAAAGGAGAACGTACAATAGAACTTCAAGAAACTCCTGACTTTAGTGGCCTTCACCTTGGTGACAGTTCATCATCGATGACATCTAGTGTTCTTCTTACTCTCTCTGGTCTTATCACAGGGTCAGCGAGGGAAAATCTTCAAAATGAATTTGAACTAATTGGTAAAGAATCTATAGAATCTGATTGTTCATCAGATGCAAGTGTTGAGTTTGTTAAGGCAGTGAAAACAGATAAGGAACATTTTGACAGTGAAGCTAATGTCGACAGATCAGCACCAGTTCTCCCTAACACAAGATCTGCACAAGGTGGTAAGGTGCCGAGAAGAGCATGTTTCCGAGAAGTAAAACAAGATTTGTCCTCAACAACATCAAAAGCAGTTATGAATTTTGTGGAAGCAGAATCTTGCATCATTTCTGTGAGGACTGAAGGAAGAGAGTCCACATCAGTTGTGAATTTTTCAGTTGCAGAGAACAAGGAGGATAGTGATGAAGATTCCTGTTGCATCACTAAAGTAGTGAGAAAGTTGTGTCCTTTTGGAAATGACAAATGTGGGCTGAAATGTGACCTTGATTGCTGTAATTCTGTAGTGCGCCACATTTATCAGTCTCCATCACCATCAGCAGTGTCAATGGGTTCATATGTGCACAAAGACTTACAAAGTAAGACATTTGATAGTTCCAGTACTTGTGGTAGTACAAGTCATGTCAAAGGGAACAAAGGCAAACCTGTAGATAAAAACAAACTCTTTGATACAACAACCACGGAGGCAGTTGAGGAAGACAGGGCTAGTTTTATCTCTGTCGGCACCAATACCTTGCCTTTCAAACCATGTGTGAAGAAAGATTCTCTTCACAAGGTAGCCCCAGATGCTGCAACTACTCAAAGGAAAAGAATTAAATTGAGCACCAAGAAGTCTAGCAAGCGTCTGAAAAGATTTGCTGCTGTCCAGGATGAAAAAGTAGCTTTGAGTCACAAATGCTAACACAGACATCTAAAACAATTTACTAGTAGTAATTTTATTGTATAGTCAGAGGAGTTTGTGTCCCTGTTGCATTTCCTTTTTAACCCTTAACTCCCACGAGTGACTAAGACAGAATTTCTCCTAACAATATCAATAGAATATCAAGCAGACTTGTGATGAGAATAAAGGAAAATATCAATTAGGGGATTATTAGGTGATCCTATTCCAAATTCTCTGAACTAACATCATAAGAATTCTACCACAGACAGTGAGGAGAATGACTTGTTAGATCTCATGAGTAAATGGGTTTACATTTTCACACCTAGAAGTGACCAATTTTTAAGCAGAAAGGGGACTAGAAGAAAGACAAATATCAACTCTGGGGTATTGCTTGATTTAAAACCAAATTCTCAGAGCTAAAATCAGCTCAGATGTAGGGCAGATAGTAGGGAGAATTGATAATTTATATCTTCAGAGAGATATGGTGAACAGTTGATTTGATCGAACGATAGGACAAACACAAAGTTCCTGGGTCTTCAAACAAATTGGATCCTTGTGAGAAGTCAGAGGTCCAAATCACTCGCCAAGTTCAATAGGAGGAACATTGCTCTGGGTAGAATTAAACACCCTTTACACCCTAACATCAGTATGCATATTCTCCATACTGTTCTCTATACATTTCTTAAGGTGCTAACAAGGAGAATTTGTTTAACAATCGAAGCTTCTTTGGTTGGTGATCATTTTCTTTATTCTCTTCATCTTAACAGATGATTGAGCAGTATTTTTGCAAGGAGAAATTAGATGCTAGTCACTCTTACAGTTTAACCTTTAAAGACCAAGACAGAAATTCTCATTACAATAGAGAATTTGTTTAACAATTGAAGCTTCTTTGGATGGTGATCATTTTCTTAATTCTCGTGATCTTGATGGATGATTCACCAGTATTACTCTAAGGAAAAATTAGATGCTGGTCACTCTTTTGGTTTTAAAGCATCAATGGGAACTGTTGAAGGGACTTGTCTCTCTGGGAGTGCCAATTTAAACTGGGAATATTTTTCCCCTTGGATTATAGAAGAATTTTTAACTTACCAAGTACTGTAAAAGAACTGTCTATGGAGTTATGTGTTTACTCCTCAACTAAAACTTCTCTTTTTAACTCTGTGTAGAATTCTTAATCAATAGTGGGGCCACTTTTATAGGGAGTTGCCATATGTGTTGTGATTAATGTTCACAGTTGTTGTACTTCATTTTACTCTGAAATATTTTTATTGGTTTTTATGCAAAATTAAAGAAGCAATGATCATACAAACAATTGTGCATTTGTTGATAAGGCAATGGGTAATACTAAATTTCATAAGGCCAGCCAATCAACCCCTTCCCCCCCCTCCCCCCAGAAATTTTAAACCCTACAACTTCTCCTTATGACATCCAGGCATTATCCAGAAAACAGGAAATGAGAATACTCAAACTTATCAGGTAGAATTTGTTATCTTGATCTAACGCCAAATTCTCATAACCTCTTTACAAGGATATGTGTCTTACAATTGAGGCCAAATGTATCTCAACACAAAATTGATTTGGTTTACAAAATTTATTATGAAAAAAATAAATATGTACATAAATTACATTAATATTTACAACAAATGCAGAAACCTCCCTGAGTCAAATTGTTTAAATGTTATGTAAATCTTACACTAAAAACCTACAAAAAGCCTTGCTTAGGGTCTGTCTGAAAGCAATGTGATTTTATTTATAATGTGGTTTCATATCTTTTTTGGATATTTTGCCAGAAAAGCGAAACTACTTGAACCGGTTCACTTTAATCAAAAAAAAAAAAATTATAGAAAACACGATAAATGAAAAAAAGAAAACCTGGTATACTACCAGTGTATTCACTAAAAAAAAAAATTCACACAAAATAGAAAAGCGATAAAAACATACGCATGGAGAGAAAGGATGAAACTAACCAATCATGAAATGAAAAAGTTTCCTGAGAGGTAGGTTTGACGGGAAGATTTGTGTTTTTACCAGGTTTTGATTTCGTTTGTTCTCAATAAACATGTTCATTGGTTCATTTTTCTTCATTTCGATCCGGTTCAAATAATCTCGCTGCTCTGCTTCACAGAATGTTTGCCTTCATTCACGATTTGAGTTGTTGGGCTGTAATTATCACTGAGCTGGTTACCTCACAGTTATTTTGAATAGTAAGTGGTTCTAATAATTTCTTTTTAGTTTTTAATTGGAATTGCTGAGGCCTAAAAAATTAGCTTACACTTAGACTGACTATTGCTTAGTAAATTACGTGCCTTTTGCTCACCTGCTTCTGTGGTGTTATTTGCTGAGAGGAACAACGCGCGTAGCTGACAGTTGTTGTTGTTGTTGATGGCTTCAGCCAAGTGCTGTGCTCCAATGTCTGAGATGTTATTTTGTATGAGGTATAACATGCGTAGCTGACAGTTGTTGTTGTTGATGGCTTCAGCTAAATACTTTGCTGCTTCATCTGTCAATTGATTTCCTGTGAGGTCTAACCAGCTCAGTTGAGATTCCCTACATTTTAACAATTTACAAATCTCCTTACAACCTAATGGACCAAAGAAATTGTAACTCAAATCTAAATGTGAAATTTGTTGAACATTAATTACATTTACTAACGAAGAGTAATCAACAGCTGTGAGGTGACAAAAAATAAAATTTACACAATTAAAGTTAATTTGTTGAAGTTTTCTCTGTGCTTCTGACTTCATTCTACTATTTTCGTTTAAACATTTCATTAATGTCACTGCTAAATATCGTTCGTCAGAAGTCGGCCAGCAGGTCACTTTCGTTTTCTCTTTATTCTCTGGCCACTGTAAGTTGTAGCGTCCGCCTTCTTTTTCTTCAGTTTTCACAGGAAGAAGGTCCGTGATAATTTCGCTTGGTAGGTGAGTTTTATTCTCCATTAATCCTGCTACAAACTGAAAAACCAGCTGCCATTTGCCTTTCTTAATGTTCATTTGAACGAAGGTTTTTAATTCTGTTTCACTCATGTTAGTTAGGTGCTTCGCAGCGAAAAACTCCTGCATTGTGAGATGAATAAAACAGAACTGTCCTTCGCTACTAAACGAGTCAACTTCACGGTCGGGTAAGCGGTGAAATAGAGCGCTGTCCTCCATTCCGCGTACTTCGTTTGCTCCAAAGATCAGCCTTCCTTCTTTAATTCCTTCAAATGCCAAGTTTTCTAGTTTCTCCAATTTTTTTTCCTCTTCGGGCGGCAATTCATCTGATTCAAAGTCTTTGCGAGTGAAAGGTTCATAGCGAAATTCTTCGTTGTGTCTCAAGTAGAAAATTTTCACGGCTCTCTTGTATATACCTGTTAAACTTGTTGGTAGGTTAAGACGTTTAGAAGCATGGAACTTCACCATTTTAAAGAGACTTGAGCAAATGATGAAGCAGCTCGCAGGAATGTAACATAGAGATAAGATATTGATGTTGCTGGTGATGTGACGCTTTACTGCGTCGCCTGCTTCCTTGTCTTCTTCAGCAAATTTGGTTACATATTCTTCGACTTGTTCGGATGAAAAGCCAAGGATCTCAAATATTTTGTCAAAACGAATACTTTCGATGCATGACAGAGCTGTAGGTCTTGTTGTAGTTAAAACTGCTGCCCCTTTGAGAAGTATTCCAGTCGTTAGTTTGGCATAAAGAGCCGAGAGGGGCATCTTCTCGTCTACGCTGTTTTTGAATTGAGGTTTCTTATTTTCCGTGCCGATCTTTGAGTTATCTTTGAATTCATCAATTCCATCGAAAATAAGGAGAACTTTCTGCGGGTTTTTTAGGATGTAATTCCAGACTTTCTCATCCAGCTCGGGTGAGTATGTGGAGCGGGTCAGTAGCTCTCGAAGGCTAAGGTCGGTTGCAGCGTTGAATAATCTGAATTTGACGAAGAAAGCAGCATCAAAGTGGATTTTGTCATCGCGTGTTTTATGGAATACTTTGTTAGATGCCCAGTCTCTGAGAATTTTTGTACAACAAAGAGTCTTTCCGATTCCGGGACGACCGACGATCAAAATGTTTTTGTTTTCGTGATTAAGAATGTCCTCTGGCCCTCTCGGTGTTTCGTTTTTAACACCCGACCTGGCGTAGATTTCCAAATTCTTCCGTCTGTCTTCAGTAAAGTCATAATCAGCCATGTCAGGTACAACAACAAGGTTTGTGTAAATTTGATCCAGAGTCAAATGTTTGGGTGGGTGTCCTTTGCCAAGAGGACTTTGAAAAAGCGACTGAAGTTGTGGGGGTCGATAAGTGTCGTCCATAATCATTTTCTTTGTATTCTGGATGAATTCCTGAAGCGGTAATGCTTCTTGCTGTTGAGATTCTTCGGGAGGATTCAGAAGAGACGTTTGAAACCTTGAGTTTTGCATAAATTCCCTTTCTTTGCATGCTTTTATAAAAATGTAGACGATTTCAATCAGAATGCCGACGACAAAAATTCCATTTACCACAAGGACAGCGTCCATCCAGGCGGCTTTTTTTACCGCTCGTTGATTATAACAGTCGTGTGAAGTAGAGTGTTGGGCGTTGTCAGATGAATACCCCGGCTGAGTGGTTCCATCGGTGGTTAAATAACAGTGAAACTTTGAAGAAAACTTCAAAGGATAAAGCAACTGAGTTTGTAGGATGATGAAAACAACTCCTAAAACAAGTCTTGTGGATAGTTGACAGCAGTAAGCGATAAAAAGCTTCTTTCCCGTTGATAATGCGCTCTCTTGATCGTGCGACTGTCTCTCTGGATCACCGTTGCGAATGCTTCGCGACAGTCGATTGACTGTAGTTCTTACTATTCGGGAGTAGATAACACATACAAATATAATAAGGACGAAATTCATGATTACGAAGCCATAGACAGGCAAAGCGAATTTGTTGTACTGCTCCTGGTATTTCCCGTAACATTCTCCCTGCACGAGGTGGATGTTTTTACTTTCTGCTGCGCTACAGCGGAAATCAAACCTGGGTTCGCTGTTTTCCATGTCGGCGAATATAGCAAGGAAGATGACACCAATCACGATCCAGAAAACCACTACCACAAATTGAATTTTGCCGAAAGTTTTTGGCTCCAAATATTCTAATAGATTAATTACAGGCATTTTTTTAGTTATTCTGTAACTTTCGTTTGAAGACTGATTTCTCCGAATTAATGAATTGCTATTTTGATCATATTATATTTAATGAGATACAGAACTTTCGTTTGATTGGCTCTTTGAAAACATTCAATTGTCAAAAGGGCGATGGCTTATACAAGGTTTACTTGTTTACATAGGAAACAGAAATCAGACCACTAAATTAAGACGGAGACAGATATGTGTTATTTCAGAAGATGCGCTTGACCTCCATTCATCCATTCGCCCCCATGTGCTCTTTTTCACTCTCTTACACTGTGAACTTCAATTAATTTTCAGCGCGGTTATTTTGCAGCTTAAAGACTGCCAAATTCTAAGCTACCAAGTATCGCTATTTTTTTTGTGGTATTTACTTCAAAAGAGATTTGTATTTCTTGCTTAGAAGCTTAAACACCTGGGTGTGATGCAGGTCAGTGATTTCTTTCTTTAACGCCAGTGGGAGACGTGATGAAAGAAACAATTAGTCTGTTGACTCTCTAAGATTAGATAACGTAATGATGAGGCAAGAATTTCCGCCTCAAGAAAAAACTTTAAATCATCGAATTTCCGCTTTAAAACGAGTCCGCAAAACTAGTCCATACTGGCTATGACCTGCCTAGATTGGTAACAACAGAAACCAAAACTATAAAAAATTATTTTTGCCGTTTTATTTCGTTGTAGCTCTTCACTTCGCCTTGCCAAAAATTCCGTGGCATGTGAAGAGCACGCGGTGCCAAATCCGTTTGGCCGGACGTGATCAGTTGTGCACGGGGTTAGGAGGGCACTGTAATTAACTGATAGATTTGGCGCCAGATTGATGCTTGGCGGGAAGATCTAAGAGCTTTAAGACAAATATCGCGACAATAGCGAAGAGTGCTAATGACGTCAAGAAATTTTAATTTCTCCCTCGTGACTCAGACAAACACTGTTCGATTCTTACTAAGTGTGACAAGTAATACGTAAACGGATGGAGGGCAGTTCGCTTCAATCTTTTGCGGTTTTGATGGCTAGACAATGTTGTTAGAAAACCAAACCAAAGAATTTCACGAGACTTTCTGAATGAACAACAAAGCTCTTAATCATAATGCTTCCTATCAACTGAATTAACCTCCGACTGCGTTAGCCAAAACAAAAACTTCCATGTGGGTCCAAAGGAAAGTCAGAAGACAAAGTGAACATGTCCACTTAAGTTGGACAAGGCCACAAAAGTGATTCAAAACAAAAACAAACGGCTGCTTTCCATCAAGGTTGGAAATAGGCCTTTAGGTACACGGGCAGACCACCTTTGGGGTGTGTTCAGGAGCTCCTGGTGTGATGACCTTCTTTTTCAAAAACTCATGCATCGGTTTTCATCAGGGTTCCAAACACGAGAAAACTGTTGAAACCACGAGGCCGCAGGCTGAGTGTTTTTATTGTTTTACTGTTTGAGAATAGCTTCTCAATCGCGCCCCAGGAATAAAAGAAAATGGAAATATTGACGAATTTTTTACACGTCGGCAAGTTTGTTGTTATGAAAAATTGTATTGTTACGGTGATTTGTCTTTTCAGACGCAGAGGGTACTGGTGAAATTGGTAATTCGAAGAGTTCTTTTAATCCTTTTATGACCTCTGCCTACTTTAAGAACTGTAAAATAAATAGAGAATGATGTGGGTTTTTTTTGTCCCTCAGTGTACGAGGTCTGTATACACTGAATCAAGAATTTCAAAAATCAAACAATAAAAGAAGCACTTTTTTGAGTACTGTTGCAAATGGCCTTTTAAAAATAACACATCAAATGAAAGCAATCATTTTCCCTTAGTTAATCCTGACCCCAACAGTCAGTGGCATCTAATTTCTCCTTAAAATATCACCCCTGATCACAATCCAAACAAGTTCTTGATTGTTAAACAAATTCTCCTCGTCAGCACCTTAGGAAATGTATGAGAATAGTATGGAAAATGTACATACTGATGTTAGTGTGTAAAGGGTTAATGCATCAACACACACAACAGCCAGTTTGCAATGAATCATGGGATGAGATTAGCAATCACGAAAATAAACAAAAGGCTTCTACTTTAACACTTTAACTGCCAGGAGTGACCAAGACAGAATTTCTCCTTACAACATCAATACAATATCAACCAGATAAGTGATGAGAATAAAGAAAAATATCAATCTGAGAATAATTAGTTGATCCAATACTAAATTCTCTGAACTAATATTAAAATAATTTTATGGTTGACAGTAAGGAGAATTACAAATTTGGTCTGGGAGTTAAAGGGTTAAATAAACATACTGTAAAACCTAATAAATACAACACAAACAAAGGAAATGCTTATGGTCCAGTCTTTTAAATTTTACCCGTAAAACATCTCTTTTGACGTAGAAGTCTTCATCTCACTGAAAATAAATTTAATTTAACCCTTTTACTCCCAAGATCTGATTGTTAATTCTCCCCTCTAGCTGCTACACATTTCCTTGTGAATTAGTTATGATAACTTGATGCTAGATCAAGATAGCAGCTTCTACCTGATAAGTTTGAATATTCTCATTACCTGTTTGCTGAAGAATGTATGGATATTGTTGGGAGAAGTTTTATGTTAATCACTTCTGGGAGTTAAAGGGTTAAATATGACGATGTTTTGAAGTAAGCTAGCTTTAATTCATTTTCAATACTTAGCACTTTGTTCTTAAATTGATGTGTAAAAGTAATGTGTAAAATCAATTTTAATCCAAGTAGTCATCAAATGAACCCTTACGGCCTTTCCCCTGTAAAAACTGTTTTGCTCCCTCAATGGAATCCTTCATGATTTGCAGTTTCACTCCTTTGAAGTATTCATATGTCAGAGCATCGTAAAAGGAATCTGCATTGAATGTGGCATAGAAAACAGATTTGCGGTCTGCACATAGTGCCTCTCTTGGAAAGCGAACCAACATTTTTGCAAGTTTGAGAGCTTCTTCAACTGTTTCTCCTTTGGGAACATCTCTGTTAGCAAGGCCAATGCTAAGAGCTTCTGTTGCATGTACAGCACGGCCTGTCATGATCAGGTCTAACGCGCGTGAAAGACCAACAATGTATGGTAACCGCACTGTACCTCCATCCACTGTAGGCACACCTTTGTACAATTATAATATCATATGTTAAAAATGCTGTTTCGTCAAAGCAAAAAGGTACGGTCTGTACTCAAACCTATTCACCCACCCAGCCAGAGCTAATTATCGCGGTTGCATGAAGTAACTACAGTATCACTACTTCCCCCTAGATGGCAATATCACTACTGCCTTAAACAGTCGCACACTGCCACTGTACTAAGCCCTTTTGCCACAATTATAGAAGATTTTTTCTTTCAAAGTATGCTAAGGGCTGCATAGGTTATCTGTTAATGCTTTTTATTACCAAATCTTCTGTTGAACATTCCCATGACTGCATCTTCTGCAACAACTCTGAGATCGCACATCAGTGCCAACTCCATTCCTCCTGCAACTGCATGTCCCTCAATGGCACCAATCACTGGTTTAGTGAGTTTCAATCGAGTTGGGCCCTGGACAGAGAGTAAAAACATCTATAAATTATCAGTGTGCGAGATCCCTTGTAGACCTCTCACCAGCTTGCATTGTTCAACACCTCATACTTTCCTTGTATTTGAAGAAATATTTGTGCCAAATCCCCAATATTAAGGGCCTGTTTCTTTGCCATGACAAAAAAGGACAGGGATTTTAATTAAAAGCTACTCATGTCACCTTGGGTGATCATGCATCTCACCAATCAGTAATCATGCAAAAAAAATCATTTTTCAAGTTATTGATCTGTTTTCACAGATTTTTACCTCAACACTATGTGGTATGATTTCAATTATTTTCAACTCAATGGAATCAAAAAAGTTCCTATTGTGTTTTAAATAATTCTTCAGAGCTTGCTCTCAAGGTGGACCTCTGAGTTAAAACAAAGAATGGGGAGTTGAGGAAAGGAGATGCAGAATGGAAAATGAGGAATGGGAATTGAAGAATGGGAAACTGAGAATGGGAAAAAGCGAATGAATACTGAAAAATGATGACTGAGAAATGGGGCCTGACCCTTCTGTGATAAAATACCACTGTCCAGTTGTTCAAAGAGCTGATAATACTATCCATATTGTACTCCTTTCTCTTTGGGAATTCTCTCTGTGTTTATATTGGCATCCAATTTTACTCACAAATTAGCATTGTTAATTGGGATAACATGGTTTTAAGGGTTTTTTAATGGCAATATTTCATGGCTTAATTGTTCAGCAAAGCTATTCTCTTGAAATAGTCATCGGATGAAAAAAGGATAACAGGAAAATATCCGAAATATTCCAATATGAAAGAGTTCTTTTTTTTCTTCCATCATCGTCCCTACAACTGCACCAGTGGACAAACGATCAATGAATGCAATACAAAACAAACTAGAAAAAAAAAAAAAAAAATTTATTTAAAAAAAAGAATTCTTTAGAATTCTATAGAAAGCAAAAAAAAGATGCCAAGTGTTTGCATAATTTCAAATCATTTTTGTATTTCGTATTTTGAGTGTCTGTCATAAACGTAAACATTGTAACGCACCATGGGACCGTCTCCTTCTCCAGGAGGGGTGAGCGATCTCAGGAGCTCATCAGGACCCCTGGTAGATAGATATTCTAGATCATATCCTGCACAAAACGTATCTCCTTCCCCACACAACACAGCCACTGAACTTTCATCGTCGATCTCGAAATGTCTAAACGCGTCTGCGAGCTCTCTCGCGGTCTCTGCATCAACCGCGTTGCGCTTCTCGGGTCGTGCAATCGATACAAGCAAGATCTCTCCATCTTGTTTAGTCTCGACAAGACTGCTGTTAAACCTTCTGGCTGCAGCTGTCAGAGAAGGAAGTTTTAGAGCGCGCTGTAGAAGAAGAAGAGTGAGTGTCATCTTCCTGATCAAACCCAGGAATCCGGAGTTAAACCTGGGACGGGAAAGTTTCTAGAGCAACTGTAAACCAATCAGATTGTTCCATTTTGAGTCTTCGAGAAAACATGGCGGTGTGTCATCACTTACATCGAGCCAATTTTCTTCAAATGCGTAGAGATCCTCCTGCAACATATTTTTCCTCGCGAAAACGAATGATGACAAGTCAATGAAATGAGGGGTTCCAGAGAAGAAAAAGCGGATTCAGCCTCTTCGGGTGAAGATGAGGAATCATTGAGAGAATTGGTGAGTTTTAGCAAAGTTTAAACATTGAAGACTCCTGTTTGGGAAATTTGTGAACTTTTCTCGCAGATGCGGCAAGGTCTTGTGGCTAATTCTCGTTAGGGTTGCATTCTATTTTAATACTTGTTTTGGGTTTTTCTTGAATGATGCTTTGTGTTGTTTTGATCGATATAGATTAATGAACATCGCAAACAACAGTTGTTTACGAATTTGCGGATAGCTCTGCATCAAACTTTAAACATCTTGTTCCACACAACTGAGTCCTGACTTATTATAATCACAATAATATATCCAGATGTTTCCTTTTTAAACCCTTTTCCTATTTCCCTTTTAAACGATTACATTGATCCATTAAATCAGATTTTGCACCTGACATTTTAATATTTCAAGCCATTTGTACAATTGTAAATTCACTTAAAAATGGATCACATAGAAAGGAAAAATATTCGATAATAGCAATACGAGCTGTCGCGATTAAAGAAGGTGAGTTTGTCATTGAAAATTGTCAGCTGGCCACATGATTCGTTTCGTTTTGAACTTAAATCAGATTTTGCTACCTGACACTTGTTTTGGGTTTTTTTGAATGATGCTTTGTGTTGTTTTGATCGATATAGATTAATTTTCAAACAACAGTTGTTTCGAATTTGCGGATAGCTCTGCATCAAACTTTAAACATCTTGTTCCACACAACTGAGTCCTGACTTATTATAATCACAATAATATATCCAGATGTTTCCTTTTTAAACCTTCCTTTGCTCTATTTCCTGCTGTTCCAAGGTATCGATTACATTGAATTAAATGGATCACATTTAAATTCTCAAGCTCATTTAACAATTAAGCAAAAAAGTAAATTCACTTAAAAATGGAAAAAATAACTTAGAAAAAATATTCTTATTTATGCACTAATAGTAATACGAGCTGTCACGATTAAAGAAGATGATCAGTTTGTCATTGAAAATTGTCAGCTGGCCACATGATTCGTTTCGTTTTGATAACCAGACATGCAACACAGAAAAAATATCATAATTTCTGCACTAATTAATAATAATACAAGCTGTCATAATTAAATAAGGTGAACAGTTTTTCATTTAGATGTGCTAGCTGGCCAAGTAGTTTGTCTCAATCACCTAAAATGCAACATGGAAAAATTACAGTAATACAAGCTTTCATAATCAGGGAGGTGATCACTTTGTTATTGAGATTTACCAGCTTTGCATCGAGATTTACCAACCCAGAGGAGTATGAAATTTTCAGGTTTTCAAAATCACCTGCTAGACTCCTAACATGGCAGTTGGGTCAAACTCCTGACCTGAAATCAGTGGGTAAATGTCAAAATCCCCATCCAGGGAGGGCTCTCCCAATCAATTTCCAGCAGGTAGCTTGCCCCCCCACCCCACCCCACCCCACCCCACCCCAATCCTGGGGCAAACCATCGGTAGGTGCATTTATCAAGCAGTATCACTCACCAAAAGGAGGTGGAGGGGGGTGGAATGGGAAGGTCCTTTTAGAAGAGAGAAGAGGTCTGCTAAAGGTCTAGCAATTAGTGCCAGACCCCTGATAAGCATCTCCCCACTCCTCTCAAATCTTCCTTCGGGCAGAAAAACATGCTTCCTACAGCACTGTTAATAAGGGCTTGCTCACAGGCAAGCAAATGATGAGATGTTATTTGCTCTGCATATTTTTTTCTGATGTGATTGGGTATTTTTGTTTTGTTTTGTTCTTTGGGAAAGAAACAAGCAATTCAGGCAAGCAGTAAAGGAGCAAAAAAGACCAAAAACAAAAGTCAACTTCATGAACTGGTAACTGATTTTATTTTGTTTAGCATCACTGCACTCATGCTATGCACAAATAAAATTAGACCCAAAAATGAAATAAACCTTTACACCCCAATATCAGTGAGCAATTATTCTCTATACTGTTTTTCACACATTTTTTAGATGCTAATTAGGAGAATTTATTGAACAATCACTTACTTTCTTTACTGATATTGTAAGGAGTAATTAGGTAATAGACTCTCACAGAGGTGGTAAATTGTGAGCTCTGTTATTGAGAAGGCAACATGTTATTAGAACTCATAGAGAAATTTGTGATTTGTATATTGCCGCATAACGCTGTCAACATTGCGGTAGAACACCTGTCACATCATTTGAACATGGTAGTAGCCTAGTTCACCAGGAGGGTCTCTATAGCTCAGAGGTAGAACAGTACAAAACAAAATCTAGAATTCTGAGGTTTTTTGTCATAGGAGACTTTGCTTTTTTCTTTTCCCCATTGTGATCAATGAATAACATCTTTCTTTTTAAAACCCTGTGACCCCTAAGAGTAACTAGCTTCTAATTTCTCTTGAGTAAAGACTTGATTGTGGCAGTAAGGATACTTAGAGAAAAATTATTTTGTATCACTGTTTTTTGTATCCTTACAATATTTAATATCAACCAGACAAGTAATGAGAATGAAGAAAAATATCAATTTGGGGATAATAAGTTGACCAAGACAGTAAGGAGAATGACAAATTTCTTCTGGGAGTTAAATGGTTAATGCAATTTCTGTTATAAGTAAATTATCAATCAAAAACACAAGACATAGTGATAATTTAAATTTCCCTTTGTTCAATGTTTTGATTCCACTATGAATATGAAACACTCTGTTCTCCCTTACTTTGAGAATGACAGGTAAAAAAACATTTCAAACCAACTGAGTGTTGAATTTTCAAGAATTTCAAGCAATTTTAGGCAGTAGTAAGAGATTATTAAAAGCTGTAAACCTGAAGAGGAGAACTGTGGAAACATCATAATGACAGTTTCATCAAATCATTTTAACTGTATATAATTACTGCACTTGGTTTTTTCATTCAGTTCCATGTTACTGTCCTTTGTTTGAAAGTCTCACAATGAAGCACAGATCATACCTTCAAAAATACGTTTAGTTGTGGTGAGATAAATGAATGTTTAATTTCTTGCTGATATTATTGTCAGCATGATATACAACTAAATATCCATTCAATGGACATGTTTTAGGGTACTAATTAAAGAACAAAAGCATTTTATATTTGATCATCCAAACCACTTTAAAAAAAGCTTTTGTTTAAGAATAACATTATTTTGAAATAATTGTTTTTTCTGTGAGTTATCTTGAACTTCTTTGTAGTTTTATTCTTCATTTCTGTAAATGTACCAAAAACCTTTTTTCTGTGGTGCAAATGTTTTGTCTTGTCTTCAGGATGTATTTTTTTCTCAGAACAATAATTAAAATTATTGCTTACCGAGTAGAACCAATCTTTTTTAATCTATTTTTGGTAGTACTGATACTATGCTACATTGAGGTGTATGTTATTTCAAAATATTTCAAAACTTCATATCACAAAACAAGATACCAGTATGTCCATGTGTTCAAAAATTACAACAGCACAGCAATGGGCAAACGTATGTTACATGGTATGTGGAGAATTTCTAATATTCAGTAAAGATGTTTCTTTAAAAGAATTTTGCTGACCAAGTTGCCAAAGACTGGAAAAGCCTTCTGATTGATTTGAAAGGAACAAAGTTTTTATCCATTGTTAAAGAAAAACTATAAACCTTTTTTAACAGGTTTAGCTAATTTTAAGTAATTTCTACTTTGATATTCTATTCATTTTCATTTTGAAAAACATTTTCACTCTCTTTATGTATCAAGAATATATGTTACTTTTTATTCATATTTGTTTTTTATAACCAACTAGGAAATTAATTAGTCATGGAGGGTCCCACTGAAAAATGCCTCAAGTTAGGTTCCCTCATTAAATATCATAATTATTGTCATCGTTATTACTACTTTCCTATTTATGACTGTAAATATATGAAAATCATAGAATTATGTGAACTGCACTGAAGAAATGAATATGAGAGCAATCTTTACAGATATGAATGCTACTTAATAGTGGAAATAAGGCCTGAAAAAAATTACAATTTACAAATTAAGTACAAGTCAAGGTTGAATTCTCAAATATTAATGGGGAACTTAAGCAAACCATGCCTCTATTAAAAAGAAAAAAACATGAAATCACCAAAATTTGCAAGGTCTAAGATTGGAAAATCCTAAAGAAAATTATTAAAGTTTCAAATTGGCAGTCAGTGCTGGTCACATATATTAGGATGAGGTTGAGGTGTGGTGCTGTGAGAGGTGGCAAACACATCTAGCCATCTGCAAAATTGTAACCAAAAATATAAATTCATGTTTTGATCAATATCTTCCTCCATGTTGCTGTCCTGGCTGCTTAAAGTCCCCAATCCATGATCCTAACAGGTAAGCTGTAATTTAAGTAATTGTAGAAAAGAAGCCTAAAAAGAGATTCAGGCTTCTTCAGGATTCAAACTTGTGCCTCCCAGAAACCACCATCTGAGCTATAAAGTCACACATTGAGAGGAAGGTACATTTAGGACAAACATCTTTGGTAGACACAATATCTAAAGTTAAAATTCCTCCATTTTAGAAATTCCCCAATTTTTTTTAGGTTAAGTGGTTGTTGGTATGGTTATTGTGAGAAATTTTGTGATTGGTAGATTTAGCTGAGTTGACTTAGAGTGATTGGTTGCTTCAACGGCCAACTGTCCAATTACAGCCAACTGTTAGATTACACTGTCCGATTACAACTGTGCAGAATGACTTGTGAAAAAGAAAGCAGTTAACTCACTAATCACAAGTTAGGAAATTATAATTATGATACTGTTATGATTACTATGGACTTCTACTTTACAGACTATCTCTGGCCTTGATGGCTGTAAGAAGTTGAAAAAGCTGTTCTTATATGACAACAAGATTACAAAGATTGAGAATATTTCTCACCTGGAACAGCTGAATGTTTTATGGCTGAACAACAACAATATCATTGCAATTGAGGTATGAATTTAAGGGTGTTCTGTTATCTGAGGGACACATGAAAAGAGGCAATGCACGTATAGTCTTGCTTTTGAGTTGTGTTCGAGCTCAGAATTTTTTTCTTTCTTCCATACACAATACAAACTCAAATTAACAGTTTTTTTTTCTTTGCAGCATAACATATACTTATTTTACAGTCTCTGTCTCTATTATAAGTCTGACTGATGTGCAAGTATTGGTCAGTTCTCTTTCAGTAAATATATGTTATATACCAGTGGAGGGAGTCCATAAAAAATTATGTGAAATAACTGATCCTCAGGTCTTAAGTAAAGCCTGAGGCAAATTGCAGAGGGTTGTACTCAAGACCAAGGTATCAGTTTTATCCCAAACAGACTGACCTAAGCTAGTGGATAACTTCTGGTTTGCTTTTTAATGCTTTGCTATGAATGGTGCAGAAAAAATTGTAAACCAAGGTTTAGCCAATCAGATTCAAGGATTTAAGATTCTGACCTGCTGTGATGCCTCAGAGAAAATAAGAAGTAACTGTATGTTTTTTTGTTTAGGGCTTAGAGAAGCTTCTTTATCTCCTTGATCTGAACTTGGCAGGAAATAAGATTACAGAAATTGGTGAGCAGTAATTGAAATTTAATGTTTCTGCATAATCATTTTCTAGTTTTGACCTCCATGCCTTCTTATTCATGATGAGGAATTACGCTTTTCATGTACAGTAAATCGCATGAATAACATTTCACTTTTCATGTACAGTAAATCGCACGAATAACATTCTTTTCTTTACCCACAGGGAATTCTCTCAATGGAAACTTAAATCTAAAAAATTTGAATTTGTCAGCAAATTGCATTTCATCCTTAAAGGTAGGTGTGCCTGAGGATAAAAATTTGTTGTGTTCTTTAACTCTTTAATTCCAGTTAGTGACCAAAACAGAATTTCTCTTTACAATATCAATACAAGATCAGGCAGACAATCAATGAGAATAAAGAGAAATATCAGTTATGGGATTATTAATTGATCCAATACTAAATTCTCAAAACTCACATTGTTAGAATTTTATTTTATTTCCATAGCATGCCCCTGGCCCTACTTAGTAGGGCGTGTTGCTTTGAAACATGCAATACTTGCTGCACAAGCATAAATCAATTAAGCTGCTTACTCAGTTCAGATCAAACATTTAATGCATTTTCTAATGGCAACTCTGTATTATAAGATGGAAGGCAGAAAAAACTGGGTCGATCAATTGCTGGCGCAGGGAATAAAAGCCTTTATGTGTATGTGCAATGGGTAGGAAGCTCTGAAGATGTGGCAGAAGCAACTGAAGTTTTTTGTTGCATTACATGTTGTAGGATCTTACAAACTTGTCACAGCTGCCATGTTTGGAGTCTCTAAGTTTAAAAGACCCTGTGTACGGGCCAAACCCAGTGGCTTTGCTGTGCAACTACTCAACACATCTCTTGTTTCATCTGCCAAACCTGAAAAGAGTGGACTCCTACAATGTGGACGATAAAACACTGAAGGAACTGGCCGAGGTATGTGAACCAAGAGAACTGGTTTGACTTTATCCACGAAACTAATCCAAGCAGTTCTATGATCTCCACAACTGTTAAGTTGTCAAGTTCTGCTGATGCACAGTGTAACAACAAAAGCGTTACCTTTCTAACTCGAAATACTTTTATTTTTGAGAGCTACGGTAGTAGTAGGTTGAAACTAAAAATTTACGTCAGAGGTCAGTTAAGTAATGAAGATAAACAAACTACAAACAAAAAATGAATTCAAACAAAGCGAAACGGCAAAAATACTTGGATTGATAACGCTTACTATGTAACTGCAAAATAGAGAACTGCGCGAAGCGCGACTTTAGGTGAACTGACTTAAAAAGTGGTTAAGCGTAAAAGAAACTGGCTTTAAATACAAGAGGACTGCGAAATAGCGTGTGGTATGAGAAACGAGCAAAAAGGTGTAACTGACGAAGAAAAACGCAGACAAACTTACCAAGAAAAAATTAGGAAAATATTTAGAACTTAAGTATGAAAAAGTTAAGAGCTAAATAGGTAATTACAAATTACACAGAAATAATTGGCAAGCGCTTAGATCTTACATACAGGGTTCCTGGAAAACCTGGAAATTCTTGGAATTTTATTTTGAATATTTTGCAGTGACAGCATTCGCTGTTTAAGAAAAAAATTTCAGCTTTATGACAACATTATTTACATGCATATTATGTTAAGGCCCAACAGGCAGCTTTCAGCTCTCAAATTCTCTCTTCTTTTAGACCACAGTGGTTAAGAAGAAGATGTATTACAACATGCGCGTGAAGACGATGCAGAGAAACAAGGCTGACTTGCTTTTCAGACTGGAGACTGAGAGAGCAACTCTTCAGGCTGAACCCAGGAACAGAATGCTTAAACTCTTTTCAGCCGTCAAAGATGTATGTTTACAGCGATAAATAAGAAATTCTTAAACATATTGTCATACTTTTATAGGAATGTGCAAGAGGCCATTTTACAGTTGTGTATTTAGTTGCCAAGCCTTTGATTTAGAGTGAGGCTGAAGGTGACTTTGTTGTGATAGAGACCAGTATCTAGTTAGCATGATAACAAAGTAAATTTGCATTTGAAAAGCAGCAAGGTTTGTATCATAACAAGGTCAACCTTAGCCTCACTCCTGTTCAAAGGCTTGGCAACCAAGCACGCAACTGTAAAATGGACTATTGAGTTTCCAAAGTAATCCAGGATTACTTTTTTTTGATTTAATTCGCTCTGTGATTGGTCCAGAAAACTCGTGCCACGCTCTCAACCAATCAGATGCAAAACTAAAACCATTTACGACTTGGTCGCCCGCGTTTTCCCGCGCTTGCTTTTTACTTTGAGTTCTCATTGGCTCTTTAGGGTATTTTCCTTCTGATTGGCCGTTGTGATACGCTATCACATTCATCTTTAGAAGGCGACAGATTCTTTTAAGGATCGTTATGTCCCAATTTTTTTCCTCACAGATAGAGAGAGAGGTTGAGGAACAAAGAGAGGGATTGTCATCATCTTTTAAAGAAAACAAAAATCCCATAAGTCCTGTTGCAGGGGACGAGGGGAAGAAAGAAAACTTGGAAGAGAAAGAGACCCTAGCGACTGATACAATGATGTTCTTACAGACGCTGCAAAAGAAGAAGGAAGCACTGCTGAAAAGAATTTCGAAACTACAGAGACAGCGTGAAGAGTAAGAACTCTGTAAAAATGTTCGGTTCTTTTGTGTGCTCCTCGATCTAAATAATATTTCTCACAATATCACACAAAATCTCAATATTTCCACACAAGCTATATACTGAATAAATTTCTTTTCAGTGGATAATGCAGTACGTTTTGTTAACACTTATCCGCTGGACAGCGATTTATCAGTTGAATGGCTTTCTCTGCATTTCAAACATCTGGAGCCCTGGAGATTTCTGCGGCATTATTGACACCGGATCATTTGTATGTATCAGAATTCAAGGGCGTAGGAAAAAAAAAGGAATTATTTATTTATTTATCTGCTTGTTTAAAGATTTATTGGCGAAAAGCGACTTTTACACATGCAAGAGTTTTTCTCTCATTGTATTGCTGCTATTTTTCATCAAGAAGTCGTTGTGAATATTGCGCTATTCACTTTAAAACAGGAGTTTGAAACCCAGTCATCACAACGATAGTAAGAATATGAAAGGCAAAAATAAAATGATCGAAATCCACCTTTTGGCCCTTTGAAGAGGTCCGCGAAAGTATTTGAAGTCAGTGTGAAACGTAATCATTTCGGGTCAGTTTGAACTTTTGGGTTGATGAAGTGTTCAACGTCCTTTCAGTTCATTTAATATTTGAGTGCTCAAAGCCACGTCTTTAGAGGTAGCCTGTGCGGCCAGACATGTAACAAAATCGTGAAGGGCTACTTTACCTAAGCTTGGTGAATAGTACAGACTGTTAAAAGGTCAGCAAAGGAGGACCATCAGAAGGTAACTTCCTTTTTGAAAATTTAATCAAATGACTTCAATCATTAAACTTTAAACAGAAAATCATGTCCTCTTCTCGCTTTACTAGAAGAGGACATGATTTATTCGTTCTTAGGAAAAATTGTTATGAAATAAAAAAGGATGTAAAAAAGAAGCCAATTTGCTTGACGACAATTTTATTTGGAGAACAGAACTGTAAAATGCGAGGAGCACGAGGTTATTGAAGAAATGAAATTAGGTCATAGTGTTAGGGCCGTGAAAGACGTAAATCGAACGCCTAACATGCGACCCTTAAAATGCGATTAAAAAACGCGTAGTATAGCCATGGACATTACAAGTCTCGCCCTTTGCCTGTATTCACATTGTAACTAATATCAGTTGTACCAAAGGTTGTCATAAATTGTTAACGTTTTTCCATGTTTCGATTTATCAAAATTCCCCCTGAAAACATGGTAAATGGCATTTCCGAGGCCCTAAAAATAATAATTTTCTGGAGGGCATGCCCCTATACCCCCTAGCTTCTTCGGCGCTCGTTTTTCTTTTGTTTCATGCGCGTGCCTAGACCGAAAAACCAGACTACGCCCCTGAGGATTGTCGACCACGGTGGAGCCTGTAGCCCTAAAGCAAATGATATGGGGCCCTAGAACTTTGAAATTCTCTCCTCGGAGGCCTGGAGCCCTTTCTTAATTTTAAGCCCGGATCCCTGGAGCCCTAAACCCCTTTGAGAGCATGTCTAGTTGGACAATCTATATTCTCTAGGTGACATTATATTTAGTGATCTCGTTATATGAGCTGCATCTGTTTTATTTTCCTCCTTAAAGAAAATAAAATTTCATATCCCCGATTGGGAATAACTAACAGAACAGATTACATGTAATACCGTATTTACTCGATTAAACGCCGGGCTTCGAATAAACGCCGGGTCTCCAAGATGGAATGTTAAATAATCCCCTTAAGTATTTATTAGACGTATAATGTACTGCAGATATAACGGAAAGATTTATTTCTGTAAAATTTAATGAAGAAATCCATTGCTTCATGGATAAAGTGCTCAAGCAAGCTTCGGATTTCAAATAAACGCCGGGTCAACGATGCCAAGTTTAAAATAAACGCCGGGGGCGTTTTTTTCGAGTAAATACGGTACCTGCCTATTAACCAAAAGACGGAATAGACAAAGTCCGAGAACAACTAATTTATACTTAATTTCGACACTGTTTTATATAACTCGTATAAACAGTATGATTTATCAGAAAATGAAGCAAAAAATATGTTTAAACAGAACACGTTTTTCTAAAATTATTAATACGTTTTCTCGTCTTCAAGAATCATGGATCTTAAACGAATAACGCATTAACTCAGCCACAAATGTGTTTGCATTGTTTTTCATTTAAAACTGCTTCGTGTGGCTGAAAGTGCCACGTGCCGATGAGAAATAACGGTTTAAGCCATCGTGGGAAAACTGCGACCAAACTTCCTTCAATAATCACTGGCGATTAGTCCTTTGGAACGGGATTGGCCGTTGCAGGAAGATATCATTTTGTTATCTGCTTGTGCAAATTCGATTTAGTCAAAAACCAGTTGTATTGGATTTGTTTTTGAATAATTCCTCGTCAACCTTTAACTTGCCTTTTATTTCTTGTAGTTTCTTTGTTATTGCTGACGAGGATCTTGGACGCAGAGAAAAGACATTTTGATAAATTGTCACTTCTGAGCAGAATTCTATTATCTTGTGGTACTCTGCAAAGACCCTGTCCGGGGTAATATCTTGGCTTGTAACTAACAAGTACAAGAACAACGCTTCAATGACATACAGTTCGTCTTCAAACCAAATTGTACCGATGGGTTCTTCTGTTTTCTTTTCCATATATCCTTTGTCTGTCTGCTTCATATCTTTCTGAAGATCTTTTTTTGTCTCTTTCTTGGTAGCGGACCAAAGATCCCTTTTTTCTTGAGTTTTTCTACCAAACGGATTCGCGCACAAACGGCAGGAACACTTTTCATTGCAGCCTCGCAGATTACGAAAACAAGGACAGCGTGACTTATATTGTTTGCAGAATTCACTTTTCCCTGTCTTCCCTGGGTTTCCGCGACCACACGAGCACCCTGCCTCATGTTGAGGGGGAACGTCGGCCTCAACTTGCAAATGCTTGTTTGCCTCTTTGCTGGTTGCTTCAGTTGTAATTGAATTTGACTGCGTGTGAGTTACTTCAACTGCCAAATTATAGTGTCCGCTGCCACCATGATTATATGCGAGGTATATCGGAACTTCGGAAAGCACTCTTGTTCTAGGAATTATTTGTGTAATGGGATAATTTTCCATCGATGTAAAAATAACCAGCGGTATTTGCAGGATATTACTCATTGCCATTGGCACACAGTTTCCTAATTCAGAATCATAATGGCCTGGCCTAAGGAACTTCTGAGCTTCTGTATCATATGAATCAGTGGTGTTTGTTATCATAAATGGTTCGTAAAGGTGCCGATTGGGCCCCGTGAATTCTTGCACAATCAACTGTCTGAGAACGTTTATTTTATCCTCGTTAGACCTTTCCGTGCTGATACCGATCGATTTCAAGTACGTGATCAGTTTTGAGTTCCCTTGATTTATTGTTAGAAAAGAGCTTAAAGTGATGGAAATGCAACGTAGAAAACAGTCTCCATCTCCGGGCATCGGCAACTGTTGGAATTGAAATGCATTTAAAATGCTGTTTAACCTCTCGTCGCATTCTTCCGCGTCTGGCCTGGAGTAACGTGTACGTGATGAAAATAATAGAAGGCTCCGTCCAACACACTGAGTCACATTTACTTTCATTGTAGGTGCATCACATTTCGCTTGCAAATCTTGCGATAGGCTCTTCATATACATAGCATACTCCAGAACTCTATGATACGTGTCTTCTGTCGTGATCTTCACATTGTTGTCGTTATCAGTCCCATATTCCTCTTCCTCGCTACTGCTATCCCCTGTTGAATCATTTTCTCTAGCATTGACTTCCGCGCCATCTTCCAAGTCATCGTCGCTAAAACTGTTTGGATTTTGAAACACTCCAGTACCAAATACTTCTTCTTGACCCATCGACAAGTCATGGTACTCGGTGACTGGGACAGGAACTGCCGAATGACACGATCCTACCTTTTCTGATATTCGCCTTTCGTTCCACCTGTATAGGCACGTACCTATGCTTGCCACTGCTGTTTTAACACCAATTCTCCTTTTTTCTACGCCTTTCCGGAGGCTTTTATGCATCGATTCCTGTCTGCTTGTTCCTGCTTTTGGAGGGATCCCTTCCAAGCAACCTTTCTCAATATGTGCTCTTAACTTGTCCAATTGGTTACGGGCATTTTTTGAAAGTACCTTCTCTCCTGCAACTTCAAGATTCTCCCAGTTTTCCACAAATCTGTCTAAATTTGTCAACATTACTGAGCGAGAGGGCGTCGACTTCTTCCGTTCCTTCCCAATATCGCCCGGCATTCGGAAAACTAAACGAAATGAATCGAGGCACTGTCTTCTTAACGGGTGCCTTTTTTTAATTTTACTTGCGATGCGTTGTACAGCATGAAAGAGATCAAGTTTAACCGGAATAACTCCAAACACCCCTTGAAGGAGTAACCTCCAGGCGCAACAGTTGTCAATGGAAAATCCCTCTAAGGTAATTCCGCTTTTTACAAGCCTGTTCATAATTCCAACGAGTAAAGTCTTTACTCTTGCAAAACCAGTGCCTCTTGTTAATTGCCAAGCGAGGACAATGCCATCCTCGTTCATGACAGAAAACAAAGAGTCAAACTGACGAATCCAATGGCCATTTTGCCATATACCGACATTACTAGCGACCTTAAATGTGTGGTCAGAGGAGAGCCAACTGCCAGTAAACGATGCCATGCGTGCATTGTAAAGTTTTTCTTTTGTAAAATAATCGTAAACAAAGCATTGGCGAATCAGCTTCCTGTTAGGGTTTAACTGTGAAACCTGCGGCATTGTATATGCATTGTGACTCGCGTCGTTTGCTGCTTCACCCTCTGACGTTCTCATACTTAATATTTTTGATGTCCGAATGCGTACCTCGGTGTGATAACTACGCCACATCTCAGTTAAAAGTGTTTCCACATCCCTGTACCTCATTCCAGACGCAGTATGAACGATAATTAATCTGTATAAACGTCGAGTAATACCATACTTGTGCAAAAGAAGGAATGGGATCAGTTCAACCTGTTCAAACATCTTCAGAATTTGAGGGTCATGACTGATTATCCTGTGGTCATTTTTGCATGCGTACACCCTGCTTACGAGCAGAACATAATGTTCTATATCTGCAAGCCGCCTGGGACTGTTGTGTTTCCAATCTTTCCCATCTTTCCAACATCTAGGTTTCAGTATTTGGCCACAGTGAGGACAAGGTAAGCTTCCATGAAAGTACTGTAGTAATGGATCCCAGATGATAATCCCAGGAAGAAACAAGGTTTCCACGTTATTTTGGTCCACAAAATAATGAATGGAGGTTGTTGCCGTTAGCTCTCCTTTCTCATACCTTTCTATAATTTTTGATATGGCATCTAACAGGTTGGGGGATAGTGGATTACCATTAGTTTCGCATGATACGAATATCAGCACCATGCAGAGTAACAGAACGCAGTACGGTTTTCGTAAAGGTACATCCATCCTGGAAAGAGAAGAGAACAGGATAACAACGCTTATTATGGAAAACTCGTTACCGAAAGGAGCCCAGTATGTCACAATTTTTGATTTAATCACATTACTTCAGAATCCACTTGGATAGTATGTAATACATGGGTTATAACCCACCTACAGTTCAGCATTTATGGGATTTCTCTCTTCGATATCATACGGAGAAAGAGAGCGTGAATTCTATTAAATTCAAGATTTTTGGGGAAGAATCGACTCCTCCCTCTAGATGAACTCGTACATTCTGCGCACGATGAACTTGTGCGTAGCACAAGCTAGTCCTACCAATCTAAAATAGTCACCACTTTCCCTGAATGCTTTTCACCAGAGCGAAGGGGTTCTCCTAGGAGATAAATCATGTCTCGCTCAAAAACGCGAAATTAAAATAATTGTATTTATTTATTCTGGTTGCTGAACAAGTTTGACTAAAATAAATAACAATGACAAAGTAAATTCGGAGAGAAATAAACCGAATAAAAAACATAACAGGCAAAAACAAAATAACAAGCAACAGAAACACAAACTTACAGAAATTTCCCGAGAAGTATTTGGCAAATAGCGCAACAAATGTGTCATGGATGATAAGCTAAATCCGAAAGCACATTTCCCGTAGCGATTCTAATCGCTCTCAATAAATTCAAATGTCAAGTATCACTCCTTATGAATAAATAACACGCAATGACGTCCCAGTAGGCCGCGTGACAAAAAAAGAAAATTTCACAAATATCAAAACAACTAAAATAACTCAAGAATGTTACACAATGAAATCAGAAGGGTAATTCAACTCTATTTGATGCACACAAATTTAATCTTAATTAAAACGAATGCATTTTTCCTTTAGTCCATTCTCGGAGAGTTAGGAGCAGTCAGAAGGGTTGGGAAAATGTTACCACGAAAGTTTACAAGCAGTAAAGCACTTCAGTGCTTGTAAACTAACGTCGCGCGGTTTCCCGAGGATGCCTATTGCCCTTGCAAACCGTATTGTTAATATGGAGATTGTTTGCCGTTGGCAGGATTCAACAACTTTGCGGATGAAAAAAGAAATATATTTTTCCGCTAAGTTTGTCTCCAAAGGGTTCCTCAATACCCTTCAAATTGTTACTCCTTTGCCAGAATCAAACTCCGACCATGATTGGATCAAACTTATACAGTGGTACGAAATTCAAGAAAATTTTTAATCAAATTGAAAAGAACGATTGTAAATGACGCCAGTATAGTCTACTTAAAGTTCTTTTAATTTTTTTAGACCTCTGGTAAAAATTCGTTTTTTTAAAAAAATCAGATGTGGTCTACAGGGGTGGTACATGGACCAGGGGTCCATGTTTGGTATGCGTCCTGATTGAAGGTATACAACAGACAAGAGACAATTTGCCACAGACGATGGCCAATGGTCAGAGGGTTAAAAACATATAAGATCAATTTCAAGCTAAAAAGAGCAAAAGATGCTTCCATCAACGATCGCTCTTAGTAATAGATTTCAGGTCTATATCGGTGATTGCAACGATGGTAGCGATCGCAGAGATCGTAGCGACCGTAGTGATCACAAGGAAACAGGATGGTATCCATATGATTGCTGAGATCCCTACATTAGCCACGATCGCTGCGATCGCAACAGAAAGTTACATGTAAAGTTGAACGATCCTCGCGTTGACCGACCGGTTTCCATATGCCCCGCATGATCGCGACGGTAGACTAGATTGGAGTGAAGACCATCTCAGCAGTCGTATCGATCGCTTACGGAAGGATCGCTACGATTGATGCAATCGCTGAATACCACATTTACTCGAATAAGCGCCGCCCTCGATTAAGAACGTTCGTGCTAATTGTTTTTGCGCACACTACTGCGCACGTAATGCATGTCGCCATGGCACGTCAAAAAGGGGCAAATTTACGCCCTTCGCGACTGGGTATGACAAGCAATTTTCCCTCCTGAATGTTACTTTTAACCAAATGGATTGACACCAGTGACAAGTATTTACTTAGTAGGCTTGTTCAAGTCAATTACGAAACCAAAAATGCTTGCTACATCAGTTTATTTTCCTTTTTTTAACACCTGAAGCAGCCTAAGCCAAATCGAAACAACTGTCAAAACTTCTATAAATATTGCGGTCTTTCGTACCGGTTATCTCGAAAATGAGCTCGGTGACCCCCGAATTTTTTTGCCTCTCTGACCTGAGTTGGTCGTTGCCTAACTGCTGTAAAAGTTATTCAAAAATCTGACCGTGGGAAGATTTTCGCGCGAACGTCCTTAAGCGCCGTATTTGGGTCAAAAAAGTTAATTTGCGCCGCCCTCGAATAAGCGCCGCGTCGGGAATGCGGCGCTTATTCGAGAATCTCCGTAGAACTACCAAAACGCTAGAATGCAACTCCAAAACAGCATCAGGGGATAGTGAGATCGAAGTTGAGTGAAGACACCACAGGTAAAGCAATAAAAAGTGCCAGAAGAGACGAACTGGGACAATCAAGAGACGCTTCTGTTAATAACCGTTAAATTTTTCAAAAAGATAGAAATATTCCCTTGACTTAAAAGGAAAGATTTCTTTGTCGTGTCCAACTTTTATAAACAAGGGCCGCCCTCAAATAAGCGCCACCCTCGAATAAGCGCCCCATTTGAGGAGGAAAAAAATTAATAAGCACCGCGGCGCTTATTCGAGTAAATACGGTTAGTTAACCGATGTGGTATGGGAATTCACTCCGACGTGTTCCAAAATATATTAATGTCTTTGTCAAGAATATTATCACTTCACTATGTCACGTTTCCCAGGACTCGAAAATGCGGATAGCAATCTTTCAGTAATTTCTAGTCATTCTGAATCAGTTAATCCGCACTAACAATTTGTTAAAACCATAAGGTTTTAGTTAAAAAGCCTCCTCGATCCTAATCAATGACATAGACTCGATTTCAAAGTAGATTAGGACTACTTCCTCTTTTCGCTTAGTCCGTCGAGCGTACGCGAGAGAAAAGCGTGCCAAGATTTCGCTCGGCCATTATTTTCTCGCGCTTTTATCTTGCGTCACGCTTGACGGACAAAGCGAAAAAGGCATGAAAAGGGACTACTCGTTGTCTTATTTCAAAGTTGAGGACAACAAATAATAGTAAAAAGACTATACCTATTTCTTTTGCTTCCAGTTTGTAATTTTCGGTTCTCGCAATGCTCTTAAAACTTTCTGAAAGTAAGTGTAAACAATTGTCAGGGGCATTCTAAATGAGTATGTGTCAAAAAAACACTAAAAGCTGTGAAAGTTCCTTGCCTTACCTCTACTACGTAACTGTTAGAACCATAAGGCAAATAAACATCACTACAGTGGTCTTGTCCGAGTACGCGACCGTACTTATGTGTCCGTAAAAGAAAAGTTCTGTCCCCGGCCTGAACTTAAATTAGGATGTCTATATTGTTTACGAGTGGATTCATTTGCAGACAATACATTTTGATGTCGCTTTGGCATGTGCGAATTTTGAATTTCTTTTCCGGGGGCGGGGAGGGGGGGTAGGGGTTAAAAAAGCAAAGCAATATTCACAAGCAGAAGCCACAAATAAATCCACTCTAAATTAATTAGTTGAAATAAGGTGCGAAGATCAAGAAAGCTGTTTTACTTGTGGCGTTCAGAAACAAAAGGCTGGAGAAAATGATATTTATTCAGGTAACAATAACATACTTTGTTTTGCATTTAAATCAAATATAAGCGGTAATACTAATGTGAACAGTCATTGTGGACTACCTCGAAATACAAAAACCACTTTCTTCGTAAAGTGCTGACGTGGTATATTTCTTTTTCTGCAGACAATTACCGCTGTGATTTCGCTATTGTTTTACTTTTAACGATAAACCTAGCCTGTGAACACCCGCCTCCTCCGGATGTTCACAGGCTGCGATAAACCGCGTGTCTCACACAAGCTTCGAACAAGCTGTACGTCTTTTACGTTCTTACGATTTTTTTACAAAAATTCCTCAACTCGAAAGAAAGTGGTTCTTGAAAGGATTGTAAACGCAAAGTATACTAAAAGTAGTAAAAAATCCAGCACTTTGTAAACAGGAGTGCAACCCATAAATTAACTTGACCGTTCATTCGTCCGTTTAACTACATTCTTTCGGTTTATTTCCGGTGATTTAATGCTCCTTTTGATGCGACCGATCAGATGATAGCACCACTATCGGCTTTATGTAAGTTGACGCTTTTTTCCCAAAATCCCCCCTACAATAACGAATTTTTAAAATTACTACGGTGTCCATTCTTTAGGAAATCTGGCATTTTAGAAAGTTACTTCGCAGTCATACAGTATTTCAAAAAGATAATAAACAATCATTTGTATGTACTGCCATTGAAAATCACAATATCGTGAAAAGACATGGGTTGGTGTTTATAGAGGCAGCTGTAGAGGTGTGAAATATACCGTGAATCAACAGGTGTGATCTTTTTTATCACCTTCCCAACATAAAGCCACGAGTGAATCCATTGCATCAGTTGATCCTGTATCGACCGCTCAGATCAGACGCCAGGCAAAATCTGTCAACATATTCCAACGTTTCTGTGCTTTTGTCTTCAACACAAATCACGTAACAGCAACTATTGACGAAGGGAAATCAAGAAAGAAGGCAAGATTACACAGGTACGTCTGATTTGTATTTATTTCTCTGGTTTTAGCATTTAGCAAGCTAAGTTCGGTATTGCATTTTCGATAAAGTCGATCGTAAGTCTTGGACTTCTGCGTCATGAAAACGCGTGTTAATTTCAGTTGACGATCGAGAATCAAGTCTGCGTGATTCTTTCTGTTGATATCAGGAATGTTTGTATGAACCCGTGATATTCTACCGAGCTTCTAGTAGTCCGGGAGTAGTCTCACATATAAACAATGAATCACATCCAGTGCGGCCTTCTGCCAGGAATTGTTGGAAAGGAACTTTGAAAAATCGCTAACCTACAGTGAAAACGATCGAAGCACGTCACTGGAGGGCAATTTCAGATTTGTCCTAGACTAATCCAAACATGAAATCGGCTAGTGACGGAAAATTTGTCCGGAAAGTTACAGACGTACTTGAGAACAAAATCTGTGAACAAGAACATCACACCATGTGGTGAGCTCTACGCAATTTTCCCCCGAGCCGGCTTTTAGCTGCGGTTTTCATCCACAAAACCCCGGCAAAACCGAGACAAGAAGGATATCAAAAGTGTTACCACGAAGAATTCTGGCAGAATTGCTTTCTTTTTTTCTGGCTGTTCATGTCGAATTTACATTTCGTAGCCAACCTATGCATTAAACGCTCTCTTGACAAATTTAGCTGTCGCTAGTGTTTATCAAAAGGGGGAGATTTACAACTCTCGGAATAGAAAATTGCAAACGTACGAATTTATTTCTGAAAAAGAGGACAACCTTTTGAGTTACTCGTAAACGTTTTCCTGGATTTCCGTTCGATTTGATTTTCTTCTCGGAATTTCCGTTTGAATGGTTCGCTTTTCGGAAATTCAAATATTTCTCGATTTTTTGGAACTTTTTGCCAGGAAATTTATCATACCATTTGACCGCTGAAAAGCGCCCCCTTGTTACGAGGGAACGCCCCATTTCAATACCACAAGCACTTCGAACAGCGGTTGTTCCATGAAGCTTTTAAAGAATCAAAATGGCTGCTCTATCAAGAGACGGTTTTCATAGAGATTCTGCCGCTTACTTGGACTATTGTAGGATCTTCGTCAGAATGCAACAAAAGGTATCTTAGTAATAAGATGAAAATTAATTGAACCGAATGATAGTTGGTGTTTTTTTTAATTATGTGTAGGAAATTTTTCGCGAGAGCCGGTGTCTGGAGCGAAAGCAGCGTTTCTTGGGCTCTTCCCAGTGCAAAACAATGCGATGATACAATTTAAAATCTAAACTAGTAATAACCAAAGGTTAGGAAGTGCGGGCGAGATCGATGCAAGGTGTCGTAGGATGAATAAAAGTTTAACAAAGGTGTACGTACTGTGATAATCTCTCGAAAAGCGAGTCTGATGATTTAGCTTGCTCAAGCGCTTAGGCACTGAAGAATTTAGGTTCGTGTATACTTTCTGTTGCATATACAGGTTTATAATAGGCACTACACACACAGGTGACCCTTTCTTACTTTTTCCAGTCGGTGTTGCAGGATCGCGGCATAACCTAGTCGCTTGACGGCATTTCATTTCTCTGATGTCGCTGTTTCAACGCCATGTTGCCCATCGAAATTTACCCTAAAAGGGCCTCAGAACTTCACTGTTCCCGGCCCCTCACTACCAAATTAATTTCATCCCCATCCTAGCTTCAATAGGATATCCGAGCACATATACTAATGGTGATATATTTATCAGTCAAAATAGTATCTGGTTTAACCCAAGGTTATAAATTTTAAATTGTGAGCGAAGCGATTGATTTACTCGAGATGACCTGATTCTTTTTGTTGTTTCAGATATGGCTTCAGCATTTCCGTCATCAGCCAAGCGGTCCCGAACATCAGCTGAAGCACCTTCCGTCAGGAAACAAGGGAAAGAAGTTAGCATTCCGTGGGAGGAAATTTGCCCAGCCTTAATAAGTGAATGGTTGGATACATTTAGTAAGGCCAACAACACTACAAGGGACATTCTGCTGGCAAGTGTCCTGCCAACTGTGGCATGCTTGATGGGGCCCTCAACAGTCAAGGTTGACTGTAGAATGCGCACAGAAAGTATCAACCTCTACATGATCTGCTTGTGTGACCCAGGGGCAGGAAAGTCACCTGCCTTTCACCATGGCTGTGCACAGCCCATAAGGTTGCATGTAGAGGCAAAGGAGGATAACCCTTTATTTGTTGACGAATTTACTGAAGCTGGGCTATTTCGTCAATTGAAGTCAACACCTGGCCATAAAGCTATCATTGGCAAGGAAGAGGTATCACAGTTTTTTGACCAGCTACTTGGTGCTTCCAGGGAAAAGAGCCGCATAGACATGGAACGGATGATCCAGTTATATGATGGAAGTACATGGGTATATACACGGGCAGACAAGTCAGCACGTCAAGTCATTGACAGTCCAGGAGTGTCAGTGAGTGGCTACAGTCAACCCAACCGCTTCTTTCCAATTTATGTCAAACTAAAGGAAAGGCAGGATGGTGCAGTGGACAGAATTCTCATGTACCAGCCTTTGCCACATCGTCTGGCAGCACATGAAACTAAAGAGTATATCACCAAACTGAATAATTCGAAACTGAAAGATCTCAGGTAATTTTTTGTTTATGGCAAGTTTTAAACACAGGTTGATGAAACCTGAATGTTTTGGATCCATATAAGTATGTGTACAGTACAGAAACTTTTTAAAAAAAAAATGAACACTACAACAGCTTAACAGGAATAGACAAATTGTATAATGCTTTAGAGTTCCAGGTTATTCTGGGAAAATAGGCATGAGTCATATTGTCTCTAACAATGTCAAGATGATTGCTCTGAAAGCTGACAAGAGTTAATTTACATGTATTCATTCATGGCCCAATTTAAACACCCAGAGCAATTCCATTAGGGCCAAACTCTTTGTTTAACTTTTAACGCTTTGTAATTTATTCACCGCCTCATTATATATATACTCGATTTTATTATTTTAGTTTACTTGATAATGACGTTCTGGAAACGTCGAAACGTCATGTTATGCTTTATAATATTTTATCGCAGATTTTTATTGTCAAATGCTTTACCAAATCTTTACTTATTCGAATTCATTCATGGGAGTACAAAAAATGTGAGAAATTAATAAACTTTAAGGTAATAATTGTTTTTAATCTTGAAGTCAATGTTTTTATATTTCAGAGCTGTCTATTCTGCCATATATGAGTTCTCTCATTCTGAAAATGGCCTTGTAATGTACTCCCTAGACCAGGGTGGCAACAGAAAGTACGAGGAATTTATAGATGGCATCTCTGCATCCCTTAATAGTCAGTGGGCGAGAAACATCTGCCCAGAAGATGTTTCAAAAGATGACAGGCATGTGCTGAGGCTGGCAGCTGTTCTCCATGTGTTATACGACCAGCTGACAAAATTTCTCCAAGAAGAAGAGAAATCACCACCACCACAAGTCATCAGCTCATTAACTATTCAGAGGAGTATAACACTGTGCCAGTATTTTACAGCACAGAGAAGAATCCTTGACCAGGTGAGTGGTTGTTCAATAATAAAGCAACTGGTAAAACAAGTGTGACTATTTCTTGGAGAAACAAATTGATAGAGGGCATAGCCATGGAACCATAAACATGAAATTTGAAAAATACAAGCCTAGGAAACCAGGCCGTGTATTGCTTTTCTGTTTTTATTTCCTTTTTATTCCAGTTCATTTTTATTGATGAATACCTTGGTTTATGTATAAATCACAAAATCAAGATTAAATGCTTGAATCATGAATTTTAATATCCTTTTTTCATATTTGCCTATTGGATATGCAAAAATAAAACCCTGCGAAATACTATCTTACCTAAGTATAAAAATTAAGTACCAATAAGGTACACTAAAACCAGAGCGCCCAAACCGGCATGTCTACAGTTTGTCGCCACAACATTGATAAGTGTTGAGCCAAATTCTTTACCTGCAAATTTAAGTCTGATTAACTGCTTGATAACAGATCATTATTTTTTACTGAACCTCGACATCTGATGACTGATGCTAGAAATGGTTCGACAAACATTGTCCATCAGAATTTCTACAAATTAAAAAAAATAATCAATAAATATTCATCCTGAAAGATTACTTACAGCTGTTCATATACTTAGAAAAGGAACAACAACTAATAAAGAACTTGATGTTTTCATAACACAATAGCATCAATCCTTCAAAATTCCTTGATGAACAGCTTATCAGGAATCATCATTTTCAGATGCAGTACTTGTTACTGGATTACTAAAAAGGTGTTTCTTGTTTTGCAGCTTGTGAAGTGCAATACAGAGAATGCCTCAAGTGACCACTATGAACGGCAGAGGCGCATCCTGCTATGTAAAGGGCCTTTTGTGTCTACACGTCTGGCCCAGCGCAATTTTAGTGGGAACGCGAGGCCATCTGCTGAGGTTCTAAGTGGCACAATGGAAAATCTGGCAACAGATGGATTTGGCACTGTCGTATCCGTCGACAGAAGCACCGTCTTCTACAAGAAGCTCCTGGCAGATATAAATGATGAAGACTTGGCCACATATGAGGTGACTAGGGAAAAATACCTCCAAGCCTTTAATGAGCGGGCAGACAAATCCATAATTACAAAGGACCTATTTAACAAATTTCTCAACCAGTCACCACATAAAGACCGCTTAAAGAATGAGCACGATATCACACCAGAGGACAACTAGACAACTAGAAGTAATGTAAGGGTACATTCCTCTAGCTCATTGCTAAGTAATGCAGTTTATCACCGTGCAATTTTTCACTTCGGGTTTTTGTGACCAACAATTTTTCATACATTTATACTCAGGGAAGTTTGACGTTTCATTTGCTGATTTTTTTATGGAATAAGTGACACTTACCTCAATTTCTGTTACTGACTTCATTCAATTTTCAACTTTTGGAACATTGTTTTACATATTATACAGGGCCAGCAACACAGTCCAAACATGAATAAACTACAGGCCTCAACAATATAAACTGGTTTACACATTTTTACTCGATTTTACCAGTAGCATTTTTTGTGATAATTATAATTTGATCCTGATTTGACAATGGTATTACTAGTTTTTCATCAATTGAAATAATTTCCTACTCATTGACAGTTGCTGCTGGTGTCTGAGGGGTAAAAAATATTGACCGGTATAAATCATTCAGTCTGCATATAAGCCCATTCTACTTGTAAAAAAATGTTGAAAATGTGTACAAGACTTGAAATGTAAAAAAAAAAACCAAACAAACAAAAAAAAAACAAGCCGACTGGCTGATGTAGTGAAAAGCTAATAATTATTATAGTGCCTGTTGACAAAAATATGATAAAATTAATACAGCTGGTGGCTTTGAAGATTTTGGAAGCATTTCTAGTGTGAAATATTTTCCCTGTGGTTTATTCATGTGTAGGCAGGCCATTGTTACTGCAATAAAAAAACCTCCAGTTACCTTGACCATTATAATGAAAATGGCTCTTCTTTTTTTGGAATTATTTTTTAATTGGAGTTCATGTGACAGATGAGCAGTCTATTGCCATCAATGACTGAGTGACCCTCTGAGACAAATGAATATTTAGCAAATCGTTTAGAATATGAGGAAATAGTGAGGTGAGATACAGAAAATGTGAATAATATGTATGTTTTTGGTCTCAAAGTATTTTGGGTTTGCATTACCCTAGAAGTTCCAGGGAATGTTTGCAAGTTAAAAAAATGGTTCTTCCAAGAAATTTATCATTCCAGAGAAAGTACTAGAAGGCTTCCTGTTTTTTTAACTCTAATAAATTATTATTGAATTGAATTGAAAAAACAGTGTTAAGTGATCTGAGTACGATAAATTTTGTTTCAGTTACATGAAAGAGGATTTGAGTTAATGTGATTTTATTTACTGTTCTTGTTTCTTAATAACCATATAATAATTGGATGATAAGTGCTTTCAGTTAGTTTTGTTGGTTAAGAGAAGAACTAACCCTTTCTTGCCCCCTTTGAGATGTACTACCCTAAAATATCTCATAGTTAGTTAGACGAGGAAAACTCCAGTTCAAACATATTTTTTCACCTTAAAAAAAGTAAGCAGTAGTTGTAAGTGATAGTGAGTGGGATAACCTTTTATACTCATTTTTTATTGAAAACAAACAAACAAAAGGAAGCTATCCAAAGCAAGTATTAAACTAGCAGATCTGTTTTATCCAATCCTGTAGTGAATTGTGTACAAATCTAGGTCGTCCAGTTGAAATTTCCTTTGTTTTCCTTTTTCCCACTGTTACGACTGCTGTTAAAAATAAATAAATAATAACAACAAGTCTGGATGGATCGTTTACATATTTCCGCTTTTCCACTCTACCCACTGTTCCTCTGTGCCCATTGTCACTCTGCACCCACTGTTCCTCTATGCTGCCGTTCCTAGTTTTCCACTGTACTTCTGTGCCTACTGTTCAAGTTTTTCATTGGAGTCATTGGCAACCATGGACAACAGCATGACGCATAGCAATTTAATACAGTAAACTCATTCAATTAAGATAAGTTACTGACTTTTTAAATAAAAACGGAGAAAAACAGTGACACAACTAACACGCAGAACAAAATGATTACAACGGGCTCTACTGATGTGTCTTTAGCTTCAATAGTGCACTTTTCAGTGCCCAAATGTACCATTTCTAAACTAAATAACCGAACAAACACGCGGGTGAAACAACAAGTAGAGATTAAAAAAGCCGTTGATAGTGGCGGCGAGGGATGTCGGCCTTGACCAGCAAGGACTACACCGTACAGTTTTACTTCCTGCTACTTAATGATCACTAGACAATGTCAAGAATATACTGGGCAATGAAATTTGTAATTCTACTTTCTTCTGCTGTATTGATGGTAAAATAGTATTCTTATAGATAGAAATTAAACCAGTCATCTTCGAATGTTGGCGCTCCTCTTACAAAAAGTGCTCACTGTTTCTCTGTGCGAACCTTTCCTGTGTGCCTACTGTTCCTCTATGAACACTATTCCTCGGAGCCCACGGTTTCTCTGAACCTAATTTTCCTCCGTGCCTACTGCATCATTTTCTTAATTTTTTTTTTTAATTGAATACCGCAGATACTAATTTTGCTTATGAAGGGATACCAATCCTGCAGTGAAAAAAAAAAAACGTAGAAATCTAGGTCGTTTAATATAGCTCTAAGGCTCGTTTGTTAGGCTTCTTTCCACCGTCCCGACTACTTTTAAAAAATAATAATAAATAAATAAATAAATAACAACAACAAGCCTGGATGGATTAATTACATATTGTTGCCGTTCTGCTGTACCCACTGTTCTTCTATTCCTACTCTTGTGCCCACTGTTCCTCTGTGCCTACTGTTCCTCTGTGCCTCTGTGCCCACTGTTCCTCTGTGCACACTGTTCCTCTGTGCCTACTGTTCCTCTATGCCCACTGTTCCTCTGTGCCCACTGTTCCTCTGTGCCCACTGTTCCTCTGTGCCCACTGTTCCTCTGTGCCCACTGTTCCTCTGTGCCCACTGTTCCTCTGTGCCCACTGTTCCTCTGTGCCCACTGTTCCTCGGTGCCCACTGTTCCTCTGTGACTACTGTTCCTCTGTGCCTCTGTTCCTCTGTGCCCACTGTTCCTCTGTGCCCACTGTTCCTCTGTGCCCACTGTTCCTCTGTGCCCACTGTTCCTCTGTGCCCACTGTTCCTCTGTGCCCACTGTTCCTCTGTTCCTCTGTGCCCACTGTTCCTCTGTTCCTCTGTGCCCACTGTTCCTCTGTGCCTACTGTTCCTCTGTGCCTCTGTGCCCACTGTTCCTCTGTGCCCACTGTTCCTCTGTGCCCACTGTTCCTCTGTGCCCACTGTTCCTCTGTTCCTCTGTGCCTACTGTTCCTCTGTTCCTCTGTTCCTCTGTGCCCACTGTACCTCAGTGCCCACTGTTCCTCTGTGCCTTCTGTTCCTCTGTGCCTCTGTGCCTACTGTTCCTCTGTGCCCACTGTTCCTCTGTTCCCACTGTTCCTCGGTGCCCACTGTTCCTCTGTTCCTCTGTGCCTGCTGTTCCTTTGTGCCTCTGTTCCTCTGTGCCCACTGTTCCTCTGTGCCCACTGTTCCTCTGTTCCCACTGTTCCTTTGTGCCCAATGTTCCTCTGTTCCTCTGTGCCCAATGTTCCTCTGTTCCTCTGTGCCTACTGTTCCTCTGTTCCTCTGTGCCCACTGTTCCTCTGTGCCCACTGTTCCTCTGTGCCCACTGTTCCTCTGTGCCCACTGTTCCTCTGTGCCCACTGTTCCTCTGTGCCCACTGTTCCTCTGTGCCCACTGTTCCTCTGTGCCCACTGTTCCTCTGTGCCCACTGTTCCTCTGTGCCCACTGTTCCTCTGTGCCCACTGTTCCTCTGTGCCCACTGTTCCTCTGTGCCCACTGTTCCTCTGTGCCCACTGTTCCTCTGTGCCCACTGTTCCTCTGTGCCCACTGTTCCTCTGTGCCCACTGTTCCTCTGTGCCCACTGTTCCTCTGTTCCTTTGTTCCTCTGTGACTACTGTTCCTCTGTTCCCCTGTGCTAACTGTTATTCTGATGACGTCAGTCAGGTCGTCGTACACGAGCCATGAGCCTCAATTTAGCACTTTAAAGAAACAAAATTGTGGGTTGTAAGATTAGAATAGACAAATTGCATAGCCTTTTAAGTACATCACCCCCAAAACTGTTTGCATTTGTGAAAAACAAACTGTTTATCCAGTTTGCTTTCTTAAATTTCTTTACAATCCTTTTTGACTGCCCTAACAACCATTTTCCTCAGATCTACCACTCTAAATTGCACAGGGTCTTCTGATAGTATAAATACCACGCGATCACGATTCTCTGGGAAAGTCTGATATGCTCATTGCAAGAAAATAAAAGAGCATTGGAAGAATGAATGCCAGCGCCGAGAAATATACTTGCTGCTTTTTACAAAATATACTAAAATCAGAACAATACCGCGTTTCTTCCCGCCATGATGAATGAGCCATCACAATATGTTGTGTATGTGTCATAAAGTGTACCAGCAGCTGGTGGTAATTTTCGTGGTTACGAGCAGTTGTGTTACCGAATACCTCCATTAACGGGTCATAAATGCGATGGTACAAACATGGCCACCGAGTCGGGCGCTAGACATAGAGATAAGGAAAATGTCTTTCGTATTACCGACGTAAAAAAAAGAAAGAAATTGTTGGGTAAGGTTCTAAAATTTCCAGAATTTAACGAAGAAGATGATTGGAGGCTCGGGATACTTCTTGATATTCATTAGGAGATATTCACTTTATTTGTAAACAGTCAGGGTCGGCCAGGGTTTTTGGGTATTCGGTATTCAGGGGCGTTTTAAATCGGGTATACGGTATACTGCAGCTTAAATATGGGTATTCAGTATATCACTTTCTTTGAATTTCAGGTATAGAGTATTCAAAGCTTCGATTATTTTTGGGTATATTTGGAGGAATTTGGGGTATTTTGGGGTATTTTGTCGATTTTTTTTCGGGTATATTGGTATTCCACTACCCCCCCTGGCCGACCCTGAACAGTGGATTTCCATGGAGTGACTCTACTGTGGGAGGTATTTCAAAATTTATGAAACGAAGTACAAGGTGAGCTATTACCCTGATTGGATGTAGATCAAGATATATACATACTCAAATTTGTTGAAAGGAACCATTAAGAAGATACATATACCCATGTAATCAATACAAGTTTCATTTAACATTTATGCTAACTTTCAACTCGTCCATCGATGAGTGTTGTCGCTGCTGGTGTTATGTGCTACCTAACTATGGATAAAAGGCTGGTTGAGGTATTAAAAACCATTACCTTAGCCACATATCAGCCTTTTCTTTTTTGATCGTGATTGACTTTGTGTACAGTTATCCCACACTGTCCAAAATCATTCATTGTTTAGTGGTGTCTTTGACATGTACAAAATTTAACGAACAAAATTCAAGACTTCGCGTATACAGAACAAATGGTTCGGTCCTATGCAAGAAAAATGTAACCAAAATCTTATGGCTGAAAAAATCATGTACCGGTAGTCGAATGCTGTGGAAAAAAGAAAGCAAAGTTCTTGTATGACCTAAGATCTTGTTCAAATGCTTACTGTTTTGCTTGTGAAAGATCTGGATCAGCAAAATTAGAGATTCAATCTATAGAACTGGACTTGAAGGTGGTCAGTTTCTTAAATTTTTATACTGACCTAAATTTAGTCTTTGTTGAGTCATTTGTGCATTTCATTTGGAGCAATATTGGACAAAAATCTCCCTTTTTATTCCAAGACTTAATGCAAAAGTCACTGATTGGCCGAAACCTTCTTGTATACTTTTCCAGAAAGTGAAATCTCATGACTGGTATTGTGTTGCACTTAAGTTTGTCTTTTTGCTGTTGAATGACAATAAGGTGCTTTTCTTTTTGATGAGATGTTATTTAACCCTTAAACTGACTCTCAGATCAAATTTGTAATTCTCCTTTCTGTCAGCCATACAATTCTTATCATGTTAACTCAGATAATTTAGTATTGAATCAACTAATTATCCCCAAATTGATATTTTTCTTAATTGTCTTCACTTACCTGGTTGATATTGTATTGATATTGTAAGGAGAAATTCTGTCTTGGTTACTCATGGGAGTTAAAGGGTTAAAGAGACATAAGGTGTAGAAATTGATTACAATTAGTCAACCAGAGCTTTCAAGTCCATTTGCTGGCAAAGAGTGAGATCTCATGGGCATCATCTATCAAGGGTGGGATGGGGAAGAGGGTATGGGGGCATGTTCCCACAGAAAATTGTGAAAAAAATGAAATAGCTGAGATGTGCATTCCTTTAATCTGAGAGAAAATTATGCGGTTAAAAAGTGTGTGACATGTTGATTCCATTTACTGGTTTTTAAAAAGAAGCATTGGATTTTTTAGCAAGATTTTCAATAACCTTTAAATTAAGTGAGCAATTATGGCATAAAATAGCACTTTTAACTGCATTTGACTCCTGTTCTGTGCAAACTGTTTAAGTGGTCTCCTTGCAATTCCCTGCAGGTGACTGCTTGATGCAGGTTTGACTTTATATGTTTGTAGCTTTCTCTTCATCAATCACTGTTACTCAACACTGATACTGTTCTCTTTTCTATGTAGGAAAGAACAACATATCATGGAAATGAAATCTGACAAGCTGTCCAGCAACTGGAGCAGCAGTTTTTGGAGTTTGACTTGTCACTAGAAAACTTATCAGCAGAAAATTTAGCCACAATTGTTGCTAATGTTACTGCTAAAAAGGCTGCTGTGACAAGTGCCACTATCAGTTATAAAATGGAAAAAATGCACGATTCTTCAAAATTCAAGTACAAATGAGTCAATGTGAGTCTGGAGAATGATGAAGGAGTAAACAATCTGCAGCTTCCAGTCATTGTTCCAAAGGAAATTCTAGAAAGTACTGATATTGTTCCACAAGTATACTTTTCAGTTGTAAAAGTACTCTGGTATAATTTTTAAATGTTCAGACAAGTTATTTTAGGAAGTATTTCCCATCAATATTTATTACTGTATTGACATTGTGAGCTAATTACATGTCACTTTATGGACTCAAAGTTGATTTTTCTTCGCTTCAAACTTATGATTGCTAATACTTTAATCTCTATCAAAATATTCACTTATTTTTTTTTCTTTTTACTTAACATTAAATTGCAAGGTTGTTGATTCTTAGAAGAAAAAGGCTTGTATGCAAAGGCTCAGAAAATTTGTCCACTACAAAATGAATGTAATTTTTGGCATCACCTGGCATTTCTGAACAGATAGAGATATTTCTCAAGCAGGTTTGAATTAGGTTTTCTGTGGAATTGAGTGGAAACTGGGTGTAGCCCTGCTCTGCATAGGTGTCTCTGTTGATGAGATTTTCACTCCCAAGATCTCAGTAGTAATTCTCCTTACTGTCTGCCATACAATTTTTATGATGTTAGCTCAGGGAATTTGGTATTGGATCAACTAATATTGCCCTAATAGCTTGTCTGTTTGATACTGTATTGATATTGTGAGGAAAAATTCTGTCTTAGTCAGTTATGAGAGTTAGAGGGTTTTAAAAGAAATTAAAAGATTTGTTCAATAAAAGTGTTTGGGCATGGAAATTCTAATCTCCTGCTTTTTCAAAAAAGTTTGTAGAGATCAAAAGCATTCTTTCAAATATGTGGAAAGTTACATTTTAATTATCAAGTCCTGCAAAAATCATGGAATCTGAAGGTGTTGAAAAAAATGAGAAGAATTCTTAAGTGTTATGTTTTTTTGTAGCTGCAACAAATGGAAATCTTTGTGAGGTTTCCTTGCCTCCTCTTCCCATTCTTTTTGCTTGTGGGATTTATTTCTTTTGTCTGGTTTCTTTTCTGTTATTTGATTTTTTTGTGTGCTAAGGTCCACTGATTTCATGAATCTTGCTTTAAAAAAAGGTTAATAGGTGTCCTTAAACTGACCAGGAACCTACTCAAGGAAATATGCTACATTGATCACATGTAACTTGCATTCTGCACTTCCTTAGATATTTTACTGTTGTTTCAAGGCATGGGTTGAAATAAGGAGGAGAAAATCATTCAATTTGAGATAGGGTATGGGTTTTTTTTAAGGGTTGTTTCATACCTTTACCTTGAGGCAGTCTCTCCTGTAAATTGATAAATTGTGACTTATATTGAAAAGGCCACACCCCTTCCCCATAGCTTCCAAGTTGTGTCTAACAATTCAGGCCAAATGTATCTCAACACAAAGTTGAATTCAGTTCACAAAATATATTGTACAATCATGTACAAATCTGGAAGTCTGGCCCCATTTGTTAACCCTTTCAACTCCCAGATCAAATTTGTAATTCTCTTAAATATCAACCATACAATTCTTATTATGTTAGTTCAGAGAATTTAGTACAGTAGTGGATCAACTTATTATCCCCAAATTGATATTTTTCTTTATTCTCATCACTTATCTGGTTGACATTGTATTGATATTGTATGGAGAAATTCTGTCTTGGTCACTCATGGCAGTTAAAGGGTTAACAATAACTGGCAATTTAAATTCTTAACTGGGTAAGTCTGATGCTTCACCAGATTTTGAACTGCAACTCTACAATATTTATTATTTGGAACGAGTAACATAAATGACATTAATATTTACAAATTGCATTAATATTTACAAATTACATTAATATTTACAACAAATGCAGAAACCTTCCTAAATTAAATTTTTTGAATTTGATATAAATCTTACACCAGTAACCTACAAAAAGGCCTTCTGCCTGAAAGCAAGAAGATTTGAATTACAATTTGGTTTCAAGTGTGAAACTAGTTGAACCGGTTCGCTTCAATCAAAAAAGAAAAATTCCGGAAAACACGAGCAATGAAAAAAAAGAAAACCTGGAATTCTACCAGGTAATCTGTAAAGTATACACTCATTTAATCCGCTGTGTGTTAATGTTATTGGTTTGTTTATTAAAGAAAAAAAGATTGACATCCTTTGTTCTCGATAAACATGTTCATTGGTTCCTTTTTTTTCTTCATTTCGATCCGGTTCAAATAATCTCGCTGCTCTGAGCGCTTCACAGAGTAAGTTTGCTTTCATTCACGATTTGAGTTGTTGGGCTGTAATTATCACTGAGCTGGTTACCTCACAGTTATTTTGAATAGTAAGTGGTTCTAATAATTTCTTTTTAATTTTTAATTGGAATTGCTGGGGCCTAAAAAAATAGCTTGCACTTAGACTGACTATTGCTTAGTAAATTACGTGCCTTTTGCTCACCTGCTTCTGTGATGTTATTTGCTTTGAGGATTAACTTGCTCAGCTGACAGTTGTTGTTGTTGGTAGCTTCAATTCAATTCAATTCAATTTTATTTGTTAGCAATACAATATTATCACAGACCTAGGTGACCCGCAATTAGCAAGCTATTCTAGGCGGGCCACCCTTCTAAAACAAGTGCTGTCTCTGCTAAGGATCACATACCGATACAATTAAACAAAGATAATCATTAATAAAAATACAATTGTTAAATAAAATAAAATAAAATTAAGTCCGTTGAATAATTAAATAATCAATTGCAAAGTTATCAAGATATATAATACAATTGAAACAAGACTTAAACGAAGAGTTACTTTATCAAGAGATAATTACAAATTTCAGAGCAGCGTATATCAACATTCATCTCCTCAATTTCCAAAAGTTTTAACAGGCGATTTTTAAGTTCACGCTTAAACGGGGTTCTGTTTTTGATACGAAGTTCTTTTGGGATGCTATTCCACAATCTTACACCTATTCTAGCAAAAGAAAATAAAAGTTGGTTAGTTCTAGACGCTTTAACGTACAGATTAGCCGTTGCTGAGAATCTTGTGAAATGGTGATGAACCTGCTCGGAGTGGATAAAGAGCATAGAAATATTAGACGGGGCACGGTGATTATCAATGTCATGCATCAAAGAGGAAACCAAATGAGAATAGAGCATAGTTATTGGTAAGATTCTGGAGTTAACAAATAGCGGGGCACTATGAGATTTGCTATCCGCAAAATACATTAGTCGTAGAGCACGTTTTTGTAAAATGAGAACCTTATTTAAATGAGTGTTAGCAGCTTGTCCCCAGGCAATAAGACCATAAGAGATATAGGGTTCAATTAAGGAGCGGTAGATGTTAAGAAGTGTGGCAAATGGGACAAGATGTCTTAACCTGGCAATTATACCAATTAGCTTCAGCCAAGTGCTGTGCTCCAATGTCTGAGATGTCATTTTGTATAAGGAATAACATGCGTAGCTGACAGTTATTGTTGTTGATGGCTTCAGCTAAATACTTTGCTGCTTCATCTGTCAATTGATTGTATGTGAGGTTTAACCAGCTCAGTTGAGATTCCCTGCATTTTAACAATTTACAAATCTCTAAACAACCTAATGGACCAATGTTACTGCCAGTCAAATCTAAATGTGAAATTTGTTGAACATTAACTACATTTACTAACGAAGAGCAATCAACAGCTGTGAGGTGACAACGAATAAAATTTACACAATTAAAGTTAATTTGTTGAAGTTTTCTCTGTGCTTCTGACTTCATTCTACTATTTTCGTTGAAACATTTCATTAATGTCACTGCTAAATCTCGCTCGTCTTTAGTCGGCCAGCTGGTCACTTTCGTTTCATTCTCTTCATTCTCTGGCCACTGCACGTTGTAGACTGCGCTTTCTATTTCTTCAGTTTTCGCAGGAAGAAGGTCCGTGATAATTTCGCTTCGTAGGTTATTTTTATTCTCCATTAATCCTGCTACAAACTGAAAAACTAGCTGCCATTTGCCTTCCTTAATGTTCATTTGAACAAAGTTTCTTAATTCTGTTTCACTCATGTTGTTTGTCAGGTGCTTTGCAGCGAAAAACTCCTGCATTGTAAGATGGATAAAACAGAACTGTCCTTCGCTACTAAACGAGTCAAGTTCGCGGTCGGGTAAGCGGTGAAATAGAGCGCTGTCTTCCATTCCGCGTACTTCGTTTGCTCCAAAGATCAGCCTTCCTTCTTTAATTCCTTCAAATGCCAATTTTTCTAGTTTCTCCAATTTCTTTTCCTCTTCGGGGGGCAAATCATCTGATTCAAAGTCTTTGCGAGTGAAAGGTTTATTGCGACATTCTTCGCTGTGTCTCAAATAGAAAATTTTCACAGCTCTCTTGTATATGCCTGTTAAACTTGTTGGTAGGTTAAGACCTTTAGAAGCATGGAACTTCACCATTTTAAAGAGACTTGAGCAAATGATGAAGCAACTCGCAGGAATGTAACAAAGAGATAAGATATTGATGTTGCTTGTGATGTGACGCTTTACTGTGTCGCCTGCTTCCTTGTCTTCTTCAGCAAATTTGGTTACATATTCTTCGACTTGTTCGGATGAGAAGCCAAGGATCTCGAAGATTTTGTGAAAAGGAATACTTTCGATGCATGACAGAGCTGTAGGTCTTGAAGTAGTTAGAATGGCTGCCCCGTTAAGAAGTTTTCCAGTCGTTAGTTTGACATAAAGCGCGGAGAGGGGCATCTTCTCGTCTACGCTGTTTGTGAATTGTGGTTTATTATCTTCCACGCTGATTTCTGAGTAAAATTTAAATTCATCAATTCCATCGAAAATAAGGAGAACATTCTGGGGGTTTTCTAGGATGTAATTCCAGACTTCCTCATCCATCTCGTTCCTGGGTGAGTATGTGGAGCGGGTCAGTAGCTCCCGAAGGCTAAGGTCGGTTGCAGCGTTGCATGTTCTGAATTTGACAAAGAAAGCAGCATCAAAGTGGATTTTATTATCGGCTGTTTGATCTAATACTTTGTTAGATGCCCAGTCTCTGAGAATTTTTGTACAACAAAGAGTCTTTCCAATACCGGGACGACCGACGATCAAAATGTGTTTGTTTTCGTGATTAAGAATGTCCTCTGGCCCTCTCGGTGTTTCGTTTTTCTCATCCCGCTTGGCGTAGATTTGTAAATTCTTCTCTCTGTCGTTAGTAAAGTCATAATCAGCCATGTCAGGTACAACAACAAGGTTTGTGTAAATCTGATCTAGAGTCAAATGTTTAGGTGGGTGTCCTTTGCCAGGAGGACTTGGAAAAAGCGACCGGAGTTGTGGAGGTTGATAAGTGTCGTCCATAATCATTTTCTTCGTAGTTTGGATGAATTCCTGAAGCGGTGATTTTACGAGTTGTTCAGGCCCGCTTGGCAGATGCAGGATGTTTGTTTCATGTTCTGTCCGTTCTTGCTGCTGAATCTCATGTGGGATGTTTATTACAACTTGTATTCTTTCTTCTTGCTGCTGAGATTCTTCGGGAGGATTTAGATGAGATGTTTGAAACTTTGAGTTTTGCATGAAATCCCTTTCTCTGCATAGCTTAAAAAAAATGTAGACGATTTCAATCAGAATGCCAGCGACAAAAATTCCATTTACCACAAGGACAGCGTCCATCCAGGAGTTCATTTTTACCGCACGTTGATTGTGACAGTTGTGTTAGGAAGAATGTTGGGCGTTGTCAGATGAATTCCTTGGCTGAATGGTTCCATCGGTTAAATAACAGTGAAACTTGGAGGAAAGCCTTAAAGGATAAAGCAACTGAGTTTGTAGGATGATGAAAATAATTCCTAAAACAAATCTTGTAGATAGCTGACAGCAGTAAGCGATGAAAAGCTTGTATCCCGTTGATAATGCGTTCTCTTGTCTCTGTAGATCATCATTACGAATGCTTCGCGACAGTCGATTGACTGTAGGTCTTACTATTCGGGAGTAAATAACACACACACATATAATAAGGACGAAATTCATGATTACGAAGCCATAGACAGGAAAAGCGAATTTGTTGTACTGCTTCTCGTATTTCTCGTAACATTCTCCCCGGACGAGGTCGATGTTGTCACTTTTTGCTCCACCACAGCGGAAATCAAACCTTGGTTCGCTGTTTTCCATGTCGGCGAATATACCAAGGAAGAGGACACCAATCAGGATCCAAAGAACCACAGCAACATAGTGAATTTTGCCAAAAGTTTTTGGCTCCAAATAATCTAACAATTTATCCACAGACATCTTTAGTGATCCAGTAACTTTCGTTTGAACACTGATTTTCTCCGGTTGAAATGAACTGCTAATTTGACCATAGCACATTTAATGAGAAAAAGAGCTTTCGTTTGATTGGCTCTTTGAAAACCTTCAATTGTCAAAAAGGCGATGGCTCATGCAAAGTTTACTTGTTTACATAAGAAACAGATATCAGACCACTAAATTAAGACGGATACAGATGTGTTATTTCAGAAGATGTGCTTGACCTCCATTCATCCATTCGCCCCCAGGTGCTCATTTTCACTCTCTTACCCTGTGGACTTCACTTCATTTTCAGCGCGGTTATTTTGCAGCTTGAAGCCTGCTAAATTTTAAGTTACCAAGTATCGCCATTTTTTTTTTGTGGTATTTACTTCAAAAGAGATTTGTATTTCTTACCTAGAAGGTAAAACACCTGGGTGTGATGCAGGTCAGAGACTTCTTTCTTTAACGCCAGTGGGAGACGTGATGAAAGAAACACATAGACTGTAGACTCTGTAAGGTTGGATAACGTAATGATGAGGCAAGAATTTCCGCGTTACGCTTAACTTTGAATCGTCAAATTCCCGCTTCATAATGCTCCCGATCAACTGAATTAACCTCTGACTATGTTAGTCAAAACAAAAATTTTCATGTGCGTCCAAAGCAAGGTCATTAGGCAAATTAAACACGTCCACTTATGGAAGTTAGACAAGGCTGTCACAATTCGGAAACTCGTCACAATAGCTGAAACCAAAATAACTTCGGAATTCGAATTCCTACAAAAGAGGTGTAAAACAAAAAAAAAAGGCTGCGTTGCATCAAGGTTGGAAATAGGCCTCTAGGTACATTCTAATTATAAACGAAAGATTTAATCAGAATTAATTAAGAACTAAGTAAAAAGAACCAGCTAATCACAAACTAACTAAATACTTCCTAACAGAAGGATCCATTTTCGTGAACGGAAGGTATTCTGTAACACAGATTTTGCTCGTAACCACGACAATAACCACCATCTTCTGGTACACTTCATGACACATACACGTCCATGTAGCCGCATTCCACAAAATGGCGGATAATAACAGCACACCACCTTTTCGAATATTTCCCGCCGTTCACGAGAATGAATTAAGCGAGAGGAATGAAAGAAGAGGCCGGTGCAATTTTTCCTTGTTAGTGCCAAAGAAGATTAGACGTAGGGGATCAAAGAAGACATCTGATTTGAGTACTACGGTCACCACCTCGACTGGTCAAGATGATTTCGAAAATCCTTCTCATTAGGCGTTGCAACCTAGACCAATTTTAGATGCTTTGCTGGTAAGTCTTAATTTTGCATCTATTAAAAATATTTTCGATTCTGTTTTTTTACTGTCCAAGCCGAAATGGGCAAAAGTGTCTTCAGTGACAACAAGATTCATATCAATGAGTCGTTAACCACCTACAGGAAGAGATTGTTTCGGAGAATTAATACATTCAAACAACAGCGTAATGACAAATTTTTATGGACTGCCAACGGGAAGATCCTCCTAAGAGACTGAGACCTCACGCATTGTAAGCTTCTCTACCCAAGAGGAATTCGAAGATTATTTGGATGAGATTAATAACAGATGAGTATTTTTTTTTCCAACATCTGATTATTCATATTTATTTATATTTCTTCACTTTATAAATCTCCAATGAATGAATTACAATTAATTCCTTGCAGATTTTGTCATTTCTACAACCTCAATGATTGAGAGTTTATTATTGCAAATGGCTTAAGGTCAGTTCATTTCAATCACTTAATAGATACTGACCTGTTCAATTTGGTATCCAACCCAGATAAATCTGATGAAACCGATCCTGACTTAATGCTTACTATTCCAATGTCAAATTACTACTCCATATCTCAGATAAATAATGCTATTGCCAAAGCTGGGCCAAAAGCCATTTCAATGTTTCACTGTAATATGAGAAGCTTACAAAAAAATTTAGCTTTGCTTGAAGATTTTCTTTATTCCCTTGATAAAAGACCAGAAATTCTTGCTATTACCGATACCAGATTAAATGCAAACTCTGTAATGTGGATGTTTTAAATTATGAACTTTATCATACTGATTCACCTCCTTTGGCTGGTGGGTCAGCTATCCACATCATTAAGACTCTTAACCCTTTTTACTCCCAGATCAAATTTGTAATTCTCCTAAATATCAACCATACAATTCCTATAATGTTAGTTCAGAGAAGTAAGTATTGAATCAACTTATCTCCAAATTGATAACTTCCTTTATTCTTATCACTTATCTGGTTGATATTGTATTGATATTGTAAGGAGAAATTCTGTCTTGGTCCCTCACGGGAGTTAAAGGGTTGAATATGTACCCAGACTTGATATAAAATTTAATATGCAACTAGTCGAATCGTGCTGGGTTGAAATCAATCCATGTAATGGCAAGGCACCTATATTTATTAGATCCATTTATAGACGCCCTGGTGCTAATATAGAAGAATTTACTAAACATTTTGATGATCTAATTATAAAATTACAGAATAGATACCAACTATGCATTCTGGGAGGCATGAATGTAGATTTTTTTAAGAGATAACCATCATACGCAAACTGAAGAGTACCTAGATATGCTCCACTCTAACAACATCTCACCAATAATAACTAAGCCTACCAGAATTATACAGCAACTTTGATAGATCATACATATACCAACAACACTAACCAAATGATATCTGGAATTGCTACAATAGATATCTCGGATCATCTACCAACCTTTTGTATTGTTGATATACCAGTACAAAAACAAAAATTCAAGAGATATTATAGAGACTACAGGCAATTTGATTCAGAACTATACCTACAGGATATCAAAGCAATTGACTGGAATAGTATTTACATTGAAAGCAATGACTGTAATGAAATTGCAGCTAAGTCCATAAGTACTCTTCAGCTTATTGTTCATAAACATGCACCAAGGAAACAAATATCCCAAAGTAAACAGAAGCAGTTTAGTAAGCCTTGGATAACTAATGGTATACTCAAATCTATCAAAAATAAACAAAGCATTTATAGAACATAAATTATGTTCTCTCGAATAACCCCCAAAAAAAGCAGAATACAAAAAATATGCTGATAAACTTAACCACTTAAAGACCGTTAACCATGATATTCTGCTCTCTAAATTATATATTTATGGAATCTGTGGAACTTCATTTAAATGGTTTAAAAGCTACTTATGCAATTGCACTCAATTTGTAAAGATTGATGAAATTGAATCCAGTATGGAAACTATTACGTGTGGAGTTCCCCAGGGTTCTCAGGCCATTGTTATTCTTGCTTTATATTAATGATTTACCAAACTCCTCTGAGAAACTTTCTTTTAGAATATTAATTTGCAGATGATACTAATATTTTCTTTACTGGTAGTAATCCAAACGAGGTTGAATTTCCAATGAATGAAGAGACTAAATTAGTTTTAAAATATTGTTCTATTAATAAGTTATCTGTAAATTTTAAGTAAACTAATTATATGCTAATAACATCATCAAAGAAAAAAAATACATTTAAATATCCACAATATTGATTGCAAAAGCTATATTAAGTATCTAGGTATATACCTTGATGAGCATCTACAGTGGGAATCCCAAATTCAACATGTAAATAATAAATTAGCAAAGAATGTAGGTATAATTAATAAGCTAAGACACTATCTTGATTTTCATTTGCTCAAACAGTTATATTATACCCTTATTTATCCATACTTAAACTATGGTCTTGCCAGCTGAGGTGCTGCTTACAAAATTAGATTAAATAAAATCTGCACTAAGCAGAGTATATGAAGCATGTTCTTTGCTCATGGCAGAGAACATATCAACTTGTATTATAATCTTCTTGGAATCTTGAAACTTGAAGATATTTACAGACTAAAAGTATCACTTTTTACATATAAACTTAAGAATGACAAAAGTAACACCCCAGCTGTACTACTGAATATTCTCACACCTGCATCAGAGATTCACTCATATAATACCAGGTATGTTGCAAATCAAAACTTCTTTAAGCCATCAGTATGCACTAATTATGGTATGTCTGCTTTTAAATTCTTTGCAATAAAAATCTGGGAATCTGAACCACCTGAATTTAAACGTTTTCCATACATGCTATTCAAAAAGTGAATTATTAGCAGAAGGTTCTGATTTGTTGTATCTCTGAAGTTTTGCCTGTGACATTAACTGAAAATCATTGTAATAAGAATGATATAAAATTGTACTTGTATGTTATTCAATTGTCTTTCAAAAAGCTATATTTAATTTATGTTCTCTTTTTTTAGGTGCACTCTATTTACATACTACAGTGTCTGGCAAGTGATCATGGCTGATGCAGATGTATTGGACTTCAAGAGATTGCTGCCATACCACCACTGGCGTTTTGCTTGGTACAGTTTCCTGGACCTTCTTGACATAAACTATGAAGAAGGTTTTTGTTGTGCCATCTGTGGCAAAGATAACAGTCTGGACACTGTCATTTGTGATACTACAGCAATATCCTTCAGACAAGAGCTTTGTATTTCTCTGAAGTCTAGTTATTCATCACTGAGTCCATCTACTGAACCACAAGAAACAGGAAGATAAGTGGCTATTTATGCTTCTGAATTTTTTTGCATATTTTATGCATCATTTATCCTATTATTTTGGTTCCCAGTATGATTCAAGGAGTTCATGATATAATATATTAATCTAGCTGTTGATGTGGAGACTATGACTTGATTCAGTTTGATTACTGATTAATATAATAATTTCAAATATTTTTAATCCTTCACCTTGGGCTGGCACCTTGTCGTGGTGGTGAAGCTTGTGTGTCTCATTGACCCTGCAAAGACCTTGGAATAAGGTCTTCTTTTTCTGGATCAGTTGAGGGGTTGAGACCAGACTAAGACCAGCTCCAGTTCCTCCTAAATTCCACTGGGATAGACTTTAAATGTGTCTAAATATCACCTGTTTTCATTTGCCTTATTTAAAGAGATCTGCGTTTAGGCTAATTATTTAATATTTTATGACATCACTAGGCATCGTGACAGGGTTTACCTTGCTGAGAAACATGTCAGGCAGATGGTGGATCAAGCAGGCTGTGATGTTGGCAAGGTTACATTACAGACACAGTAATGACCTCTTTACACTTGGAAAGGTACTCCCTCTCTTCAGCCCTCATTACATGTTCTTTCACAACATGCTTTCAGGCACTCAATGTACCCAGTGTTGTTGTGATTATGTGTAAATGGATCAATACCAGATGCTGTGTAACTGGATGTACACTGCACAAATAATGTAGAATACTATCCTTGCTTGCTTGTAGTAAGAAGTTGAGTAAGAAGTTACTTCTTGAAGTTTTCTTAGTGCACTGTAAACAAGGTACAATAATGTTATGAGTTTGTATTAATATTTGTATTAATTTCTACGACAAACAACATTACTTCTGATATAAAAAATGTACATTTCAGTTCACTCTGACCCCCAACCAGCTATTGTTACCCTTTGTATATTCCAGATTATCCTGACAAGCTCCGGGTTCACGCTCTGCCTGTGGTTTTAGTTATCAAGTGTAGGTTTTTCTCAACACGTGTCATTTTCTTGAAAGACCAAAACTGTTTGCAATGCTTAGTTTTCAAAAGGATAACATCTGCAGCTGTCAAGTCAAAGAATTGCACAAATTAGCTGACTTACCTGTTTTGTTTTGTTTTTTTTGCTGTTTACTGACTTCATCGAAATTTTTCTCGCAATTTATTGGCTTAGTGGCATAATGAGTTGTATAAATAAAGGTCGTTGATTTCTATTGACTAGTTATGTACCCCAATTACACCCTCTCTTCAGCCTTCATTACATGTTCTTTCACAACATGCTTTCAGGCACTCAATGTACGCAGTGTTGACGTGATTATGTGTAAAATGGTTTTATATCCTCTCTTTTGATTTCCATTTTAGGTATAACTTATGGATTTAGTGTAATGCTTTGCAATGAATCTCCTAACATCCCATTTACAGTGTTTCAAATGCATTTTTCACAAGGTAAGCTTAATTTAATGTGCATGTGTATGTTGTGACCTTTGATTAGATGCTGTTGTGTATGAAGAAAAATTCTTTTTGTATTACCTGGGGTCGGTTTCATCACCATCCAGTGGATAGCGTTGTATGTTATCACAACACTTAAAGGCGAATAGTGATTCATTCTTTGGATAGCGTTATCCACTCGTTGAACAACCAGGGCCTGGTTTTTTGGGAGTTTTTCTTCTCTTGATTTCCTCTATCAAAGTGATTTTATATTAAACGAATCATAATAAAAGTAGGTTCATTACAATTTTTCTGCCTTTTTTTTTGACAGGTGCCCGTCTGGTTGTCTACGACAACTCTTGCAATTTGCATTCGTATTGTTTAAATCGGGATCCTGTCTTTTTCAAGAACTCTCAGTTCCTTGTGGATCGATTGCATTGGCGGGATCATACAGGTACGTAAATCACCCCAAAACTGGCTTTTTCGGTTTGGCCATCTTTAATCTTCGGTGTTCATTTAGCTATGCTCTCGGGTCTATCCCCTCTTACTAACCTAATGGCACATTACACACATTTATTGAAGCACATTCGACGTAATATGTTAATCTTAACTTTCTCAGTACCAATGCTAAGCAATCGAACATGCTTTTTTTCTTTTTCAGATTGCTCTGAGGCTTACAACCTCTCCCGTTACCCTCAGTGGGACACCTTAAACAGTCAGGCAGCAGAACAAGCCTATTCAAGCTTGAAGTCTTTCAAAGGATTCTTGTCATACATAAACGAAAAGAACTTCATGACTCGTTGTATATTTTTCATTTGGTATCGAAATTCGCTACGGCGTAAGCAGCTCGAGTCCCAAGGTGTAGCAATGTAATTTGCGATAAGTTTTATGGGATGAATAATTAATTCGACTGATTTGAACAGGTCGGCGGCCGCTGCATAACGAATTGTCTCTAGTTTGTCGATACATTTCAGGCTTTATCTTGAATGAAAATTGACCTTTATTTAAGTTTCTTTCAGTTCCTATTTATTAACAACTTTGGTTTTTAGTGTGGTAATACAGTGCGTCTTTAAATTAGTTTGAACAGGCCGGCCAATGCAAAACGGCCTGTCTTGTTTTATTTCGAACATTCCCGCCCTTTTCAGTTTCTTTTAAGTTTGTTTCATTTGGCGACCGTTAATTGGGAATTTGAGGCTTCATCTCATAAAGTAATTGTTCTCTTGTTTTTGTTTATTTTCACATTTCGGCATTTTCTCGCGCAGCGTAGAAATGATTTGATTTCTTACAGTTTCAAGACTGGTTTCCACTCTCTGTTTTGCTTTGATTTTTCCGTGTTTTGTTTTTTGTTGTTGCCGTGAGCTAATTTTGGACACCTTGAGTTCATTTCATTTTATCGGGAATTTATCTTACTGCGTCTCAAGATCATTTGAGGCGCCGTGAGCAGATTTTGCAGTGTCACCAAAGTATTTAGTTTGGCCGTAGGCAATTTTAATTCAACACTAATGATCCACTAAAAACTGTACTTTTAATATTTTAGCCGCTTATTTACCAGAATGGAAAAAAATATTCCTAAGTGCAGTAAACAATTCATAACTGTGGGGCTCCGCTTTTAGGCTTGCCTAAATTTATATATTAACAAGGCTAAATGATAGAAAATAGTTTCGTCCCTTTTGTTTCTCTTTCTTATCAAGATATTAGTAACACTTGACTGACTACAAGGCTGTTCCATTGCAATGTAAATGATTTTCTTAAGTCAGATAAAAGTTTCAAGTGTTTTGTTCGCTTAACGTCATTATTCCGGTTTATTCCGAGTAATTTAAACATATTTATCAAATGAGTTGGGCCTTTTTTGTGTTGCGGTTTCGTTTAAATACCCTTCCAGTTTTGGAAAACAAAATGCTTTTGATGGATAGATTTACCGCACTAAGGAAACAAGGCTGCATAGAAAGGGTACATCGTATCGGAAGTTTGAAGACGAGGAATTTTTCTCATTGGTTTAGAGAAGAGACCTGGTGTAGCACCTAATAATTATTTCATTTTGAATAACTTAAGACGTATAACCACCAACTACTGTATTGTTTTCTTTAAATTTATTCCTGTTATTGAGGGTTTTAAATAACCAAACCACCGCACTATTTGTATCAAACACAAGAAAGTACAAGATAAAATACGCGAAGTTA